GGTACTCCTCTGTCAGTTTGTGGGCAGAACTTAAGGTAGATGAGATGTGGCACTGTGGCTGATGTTGTAACTACTTTGGACCAGTTAGCCTTCCTATAGTACCACTGCCTTTATGGTGAACATGATATTCTATTATGTAGTGACAACCTCTGGATAATGTGTTTTGTAATTTGTAGATCCTCTATGGCAGTGATATACCTATACAAAGAAAGCTGTTGAACGGCACTAGTCTGATGTCTGTGATTTAGTCATTATGTGATTGCTGCACAATAAAATGAGTACTGCTGATCTTGCACTGTTATTCCTTATGAGTGAGGAAGCTATGGAGGAAGCATTACTTGTCAACCAATGTCGTCATGTCAGTACTTGCATTTTACTGCCCTTGTGTAAAGTGTGTTGGTAAATTTAAAGGTTTTTAAGGAGCTCGATGCTGTGATGAAAGACCCTGAGACGTGATGGTGACTAAATGAGTGATAATAACTTGCCGCTGCTGGATACTTGATGGTTTCAGCTTGGGACTTTACTTTTGACTGTTCAGAAGAAAATGCTTGCTGTTTCTTGTCCAACCTAATTGACCATCAGCAGCAATAACTAACCAAGTGAAGGGAACGACAGATTTGTTTGATACCACAAATGTGACTTTCATTTCAGTGTTACTGAATTGTTGCTGCTTATTAAGAGCATTTCCACTAGCCCTCAAATGCTTAAGCTAACTGTGCAGAGTAAGCACCTATGGAAACAAAATAATACAGTGTATTTGTCATTTGTCTGGATACAGCATGACTTTTATAGACCTCTCCTGTCAACAGTGTACTTCATCCCCAAAATGTTTAGCCGTTGAACCAGAGCAAGCAAGTTTAGACAGATACGAGAAAAACTTCCAACTGACTTTGATTCAGTGTATGTGTTAGCATATGGCTTATTAAACTCACTCTTTTCATAAGTGTACTCAACGATTTAATTAATAATAGAATGACTGGGTCTAATGCTGTACTAGCTGCTGTGACCTTTGGTGGCATGTTTCAGATAGGAACAAAGGGTTTAGGTCAGACAGCAGTTAAATAACGCTTTTGCTGTTCTTATTCTACCTCAGCAGCAGAGACAGAATAATATTTTTTTCCATTCATTAGTGACACCTTTAGTGTAACGTACAGCCTAGAAGAGCTTGTGCAGGTGTGACGCTATTAACCTGAGATTAATGTGTTAACCCATATTGAGTAATTGAGTAACAGTATTGAGTGGGGGGCACAATCAATACGCAAAGCTTCCTTCTCAAATTTGAGCCTCTGAATTGCAATTCAGGGCTGTTGTGACTTTGAGGCTCTGTTTCCATTTCCCTCAGCTCTTTTGAACAGAGGAAGAGCAATGCTGTTGAGACGACTGGAGAGTGTCCCCCTAATAATGCAGCAAATATTGCAAGTGCTAGTTAATGCTGCTTCTGGTTTGAAAACAAATAAACTAAGCATGTTTTTACTTTCTTCAACAACAGATGCTACAAAACTGAATAGAAGTTGTAATCATATAATTTAACAGCTATTTTAAGTTGTCCAGAAATTGGTTGTTGCCCATCCTTTCCCCCCTTTTTCCCCCTTTGGTTTGAGACAGTTGTTTCATGCTCCAGGGCTGAACATTTGAGGCCTTTGCTTTTGTTCTGAACAGATTTTTCTGTGAGGGTTGTAACTCTGTCTTTGGGTCCATCTGCCACAGGTATTTTCTTGTCAAGGAATTTTCATGCTCTGCACTCATTTGACTTGCTCTTCCTTTGTGGTCCAATTGAAAACTGCTAACTTAGTCTCAAATGTTAAACAGCTTGAAGCAGTTTGCAGAAAACCTACCTAAGATTTGCTGATAATCAGTGTTTGTGTGAATTAAATGGTATCAACAGCTAAGTTAAAGGCTAAAAGCCTTCTGCCACCGAAAGCAGATTGTCAGCACAGAGTTTTAGGAGTTCTGCAAATGTCAGTTTACAGCAATTTACAGTTGTTAACCCAAAATGTAATTAACAATTTAGCTAAAAAATCCAGCTGAGCCATATCAGGTCTTCTTAATCTTCAGGCAGCAGAAAAGTCAGGTTTATAATTAACTCATGTGGTTTCCAACAGGAAATTACTCATAATCTGCTTAATATTGTTTTTCGTGAATATACTTGCCCGCATTTTATCCTTTCTATCTGAATATTTAAACCTCTTGGCATGATGGTATATAGCAGTAGAAGTGTGGACAATCATATCCACAGTGTTGATGAGGGTGTTTTATTTTTTTAATTAATCATTAGTTCTAAAATTTCATTTGGATACAGGGGGAAAGTATGCTTCCCAACAAGAATGTTGGGGTTTCAGTATCCTTGGGGTTTTGTTTTAAGAAAAAATAGGGAGGTAATGTGGATTCTTGATGTGGCATTCCTGTATATCCCAAGTTGTTCCCATGTGAAAAATAGTTCAAGCCTAAGACCTGCTGAAGGTAGTGACTGCTAGAAATTATATAGGAAATACTAGGAATGACTAGAAAAATACTAGGGATGACTAGGAAATGTTTATACTTCTGGCTTCTTTAATTATTGATGTATGGATGATCATAGCACCACCACTTGGAATCAGAAAGAGGAAGTAAAGCCCATTGCTGATCTCTTCTGTTTGCTAATTGGAGAAAATGTTATTATTTAGGTATTATTTAGGTATCATTGAGAGATGAGGTTAGTCTGTAAAATGGTGGGAGTTCTAGATCTGTATATACATACAAATACATGCAAAAATACAGGCATTGATCCTGTGACATATTTACAAGAAGAAAAAGTGCTTAGAATGTTTGCAGACCATAATGAATTTGGAGAGTTTGCAAGGATTTTGTCAAGCAGGGTTAAATTTGAAATATTTTGGCAATTTAGTGTCCCTAACCCACCCCCTACAAAAAAAAAAAAAACAACCCAGAAAAAAAAACAAAACCAGGGAAGAAAAAAAAGCAGTGCTTATCAGGTTGTCTCTGGAAAGTGCAAGTTGTACTGTGTTTAAAAGGCATAATTAGAGGCATAAAAGGCACAACTAGAGAAAGGGTATTGGAAGCTCAGTTTAGAGGTTTGCAGGAAAGTGTTTTCACGTTAGTCTGGGTTGCATAGGTCTGCCATAGCATATTGCTGTGAAGCTGCCAAATAATACCTGAAATAGTTTGAAGTGTGACCTTGAAGACATATGAGGCAATTCTTCCTTTTCTTGACAGCAAATAATAAGTCTCTTTTTCAGTTCTGGTCAATGTGGTTTACTTGTTTCTGGTCAGTGTGGTTTACTTATGTGGACTGAGAGAGTTCAAAAGAAATCAAAAATAAATCAGGACTTTATCAGGACTTTGACAAAAGGTTATGTGGTCCAGAGACGGAGGAGAATGGCTACAGAATGGGAAGGACTGCGCTGTTCTTCATGTTTGACAGCAGAATAAAATTAACCACATTAAACCCTTCTTAAATAGGTTATATATTGTTATATATTGAAACTGTGCTGTTGAAGGAACTTTGGGAGGTTACCTAGGTTCTCCTTGTAAGCTTTAATTTACCTGGGAGGGTGAAGTGTTACTGAGGGAGGGAAGGGGGGGGGTCCCAATCACTGAATCACTTAACTCCAGAATTGTTTCTTGTATGAAAAGTGGTCAGCTGATTTGCTTCTTCAGGAAATATCTTGATGAGGAATGTACTAATTCTTTGTTAATATGTGAAGATGGGAAATACAATGAAATTTCTAGCAGGTAGCTTTCTTGGGATACTCTGCAGGTGTTCTTTGAGTTCATTGTCTGACCGCCAGGCCATTGGTCAGACTTTAGTCACCAGCTTTTGACTGCTGGACCATGAGACTTGTATACTCTTGCATTCTGAATGCTGTACAGGAGAGACTAGTAATCAGTATGTTTTTAGTCTTTCGAATTTTTTATTTAGACGAGGGCTTTTTTTTGAATAAGATAACTAGGTTTCTCCTGATTCTCAATCTCTTTCAAATTTGTTATCTGAAAGTGCAACTTCTTTCTACCTGTGACTTTCAGATGCCATAGTTTTATTTTCCCAACTATTCTGAACTGTGAACTGAGTAATGTTTTAAGTGGCACGCAGAATGTGTTAGTAGCTGTTTAAAGTCCTGTAGAGGATGAGTTGTATGCTGCACAGATAACATGCACTTTTTCTTTGCAGAGGGTTTGTAATCTGAACACACCAGAGAAATGTAGAGTAGGTTAAAAAGTGTTCATCTTGGAGTAATCTCAGTGATGGTGACAAAATAATTGTGTATGTGTGTGTATGGTGTCTTTGGGGGGGGGGTGTTACCATTTTTTTAACTTAGTAGTAAAGTGGAGGAGAGAGAATGTGACAGGAATGAGGTGTGAGCCGAAGAGGATTAGAAGAGTTTATGTTAGCTAAAGCTATAATGTAAAGAAATGGAAATGAAAAGTCTGTAAACTGAGGGTGGGGAAATTCCAGACAAAAATTTAAAAGTTTGTGTTCAGAAATTGCGGTTTCTTCCACCAGCTGAACTTTCTGCCAAATAATACATTTTTAAAGCTTCCTTTTTGTCTTGGAGGGTCTGAATCTTTCTCTGGTAAAGCATTCACAAAACATAGGCATTCCTTAGCAATAGAACGGGTTATCTTACTGAGGATCATCAGTAATTCTTGTTTCTAGCATTGGTGTGGCACTAATGGACTTCTAATAGAAACAGTAGGGTAAAACAGTATAAAATACAGGTATTTTTTTGTCTGTCCTAGCATATCTTCTGCTTAAATTGATGAGACTAAAGGCCCCTAAAGCAGTGAAGCATTAGGAAACCATCATTTTATGTGCTTTATACTCTGAAATTCTGCCTCTGTTGGTTTCCTTTGCTTAGGAGAAAATATTTTAGAGGACTTCTTTTCCTCTAAAGGATTTATATCATTTAGAATTTTTTTTCCTCTGCTATTGCTGCTGTTTACCATGGGGCATGGAAGGAGTTTAATTCTTTTGTTCTCATGGCTTTTCTCCTCTTTTTCAGAAGTAAGAAACTTTTTAGCAAGAAAAAATTGAAAAGGAAACAGAAGACTAAATTGAAAGTCAAAACACGCAACAAGGTAAGTCTGTAACTAACTGGACAAGGTTCTGACTCAAAAATGAAAGTGATTTCAACTGAGAGAAATATGAGAAAAGAAATGAAACTGGCAATTTGTTTAGAGAAGATAATAATAGGCCAGTTTGTTTGTATGTTTACTATATTCTACAACTATAATGTTAACCTTATTCAACTGTGTTTGCTACTGATGTTCATCATGAAACAATATGAAGAGCATTTTATGTTCTCTGGTTCCTAAAGTGTAAATATAGCTAGACATGTTGGTCTTACAGTTAAGTTTCAAAAGATGCATGTCTAGCCAACAGTTGGAGACTACTGCTGCAAGGAGTTCTGTCCATATCACCTAAAGGCAAAAGGGAGCATTTAGTGTCTAAGAAGCCAAAGTTACCTCTGGGAATTCCTCCATAATGGAATAGATGATACCTTTTTGTTTCTATTAATATTTTCTCCCTGTGTAGCTTCTGCCCCCATCCCTTTAAATGCGTGGTAGCAGAAACAGTGAACCTCATTGAAATGTTTACTTGTTGCAGACAAGAAATCTAGGCAGAAGCAGCAGTATTTTAAAATAGTGCTCTACTGCATTCTTTCTGTATTACAGAGCTGTTACTTGTTTAAGCTGGAGTCTTGGGGGGATTTTCGTGAAGGCCTGTTGCAGACATGGAGGCTTCTTCCTAGGTTCCCAGTGTAGTCGGTGAAGAAAAAAGTAGCTCATTTCTGGAATAGTTCTGAAGAACCGCTGGAATATCCAGTAAAAATACAGTTGAATGCTTTTATAATACAAATAGACTGTAGATCAGACTGGCCATGTTATCCCTGTTTGCCACACCTCATGTAGTTCCTCTATCTCAAGACAGATGATTCTGGGGGGGTGAAGCAAGTTCTGTATCTCTTCACTTGGTATTGCCTTTTTTGGATACTTACCAGATGGTTCTACTTATCTCAAGTAGTGCAGCTCCAGACTATGGTATAAAAGGGTCTTATCTTCACTTTCTCTTCCCAGTACTGTACAGTGAAATATTTCTGGTCCAAACTGAATTTTCCAGCCCTTTCTTCAGTTGCTATGATACTAGCAGTTTTAGCCCTGTTCCTGTCATGATGTTATCAGACCCACTGTCAATACAGAAAACCAAGTTAGAAATTTGAAGAAATTTTTCAGAAAGTAGTTAGTCTTTGTGTGTTCTGTCAATTGTCAGAAACTTGTACTTCTAAAATAACTCTTCATCTTTCATCGTTGTTACTATATAAAGGGAACTTTGTCTTTCTGGATAGTGGTGCCCTAGTTCAACTGCCAAATAGAAGCTAAATCCAGAACTCCTGTTCTTTGCAAGCTTGGCAGTCAAGTATGCTTCTTGGTTTTATTTGCATTGCATAAACGGATTGGTAGGACCCCTTCTGAATGGCCAAAGACAATATGAGCATCCTAAAGGCTGGTTCTTGTCAGTATTTACAGATCTGGCACTAACTGATCATCTCTGCACTTAATGCCTATGGAGGGTTGTTTACAAGATTTTTCTTGGATTTAAAATGTCTTCTACTTGAAGTATTAAGTGAGATTTATCTGTCTTTGAAAGGCATAATGGGTTTTCGCATGTCTTTTAGTGATGCCTGTATTCTAGACAGCCTTTAAGGCAAGCCAGGGTTGACAAGCAGAGTATTGGTATTTTGAGTCTCTGAGGTAGAGGAAGGTACTCCAGCTTATTCCTGCATGATAGCAGGAAATTGTATATTGCATGAAGAATGTAGCTGAAAAGGGAAAGATAACCTAAAGATGTGAGACTGTCTTTACCAAACTTTGTTTACTGATGAAGTGAGGTGTTATGGGGTTTTTTTGTTTTGGTTGTTTCCTTGGTTTTTTTTTGTTGGTTGGTTTGTTTTGTTGGCTCCCCACCAGGCTTTTCAATGCATCTGCATGCTTACCAGTGCAGAATAATCACAAGAATAATTTTTACAGTGGAATGTCTGAAACCAGATGTGTGTATTGTCAGGCAAATGCACGTTTCCATTTGGAGCCTTATGATAGGGTTTATTGAAAAGCCCATCACTACCGGACATACTGAGCAAGAGATCTTGTGTGCATTAGTTTAGTTTTTTAATAACCAGGGTCTTTCAGACTGAACAGAGATGGGAGCTTTCTCTTAATAGGCTTGGTAGAGGCTGGGAAGTCCTTAAATTAAGAGTAAGCCAAAGGAACCCCAAAATTTGTTATTTATACCCTGCATTTAATAAATATGAGAATTTAGCAATTGAAGAGGAGAGAATATTAAGAAAAAGAAAAAAAAAAGGTCATTGTTGAGCAACTGGAAAAAAATTATTTCTGCCATTTAAGCATCAAATGTTGCAACATTTTAAGTCTAAAACTTTAATTGGTGTTTAATGCAGCCCAATAGTTAGTGCATTAGTGTCTTCCTAAGCTGTGGTCATGTTACGATCGTTGTATTTGAACTACTGTTAACTTTTGGTTTTATGGTTTATTATCTTATTTTTTTAATGAAGATATAAAAGTTTTCTGTGTGGGTGCAGTGTGTTTTGGCTTCAAAATCCAGTGCTGAATAAGAGTGACTTTGACACAGAGACAAGTATGTGATTATTAGATGTGCGTGTAACCCCTTGGACTCCTGCCCCTGGCCGCTCTTCCCTCCCTACTCCCCCCCCCCCTCTTCCTTTTTTTGGCAACAGTTATTTGTAGAAAATTGTAGGCTGTGTAACTTACCTCAACCCTATGAATATTGCTGCTTCCTATCCCTCCTCCCTTTTTACTCCTTGGAGTTTCCCCACTTTCCTATTAACTCATAAAGGTGTTGCTTAGGGCATTTAGCTGAGAGACTGGACGAAAAGCCAGAGTTCACTATCTTTTGTTCTCATAATGTTATTTGAAGAAGACTGAAAAACTGGAGTCCACCAGAGACAGGGAATGTATTTCTGCTGATCAGCTTCCACCTGTTTAGCCCAGATTTTTAAACTATGACTTCTTTAGCTTTATACAAATGGAAGGAATAAAATCTTTGGAAAGGACAGTTCATGTAGCAGACAAATTTAAGCTAATGGTTAGATGTATAAGGTGAATCAGCTGGGATAAATATTTGCCTCATCAAAAACACTGATAGCTACTCAAATAATTTGGTAGTGTTTTCAATAGCTTTTGTATTATTTGGTGTTTAAACCTCAAGAGGGCATCCCTTTCCAAGAGATGTTTGAACTGTCCAAAGAAAAATTTGGTGAGGTTCTATGCTCTGTTATGCACAGATTAGATCAGATGGTTATTATAGCCTTATCTATCTTTAACAAGTTAACTTTCCTTTCCTAGATTATAGTTTATTTCTATCCCATCTGAGAATAAACAGTTTTTGCAGTCATCTGGTTCAAGAGGAAGGAAATAAGTTGGTCAGAAAATAAGCTATGTATGGATGTAATCTTTTGGGAAAAATGTTTACGTGTAAGACAAGTGTAAGGGGAGACTAGAGGGTTTCTTTTTCCACGCTTCTTGAGTGTGCAGGAACATTACAAATGGCTAAATAAAAATGGTACTTGTGAGTCTGGTTGCTGTTATTATATGAACCAAATCTGTGCCATTTAACCTCTGCTACATAATGCATCCTTCCATTCAGCAGGGACTATATGTTTACAAGGACAAGTCACACATCAGAGTATGGGCTTCTGCAGTTCATTCTTTCTCTTGTAAAATAGCCTCTTACCTTCTAGATAAGAGCCTCTTTTATATAAGAGGCTTATGTGTTACTTGTAGAAAAAAAGTAGCACACAATAAATAAAATTTTACCTTTATGTATTAAAGCTATGTTCATGATTCTTTACGTACATTGGCATTGCAATTTCTCAGGCCTTATTTTGATTTCATTATTCAGTAGCTCAGGATTGGATTGTTTTTTCTTTAATTTCCCTTAAAACTTCAAGAGAAAGATTATTCTAATTTTTTCTTAAATGTTTGGAGAACATAATCTGCTGCTCTTTTGTCTACCTAAAATACAGAAACCTTTTTTGAGTGATTTAATTAGGTTTCTTGCATTCAGAAATCCTCTGTTCATCTGAAAAAGATGCGTTAGTCCTCCTGACCATCAGAATGATCTTTCATCACAGTTACCTCACCTTGTATGGCTTTAGCATCTTCTTTTTGAGGCCTAATATTGTACATTTTGTGAGAATGACATTGTGTTTAAAAGTTGCTCTTCCTTTCCATAAAAATTGATTTAAAATGTTTTGTCTAGCACAAATAAAGTTTTGCAGCACTTGAGACAGAAGATGTGATGAATACTGGATATCTGTTAAGTTCTATAATGTATGTTTCATCATGTATCTAGATTAAGATGTTGCATTTTCAGTTCACGATGGTACCAAGTGAAACAAAAAAGACAAAAATTTCAGAATGTCCCACTTTCTTACAGCTCATGTGAAAGTCACTAAATCAAAAAGCATCGTTATGTTTTCCAGTCTTGATGCTCCATTTTTTTTTAAAGTGGTAGCAATTTCATATTTTGAGAATCGAAATGCTTTGGGAGAGCAGAAAGGTAGAGCCTATCATCTGCTCTTCACTAAGGCATCCTGGAAGCTGGGCTTCTAGTCATTTCTATACTTGGTAAGTGCTTTGGATTGCAGAATTCCAACAGCCATTAAGAAAAGGCCATTTGGAGGTGCAGAAAATATGATTGTAGATTTTCATTGTATGCACAGTGTCATGTAAAGCTATTTCATACTTCTGTGAATCTTGGTACTCTTAATACCAAGAAACAAGCTATAGGGTGGAGTTTTTGACATAATATATCTCATAGCTCTAGAGCAGTTGATTGGATTATTAGTAATCCTAGATATGTGCAAAATTAATAAACTGCTTCATTGAGTTTTTTAGAAGTTGATTAACATTTTGTCTTAATCTTCTACCATTTTCCTTGGCAATGTAGAAGTACTTTGTGCCAACATGAATTGCAGTATCATTATGAGAATTGTTGTAACTTAAAATAGACTTTTTAATTTTGATGTAAGAATTATTAAATGGGGTTCTGTAGATACAGTTAGTGGTTAGACTTTCATAGGGATCTGTCGTGGTTTAAACTCAGTCAGGCAACTCGTTCACTCACTCCCCCCCACCTTCTTTCCCTCCCTCTACTCCTAGAGGGATGGAGAGGAGAATCAAAAGAATGCAACTCCCACAGGTTGAGATAAGAACAGTTTAGTAACTAAGGTATAACACAAATCACTACTGCTACCAGCAATAATAATAATGATAAAGGGAATAACAAGGGAAGAGAATACAACACCTCATCGCCAGCCGACTCCCCCCCACCTCGCCCCCCTGCCCCAGCCCGACCAAGCGCTGACTGATACCTCCTCCAACCCTGCAGTCTACCAGCCCTTCCGGGTAACTTTCAGTTACCCCCTGCCCTGGGCATGACGTGCTGTGGTATGGAATGCCTCTTTGGCTAGTCTGGGTCAGGCATCCTGTCTATGCTTCTTCCCAGCTTCCCCTCCTCCCTGGCAGAGCATGAGCCTCACAAAGTCCTTGGTCAGGGTAAACATCACTTGGCAACAACCGAAAACATCGGTATCACCAGCACTGTTCCCAGGCTGGAAGTCAAAACACAGCACTGCACCAGCTACCAGGAAGGAGAAAAATGACTGCTACTGCTGAACCCAGGACAGGATCTATTCTAAGTCAAAATCTAGGAGCTGGTAGCAAGACTGTACTGGTGGTAGCATAGAAGAGTAACCCAGTGGCATAGCTATCATTAGTTGCAGAAAAGGAAATTTCCAGTTGATGATGAGATGAACTTAAGTCCCAGTTTCGTAACTTGATATCATCAGTGCATCTGACCTGAGTGAGGTTAGGAATCTGTTGTAATCTAGAGGAAAAAACTTGCCTCATATGGAAAAAATTTCTGATATCTGTTATTAATACTTTCCACTGCCATTGTTGAAGAAAATAAAAAATGGAAAGTGCTCGCTGAATGAGTATGTGCGTTAGAGGAGCGGAAACATTTTCTGTTTCTTTTTTGTTTTAATCAGCTCCATTTCTGCCTTTTGTAAAAGAAATAAAAAAGTGATGTTAATACAACCTGCTTGTATACCTCCACTTTTGAACAGATGTTTGTTTTGAAGATCCAGAAACTATAAATATTATAGTTTAAACTCCTCAGAGACTTGAGCAAATCCATCATGAATAAATTGTCAGTGGTGTTTACCTTATAGTGAAGTTTGTGGGGGGGAGAGAGAACAAGGTGGTGTTTGGAAGTTCTGTTCCTACTCTCCAACCAGAAAATGTCTTGGCATTCAGCACCTTTCTTTTTGCCTTTAGGCATCCCAAGCATCTGTATGCTTATGCATTTAACATTAATTCAGTTGAGTTTTTATATTCTCCTCAAGTGAAAGATGGTAAATGGTGAAAGTCATAATTATTCTTAAGTTTTAACCTGTTCTTACAACCCTTATTATTCAGCTTACTGTTCAAAAAGGGATTTATTTCATGCAGTCGTAAGGCCCGTCCTTTTAAACTGACAAAATTCTCAAGTACCTGTGTTAGGATTGCTACTGTAGTTTTTGAGTGTATAACAGAATGAAGTATAATATACTTCTAGTTTCAAAGAATTTACAGATCTCAGATATGGTATTGTGAAGAGAAAATAGAGGTATGAAATAAGAAATTTATACAGTGGGTTAGCATAACAGCTAGAAATTAAACTAATGAATCATATATTCTAGTGCTTCACTGTTCAGATAGAGCAGGGTGTTTTGGGTTCTGGAGAATATTGTGCTGTTGAAGTCGGGGTAGGAGATTACTGTATGTAACTGTAGTTTGCCCTGTCGTAAAAGGCTGAGACACTGAACACAGAAAGATAGAACGGTTAAAGTGCTTACTATTTAAAAGCTAACACATTAGGTAAGGGACTTTTTAATATTTGTATTAAGAATAAGGAAGGAGTTAATTTCTGAAAATTAGTCAGCTTTTCATTAATAAGCAAGAAAACATACATTGATGTTTTGTCTGGCACTGTCATGTCTGAAATGATCTGTGCTGGTTAACTTGACCAACCTATTTCAGAAGAGGCTATGGGAGCTACAAAACCGAGGCTGTTCCGGAACAAAGGCTAAGCTGAACTCCTGACAAGAAAACCAGAATGGAAACTCTTCACAGATTTTATATTTGCAATATCTGATACTAATTAGATAAGTGAACTTCAGACAGAGATATTTAAGAGATTCCAGATACTTTTGTCTTCCTGTAACTGACAGTAAACTAGGAAATGCATCGGAAACTTACTAAATTTTCTTTCTTTTTAAGCTGAGTTCAGCTGTGTTAGTTTTAAAGCTGAAAGCTTACCTTGTGTGTTTGCCTTAGCAGCAGCTGGAAAAACTCTTGGAGTATATGTATGGATATTTGACATACAGAGGAGTCATGTGTTACAGCTGTTTAGTTTTCTGGTGCCAAATATATTTTAAAGTATGTAGTAGCTCATTGTCATTGATATCAGTCCAAATCTATTGTGATGCATTGTGATACTGGATTAATGTGAGGTTTGAGTTCTTGTGGGACTTTAACATCAGCTTTATTATTTCAAAGACACTCATGCTTAACAAGGACCAAACTTACGTGATCTTTCAAGCCCTAATGGCAGAAGTTATGTTGTGCTAAAAAAGCAAGCGAGAAAGCCCCCACACTTCCAGTAAGTTTGTAGGGAACCTTTTCCAGCTTGCTTTTTTTCTCCCCTCCTCTCCCCATTCCATCTTTATTGTTTTGTGCTTACTGCTAACACTGACACAGGTAAAAAATTAACACACTGTCTGTGTTGTATAAAATAGGGTATAGAGTAAGTCATTGATTCTTGATGTTTTAGCGTGCAATAATTTTGTAGTAATAATGGAAAGGAAAGATAGGCAAATATGTACCAGTACAGTTAGAATAATAATATAGTCAAAAGTAAAATGAAATGTGTAAACTGAAATATTTTGAAGCTATTTTTATTTATTTATTTATTTATTTATTTAAGGTTTGTAAAATCTGTTGTTAAATGATCTAACTTAGAAGCCAGTGTTATTTCTGGTAATAATAACCACAGATAAAAATGTGTTGTGAACTATTGCTGTATTTTGATATACAAAGTTGTGACTCCTATATTGCAGAATAAGCCACCCCATTAAAACATTATCCACTTCATGGTTCTCAAACTTCTTTTCCCTTGTTTTGTATTAAAGTCCTCTTTCCTATCACTGTTCTTATAGATGTGTATTTCCACTCTGATCAGTTCTGAATCACTGTGATACAGTTTGTTGCATACTTTCCTGCCAAATGAAGGTTGTCATTCACAATACCAGTTCAATAAAAAGACAGAAAGCCTCTACCCTCACTGCCCTGCAAGAATACAAGAAACAAACCAAAATAGCCTTGTGATAGTAGTCATGACCTTGACTCAGTCTGTCCTAATGTATGTCCAAATTTTTCCTTGCATGTTGAGGCATATTTGTCTTTTACCCTCCAAATTTTTCCTTGCATGTTGAAACATTTTCGTCATTCATGCTTAACCTAGGCCTTTTCTGCTTAGGTAGTCTCTGTTCCTTCTGTTTCTATCGGGGTATTACAGGGAATTGCTTCCTCCTATATGCTTGAAGTCCAATTTTTCAGAGCCTGTGTTCAAACCAGCCTAGTATTTGGTAATGCACAGTGGAAGAGAAAGTATAACCCTGCCTAGGGATTTTTTGTTGTTGTGGCATTTTGGTTTTTAAGTCTGTCATTTCTTGTCCCATCTTACTGTAGCAGAAAGGAAGAGTAGAGGTCAGTATTTAAAAGATGCTTTTAGAATTAATTTTTTTTTTCCCTAATAATTTTCCAAGTCTAGTGACAGCTTCGTGGAGGCTCTTTGTCTTGGCAATGGCTGACAGTAGTGTACCGCTAGTAGATGCCAAGGGCAGGAGGGGCAGGGTAGTGGTAGTTTCTCAGAACAATTTCCCAACTCTTACTTTGCAGCCTGGGGCTTGTGAAAACCGGATGGTGTCTTGTGATGCCATAGGCTTTGATAGATTTTTGTATTCGGTAGTTTGTCCACTAGGTATTTATTAGTCACAAAATTATTATTCACAACATCCTGCCAGGGGAGTTTTTGAACTTGCCATCTGTTGTCATTTAATGACAAAACAAGTAATGGTATTTTTAATTTCTAATCTACATTTAGCTTATATTTTATTATTATTTAATAAGAGGTTAAAATGAACAAGTAGAATAATGCTTTTAAAATCCAGTGATAATTAAAAAAACCCTGACAACTGACCCTGTTAAGAAGAGAATAGACTTTTTACTGTGGCAGAGGTTTGGACCATTCCACAGCCTGAGCCGTTTTCATTTTCCGTCCCAGTGTCCTCAACAAGTTATGAGAGGCAGAGACTAAGGCCAGATGGAATATAGCGCAATACCTTCATCTTCCTCCTTTCTTCCCTGAAATATAATTGGTACTTCAACAGGAAAGTTTAGTCCCCAGCTTGAGACTCGTTTGGTTGGCCAAAATTTCAGACTGTTGAGATTACTTACATTTAGCAAAGCATGAAACTTCTAATAAACTTAAAACTAATCTTGTTTTTCAGACTGAAAACCTAGAGAGTACCATAACCATACCAGATATCAAATTACACAGCAACCCTTCAGCTTTTAATGTTTACTGCAATGTCCGCCATTGTGTGTTGGAGTGGCAAAAAAAGGAAGCATCTGTATCTCTGGCTTCAAAGAACAGTGTACAGAGTGGGGATTCGGACAGTGATGAAGAAGAGGAATCCAAAGAGCCACCTATTAAACTCCCAAAGGCAAGTAACTGGATATAGTTTAAAGCGTGCCATGCATTTCATCTAGTGTTGGTATGTTCTTTGTGGGGAATAAAGAACGGCATTACAAGGCAGCTGCTCAGAAAATAACTATAGTTTATTTGTAGTCAGTCTAATCCAGAATCGTCTGATTTGTTGAATTAGGAAGATCTGTATATCCCAGTAATTAATTTTAAGTCAGTTAAATGTCAGGTAAACATTAAGCATGTACTCCTTTACTGGTAGTGGAAAATAACCAACAGCCTCAAAGGTCTACAAAAAATGTAAACAAGGCAGCTCTTATCTGTGAGACTACTACCTGTAGTGATAAAGGCTGCTTTCTTTTGCTTTACCCTGTAAAAGAATAAATCTCTCTCCTATTGGAATTCAACTGGCAGAGTGTTTTCCAAGATGATTTGCCAGGTATATGTGTAATTGCAATAATTGCCTATTATTCTTACTACCTTAGTTTTTTGATCATCCCCTGTTCTGGCTCTAGTGCCTTTTGGCACTATAGTAATGCACATTAAGAATTTGGACCTTACAGTTCAACAGGGTAGGTGTTTTACTGTTCACTACTTCTGCGCTTATAATTTATATAGGAGTTACTGATTTTTTTTTTCTTAATTTGCTGATTTGCTGGTTTTGTACTGTGTAACTTCTGTGCATCTAGTTTTGATTATTGCTAGCTTATTGATGCTATGAATCCTGGTTCCTTTTGTTGTTCTGAGTCTAAAAAGTGCATTCATATTAACTTTTTCTTTGTTCTAAACCAAACACTGAATTAAAAATGTTCTTGCAGCAGTGATTATGTAGGATGTTCTAGTTGCTTAGAAAATTAGAATTTTATAAGTGCTTGTGTTTAGGTAGCATTATCTGAAGGGCAGAGTTGGCACCCAAATATAGTGGTGGAGAATTGAAAAGGAATAAAACAAAGTCATGTAACTGCAATTTGGTAACTGAAATTTCATGGATGATAAGTCACAAAGTAAATAGAGGGTTCCAACACTCCCTGCTATGGGCGGGGACACCTTCCACTGGATGAGGTTACTCAAAGCCCTATCCAGCCTGGCCTTGAACACTTCCAGGGATGGGGCAGCCACAGCTTCTCTGGACAACCTGTGCCAGTATCTCACCTTCCTGTCTCTCCTCGTGCAGTTTAGAGCCATTCCCCTTGTTTATGAGCTGCATTTGACTCCTTGGGGATTGTGTTAAGTGAATTAGCAAGTGATTGTAGATGTGTCATTTGAAATATAACTAAAAGGTAATGTAGCTATTAGCATTCATAAAGAATTCAGTGGAGTCTTAAAGAGATTTTGAAATGAAAGAGGATCCAGGAAGGATGTTCCAAGAACACTTGCATGTGGAAACTAAAACACTGATACTGTTTAAAGGTGTTAGCTTATCAGAAGGATAAGCCAGGAAAGTGGTGCAGGTTTAAAAAGAGGGTGGCTTAGAAAAAATGGTAGGGAAACTGTAGGTAGGAAACTTTCTTTCATGTGTCATGGTTTAAACCCAGATGGTAACTCAGAACCACACAGCTCACTCTTCCCCTTCCTCCTTCCCCCACTCCGAGAAGAATGGGGAGGAGAATCGAAAGAATGTAACTCCCATGGGTTGAGAGAGGAACAGTGCAGTAACTAAGGTATAACACAAACCACTACTGCTACCACCAATAATAATAATGATAAGGGAAATAACAAGGGAAGAGAATACAACTGTTCACCACTCACTGACCTATATCCAGCCCAACCCGAGCAGTGATGTAGCCCTTCTGGGTAACTGCCCCCAGTTTATATAGTGGGCATGACGTGCTGTGGTATGGAATATCTCTCTGGCTATTTTAGGTCTGATGTCCTGTTTCTGCTTCCTCCCAGCTTCCCCTCCTCCCTGGCAGAGCATGAGACTCAGAAAGTCCTTGGTCAGAGTAAACATTGCGTAGCAACAACTAAATACATTGGTGTTATCAGCGCTGTTCCCAGGCTGAAAGTCAAAACACAGCAGTGCACCAGCTACTAAGAAGGAGAAAAAAGACTGCTGCTGCTGAACCCAGGACAGGTTGCTTATTTGTAATTAGTTAACCACCTTCTTTTACCTTCATCATTGCTACATACTTTGAAAAGGAAGTGAAAGGAAACATTCAGTGGAGAAAATAATTGTAATCTCACAATATTCATCAATTCTAAAAGGGAAAATCAGGAGTGGCTGTAACAGTGCTTTTACAGATGCTGTATCTGTTGGCATAATGCATGTCCAAGTACACATGGAGTTCCAGTGACGAGCAATTAATCCTCATTTTTGTGACAAAAAATAATCTCAGAGGCTTTGAAGAGGAAAGTACTAGTTCTGCCAGTATCAGCTGTCAAATGCATCATTACTCAATTTGGGAATTCAGGCTGCAAGTCAATTCTAGCTTGCTGGTTCTCATTAATGAGCAAGGAAAAAGGTCTGTCAAAGTGTGAACTGCATAGAAATTAGAAGTCCTCAGAGGCACAGTTTGTCTTACATTATAAAAAAAATAAGTTTTTCAGGGAACTATTACTCTGCTTAGGTAAGTGCTTTCATGTAATGACATTACTTCTAGTATTTGCTAGTACAGTTGTGTAAGGTGGGTTCTTGATTTTAATTCTTTTGTATTTTGTATTTAATGCCTTTGTATTCTGTATTACATTTTTGTTATTCAAATAACTATCTTGTTCTGTGAACATTGGGATATACCCTTATTGGTGAAGATGCGAAAATACTAACAGTTACTCTGAAATATCTGTTCTTCCTTAGATCATTGAAGTTGGATTATGTGAAGTCTTTGAACTGATAAAGGAGACAAGATTTTCTCATCCATCTTTGTGTCTCAGGAGCCTACAAGCCCTACTTAATGTGCTTCAGGGCCAGCAACCAGAAGGCCTGCAATCGGAACCTCCTGAAGTCCTAGGTAACGTCTCATCTATTACTGTATTTGTATTAATATGTATCTGTTACTGTGTTGGACAGAATAAAATGGTTTCTTGCAGGTATTTTTGTGAGATAGTAATGTGCTTGTTCTCAACTGACTGACTTTATTCTGGAGGGTAAACTCCTTATGGTATAACCAGTACTTTCTCAGCATTAATTTTTTTGTAGAACAGTAATCTTGGGGTATGTGTGTGTATATATATGAAGGATTTTGTTGCTGTGTAATGCAACATTTCAGTGAAACATGGTAAACCGTACAACCTTAAAAATTCATTTGTCTTACTGAAGATATAAAATACTTGGTCTTACTGGAAAGAGGATAGTTCTACTACAGTGAACTTACCATCTGCTGTTGTAATGTATAGCTTAGCTAATTAATGTTGCAATTTATATAAAGCTATTAAGAAAAGTGTCAGAATTCTTGCGTTTGTTTCCTCTGGTCATCCAAAAGCTTCCCTGAAAATTAATTTTGTTTTTAATGATACTGAAAATTAAAGTTGAACTTCTGATGGCTTTGAGTGTATAATTATGCCATCTAAGTTAAAATCTAATTATTTTTCATGAATTCATAGTTTTTACTGGTTTATAGAACTGTGAGGAAGGCTAGGCTGTAGCATCTTTTGTTTAAAAGTAAAATAAAAAATAAAATACATCTTCAGAGTTTTTATGTATGTTTTCCTATATTATGGCTCAACAGTATTCCATTTCCGAACATGATAGTAATTTGCTCCAGAAGGCTTAATGCTCCAGAGTATTAAAAAGCCGCAAAGAAGGCTTTGTTTTGATCGCTGCCTTAGTGATTATTTGTGTATTCAATCAAAAAAATTGATACGGATTTCAGTTCACACCTTGATTGTTACAGATGTTCAGTCACTACACAGTGCTTGAAAAGAGGCACATGATCAGTAATTTTCAAGCTTTGATTTGAAATGCTTGTTTCTGAGAAATGGGATGTGCTTCAACATGGATCATGGTCATAAAGACCTACACATCGTCTTAGTGATGAGGTAGACTGAATAGGCAGGTAAAATAATTCTGGCCCATTTCTTGTTAATGTGTTCCGCTGTAATAGAAGGGCTTTGATTTTCTTCTATAGCTGTTGGGATAATCAGGACTCAGCATTTTCTGGTGGAAAAAAGAATGAAAAGTTCAGGATGTTTTAGGCCTATTTAAATGGGATGCTTTCTTTTCTAGGGCTAAACTTATGGCTGAGGAAAGATGTATTTTTTGTAAGTTTTAATTTCACACTGACTGGCAAATTGCTTTGTGTGATTTTTGTGACTTTTCTGTATAATTACTGTGTTTTATCTGCAGAATCCCTGTTCCAGCTTCTTCTGGAGATAACTGTCCGTAGCACAGGAATGAATGACAGTACAGGACAGTCCTTGACAGCACTTTCCTGTGCTTGCCTCTTCAGTTTGGTAGCTGCATGGGGAGAGACAGGAAGGACGTTGCAAGCAATCTCTGCTATCCTCACCAATAATGGCAGCCATGCTTGTCAGACTATTCAGGTCTTGCAGTAAAACTTCTCTGTATCTGGGGGTTTATGTAAATGATGCGTACATGAGTTCTGAGAAGATCTGTTGTGTAAATTCAGTCATTTTGTTTACCCTTGCTAGTTTTGCAATAAGAGTAGGTTTTTCTTTGTCTTTCTTGAGTTAGAGATAGAACAGAAAATGCACCATTTGAAAAAGAGTTGTGTTTTTTACTCTTCATTTTACCATTTAGGTGCCAACCATTTTAAACTCTCTTCAACGGAGTGTACAGGCAGTTCTGGTGGGCAAAATCCAAATCCAGGACTGGTTCAGTAATGGGATAAAGAAGGCAGCCTTGATGCACAAATGGCCATTGAAAGAAATATCTGTAGATGATGATGACCAGTGCCTACTTCAGAGTGATGGCTTTTTCCTCTATCTCTTGTGTAAAGATGGACTTTACAAAATCGGTTCTGGATATAGCGGGACAGTGAGGGTAATGTGATTTATTCTTCCCTGATGAATGGCAGTTAAAATAATAACTTTTATGATGTTCTGTTTCCATTGAGAATCTTTGAGCTTACTAATGATCAGTTCTGCTGCAGTTTGCCTAAATTTTTCTGGTTATTTCTATGAGAATTTTACAATATTTTCTTAAAATTTTTGCTTGTCCATATGGTTCAAGACATTGTGAGATAGTAAATGATTATTTGTAAAATAGTTACTCCTATATTTATTAAATGATTCGATTTTTTTGCTTTCCAGGGCCATATATACAATTCTACATCCCGCATCAAAAATAGAAAGGAAAAAAAGTCTTGGTTAGGCTATGCTCAGGTAGGTGAATACTTAAAACATGCACCCCACCCCCCATCCCTCATGAGTAATTTAAGTAGACCTTGGCTTAGAGTAAGCTTACATGGATAATGTACCATTGTTTTGACTTCAGTTGTAAAAATCAGGTTTTTGGTACTGACTTTTAAATTGCGGAAGATGAGGAACATCTGATGTAGCTAACATATAGAAATGTGTAATGAAAAGTTTCACTGGTGTTGTCACTCTAGGCTTTCCCACAATATGATGGTTTAACATGTAAATTTATGATTTGTACAGTCAGTGGATGTATGTTTCTTGAGGAAGTTAGTGGATGTAAAAGTATGCTTTTGCAAAAAAATAGTGTAAAAATACTTGAAACATCTATTTATGAAAATAAGTTGCCTTTAAAACATTTGCAGTAAAATAAGGAAATGCTGTTTTGGTTGGGGGAGGATTGAGGGTGCATAAGCCGTATGTAGAGATAATTGTTCATGTTACCACTGCAGAGTTAACTATATTTAGATATTTTCTTTTCTTAGAGTTAGTTTCTGGAATGTCAGCCACCTTTTTTATAGCTTTGCCATTCATTATAAAAATTGTGGGGTGTTTAGAATCCTGTTATTACCACTATATGTGTTCTCTTTCTCACGCTCAAAAAACCCGGCAACAAACCGCAACAGAAACAAAAACAACCCCCACAACAAAATACAAATTAAATTTCAGAAAATAATTTCCTTTATCTTATAACTACTAAGTAATTTTTATGAGTGATCTCATTGTCCCATTGTGAAATTAAGTGCACTCTTTGCCATGTTTTGAAGTTAAATTGTTCGGTACAAATATGTATTCTATTATGCAGTTGTCTCATATATATGCATACACACACAACATCGGGTTTTGTTTAGTATCAAAACAGGTCATCAAAAGCAATACTGGCACAATACACATATGCAGATGCCTTCATTCAAGAGCCCATTTTATCAGTTTAGAAAGTAATAGGATCTATACAGTTTCACTATATAGAGTTACGCATTTGGACATCTTGTACATATCTATAAATGTCTTTGATATTCTTCTCTGAGTGCTTGTACAGGTGTATGTAGTCCCAGTGGCTGTACCCAAAGACACAGTTGGAAGAATGTCACTCTAGGGCTATATTTATAGGAAGATGTGTAAATTGCACTTATTGCTAAGTATGTGTTCATAAAAGAGGTTAAGATGTGCCTTCAGTCTCATTTCACTTCAGTTGCTTGGTTAAGTCAGCTCAAATTGAAATGATTTTTCTAACTTCATCGTATCAGTTATTTTAGACTGAAACTTTTTCTTGTCTGATGCTCTTTACTTATTTTTTCTAGTTTGTGTGGGTTTGATTTTTTCAAATGTCATGGAGATTGATTTATTCAGGAAATTTTAAGTAGTTTAGATGGAAGTAAAAGGGTTGGTTGGATTTTTCTGTTGATGATTATAATTAGGTTTGACAGATGAAGGTATTCTGAGGTTAAGCCTTAATGACCTCCCTGTGAAATGCATCCATTCTTATATGCGTGGAAGGCCCACCTGAGGTCAGTTGTGCTTAAAGCAAGTGTAAGCCATTGTTGTATCTCCTGCTATGGCACTGCTGTTGTCAGGATCATTACTTAGTCATTTTTCATGTTGGCCTCTGCAACGCTCCTTCAGGTGAATACTATTTTTTCTTGGCCTCAGTCACCTTGAATGAGTGTATTTATAAGAGCACTTAAGTAGCCTCCTTCTGTAGCTGCTTTTATAGCTGAAGTGCTTTCTAAACGTAAATTCTGCAAATGTGTTCCTGCCCTGCTCCCTCAAAATCTTTGAAGGGTCCACAAGCATTGTAGCATCAAAAAAGATAGGAGAGCAAAGTTGCCATATTGCCTCTCTTACGGATCTGTGCACGTTATGTGCACATGGGGGCTTATGGAACCAATCTTGTTTAAGCTAAGAAAACCTCACTTGACAGTATTTTTTTTTAAACATGCACTCAGAATTATAGGTATAAACAATAAACCTCAAATGTGAGTTTCAGGTAGACAGAAATTTATACTGAAAAGCTTTCTAAACTGGTAACTGAATCAAACCTTACAAATATATACGCAAATGAACAGAGAGGATACTATTTTGGTGTACCAAAGGAGACTTCCTGACATGGACTGCTGACCAGAATAGGTGATTTTGGGGAAATGAAGGTATTCTGCACATGGAGAACCAGAAAGAGAAAATTAGTAGTCCTGAATATGTCCATTCCCTTAGGTCTGGCTACGAGATAGGAAGTGAGCAGTGTATGTAACTCATTGTATGTAACCTTGTGTCATGGCTGCTGTCACCAAAATCACCATATACTTTGTGGGCATTTCTTTGAAGAGCTTAGAGAATAAATACATGGAATCTTGTTAGCGTGGGGGTTGAAGTAGTTAATCAAGGGTTTTGAAAAATTCTCTAGTTTTTAATGCACATATTTATTAATGATCACCTTTCTATATAGGGTAATATATGCATTTCCTTCCTGGAATTCCTGTGAATCTTGTGTTGATTTGGAAAGTGGGAACAGGAACACTGGTTTTTACTGTGGCTGTGGATCTGAACTGTAATTATATGCACATATGGAGAACAGCATTACTATGTATGGCTTCAAAAGCTGTATATGATCTTTAGTATGCTGATCTACAGCATGTAAAAATGGTGGAGGAAGGGGGTCAAATTTCCTTTTTTACTGTAGAATTTGATTAGTGGAAAAAAGTTGATAAAATTACTTAATTTTAATGTAAAACTAAAAGGTTTCCAAAATTTTTAAAAAATACTGAGATGATTGCATTTTTTTCACTCTTGACAATACCCTTTAATGTAATTAAGAATATTTCCATAACAATATATGTATTGTTACTCTTACCAGGGTTATTTATTATATAGAGATGCGAATAATCACAGTATGACAGCCATAAGAATAAACCCTGAAACCTTGGAACAAGACGGTACAGTTGCTTTGCCAGGTAAGAACCTCCAGCTATGAGATGGTTATATAGCGTAGCATGTTTATATGCTATGTGTTTTCAGGTAAGCAGAAGAGAAACTGAGACAGACTTTGAGATTATGAAGAGACTGCTTTTTTATGACTTTGGTTTGCTGCACTAGGCCAACTGCAGTATTTCATTCAGAGGTCTTCCATCTTACTCTGACTGCTACAAAAATATTGCAACATTTTAGAATGTATGCTCATTTTCATTTAAAGACTCCAAGAGCTTAACTCCCTTCTTAAAGAATTTTTATTTCACCACTTGTTTAAACTTTGAGCATTTGGCTCAGCTGTGACCTTGTTTTCAGTAGCTCTTACATCTAGGTAGTAAACTGTGGCCAAACTCATTTGTATTCAGTAATCAAAGGAGGCTAATGAACATTGAGGAACTGTGCTCCTGCTGTTTAAATTGTGGATTTTCATTTACCTGTTTCGGGGTTTTTTTGTAGTTTTGTTTGGGCTTTTCATTTGGGGTGTTCTTTGCAAAGGAGCCTCATAACTTGGGTCTCTGTTTTGAAGATGAGGATGTTCTCAGAACATCCTTTAATGACCTTCTGGAAAAACATATCTGTTCTTAGCCACTCACAAAAAACAGTAGAAAGGCATAAGAATATCACAGTATCACAGTATCACAGTATGCTGGAGATTGGAAGGGACCTCAAAAGATCATCTAGTCCAATCCCCCTGCCAGAGCAGGAACACCTAGATAACGTTACACAGGACTTTGAATGTCTCCAGGGAAGGAGACTCCACAACCTCCCTGGGCAGCCTGTTCCAGTGTTCTCACCCTCACTGAAAAAACCCAGTCCTATCATTGTTTGCCACTGAGTAGAGCCTGGCTCCATCCTCGTGACACTCCCCCTTTATATACTTATAGACACTGGTTGATTGAACAACTTCAGCCTTATTCTATACATCAGAAGAAAGATTTTGTGTTGCATCCTGACATGAATAAAAAGGCACTGATTGAAACCTCAGGAAAAAATCTCCAGGCTTTCTGTATTTCTAACACAAACAGTAATTTTTAAATTGCTTTGTAGAACTGTTCTTCTACTTCTTCACCTCAACTAATAGGATCCTTTGAGGTTCTCAATTATGTTGCCACTGGTAAACAAATCATTGCTATTTGTGCAAGGCTTGAGAGACACGAGCACATTGAAAGTCTACACCTCTGAACTGCTAGCTTTCTTTTGCAAATCTCAGTGACAAATGTCATTCTTCAAGACAGACTGTATTGTATTTATACTGTAAAAAGTCACAAATTAAACAAGAGCATGCCTGCTAAAAAAAAAATGTATTAATCTTTCAGTGCAAAAGGAAATTTTGTAACTGCAGGAATACCCAATCATAAATCCCTCAAAGTATTTCACACAGTTGCATTTTGTATGGTTTCTGATGGTGTCGAAGTGGATGCTAGATGTTTTCATAATGCCTATCCTTTGTATTTCAGCCCTTGAACTTGCTATTTTTACTTTCTGCACTTCTGTCAGTGTTACATTGTGAGCAGAGATGGTCTTGTTCTTTTGTCTAGGGCGAATTCAAAGGGGTCCACTTCTGGTTATTTCCATTTCCTGTTAGAAGGAATGAAGGGGAATGGGAGGTATATATCTTGAGGAAACCTAAGTAGGTACATAACTCTAAATAGAGGTGGCTGCTAATAACTCACACCTTGTAGTTCTGAAAAGCCACACCAGGTAGAACTACAGAGCAGTAACCTCGGCAACAGCTGAACACTGATATGTCTCCTACTTGGTAAGGTATTCAGACATGGCTGTATCTGGAGTTAATCTGTTTCAAATGCCTGGGTTGGTGATAGTGCATTTAAATAAGGTATTCATATTTATTCATGGAGGTATGCATGGGAGTTGAGGAGTTCATTAGGAGATACAATTAGGAATTGATCCTAGCTAGAAGTCACGTCACCTTAGAAAACTTAGTGAGCTATGGAATGTTATCTTTTCCTTTTGCAGTATGATCCATCTGCTTCTTGAAGCCATAAACTTCTATTTCAAAGGGCAGTATTTCTGCTCTAATAGATAATCTAGCAAATCTGACAGGGTGTCTGGAGCTATGAGACTGTGTGTCAGCATTCTTGTATCTAATGCTTTTGCCAAGCTTCATACACTGTCTCTGAGCTGTGGATCTGTCTTTCCAGTCCAAATACCATAAAGGGATCTCTGAGTTCTATGAGATTTTCTAGGAGATTGAGTCTGAATTTACAGAGGAGGTTTTCATCTTGAACTTAACTGTAATGCTTAGAAAGGTTGCTATGGTAAGCTGAAGAAGTTGAAGTTACATGTTATCTGGAAGTTACATGTTATGTGGTTTCATTGTTCTTTGAAATTGCACATGAGTATCTCGGTGCTCAGGACTAGTCACTTATTCTGAAAAGTACTGCTGAGTTTAGCCTGGACGAGCTCAAGAGTACTTACGAGCAGGCACAAGATGCTCTGTCATAGATTCACAGGGTGTTTTGTGTTGGAAGGGACCTTAAAGATCATCTAGTTCCAGCCCCCTGCCATGGGCAGGGACAGCTGGACCAGATTGCTCAAAATCCCGTTCAGCCTGACTTATAACACCTCCAGGCAGGGATGGGGTATCCACTAGTCTGAGCAACCTGTTTCAGTGTCTCACCACCCTGTGCATAAATATTTAAATACAAAGGTGGTGCTTGACAGTCATCTTCTCTTGAAAGCTCTAAGGAGGCTTGTGATTAACAGATGTCTGTAGTTAATGTCCTTTAGGTAAAACAGAAGTCCTTTCGGTTACAGTAATCTTCATACAGTAATCTTGGATAGCTTCGTCCCCAGACTAATTTCAAAAGTCATATTGAATAAAACTACAGTAAGAGCACCTTGCTAGCTGAGACACTATAATATACTTTTTGCAGATATTTCACTTGCCTTCCATTTTTTGCTCTCCTCATTAATTTGATAATTAATGCTGCGCCTGGATGTTATCTTATTAAGTGCTAATTTTAGGAATGATTCAGAAGAGCATATACATTAAACCCCCCAAATCAAACAAAAACACCCACACCCCAAAAACATCCCTGTTCAGATTTTCTATATGAACATACCTACAAAACATCTAAACACCCAAAAAAGTTTACTGTGGGGCTTGCCTCTGCTTGAAATGTCTCAAGAGATTGGCCAACAGTGTAATATGGATCCACTGGTGGCCAGAATATTCTGTTTTCGTGACTGTTGTGTGAGCATTTAATTTTCAGCCATTGAAGTGTTCTTAAAGTTTAGCAATTTTCTATAACCTTTCAGAAATGTCATTCTTTTTGGAACTTAAATTATAGACAGCTCTTTTGTTTTATCACTAGTACCACTTTACAGCATAGAGAATTAGTGACATGAACTGACTTTGGACAGAGTCTATCAGAGATTGTTTCTGAGACAGCAATATTTCAAACTACAGTGTATCTGCTGTTCTCCATCCTGTTTGCTGCTTACTGCCTTTGTGGTTCATACCTGTGTGTGCTCTTAAGAGGGAAGTTGACTACTTTAGGTCTGTTTCTTCAAGATGTGAGAATTAGAGAAGGCCATCTAATGCATATTCTATTTCTGGTAAGATACTGTATTAGACTGGGCAGTATAGCAGGAAAATGTAAACATGTTTCTGGGTTTATGTAATCCTGTGGGGTTTTCCAGCTGTATTATTTTTATTAGAACATTCCAGCTAGCTAGAAAAACTAGGAAACTTGCTGCGTATGCTGGAAAGATGTTGTATGTACTTCATTTAGCATTAAATTTGTTAGATAAAATGACTGCTGGATTTTTGTTCGGTTATGAAGCAGATATTTAGAGTGTAAAGTAGCTGACCTGCAGTAGAGATCTCTTTCCTGTGTGTAATCAACGAAACGAGCATCTTACAAGCCATATAATACCATGTTAGTAGTTTTGCCAGCAGAGCAGGAAGGGAAGAAGAGATGGTGTCGAGTCATACTTTCAGACTTGTAGAGAAAGTGGTGGTCACTCCCCTGTCCTCACCACCACCACCCTCCCCCAAAATATGGGCAGAATTCCAGAATTCTTTCCTTACTTGTTTTTCTTGGAAGTAGCTGACCTGTTTTCAGTAGAGGTGCAGTATATTCACATATATGCTTTATAGTTTTTCAGCCTTCCTAGTTTTGTAGTTTGGTATAATTTATAAACAATGGAAAAATGAAAAGAATAATGAAAGGTTTGTTTCTGTTTCATTTATTTCTGTAGGGTTTATATGATGGACTGGGAAATCTTCTTTACAGAATGGCTTTATTAAAAGAAAAAATAAAGCCTTTGGGGAAGGATAAAGACTAACACTCTCAGAAAATTATAATTCAGTTGTGTTGTTATAGTTTAGAATAGCCCTCACAGGTGAACACTAAATGCTTTTGCAGTTAAATCGTATGGTAAGTTCTTAACTTTTATACAGTGGGGAGTGCTTTAATAACTTTTATGGGGACAAAGGAGTATTATGCTTTTGATAGGAGATCCTAGCATAAAATAACATCAGAATGGTAAGATCTCTCTTTAGACAAACGAGAACTCTCATAGTCTCACCGTAATGAGAATAAATTAGACAGAAGCAGAGAACAGTGTCTGTATGTATGTTGATATAAACTGCAGTCTACATCTTTCTCTTACAGATTGTCATACTGAAGGGCAGAATATCCTTTTCACTGATGGAGAATATATTAATCAAATAGCAGCATCTAGAGATGTAAGTCTTACATGTATTGGGTGAACCACTTTTCTCTGAACTGAATTGTTTTATTTTACAATACTTACAGCTTCCTTTCTGCTTCCTGTTCGGCTTCTTCTTCACTAACACTGAAATCCATGTAGCTAGAGATAACTAGCTAGATAGCTAGTGAGAAACTGCCTCATTTGTGCATAAAGGAGCAGTAGTTTGGTATCTATCCAGACATTTTGATTTTTCATAGATTTTTCAGGTATTTTTCTATTTTTCAGGTAAGTTTTCAGGAAAAAAAATGTTGCTCTTCCTGAGGAAAATAATCTTATGTGGAATAATGTTTTCTTAACATGTTATTGTTCAGGGTCTCTATGGGATAAGCTTCTTAGAGCTTAATTATTATTTTTCTTTTTTTCTAATTTAATTCCCTATAATTGCTTTGGTACCTGTTGGGGAATTTCAGCCAGATTTAATACAAGAGGTATGAAAGATTCTATGTTCAAATAGATTTTTTTGTTTTGTTTTGTTTTGTTTAATACAAAAATTGCCTATTGGCCAAAGCTGTAAAACTAACTAAATGTTTCTAGTAGGGGCAAAACCAGTTTTAGCTGTTCTCTGTTTTCTTCAGCAGACAGTTATTATGTTCTTAGTTCTGGACAGGTCCTTGTTTTTAGAGAAAGCTGTAAAAGAGGTATGGTGTGAGACAGGGTTGTCAAGAGATGCCAGACATGCATCTGTAAGGAAACCAGGATCAATCAATTTTCATGCTAACAGAACAGTTGTGGGGTTTTTAACGTGGCCAGAATTTGGGGTTCTGAACTGGGAGGATTAGAGGGCTTGAAAGATAGATGTAAATAGTTGCAAAAGCAAGATTTCTGTATTAAAATTCAAAGTTAATTATTTCTATAGCAATGTACTATTTTCATAGTGTTCATAGTATTTTTGTAGAAGCCAGTATATATAATACATTTAAGGTCTGTTAGCTCATCCTGTTTGGCATTTTCTTCTTTTCACCTCTATAATAAATGTTACTTTATCAATATGTCCCCTAATAACTTAGTCTGAAATAGTATTATATGGATGTACTTAGGCCATGAAAAGTAAATTAATACATTTATTCCACAGCATAAAGTAGATTTAAAAAAAATATATTTATTTATTTATTGCAGGATGGCTTTGTAGTGCGAATATTTGCAACAAGTACTGAGCCAGTACTGCAACAAGAACTGCAGCTTAAGCTTGCTAGAAAATGCTTACATGCATGTGGCATCTCCTTATTTGATCTGGAGAAAGACCTGCACATTATCAGTAAGTCCGCTTCTTTGAAGGTTAATAAAAAGCCCAGTAATTCAAATAATAAAACTGAAACACTGTCCTTGCCTTCGTTTGGGTTTATTATGTGCAAGAAGGTGTAGCTCAGTTATAAACACGGAGAAGTACGAGGGTTTTGAAAGCACTTACTTGACTCATGGTAATCTATATGCCCAGTCTGAACCACCTTTTTGTCTATAGCACTGTCCATGGTTTTACAGTGTTTTCTTCTAGTTCTGGAATAAATACAATATTATTTGAAGCGTGGACTTCATAGTAGCACTCCTATTACATGTATTTAAGCTACAGAGCTCTTTGCTGTGTGTCAAAATTAACAAAAGTTCAAAGTACTGCTGGCTGTATTAATGGAAAAGAAATGCACTGAAAAATACTAAATATGTGGAAATAAATTCTTTGCATCAGAATTTCAGTTGCAAAATTCTTGGTGTCTGTGAAGGTAATTTGGAAAAATATCAGTTGGTTTTTGCTTTGGGTTTTTTTGTTTGCTTTTTTTTTTTATCTGTTAGCTGTCTGTTCTTGGCACTATCAGAACAAATGCATCTTTGGCTACATGGAGCTTTTGTCTGACTAGTTTCTCTTATGCTAATGCTTTTCCTCTTTGAACAGCTCTGTCAGGTCTATCCTGGTAAACCACCTTGTGGCAGCAAAACTTTGTTTCACTTGTGACTTTCTTAGAACCTTCATTATGAGATGTTCTCCCTGCCAGATTTAGGTCTGTAAACTGGTCTGTGAAAGTGCCTGTCTAAACTGTTCAGTTAACGCAATCTTACTTGCGCAGGTACAGGGTTTGATGAGGAATCAGCTGTCCTTGGTGCTGGAAGAGAGTTTGCTCTAATGAAAACTGCTAGTGGAAAGGTACTGAAAATGTTCCGTAGTAAAGAACAAATTGCATCAATGTATTTCTAAATGCTTTTTAATTTATTTTCCCCAATTCCTTTCTTGCCTTTTTAGTATGTTAGAATGAATTTATATGACTGTATTTAAAAACATTTTTGGAGCCCATGTTAAAGGGAAAAAGACAAATGGTTATTTGAAAGCATAAACAGATGGTGTTGGAAACATTGAGAAATCTGTGGCTTGGGTTTATAGGAGTTGCTGTAGCCGATCTCACTTAGAGACAGTATGAGGCTTTGTTTTAGATTTGAAGGGCAGAATTACCTTTTGTCTACAAATGATGTACATTTGGGAATTTTTTACCTCATTACTTTGCATAAGTCTAATCCCTGTAACTTGTTTCAATCCCAGCCTGATTTTTCTGATACCTCAGAGAATTACTGAATTTCCCTATGCAAAGTTTTTCAATTCATTCCTTTAAACCTCTTTGGAACGGTTTCATATGTTGGTTCTGCTCAGTGGAGACTGTATTTCAGAGGCATTTGAATATTCATTGAAATGTAAAAATAATTTTGCTTTCTGTCACTATGACTTTTTACATGATTTACTGTGTTTCTGTTTTGGTTTGGGAAACTAATGTTATTTAGCTTGTATAATCAGAGTTCTTTGTTTTCCTGTGTTCATAATTGTGGCGTTTTTATTGGAATAAAGGCCTTGCTCTGCTGCTTTCAAAACAGTGCAAGTGCTGAAAATGTTCGTAATAAACGTTACCATTTTTCTTAATAAAATTTAATGGCATGAAATGGCATTTAATGGCACAAATGCCTCTTCAATATAAAATAAGCAAATTCCTAGTTTTGATATCTAAAGTTCTGTGTCTAGGTATGAAATACACTTTATAAAACAATGAAAATGGCTTTAAGTGCCCACATAGGTTAACACACCCATTTTATAGAACTATTGAGAAGCATGGTTGTAGAGGAAACTTTTTAGTCCATATTTGTAGTTTTGTTTGTTGATGTGGAATATTTTATTCTGTGTTATGTACTCTGTGGCCACTGTGAATTTACTGAAAATAAGTTTTAAGAATGTGTTGAAGCATATTCAAAGTTGTAGCAATTTGGTATTTAATTTTTTTTTTTTTTATTATTATAGTACCATTTTGGTTTTCCGCAAACCAGACATTTTTCTGATGTCTTCTAAATGCTTAGTTTTCTCTACGTAGTTTCTTCTGAGCAGTTTTTTCTTTTGGGTTTAATTTGTCTAGCCAGACAATTATATATGAAAACTAACTGTGGCACAGTAGAAAGCATTTTTTAAAACAAGCAGAATCTAATCAGAATGTTTCCCCCATTAAGGTGAAATGCACGGGTTTAGGGTAGAGGTACTGAAATGAGAAGATTTAAAAACAGTGCAACTTGAAAAATTATACAAGTTTTAAGTACTGTGGTGTAACTGAAAATGATAAACTGTTTTCTTCTAGATTTATTATACTGGTAAATATCAAAGCCTTGGTATCAAACAAGGTGGTCCTTCAGCAGGAAAATGGGTGGAGCTCCCAATCACAAAATCTCCAAAGATTATTCAGTTCTCTGTTGGACATGATGGCTCACATGCCTTACTTGTTGCTGAAGATGGGAGCATATTCTTCACAGGTTCTGCTAGTAAAGGAGAGGATGGTGAATCAAGTACGTATTATGCTTGCTTGACTAATGGTTGATAAAAGCCTATTAACCAACTTTTAATTTGGAAAATAAAGGGTTTAACGTTTTCCAAGAACAGGTAAGCATGCCACTGGGTTTGAATTTTATGTGAGCTCCAGGTCCTGACTACCAGTGCCACCACGTTGCCCAGCAAGAGTTGCTGATCTTGCTTTTACTACAGTTTGGATTGTGTGATGGGAATGCTATTTTAGAGTTCTCCTGAGAAAAGGCAGTCGTGTGGTCAAGAGGCCATGCTGTCTGCCTGGGACTTTGAAGTACTGAAGAGCCAGACTTTTGCCTCTTCACAGTTCTTTTAGAGAACTTTGGAAATGGGTGTTTTGCCAGTTAGTGCCTCTCCATAATGGAGAAGTACATTGATTAGAAATTGTAGAAGCATGGTCTTCTGTCTTCAAGCAGAACTTTTCAGACATTAGAGAAGACAATTAATTTGATTAACTACATTAATGTATTCCGCAGGAATGTGCAGGGTTTCCAATGTAATGTGACTAAAGTACAGTGATACGTATGGAGTGGATTCTTGAATGTATTCAGGGGGAAGGAAGTTAATAGTAGTACTAGTAGTACTTTTACACACGTGTGTAAAAGTATTTGGATAACAAACTTGGTATGTGCTATAGTAACTTTGTTGAGTCTTCTTAAATGCAAATCTACTTAAAACTATGTGGGACAAAATCATGCTACTTTCTCCAGTAGATGTAAACGCAATTTAAGAGATTGAAAGAAAAAGATTGCAGAAAATATACTTACAGGCACAAATTTCCTGATTTCTTTGAGGCATTATTGGGAAGTTAGCCAAAACACAATTGGACTGATTATTTTTGTTGCGTATTTAATTAAGCTACAACTTCAGATGAAACAGAAGTTTAACACTTTGAAGTAAATTGCTATCACTGCTTTTGTTTGAACTAACAAAATTTAGGTGAGAAGATTTAGTACTTTACTAGATCTTCTTACTGAAAAGTCCATCTGAGAAACTGATCAAGGTCTGAGTTCTTTTGAAAGCACAGCTCTCTTCTGACTTACCCAATTCTCTTATCCACTCTGAGCCAAATTAAGAAGTGACAATGCACAAGTTTTATTTTTTTTTTCCCCAATTTCTTTTAAATTTGTGTTGGGAGACAGGGTGTGTGTGCGTTCTGTGTAGAAAGTTGGTACTTGTCATCAAGTGAAAGTAGTTGGCAGTTCTCTCACTTGCATGAAAATTAGCAGACAGTAATCGCAGCAGTGAGTGGTTTTATCCAGTCTTCAGCTATGTTGTCACTGTTTCATTTGAGGCCAGATTGCAAACAATAATATTGGGGTGAGTTGGGGGGGATTTAGTACTTTTTCCTCCTTTTTTTTTCTCTTGTGGGAATATGTTGTGACTGAAAGTTTTTGAATCAGGGTTTTAATAAATAGAGGATTTAGTATGTTCTTAAAAAAAAAAAAGAACTTGTGCCACATTTCTTTGTGGATTTATTGTACATATATTGCCATATATATTCTCCTCAGTTGGCAGTGAGGATTTTTTTAATATGCTCTGCTTTGTGAAGTTCCCAAAGTTAGTTCAGTATATGTGTGTGTGTGTGTACATGTATATAAAAAGATAACCTTCAAGAGTCATTCCTGAAAGTTACCTATCTAATGATGACTTCATTTGCCATAAAATTTTTTGGGAGAAACCAGTATAATTCAATAAAAATTAGACCAGGAGATCATATAGATGGAATTTGGTGTTTTTTTTTTTCTTTTTGGTCAGTGGCAATCCAAAAACTAACCCCTAATTAAAAACATCAGAAAAAAGAAAAAAAGTTACTGTGGTTTTGAAAGTTTGGGATTTTTTTGTTTTGGGTTTGTTATTTTGTTTGTTTTTTTCTTTGTAGAATGACTTGTAATTTATCTATTTATTTAAAGCTAAAAGCAGACGGCAGTCAAAACCATACAAGCCTAAAAAAATTATTAAAATGGAAGGAAAGATTGTCATATCTACAGCGTGCAATAATGGCAGCAGTTCTGTAATTTCAAAAGATGGAGAACTCTACATGTTTGGAAAAGATGCCATTTACTCTGATAGCACAAGTAAGTTAATACTTGTTTTTTAAGTGATTTCTTGACTACAATAATTAAGTCTGGAATGTTTTAGCCTGTGGAATTTTGTGTGTTTCTTGCTCTCCTAATAGAATTTTCTCATTTCTGCTGATTCAGCCAAGTGTGACAGAAGGATAGAAAGAGTTTCATTAGATTCTGTTAAAATATATAACAGCGCTGGTGACAAATACCTGAATGAATGCTTCCACTAAGAAGAAAAGATAAAAAAAGATAATTTGTTGTATTAATCTGACACTAAAAGGCCACACAGGGAAATGTCACAGGAATGAGATGTTATGAATAAAGGCTGTAGGAAACCAAGTCTTATACATTGCTCACAAAACAGACTGTTTTGACTTCATAGGTGATCCAGTACATTTCAATTTAAATGAAATATTAAAGAAATAAATTTCAATGGCATTATGACAAGTTAAGAATTGTTTTTTCAGAACAAGTGATTTGCAGCAGTGTTTGCTTTGGCTTTCCTTCCTTTGCAGGACAAATGGTCCAGGCCTAATTCTCCTTTTACTTTTTATTCTAGCACTTGTTTTTTTGTATTTGCTGGTTTTCTTCGTTCACATTGATCTAAAAATTTATAGCATCCACCAGCAATTTTGTTATAGTCAGTGAAGTTTGTTTCTTATGTAGAAAATGCAGTTTATCACTCAACTGTTCAATGTCTTACAGGTTTAGTAACAGATTTGAAAGGCCATTTTGTGACTCAAGTAGCCATGGGCAAAGCTCACACCTGTGTGTTAATGAAGAACGGTGAAGTTTGGACATTTGGTGTAAATAATAAAGGGCAGTGTGGACGAGATACAGGCTCCATGAGCCAGGGAGGAAAAGGTAAGAGACCTAGATTTTCACTTCTGTTTGCTGGAAAAGGTTACAAGTGAAACCATAGCTAAGCATTTTATTATAATTCCAATACTAAAGCTTAAGTATATGCAGCAAGCTTGCATGCTTAAAAAAAAAAAACAACAGGTATGGATGCTTTCACTTCAACTGCTGGCTATTTAGTGTTCTGTACATGCTAATAAACTTAGTTACATTTAAAAAAACAAAGTTCAGTTACTCTTCTTTAGTGTGTGAAAAAGCTTTTATGTTAAAAAAAAAAGAAAAAAGAAACCAAAACTCATCACTTCTTGTCTAGCTATGTGCTGTTTTCCTAGTAAGAAAAAATTTTCTACCTGCAAACAACATTTAGTCTTGAGGCTTTTTTTGCCTAAACAGGCATAAATGCAAATCTGCATGTTTCTCTACACGACTGAACCTTCCCATTACTCCTAAGTATAGGTATAAAAAATCATACTGATTCACCTTTGCCTGATTGGAGTATTTTATATATGACAAGTAAATGACCTGTTACTTGCATACCTAATATAAATGCTTCATTTCCCTCTTAGTTGTAAAACCTGGCTATATACCATGCCCATGCTCAGAGAGGTTTCAAAAGTGTCATTGTGCTGGCAGAGGGTGCAAATCAGGCATGCTTTGCCATTTCTTTTAAAACCTGGTCTGTTAGTGTTTGTCATAGCTTCCTCAGTAGCTAATGTTGGCCACACAAAACCAGCTGTTTCTTGTTTCAATATCTTAATTAGGTTTTGGAGTTGAGAACATGGCAACAGCAATGGATGAAGATCTAGAAGAGGAGCTGGATGAAAAAGATGAGAAGTCCATGATGTGTCCTCCGGGCATGCATAAATGGAAGCTGGAGCAGTGTATGGTGTGCACTGTATGTGGAGATTGCACAGGCTATGGAGCTAGCTGTGTTAGTAGTGGGCGTCCTGACAGAGTCCCTGGAGGGTAAGGAAACATATGGAAATACACTTGCTATAGTATGTGGATTGTAAACTGAGTTGATGTATTCTTAAGCTTCAGTCTGAGGTGAAATCATATATAAAAAGAAACTGCGCTTTTAAAATCAGAAGTAGGCTAAAATTTTTCTAAATATCTTGATGGTTGTAGGTGATTTAGTTTTAAACACATTTCTTTACATTTCTTTAGCCTATAGGTCTTTATTAGGAGTTATTGAATATGAGCACCAGTATAATCTTTCTCGTGACAGAGCTGCTGGCTTTGGTATAACCTTCTTAATCCTATGATGGAAGCTTTTTTATCTTGCTTTTCTGGTTGCTTTTATCTGTCACCTCAGGGTTGAGCTGCATAAAGGGCCACTGCTTTACATATTGCCATTACTATTTCTTCAGCATTGCATAGACTCATTTTTTTCTTATGTTTTCATGTGGTTTATGTTTAATTGAATGGAGAAAAGATAATGCTGAGAAGTCAGTTCAGATATGTATAGTCAGTGTGTGTGCCCTGGCACCATCCAACAGCAACTAGATTTTAAACTGCTATGCTTTCTGTTTATCTTGGGAAAATGACATATCCACAGTAGAACAAACTAATAATGTATGTTTTAGTTACCAAGGCATCAGTAATGCATGAAAATAAAAGATAGTTATGAAGCAACTCTCTTTGCTGCAGAATCTGTGGCTGTGGCTCAGGTGAGTCGGGCTGTGCTGTATGTGGCTGCTGCAAGGCGTGTGCTAGGGAACTGGATGGCCAGGAAGCAAGGCAACGAGGAATCCTTGATGCTGTGAAAGAGATGATACCTTTAGATCTCTTGCTGGGTAAGTGATACAAAATTAGCAAGATTACTTTTAATTTTCTTTCTTACTACACTTCCCTCCCCCCCTCCTTACATATGTTTATACTCTTTAATAGACTCAATCCCACTGCTGACTTCTGAAACATGATTTGGAATAACGCATTAGTTTAGAAATAGGCTTGTTCTCTTCAGTTAGTATTTTGATTCTTTTGTATGATAAAGCTATCTTAAATAATCCAGTTCTTTTTTTCCAGTAAAATTACTGAAATTTTAGAATTACAGGACAGTGTTAGTATAAAATTGTTGAAATGGGTGAAATATTTCTTACCAAAGAGATTTGTTTATTGGTGATATAGCAAAGTGGCATTATACTGGTAAGTGAAATATTTTAAATTTGCCCTTCCTTGTAGACGTGTGCCATTTTGACCTGTGTGATTATGATACTAATGCTGATACTGTGAAGTTGTTCTTGTCCTGCTTTGGTAGCCTGAAAATTTTACTATAATCCTTTTATCAGGGTTTTTTTTGAAGTCACATAAAAGATTAGGAATATTGTTTCTTGCAGATGCTTTCTTTTTTAGTCTTAGAAATTTTCAGAGTGAAAAAACTGCCAGGAATGTGAAAATTGCTTTAAAAAAAAGAACCCAAAACACCTCCCACCCCAGCTTATTTCCCCCAAAATACCCATCTTAGAGGAAAAGATACCACTTGGTATGATTATTGGAAACTACAGTTTGGTATCTTTCCATGTAAGATCTATCATCACAGCATTTTTAATACTGTATTTTTGGTACTGGGCAATTGGAGATCAGACTTTCCTCCTTCTTTTTCTTTTTTTTTGGTAATGTTTAGATTTACATAGAGCCCTTAATCCTGCATGGATGTATGGATATAGTATCTGGTATAGAAAAGGACTATAAAACAGTCAGATATGTGGCTTAAAGTGTTTATACCACAAATTTATCATGGGTGTTGTGAGGGAACAGAAAATTAGATTCTAATACTTAGTATGGGATTTTTCATGGGTTTTTTCCCTCAGAAATAAAGCCAAAGTTAAATGGAAAATGGAAGTGTTTCTCTTGGTAAGTTAACACTCAGGACCCCAAATAACCTCAGCGTGCAGTCCTGATACTTCCATACAAGTATTTCTAAATATAATTTGGTTGTGTATGACTATCATAGAAGTAGATTTATCCTGACGGTGATTGTGGCAATACCAGCTCTGCTTCACAGCTCTATTCTCATGCATGACCAGAGAGGAGTTTTGTGGTTTTGGTAACCCCTGCTTTGCTAACTCCTCTCTTAATGGGATTGACAACAGCTCTGATCCTGTGTTGGGCTGGGCATAGTTTGAGGTGAGGGCATTGACCACGTTTGGAGAAAAAAAGCAGTGCTTCCAGATAGAGTTTTTGTTTGATATTGGAACAAGGTATATTTTTTTAGGAAGTTGCAACTTGCTGAAAAAACGTTGGAAAAAAGGTTTTTCTTTTACTAGTAGCTTTATTGTTGTGTTCATTCAAATCATGTTTTCTGTTTTAAAAATGTGATTTCTCAGTTTGCTTCAAATTCCTATTAGCTGGCTAGTTTGTCTGATTATAGACCGACTTACATGTGCATTGAAGTAGTTGCATACTTTTTAGTAAGCACAAAGCATATAGTTGTATAGCATTCTAAAACCAAAAAATACCTGATCTATTTAAAATGTTTTTAAAATATAACAAAGTTTATGTTTGTTTTAATAATTCTCCTTTCTGAAACTTTTTTTTGAAAATTTAGACAACTGTGACAGCTCATAACTAAATATAAATATATAACTAATAGAAAAAAATACTAAGTACTGTTAATTGTTGTTGGAATTGGGGCAGGTTCATGAAAACCAGGCAATTCAGAGATGAGGCCTAAAACTCTTTTTCAGATTTACTCAACTCCTTTCTTTATTTCTAAATACTGTCAGTGCCATGTGAAGAGTAGGAAATAAGTAGGCTTTGGTTTTCATTTACTCTCACTTCTTCTAGGGTTTATTACTGTCATAACAGTTGTTAGAAATAGGTTTACATATTTTATTTTGTTAATCTACGTAGCTGTCCCTGTTCCTGGAGTTAATATTGAAGAGCACCTTCAGTTACGGCAAGAAGAAAAGCGGCAACGTGTAAATAGGAGACATAGGTTGGAAGAAGGAAGAGGTAAGTGGCTTTCTTACTGATGAGAGGTTTGAATAGTTCAAGCAAACTTATAAGAATGGCAGTTGATTAGTTTTGCTCTGGTGAGCCAATACAGTAACCAACCAGAAATCGAAATCTAAATAGCTAGTTTATTTAGCATGCTTTTGGAAAATTGTGAAAAATTTGCTTGTCTACTCATAAGAATCAGAATTTTAATGGTAAAGAATAGCATTTTTGTATCAGTTTCATATAGTAATTTTTTTTTTGTTTCCCAGCTGAGTAATAGTCTTCTAAAATGTAAATGCTAAAGCATATTTTCAACTGAAGTGTTTATATGCCTTTTTATGCAAAGAATTTAAATGACTGCAAGCCTGTCCAGTGCTAGTTACCTATAATACACATTATTTGATTACTGTTCTAAATTATTGAATTTCTGTTGTATAATAGTAAGCAGAATTTCTTGTTTTATGAAATGAACTTTTCGCTCTTTGAATAGCATAAAAAAAAGACACACTGAGTTAAAACCAAACAAGAAAACACTGCACAGTTTCAACATTTTTTTACCTTGTGTATTATCTGCCTCGGGAATTGTTGTTGATTTTCCACAAGAAATACGTTGCTGTTACATTCCTTAACAGGTTTTCAGCACTCTCTTTAAAATACCTCGGTGTCTTAGTCTAGTAAATAAAGTTGAGTGATTTAGACTGATACAAATCATAGTATTTTAGTGAAGCATGAGGATGTGGTTGGTAAGATTGGTGTGTGTTGAGAAGAGGAGCAACTTTATTGGAATGTTATGCTTTTCGAGTTCCTGCTGTGTTAGTAAAATACCATTTTGATTCTTCTTTCAGGAATTACATAGATACAAAATGCACATTGTAATCAAACCTGGCTCCTATACAGGATGGCAGTGAACCTTGTGAGGCAAACTGACTTTATTTCACTTGCATGTAAGAAGTTACTGGTCTTGTCACAAACAAGGAGCAACAGGAGAGATAAAGATTATTGTGTCCTGTGCATATGGAAAAGGATGTTTGGAGGGCTTTTTTCCTTCAATCTTTGTGGTTAATTTTAGCTGTGAGGTGAAGAGAGGAAGCCGCCTTTTCTTCCTTTGTCTGGGTCATGTTGGAGCTGCATTGCATACTGCTGGCAAATATTAGGTACAGCTAGCAGTCATTTTTTTTCTTAAATCCTCACTGAATGTCTGGACATTACTGAAGCTGCTGCTGTTCACCACAAGAAGGTAATGATGGTAGAGCTAAGAGGCAAATTTCAGTTGGGGAAAAAAAAAAGCAGCAGAGAAACATCTCATTTTGCTTCCATTTCTGTGGTTAGAAGTAAAACCAGAGCAACTTACCTATTTTGTGTACCATCTGTCTTTTGGAAGCAAATAACTCCTCTCCCTCCACCAAGCCCCTCACATGTACACACACACACACACACACACACAAAGTTTTTTTTCTAACAGAGTCTCAGGGAATCAATATCAGGAATGTGTTGTTATTGTTGGCTTGATAGGTATGTAGGGACTATAGCTAAACAGATATTGCTAGCGAGCTTGTTGCACACATCCATTCTGTAGCAAAAGAACATTGAAATGTCATACCTATATGGCTACTGGAGGTAGTGGGGTATGTTTAGGGGGAAGGGGTGGAGATTATTCTTCTGTTTTGCTTCAGAATGACTTAAGTGATAAAGCTGGGGATAGTTTTTCACAAACACTTAGAGATCTTGATTTACATAATCAGGTGTGAAAATTTGATTTGATAATTTATCTTGATTTACATAATCAGGTGAAAAAATGGACTTCTGTTGCTTCTCCATCCAAGTGCTGCAGTTTTCCATGAGTGGCTGTAAAGATAACACCATTCTTGAGGACTTTTACAGTGCTGCTCTCTTCCTGAGAGAGACCAAGAACATTTAAATAATTACTAGGTTTTCATTTTGCTATGCAAAAAAGGTTTTGCACCCTGAAAAAAGAAAAAAAAAAAAAGGCAATCTGCATATTCTTTTTAGCATTAGTATAACTTCGCTTTCCCTAAAAACTAGTATTTGTGCATAGGTAACTTAACAGAATGAAATAGCTGTTTAGAAATCCAAAGAAGTGTTTCAGCCTTTCACTTCTCTGCAAACATTGCTTACACAGTTCAAGGCCAGATTAGCATTTTGAGGGTACACAGTGTTTTGTTTGTCAGGGTTATGATGTCTGGGTTATAGCGTGTTCATGTGTGGCTTGTTCTTTTACACTTGATCACTGAGAAACAAACTGTGTAGTTTTTGATAGTCAGGAGTAGGATCCATCACTGAATGTTGCTGATCATTCTTTAGCTACAATTGGTGACCTTTATTTAACACAAATATTTTCAGCAGATCTTGAATGTTATGTGAACAAGAGGACTATGAAAGCTTTTTAAATAAATAAATATTTTATTTCTAAAACCAAGCAAGCAAACAAACAAAAATAAATAAAGAAACCTCTCATTCCTTTTGCCACCGAATGTGTTGAAATTGAGTATAGTTTAGGACAGAGGCATAAGAGCACAACTTCTGGAAGTATCCTGGTTTCCACACTGCAGGCTTTTAAGTGGTCTAATTATTTGTGTGTTTTAGTCCTGTTACAGTGACCTCTGATTTATAAATATGTTCCAGTGATCCACTTGAATTAAGGGAGAATGTGATGGTTATGACTACAGGTATGGCAGTTGTATAACTCTTTCACGAGGTCAGTTGTGGTCTCTCATATGGAAGATGAGTATGATCATTTTTATTTTCATTTTTATTTTCATTTTTCTGCAAATATAAAGTATGACTTGGGGGGGGGGGGAGCAGAGTAGCTTTCATGAATAGCAACAATATCGGTGACCGACTTAAATGTTACCGTATTTTCAATGAAGAGCAGTTAAATCATCTCTCAAGCATGTTACAAGTCACAGTAGCCTGCTGCTGTTGTAAGGGATCTGTATGTATCTAGGCTGTTCAGCAGTACCGCCTTGAGTAATAAGTATCTTCAGAAATTTTAGGTGCTAATGCTAAAGATTTTTTCTTTTTCCCTTTTTCTTTCTTTTAATTGAGACCATAGAATCACAGAATAGTTAGGGTAGGAAAGGACCTTAAGAACATCTAGTTCCAACCCCCCTGCCATGGGTAGGGACACCTCACACTAAACCATGTCACCCAAGGCTCTGACCAGCTCAGCCTTCAACACCAGCAGGGATGGAGCATTCACAGCTTCCCTGGGCAACCCATTCCAGTGCCTCACCACCCTCACAGTAAAGAACTTCTTCCTTATATCCAATCTAAACTTCCCCTGTTTAAGTTTGAACCTGTTACCCCTTGTCCTGTCACTACAGTCTCTAATGAAGAGTCCCTCCCCAGCATCCTTATAGGCCCCCTTCATGTACTGGAAGGCTGCTGTGAACTCTCCACGCAGCCTTCTCTTCTCTGGGCTGAACAGCCCCAACTTCCTCAGCCTGTCTTCATATGGGAGGTGCTCCAGTCCCCTGATCATCCTCGTGGCCCTCCTCTGGACTTGTTCCAACAGTTCCATGTCCTTTTCATGTTGAGGACACCAGAACTGCCCACAGTACTTCAAGTGAGGTCTCACAAGAGCAGAGTAGAGGGGCAGGATCACCTCCTTCGACCTGCTGGTCACACTCCTTTTGGTGAAGCACAGGATACAGTTGCTTTCTGGGCTGTAAGCACACACTGAAGCTGGATCATGTTCATTTTCTCATCGACCAATACCCCCAAGTCCTTCTCTGCAGGGCTGCTCTTGAATCTCTTCTTTGTCCAACCTGTAGCTGTGCTTGGGATTGCTCCAACCCAGGTGTAGGACCTTACACTTGGAATGGTTAAACTTAATAAGGCTGGCATCAGCCCACCTCACAAGCGTGTCAAGGTCCCTCTGGATGGCATTCCTTCCCTCCAGCGTATCAACCAAACCACACAGCTTGGTGTCATCGGCAAACTTGCTGAGGGTGCACTCAATCCCACTGTCCATGTCACCGACAAAGATGTTGAACAAGACCAGTCCCAACACCGATCCCTGAGGGACACCACTTGTTACTGGCCTCCAGCCAGACATTGAGCTGTTGACCACAACTCTTTGTGTGCGGCCATCCAGCCAGTTCTTTATCCACCGAGTGGTCCATTCATCAAATTGTTGTCTCTCCAATTTAGAGACAAAGAGGTTGTGTGGGACAGTGTCGAACGCTTTGCACAAGTCCAGGTAGATGACATCAGCTGCTCTACCCCTGTAGCCCCATCATAGAAGGCCACCAGATTGGTCAGGGAGGATTTCCCCTTAGTGAAGCCATGCTGGCTGTCACCAAGCACCTTGTTGATTTTCATGTGCCTTAGCGTGCCTTCCAGGAGAATCTGCTCCAAGATTTTGCCAGGCACAGAGGTGAGACTGACTGGTCTGTAATTTCCCGGGTCATCCATTTTCCCCTTCTTGAAAATGGGGGTTATATTTCCCTTTTCCCAGTCATCAGGAACTTCACCTGACTGCCATGATTTCTCAAATATGATGGCCAGCGGCTTCGCAACTTCATTCGCCAGCTCCTTCAGGACCCGCAGATGGATCTCATCAGGACCCACGGACTTGTGCACGTTCAGATTTTTAAGATGGTCTCGAACCAGTTCCTCTCCTACAGTGGGCCCAAGGTCTTCATTCTCAGTCCCTGCATCTGCCTTCCATGACTTCGATGGTGTGGTCAGAGCCTTTGCCAGTGAAGACCAAGGCAAAAAATTCGTTAAGAACCTCAGCCTTCTCCAAATCCTGTGTAGCCAGTTCTCCTGATAGCTTCTGGAAATGGCCTACATTGTCCATAGTCTGTTTTTTATTCGCTATGTACCTATAGATTCCCTTCCTGTTATCTTTCATATCCCTAGCCAAATTTAATTCTTACTGGGCCTTAGCTTTCCTAACCTGTTCCTAGCTTTCCCGGACAACATCTCTGTATTCTTCCCAGGCTGCCTGTCCTTTCTTCCATTCTTTTATAAGCCTCTTTTTTTCCCCTCTTGAGTTTTCTCAGCCACTCCTTATCCATCCAAGGAGGTCTCCTGGCCCTCCTACTGCACTTCCTTCTAGCTGGGTGCAACACTCCTGAGCTTGCAGCAGGTGATCCTTGAATATCAGTCAGCAGTCTTGGGCCCCCCTGCCCTCTAGGGCTGTATCCCATGGAACCTTCCAAAGCAGGTTCCTGAGGAGGCCAAAGTCTGCTCTTTTGAAGTCCAGGGCAGTGAGCTTGCTGCACGCTCTTCTCACTGTCCTGAGGATCTCAAATTCGAGCATCTCATGATCGCTGCATCCAAGGCTGCCCTGGAGCGTCACATTTCCAACGAGCCCTTCCCTGTTGGTGAGCACGAGGTCAAGCATGGCACCTCTCCTTGTTGGCTTCTCTATTACTTGCAGAAGGAAGCTGTCTTCCACACCATCGAGGAACCTCCTGGATTGCTTGTGCTGGGCCGTACCGTCACTCCAACAGATACCAGGGTGGTTGAAGTCCCCCATGAGGAACAAGGGCCTGTGAGTGTGAGGCTGTTTCTATATGTCTATAGAGTGCTTCATCCACAGAGCCCTCTTGATCAGGCGGTCTGTAGCAGATCCCCACAGTAATGTCCCCCATAGCTATTCTCCTTTTTACCCTGACCCACAAACTCTGTTAACTGGTCACCTGAAATGAGTCACAGCAGATTATGATATCACTTGCTATGATAGAATTGTAAGCAGTAAATAATTTTTATGTTTAGAATCATTTATTCGTGTTGCTTCACTCTGTAAAAAAATTATTTGTGACAAATTAGATTTGTTAAAATTAACAGCAGCTAAAAGTGTTTCAGTTCGGGACAATAAAATTATAATTTAAAAAAACCCAGGAGTTTCTTAATATTATTTATATTTCTTTGCTGGTTTTGGTGCAACAAGTATATGCAGTGTCTTCAGGTGTTTTGCTTCTTTTCTGCCAGAGTAATAGAGCTGCTTCACTCAGCTGCTTCTAGCTTAATGGCTGTGATGGGCAGTGAGGAGGGCTCAAAACCAGTGCCACATTTTTGAGTCTAATGTATGACCTTTTGAGAAATAAAGCCAGCTATATTCATCACAACTTCTATGCTTATTCATACTAGCTCAACATAATTATTGATGTATGCTTCTCAGTTTTCTGCTGCCTCTGTTCTGGTGAGAAGTGAAGGAGCTGATGTACCATATGAAGAAATGTTTATTGTTTCTCAAGCTGGTTTAGGGCTTGATATGAGTAGTGGGAGCTGAGTGTGGGAGCAATTGCACCTTATTCAGTGCTAATGAGGAAGTTTTGTATGTTAGAATGCTCAGAACGTTTTATAAGCCTCTTTTTTCCCTTTAAGTTTCCTCAGAATGTTCAGAACATTCTAACATACGTTGTTTTTCCTTTCTAAGATACACCTATTTTTTTAGTCTTTAGTCCATTAAATTATTCTTTAGTGGATTATGGAAATCCCTGGGCTACATGTACAATTAATGAAATAAACCGAACTTGACCATTTACTGAGTGAGCTAATTTTGAAAGCTGTTCCTGTGACTTTTTCAGACTGACATTTGAAGTAATAGAATTTAGTAGTAGTCAAAAATTTCAGCATACCATTTAAAAGATAACTTTTTCAGAAGGCTGGATAGTGGGAAAATATATTTAAAAAAAAAATTAGCTAATAAGCAAAAGATACTAATAGGCAAAGAAATAGCTCTTAAGATGGTGATAATAAATGGCTTGGTGCTTCACCGACATTTCACTACTTCTTTTTCTTAGTGTATGATGTAAAAACCTTTAGGTAATCATCGAGATTACAGATTTGATATGTAATGAACCAGAAAACCAAGGTTTAGCTTTTGATGCCTTTACAGAAAGGGAAAATAATTTTCCATCAGTCTTACTCGGAACAGCGAAAGAACCCATGGGAGATCTGTTAATTTCAATCAAAGGTACTGTGTTTTGAGACTATTTAATCTAAGCCTGTCTGTATTTGGGCAGGTTTTTTATTTTTCTGACATGTACCCAATTCACTTAATTCAGTAATGTAGGCTGAGTATCATATAAATCTGTTTTACATCTGCCCAAGCCACTATAAGCTTGGAATCAATTTGTCAGTAACACTATTTTCGATCTGTTGCTGAACATACACCTAAATATACAGCAGAACTATGTATTAAAATAGGGTTTTTTTTCATTAAATGTTAGTACAGCTTCTTTCTGTAGTTTTAGTTAAATGTTTATTTGGATGCTTTTAGGATCCGGAGGTTATATTTGTTTCAGAGTACTTCAGACAAACCAAAGCCAGTCAAAAAACACCGTACTTTTTACTTGAAGCAGTATCAAACCTGTACATGACTTTTTTTTAAGAATGCTTTCAAGAGAAAGCTATAGGTTTTTGTCCTTAATGGCCAGCAGGTATGGTTCTGTGAAATTATGTTGTTGTACTTCAGTTTGTGGTTACTGAAGGTAAAACCAAAGCAAACTATGACCCTTTACCATCAGAAACAGTTCTTAATTAACAAGGGGACCTACTCTAGGGTAAAGACATTCCAGATAAATATAGTAGAACCAAAACCAAAAAAAATCTGTGTGTGAAATGTACACGATTAATGAGGTTTGGGGGCATTATGTTAGCTAATACATGTGCACATAGATACATATATATGGATATAACAGATGTATGACTCTCAAAACTTCAGGACAGTAGTGGATTTAAAAAAAAAAAAAACAACAAAAGAAATCGTGTTTAAGTTAATGCTCAAATTTGGGAACTGTGTGTGAAAACAAGTTTCTTCATCAGAAGGTTTTACAACTAGGTAAATTTGGCCTAACTTCCACTTAGATTTCTTTCCATGCTGTTTACTATTAGTGAAGGAGCTGAAGGTCTAAAGCTCACAGCAGGAAACCTGAGGCAGTGGGCATTTGTGTGAAGTTAGCCTATGGTAATTTGTTAATAAAGTTCAGTTATGGAAATAGACTGTCAATGGTTTGGAGGAATGAGGCGGAATACTTGTTTTCAAAGTTTTGCATAAGCTGTTTCTAACATAACACAAATATTGATTTGGGGTGTTTTGGGTGATTTGGTTTCTTTTTGTTGGGTTTGTTTGTGTTTTTTCTGGGATTTGGACAGAGGCGGGGGAGAGGGACTGGACATCCATGTAACGTCTGAGGGCCTGTGGAATAGTAAGAGTGGCACTTGGCAGACTTAGCTGGTCCTGATTCATGGTTTCTATTGAGTGTGAGACTTCTGGAAGAAGACGATGCCTCCAGAGAAATTCTTGGTGGCATGCTTAGCATTTAAAATAGATGAAAAACACAGGTTTAAGGAAGAAATTGCTGGTTTATGATCTACATATAATCAGCCTCAATTAAACTTCATACAGCGCTGCTTGGGTCTAGATTTTAAAAAGTAGTCTAGAAAAAAATTTTAATACATACACAATTGCTTTCCTCAAATACAAATCTTCTCTTGACGATCTTCACATAGATGGGTAATATTTTAAAATAAATAGACTTCAAAATTTACAGGTAATAAATAAGGAAAAAGTAATGATTTCAATAATTATGATTTGAGTAATTTTCTTCATGAAACAGGTGCCTTTGGGTAGCTATTTTCTTTATAAAAGTGATAACTCTGCATTTTAACTGTAGTAATTAAAACCAAATAGTTATGGTTTTTAAATTTTCCATTGATATGATGAGACTGTTCCAAATCAGTATTTTGAATGTAATGTTGTAGGATGTAAGGCATGGTAATTTTTTTAACTGTTAAAGACAGTAATGGGTATTTCCTGTCAAATTTGTGCAATACTTACACTGGAGTAAAAGGCAAGGTTCTGGAGTACAGTTTTTCATTGCTTGGAGTACAGTTCCATACTTATAAGTTCAAGTAGAGCTGTCACTATGGGATATTTATTATTTCTTTGCATAATAGTTTGGTTTTATTACCAAGAAATGGCAAATTTTGTTTACTTAGTCTTTCAAATTTAGGAAAACAAGATTATTATACAGTTACTATTCATTTGTTTCATTGCTTTTTATTTGATTTTTGTTTAACACACTGTTTCCATTTTGTGAGCTTTCCTATGCATGTGCAAAATGTTTCTCCTCAGGCCCCCTTGTATTTCCTGGTCCTATTTTTATGAACCATCGAGAACAGGCTCTAGCCAGAATCAGACCCCATCCAGCACAGCTAAAGCATAAACGGGACAAGCACAAAGGTATTTGGTCTTCCTTATTGGCTAGGGTGGAAACAAGCCCATCTTCCCAGTCACTTCTTCTGTGCGCTGAATCTGTCTTCTCAAGGAACTGCACAAAATGGGTTCTGCCTTTCCTCTTGTTAGTATCTTGTTACCTGAGGAGAAAGAAATGCATTTCAATGTTGACCTTTTCTTAAAGGTGTAAATGTTTGATAGTCTGCATTATCTTTTTTTTTCTTTTCTTTTCCTTTTTTTTTCCCTAAATATGCATTGTCTCTCTGTGTGTCTTTCCTCATTTCTAATGTTGCCTCATTCCTAAGGTTCTTTAATTTCACTGTACAAAACTTAAACAGCTTCCAGTGACTTGGACTGCTGCATTACTTTTACATTGTTTTTTTGAACCTTTGTGTTGTGTATCTGGGGTGATTGCTTTAACGTATCAATTCCAGACTTGTTAATTCTAGCACACAATTTTTCATTGCTGTTATCTTTTAACCAGCCTCTTTTAGAAATTAAATATTTAAACTAATGTAAATAGCAACTTTTTTTTCACCAGCTTTGAATGGGGAAAATACAAATCAAAGTACAGATTTTATGTTGCAATATTCTTGATTTAAATGTTCTTTTGCAGAATGTATGTAAGGAGGTGTCTTTGATATTTCTGATGGTTTTGTGTGTCTGGAAAGCCACTTCATTGTACCTTAAATTTCTAAAGGTGTAATTTGTTCAGATGTGATTCCTCCCCACCCCCAACTTAGGAAGACATAGTACACTTTAAAAAAAAAATCAGCTGAATTTATTGAAGTTGAGCTGTATTAAATCTGTTTGTAGTTTGTGTATATCTGTATATAGCCGTGTCTGTATACATGTATATATAAAGGATAAATACATAAAATACTGACCTGACTGCAGTAAGCAGAAAGCTCCTAAAATGGCGAGGGCCTTGAAGTTTCAACTATTTTCTGAAGAACAGCTAAATATGAAAAGAATTGTTGGAATGCCATTTCAGTTGAAATAGCAGAAGTTAGTGGTAGTATTTGGCATGTATGCAAACACATTGTGTGACAGGTTGAAGCTTTTGGGGATCTGATTTCAGTGTGTGGGTGATAGGTCGACCTAGTTATGAACATACTGGATCATGAAATCATCTTAAGTTTACAGAAATGAAAGCAGAATCTGGTCCTTTCTATTTGCATAACATATGTTCAATCTGTTTGGAAAACTTACTATCTGAGGTTTCAATCTTGATGGATTAAATAGAATATCCTATTACAATCTCCCTGGGACAGAGTGGATGCTGAAAGACAGAACATACAGAACCTAAATGCTGTCATTTGAGTGCCAGTTTGCCGATGACCAGTATTCTTGAGCTGGATACTACTGCTGGTTTTACTGCTTGCAAGCCCTTGAGTTTATAGGCAAATGCATAAAGGAGTATACTCATTCTGTGTATATCTGTAGTTTTTTGGTATGTGTTAGCAGTTTTCCAGCTTTCAGCTCAACTCTCCTTACAAGAGGTATATTCATTAGTGTCAATCTGAGGTTTATGTTGTTTCTTGGAGTTACAAGAACAATGTGAAGATCTGTATTGTGCTGAAAAATTTTGTCAGATATGCTCTTAAGAACTGAGCATTTATTTTTTGTTGAGGAAAGTGATATGCGAAGAAACATTTATTTTAGTTCTTTGTGTCTCATGCTAAACACGTAAGGAAGATTGTAGCATCCTTACAAGTAAACTTTGACATCCTTCTCTGCCTCAGAAAACTCCTACTCAAAGGATAACCATAAATTCCACTAGAAATGCCCCTTAACGTCTGGAAGAGCTTCCAAGGGAAAAAGGGGAAACTGGTGAAGTGGGATGTTATCAAAATGATGGGAAAGGTGGGAATTGTGAAACAGATAAGTGGTATACCTCATCTTAAAAGGCATGCCTCTTCTGCTATACACAGAATGCAAAAGCAGTTATCAAGCAATCTGAAATGGGGATGTTGACTACAGTAAAAGCACACTATGATGTTGAAATCAGCATGTTCTTTTGTTTTACTTTTGAATATGATGCTTTCCATACCAGCATTCTTACTTCAGATGTTTCTGCTAAAGTAGTCTTGTAACTCTTCACACCAACCAGACCTTCAAGATCTTTGGGCAAAGAAAATTTGACTGGTAGTATTGATGAGGCCAGTACTAAACTTGGTGGTACCCGTTCCTGCTTCTCTAAAGCTGCAGAACTTCTCTGTAATGATCTGTAAACTTGAATGTGAACAGCTCCTTCAGGGCTAACAATTGTGGCCTAATTTTAAGAGTGTATTTTATATGTATTTGTACATACTGTCAAATTTACATGATTTTCATTAGTGGAATTCTTCTGTTGAATTGCTCAGTTGAAAACTCCTTCAACTTCATCAAAATACCCATTTTATGGAAAGCTTGCTATTGTCATCTTCTCATTTCACACTTACAGGTTCTGTGTATCAAAATCCTTGTTATTAAAAATACATATTAAGCATAAGTATAATCTTTCTGATCTATATCTGTGCCTTCATTATAGGTATAGATAGAAAGGAGTAGATACCACCTTCTTGGTATTCATGGAGTGCTTTGAGTACTAAGAAGAAAATGACCTTGTGCTTCATCCTTACTCTTCAGTGAGCTAGTGAATTCCCAGTATGTGTCTCCAGTCCCCATGGACTTCATCACTGGCAATCTGAGTAAAAAAAGATTAATGGAAGTCTATAATTTTCTCAGCTGTAGAAATGAACTGAATAGCAAGTAAAACCAAAGTAAGCTCCTTGAATCTGTTAAGATTCTGCAAGCAAATACCACCTTTTTCCTGTATTTGGGAAAACAATGTTCTAAATAATATGAAACCCAGAACCCTCAAAAGGTTAAAGGCTACATGAAACTGAACCTGCGCTGATGGAACAAGCCAGAAGTGAACCATTTTTTCAAATGCTAATACAAACTTATTACATGTTTAGTAAAATTTATTTGGAATTTACTTTTAAACTGTGAAATACTGAATCTGAAGTGTTGTTTGAATCACTCATTGGAGAAAGACAGCTGACAATGAAAACATGTGCCTAAGACTTAATAGAAATAAATGATACTGGAGTATGTCAGTATGTTCCATATTGGCATTTACATAGTCCAATAGTCTTGTTCTATATGCAAAGTGTTCCAAAAAAAAGTTCAAAATTTAACTAAAGGCATATGACTTAAGGCTTGTGCTCTTTGCTTGAGAAGACTGAAGTTGCACAAAAATGTTTCAGAGCTACTGTTTTTTTTTGCTAGGTTTTTACACACTGCCATTAATAAGGAGACATGTTAGACAGGCACTTTTTTGGAATTTGAGACTTGAATGTGAGAGTATGTCAGACCTCACAAGCATACATAATCAGCATATTAACATCACAGGTGTTAACTAGTAACTTGGCTGATATGCCTTACTTAGGTAATTGCTGCTGAACTAAACAGATTTGTTGGCAAATTATGTGGTCTAAAGGGACAGTTATTGTAAGAATTATATTTTTTGTGTGTGTGTGTGTGTGTGTGTATGATCATATTGCATTAAAACTTTTCGTCTTTGGGGTGAAGAAATGTATTTAATACCTTCAGAAGCACTTTCTCTGTTCTTCAGAGATGGTCAGTGAGAAGCGAAATACCATCACCCCTTACTGCAACTCGGGAACACTAGCAAAATGTTTTCCTTTTTTTGTTGTTGTGGTTTTTTTGTGTGTGTGTGTGTGGTTTTTTGTTTTTTTTCTTTTTCCCAGCAGAACTCTGATTTATAGTTTATGACTTTACTCGCTGTTGAGACTGAAGAAGCTCTTTCTTTGTTCCTTGAAAGCAGTTTTGTTTTGTTTTTCCTCTCATTTCTCTAGACTAGAGATGGTGTGACTAAAGTCATACATGAGATTTTTTTCATTGTAAAAATGCACTTTCTTTAGAGCTTTCATTGCCCACTCTCTACACAGGTATAAGTGTTTTAATTGGGATGAGCATGTTGTCTGTTTCTCTGTCATGTTGGTTTCCAGCTACTATTGGGAAACCACCTTTCTTTGTGACCCTGTGATCATATAGTTTAATAACGGTGTAATTGTTATATGACTTAAATATTCTGATTTCTGGAGAAGATAGTGGTTTTAAGTAAGTTTATAAATGACGCAATTCTTTGTCACTTTGGTGCTTAAATCTGATGTAAGAGCAGTTTGACTGTAAGAACTAATAATGCACTTAAAAGAAGTCACAGAGACGATGTCTAAAAATGCATCTTTGATAGGAAACAGGCATGCTAGTAGTGAGCATGTTGACATTGTTAGAAATGAGCTGCATTGTTAGTTACAAAAAACGAGCGCTATGTGGCCAAGTTGGAGTCAAGTGAAATGCTTAACAAGAAGTAATTAAAAAAAAAACAACCAGCTGTGTCTATCGAGTTTAATTACAGGGCTTTCTGTCTGCTTATCGAAGTGGTAGTCATTAAGCAAAACTTCTGAAGTTGTTTGAATTTCCTGTTTTGCTGGTCATTTTTGCCTGCTCTTCAGAAATTTCTGTTTTAGAGGTGATATTTTCCACTGTGTGACTTTGTAGTAGGTGGTTTAGAAGTTGAGGTTCTGTCGTCTTTTGCATCTAATTTGATACCATGTTTTGAGCTGTGTCTTTTAATCCTCTGCAAGCTCTTTCTCATGCCTTCCAAACGGCAGGGTGGGGAGTTACATTGTTCTATTTATTCTTCTAATATAACTCTTTTAGTTATAACACCGGATATAACTAAGTTTTGTTTATAGACGGAAGTGGAGAGAGAGGTGAGAAAGATGCCAGCAAAATCACAACCTATCCACCAGGGGCTGTCCGATTTGACTGTGAACTGCGAGCTGTGCAAGTCAGTTGTGGATTTCATCATTCAGGTAAAAAAAAAAATAAAATGTTAATTATAGAATAGGTTTGTTTGTTGTTTTTTTTTTTCAAATTTTCATATGTGTTTTCACATGTGTTTTCAGTGCTTTCTGTTTAATTTTCAATAAGGATGTACACAGGAATGATAAAGTTTGGAAAGGTTGCAGTATCATTTTATAGGCTGCTACACTGTCCTTCAACATTGAAGAGGACTATGAGTGTCATATATTGAGTTGTATCACAGCTTTTAAGTAATCTTTAAGTCATTTGGAAACATCTGCATGACACAGTTCTAGCCCTTCATAGAGGTGCCAGCTGTGAAGGATTGTGGTATCTGGTATAGATCCCTTAGTGTTTCAGTAGGGAACATTAACTGTGCTGCTCAGAAAGGCTAACCAGCACTGGTGCAATACATATTAACACGTGCATGTCAAAAATATTTTTCTTGTTTGTTTTTCAGTGGTTTTGATGGAGAATGGTGATGTTTACACATTTGGATATGGGCAGCATGGGCAACTTGGACACGGTGATGTTAATTCCAGGTGAGCTGGTAATTAAAGATGTGATTGTTTATTGATGTACTGCTGCATAAAAAGTGGCTGAATTTCTGGTTTTATGTAGTAGCAAACATGAAAACTCAAATATATTGCAAATGAAGTTGATAAGCTCTTGTTCTGCACTTAATTTTCCATATCCATCTGGATATAGATACAGTAACAATACTGTTGTACTGTATAATTTTATATGTAAAGGCTTTTGCATAAAGTTATTATCAGAGCTTTGATAACTGAGTTGAGTTGAAATGCTTCTGTCTCTTTAATTTCCCACTACATATAAGAATGTCATTGAAATCTCATTAAGTTTCATTATTTCTGTAAAATACTGCATATGCAATAATTAGTATGATGTTGTAAAGCTAGATTAACCTGTTTCTGTTACACCATTGACAGTAGTTTAGTTATGATAAAATCTTATTTTTGTTTATTATTACTCTCCAAAGTAAGTTTACTAAGCTTGGGTCTCAGCTGCATTTTATAGACACTTATTATGGATGTCAGTATGAGAGTGATGTGTGCTTTCTTTGCTGTCAGTGGAAATAGAGAAGTCGACAGAGTGCGGAGAGCTATTTGACTAATCACCCAGTACTTAACTGTTTTAGGTATACTGTGTAGCTCTGTAAACTTCATGGGCATGATCTCCATTGACTACAGTGACATAATTAAATATAGGCGTCTAATGTGAAGCTCAATCTCACCCTTAGTATCTCATCCTTAGCATCTTATCTACACCCTAAAGTAAAAAATCAATGTTCTGCCATAAAACGAAATGTAATAATGTTGTTCTTGGGTATGTACATATACTGTATAACACGTAAGATGGGATTTTGAATAGTAGAAATCACTAAGGGTTTGCGTATGTCCGGTAATGCCTGATATCCTTATGTGAAAGGCATACAGAGTGGAGCATCTGTGACCTGTCTTCAGTTCTGTCGTTTCTCTTTTAGTAGTGAGATGAAAATGACTAAACATCTATCCTCCTAATCTCTTTGGAGACTTCCAAATAATTTCTTTTGCCAAGTTTCTGAAGAAATCTTCATCATCTTAAAGTTTTCATTGGTTTCACTAAACGAAAGGGGGAGAGGGAAGGAAGGAAGTTTGTCAGAAGTGTTACTCTGCGTTGACTGCTGTGCATAATGCTAGTCTCTAAACTGTTACCTGTTCAGTTTGCATTGGACTGGTGAATGCAGTCTGTGTTTCTGCCCATGGTAGAGCCATATCACTTGTTTTCATTCCTGGAAATTCTTGGACACTTGTTCCAAGCTACAGTGGCTTTTAGCTGGCAGTTCATGTCACTACTTAGAATAAGGCCAGTTTTGTGTTAAAAGACTGAAGAGGTACAAATAACAGTGGCATTTCCAACTTCGATGAAGTCACTTGGCTTTTCTGAAGGCATCGGAGCTATCTGCTGTATCTGTCAGAATTTCAGGTGGTAAAACCCCACATCTGTTGCTTATTTAGATGGAGACTGGGTGGAGACCAAAGGTAGTTCCAGGTGAGATCCTAGAAGAGAACATGAAACATCCTGTACCAAAAGATGGTGCTTGACCAGTCCTAGAAGCTGAGGAGGTACAAACGACCTGGCACTGACTGTTATATCATTCTACAGCAGACCCTAGAGAGTGTCTGAGAAAAGCCTTGAAGAAATTTGGAGTATGTCCTGTGCATGAGAACTGGCTGTAGTACTATATTGCTGTTTAGCGTACTCATTCAAATTATGATTTCCTCATTGATGTACTTCTTTTTCCAGCTTTAAGTAGAGATCTCTCCTCTATCCTCACAGTAAGGGATTCAGAGAAGGAAACAGGGAATCCTTATGCAGAGTTGCACCTCAGTTGGGACGCAGTGGTGCTCAGATGGCCAGCTCCAGCCAGGTCAGTGGTATGTCAGTCATGCAGTGTGTCACATTGCTTGTATTGACTTGAGGAAGACTATCATCTTCTGAATCCAGGAACTGATACTCTGCTGTATTTCTGAGAGAGAGGGAAAGAAAGAAAAAAAGGAACTAATGTTTAGACAGCCTAGCTACTATATCTAAATATGGGACCCCTGAAAACGAGGACTGTAAGGGAAAATACAGGAGCTCTCATTTTCATCTGAGTGAGCCATCTTCATTGACAAATGGAGCAATTATGGAAGTTCCTGCGCAGCGATTGATGACATCCTTTCAGAGACTTCTGTCTTGCAGTGTAAAGATTTAATAGGGAGACCTCCTTTTTTAAGGTCTTGAAAATGATTAACTATTTTGAATTTTGTGCACCTGTCTCGGCATGGCTTTCTCCTTAATTAAGGATTTTGGACTTCTCTATTAGAGTATGGTAAACACTACAAATTCTTCCCTTACTTCAGTAGGAATGAGACATATTACACACCTTAGAAGGATTTACTACTATTTTTTATGCATACAAACAAACAAAACATCGCATGAACAGGAAAATGTGATTCTTAATACACCGTTAATAGAACTGAAATGATGTGGAGGAAAAAGCAATATGCACAAAGTGGTGTTATTTCTTTCTCCAGCAAACACTTCAGCCATTCATAGATGGACCACTTAAAAATGCAAGTGATCTGTTTCTTGGGAGTCCATCTTTTCCTTGCCAGTATGTTGGAGCCATTAAACTAGTCTGTGTGGGCTTTCTATTGTAAAATCCACCGAGGCAGATATTGATGAGCTATTCGCTACATGCAGGATTTGTCAGTCTGCTAATATTCTCATCAAATTAGATGCTGGTGGGTTGAAAGTGGAAGCAAGAAATGCTTTGCATGTCTTGTATTCAAGTAAGCAAAGGCCTGTTGGTTGCTGTTGAAGCTGGAACTTAAAACTCTAGGATCTTTCTGTTATTGTTCAAATATCGCCTGAATTTCTTGTGCAAACTGTTGTCTTCAGCACTACGTTAGGAAGAATATGATCTGACAGTGAAGTTCGAGAAATGGAACACCTGAAGTAAGACAATCCTGAAGTAATTTTGCTTCTGAAAGTTCAACGATAGCATGGAAGAAAATGAGCAGACCTTCCATGGACAGTCAGCAACGTTCTGTTTGAAGATGAAGTGTAGACACTATACCCAGTTAATATCTCTAGCAAAAAAAAGTGTTCCATCATCTGTTTGATTGGGCCATGTTTATAGGTACATTGTCTGACTTTAATTCTTATGTGTGAGTCTTTACATTTTTTCACCAGACTTCCAGTTACCTCAAATGTAAAAAACCTCAATTTTCTTCTTAACTCCATTATGTCCAACTCTGCCTGCAACTGGCAGAAGTCACTGCTGGTTTCCTTTTACCCACTACAAAGTAACAGCCCATGGTGAACCTGAGTTTGCAGCAGCACTAGGATCATTTGCCCCAAGTGACATCATTCTGGAGCTGGCAGCCAGCTATTGCCTGGATAAGTACTATGGACAGCAGTTGTCCAAACAGTTAATGTGGGATGGGGTTTCAAAGACCACATGTGCTCCCAGGAATGCTTACCCTTCAGGACTGAAGAGAGTTTTGGTGTGGACAGCCAAAATGCATTTGGACCTTCTGTGGGATCCTGAATTAGCTGATGCATGTGTATCTGCTGGTTTTCATTCAGCAATCTTACATCTTCCCAAGACATCTTGGGTTACTTTCTGTATAGTTGAGGTTGGTCTTCAGTGATTGACCTGTGCCATATCCAGAAGCCAAAGAATCTGTGATTTGACAGCAGTGTGTCTGTCAACTCCATCTCAGAAGACAACTTCTTCTTCCTCTCTCCCTTTCAAATGGAGAAACCCTAGTTATCGAAACTTTGTTCAAAGAGTCTCTCAGACTCTTAAGTCTTGTCTATGCTGAGCTCTTCTGTGTTGAGTTTTAGAGTTATAGAGAAACAGCCAATTGTATTTGCAGGTTTTGAATATACATATACACCAGTCAAACTGGCTTACTGTATTTTTCAAGATCCATTCTCCTTTCATGAAGTGAAAACGATTTTTCTGTAATTTCACTTTATTTTTTTTGACATAGTTGAGTGTCTTAAGCTTTTTCCTTTTCAGTTCTTTAGTTGATACACTGTAGCTGGCCATTCTAAAAACTGGGTTAGTTTAATAAAAGAGCTGTTTAAGAGGATAATGTACAACATCTCTTTACACTAGTTGCTTGTCTGTTTTTGTTTTGCTCCTGCCAAGGGAATTTCATGCACAGCTTTTCATTTTTTTCTTTAAAGCATAGGATTGGTAATTCTGTGCCTGCAGCTATCAGAATTTTGAGGGAGAGGAAGAAAAAACTGTAATAAAAGTATTTTGCTTTAACAGGATTGCATTTGCATTAGTTCTTAACTATATTTTGTTTCTGCATCAGTGCTTTTTTGAGCTTCCTTAAAGTTTATGGGAGGCAAATGTGATACTTTTTTCTGGTTTTAAGATATTTCATCGTTGGTGCTGCTGAACTTGCTCTGTGTGTCTGTGTATAAGCTTACTGATGTCCAAACCCATGTGCCTGTAGTCCAAAAAAGGCTACTATATATATGAATGTCATGTTGTGCATCCTCTGCCAGATTTTGTGCAGCTCTTCACTCTCTCCATCCCCACTAGAACTGCCCACTGGAAGGTACATTCACCACAAAGGAATAATTTCTTTCTGTATACCTGTGTTCCCCCTCTTTCAAGTCATCAGCCTGTCTTCATGCTACATTCCTCTGTTTCACATCTTTGGATGTTCACGTATTATCTGTCTTTCCCTGCTGAACACAGTGCCTCTCCTTCCTCCTACTTTCTCAGCTTGCGTTCTACCTGCAATTCAGCCAAAATAAGAGTATGCAGACAACCCATCTTTTTGCACATTAGCTGCTAAGCAATCGCTAGATGATCGTGGTTTGACACTTGTCTTTTTTTATTCCATCATAAGACAAACTGTTCTTATTTTAGGTTAATTTACTTTTGAAAGTGTGTGTTTAAAAGTAAGTTTAAATAGTGCTGCTGTTCTCTGGGATTAGAGTTCCCAAACACAGTTATTTGGGAATAACTGCTTCTTCAAATTTGCATTCTTTCTAAGTGCACAATAAATTTGAAGTCTAGGTAGGCATTCACTATGGGAATTCCCCAGAGTCTAGGTAGGCATTCACCAGAGTCTGGTGCAGTTCTTGTAGGCTTCTATTCACTTTGTTGGATTGAGATCATGTTCTAGTATCTCATATTTATTTATTTTTTTTTATCTTTTCTGCTATTTGTATTACAAGTCATCACTTCAGGTTTTCTTTCTTTGCTTTTTGATCATCCTGTTGAGTTTTTTTTCCATTATTTTTACTGGAATAGATTTATTTTCTTATACCTGTGAGACACATGGATTAGACTTTTTCAGATCTTTCTGGAAAACCATTAGGAGAGGTTTGTTCTTTCTTGAGTCTGTGATTTTAATGGAGAGCAGGTTTTGAATGCATTATTCTACATTTCTAATGGAGAATAACACACTATTCTTTGCATTATAATAATTCATTAGAAAGCTGATAAGGTAGGTAGTCCTCTCTCTTTTATAGTTCCCCTAGAAAGTGATCTCAGGAAGGCTATATAGATGCTGCTTCTGGTAATTGTACTGGTGTACTAACTGTATAAGGCTTTTGATTCTTCATAATGCAGATAGTTTGGGGTTTTTTTTAAGTGTTTCACCAGCATCCTCACAAAAGAATTTTTTTACTGCTGCGGTTCATTGCAATGTATTTCCTATATATACACACACGTATATAAGTACAGTAATATTAATGGAATCCTACAACTGTATATTAAATTAACTGGTTTTATTCTATGCTAATTTGAGCTTAGCTGAAGAGAGTATACTTGATCTGCTTCCTCGTTACAAGATGGCATACTTGAGTATCTGGTACAGTGTTTGAAACCTGTGTTTCTTTAATATGTAAGGTGTTGATTGACTCTGATTCCATGTAGTATGTGAACATAGTGAATACATTTCACAGACATTGAAATCCTTATAATACTGATGTATGTGTTAAATGTTGCATAAACATATATTAATACAGAATTAATTTATTTTGATACAGAGGATGTCCCACTTTGGTGCAGGCATTACCGGGTCCTAGTACACAAGTTACTGCTGGGAGCAACCATACAGCTATTCTCCTAATGGATGGCCAGGTTTTCACATTTGGAAGTTTCTCAGTAAGGAAATAATAATAATACTTACTCATGGGAATATGCTAGTATTTAAAGTTGGTTTGTTGTTTTTTTTTTTCAAAACCGGTCATACTTGTTCTTACAGAACTACTTATGACTTCTGCGTGTCTTTTGTGTCTGTCATGTTTTAAAATGTCGCCTTTAATATTTTTGTGGTTATAACTTGTTCCTTGTATTTAAATGTGTAGTGCTTCACTTAGAGTAGCCACTACTTTGTGAAGGTAATTTTGTGGTAAGATACCTCGTCCATATTACTACTTTTGTATATTGTAACTGTCAAAGTAACTTGTTAATCTTTGAGACTTCATGTCACATACTAATTCTATATTCTCTCTATAGAAAGGTCAGCTTGGTAGACCAATTCTGGATATGCCTTACTGGAATGCAAAACCAGCCCCTATGCCTAATATAGGCTCCAAATATGGACGCAAAGCAACATGGATTGGAGCAAGTGGAGACCAGACTTTTCTCAGGATCGATGAAGCTCTCATTAATTCTCATGTGCTTGCTACATCAGAGATATTTGCAAGCCGACATATAATAGGCAAGAGCTCTTCTATAATATTTAAATGCGTATGGAAGTATTAGAGGAAAAAATAGCTTCAGTCATGTGAACAGTGGAGGAGCAACAGGTCAAAAATGTGAATGGAGGGAATTAAAATATTTTGGCTGTCTAGTTGTACTGCACATGGTGATCCTAGTTCCTTTAGAAATCAGTTTTATTAAAAATAAGAATGTAAAAATCTAAACTTTTCTTGCATTTAATTCTTACTGCGTTTTATTTTTTGCAGTAACAGTATATCTATTCTTCCCTGTTACGTTAATGCTTGTCCTGGTTTCAGCTGGGATAGAGTTAATTTTCTTTCAAATAGTTGTTACTGTATGGTGTTTTGGCTTTAGTCTGAGAATAATGCCGCATAATGAGTGGAATCTTCATGTTTTTCTGCTCTTATTGCTCCCTGATCTAGGTTTGGTACCAGCTTCAATATCAGAACCTCCTCCTTTCAAATGTCTTCTGATAAATAAAGTAGATGGCAGTTGCAAAACATTTAATGATTCTGAGCAGGAAGACCTTCAAGGTTCTGGTGTGTGTCTGGATCCTGTCTATGATGTTATTTGGAGGCAAGTGTGGATTATAGCTATTAAAGTTGTAGTATAGAAATACTATTTAAAATATTTTGGGAGGCTGGAGATTGATATGCTCATTTCCCTAGAAAATGAAGAACAATTTTTTATTTTTTTTTTTGTCTGGAAGATCTGTTCAGGTAGGCCAGAAACAAACATCTCTTGCCTGATTTTTTTTTTCTTTTTTAATTTTTTTTTTTTTAATTATTTTCTTTTCCATCTCATGATGTTTGGAGAACTCCAATCTCTTCAGCTTATTTACTGTTTTCACTCTTCCCTTATTTGCTCCATACACTTAACACTTCACTGCATAATTTTCTTGCCATACCCAGCTTCCACAGCCTTATATCTTAAATCTTCATTCTTCTGTCTGGTATTATTGGTTAAGACTTTATAGGAGAAGGGGTAGAGTAATTGTATTCGTTTCAATTATGACATTTTGGGAAGTCAACATAAAGTATTTATTTAGATGGCTTAGACTTTCAAATTCTGGTTGTAGTTATTTCATGCTCTTCGGGATGGTTGCTTTCAGTGGAGTCTTTGAGCAGGCATAGATCAAAAGTGCTTGTTCCAAAACAGAATTGTAACATCCAATTCTTCTATAATGATTTAAAAGCTATGTTAGCCACGTATTGTGAATGAAATTTGACTTTTGTCCAAGTGCAGGTGATCAGTTATGTTTAAACTGTTTGAAGACTTAGGAAAAAAAAAACAAAAATAATCACAGAATAAAGCAGAGAGCCAACTGTATTCATCTGAAAATTATAGTGTCATGTAGGATCAGATCCTTAATAGATCATTGTGTCTGTAGGCTACTTACATCCTACTTTGGATGCATTCATCCAGAATTCCATTCTTATGTAATAGAAAATACTAAAACAGACGAAGAGAGACATTAATGAATATGCCCTTCAGTAGTGAAGTATCTGGTATATTAATTATTCCTGGATGTTTTTATTCATGCCTTTTTAAATTCTGTTTCTCTGTGCAGAGAGACAGCATTCTTGATTGTGTAGATTTTAAAGATTTTCTTTATAACCTTCTCCAGGTAGTAGTGAAATTCGAGTGGTTAAATAATTTTGTAGGTCAGTGTGTATAAACTTGCACATTTATTGAAATCCTGAATATAGGTTTCCTGTAATATTTTTCATCAAAACCGTTTCTTTCTCCGTTAGTTAGACCATCTTAACCCAATTTAGAAAAGCGTACCAAGTGAAAATTCTTTTTTGTGCTTATTCAAAACATTCCCAGGGGTTTTGTTTCTTCGTTTTACACAGTGACATCAATGACATAATTTTTTTCTTTTTTTCTTTTTCTCCATGTTAATCTATGTTAATCTTAATTTCTCCATGTTCATCTATAATATAGAAAGTCTTTGTATTCCTTGTTTATGCTGCCCTTTTCTATAATCCCTTGTAATCTTATGAAGTGATGTTACCCATTTAAAAAAGCCCAAACAAAATGTATTGGATTTCTCAAGATATTTTCACTCTTATTTGAAGGTAACCATTTCATTTTCAGTTGGCATCTTTTTCATTTTTGAGCTTACCTCCCGTTATATCTAGTGCTTTGCTAGTTAATTCATGCTTCTTAATAGATTATACCATATTAATATTAGCTTTGAAAAGTATATAACATTTTCAGAAATTTCTAAGCTCATAATACTGTTTGACTTGAAGTACAGTAAATGTGTTTTTGTCTTTCCATTTCCTAGTGTGTTGTGCTAGTAAAGTTTGTATGTGTTTGGTGTAACAATTTGTGTTTTACATTAAATAGCTTATAAAATTTAATTATCAGTTAGATTTTTTATTTTTTTAGTAGGTGAAAGTTTGGTTTTTTTTAACTCTGTTTTGCCTTGCTCTAGGTTTCGTCCAAATGCTAGGGAACTGTGGAGTTACAATGCAGTAGTTGCGGATTCCAGACTTCCCTCAGCTCCAGACATGCAATCCCGGTGTAGTATTTTGAGTCCAGAACTTGCCCTACCAACTGGTTCTAAAGCTCTAACAACAAGATCTCATGCAGCTTTGCACATTCTAGGTATACGTTTATAGTTGATGAGTCAGAAGCTTAGATGAAATAAAGAAACATTCTTTAATGTATACATGAATCCTAATCTAACAGTTTTCTGATTTATTTTTTTTTTTGAGTTAAAATCTTACTTTGTAATCTTTCACCGTTGCTTTTTAACACTTATGATCTGGCTGCTATGCATTATTTTTAATCAAAATAGATATCTTCTGCTATCTTAATGGTGCTAGAGGGGTTTAGAGTTCTGATGGAAGTAGTCTAAAAGGCCTAACAAAACAAAAATAATCCCATGATATTAATACGAAAACTGGCCATATACAACATACACAGTGCTTCAAAGCAGAGCTCTGGAAGTCATTTTGGGTCACTTGCTCACCGATTGTGATGAGGGATCTGTTCCTTGTGTTGCATCCTTCAGTGTGTATGAGATATGGGATAAATTTTAAGTTAGAATCATAGAATGGTTTGGGTTCAAAGGGACCTTAAAGATCATCTAGTTCCAACCCCACCTGTTATGGGCAGGGACATTCAAATCTGCCCATAATTGTTACTACTTCAACTCTTTTTTTGTAATACGGGAAATCTAAAACGGAAAAAAAAAATAAGGTGTTGCTGGTAATTTATTTACCATTGTAAAAGTTGCAAAGTAGATTTAATCACATTACTTCGTTATTCTAGAAAATGAGTAATTTAAATCACAAAATCACAGAATCCTAAGAGTTGGAAGGGACCTCAAAAGATCATCTAGTCCAACCCTCCTGCAAGAGCAGGGTAATCTAGAGTACATCACACAGGAACTTGTCCAGGCGGGCCTTGAATATCTCCAATGTAGGAGACTCCACAGTCCCCCTGGGCAACCTGTTCCAGTGATCTGTCACTCTCACAGTAAAGAAATTTTTCCTGATGTTCACATGGAACCTCCTATGCTCCAGTTTACACCCATTGCCCCTTGTCCTGTCACTGGACATCACTGAAAAAAACCTAGCTCCATCATCCTGACACTCACCCTTTACATATTTGTAAACATTGATGAGGTCACCCCTCAGTCTCCTCTTCTCCAAGCTAAAGAGACCCAGCTCCCTCAGCCTCTCCTCATAAGAGAGATGTTCCATTCCCTTAATCACCTCTGTAGCTCTGCGCTGGACTCTTTCAAGCAATTTCCTGTCCTTCTTGAGCTGAGGGGCCCAGAACTGGACACAATATTCCAGATGCGGCCTCACCAAGGCAGAGTAGAGGGGGAGGAGAACCTCTCTTGACCTACTAACCACACCCTTTCTAATGCACCCTAGGATGCCATTGGCCTTCTTGGCCACAAGGGCGCATTGCTGGCTCATGGTCATCCTCCTATCCATCAGGACCCCCAGGTCCCTTTCCTCTTCGCTACTGTCCAGCAGGTCAGCCTCCAACCTGTACTGGTACATGGGGTTGTTCTTCCCCAGATGCAAGACTCTACACTTGCCCTTGTTGAATTTCATCAAGTTCCTCTCCACCCAACTCTCCAGCCTGTCCAGGTCTCGCTGAATGGCAACACAGCCCTCTGGTGTGTCAGCCACTCCTCCCAGTTTAGTATCATCAGCAAACTTGCTGAGGGTACATTCAGTTCCCTCATCCAGGTCGTTGATGAAAATATTAAACAGCACTGGTCCCAGCACCGACGCCTGAGGGACTCCACTAGTCGCAGACCTCCAGCTAGATTCTGCCCCATTGACCACAACTCTCTGCCTTCTTCCTTCCAACCAGTTCTTGATCCACCTCACTACCTGATCATCAAGCCCACGCTTCCTTAGCTTATCTATGAGGATGCTGTGGGAGACATATCAAATGCCTTACTGAAATCAAGAAAAACCACATCTACCGCTCTACCATCATCCAGCCACCTAGTTACTTGCTCATAGAAGGCTATAAGGTTGGTCAAACATGACTTCCCCTTGGTAAAGCCATGTTGGCTGCTCTTAATGACCCCCTCATCCTTGATATGTCTAGAGATGGTGTCAAGAATAAGTTGTTCCATCACCTTTCCAGGGATGGAGGTAAGGCTGACCGGTCTATAATTACCCGGGTCCTCCTTCTTGCCCTTCTTATAGGCTGGCGTGACATTTGCCATCCTCCAGTCCTCAGGCACCTCTCCTGTTTCCCACCACTTACCAAAGATGATGGAGAGTGGCTCAGCAATGACCTCCGCCAGCTCCCTCAGCACCCGTGGGTGTATTCCATCTGGATCCATCAATTTATAGATGTCCAGATTACTTAACTGATCCCTAATGGAATCCTCATCCACCAAAGCAAACTCCTCCTTTATCCTGACTCCTTCTGGGGCTATAGGAATCTGGGTCTCCCAGGGAGAGCCTGCAGGAGTAAAGACAGAGGCAAAGAAGGCATTCAACACCTCTTGTCTTCTTTATATCCTCTGTCTCCAGGGCACCCACCTTGTTCAGCAGTGGGCCTATACTGCTTCTTGTGTTAGTTTTATTCGCCATGTATTTGAAGAAGCCCTTTCTGTTGTCCTTGACCCGACTTGCAAGATTAAGTTCCAAGGAGGCCTTAGCTGTCCTAATTGCTTCGCTACATCCTCTAACAGCTGTCCTATATTCCTCCCAAGTGGCCAGCCCCTCCTTCCATAATCCATAGATTCTTTTTTTCCATGTGAGTTTGCCCAGCAGTTCCTTGTTTAACCATGCTGGTCTCCTGGCTCCCCTACTTGACTTCCTACTCATTGGGACACTCTGCTCCTGAGCTTGGAAGAAGTGGTCCTTGAATGCTGACCAACTATCTTGAGGCCCTTTACCACCTAGTACCCTTTGCCGTGATACTTCCCTTAGCAATTGATTGAAGAGGCCAAAGTTTGCCCTTCGGAAATCCAGAAATGTGAAGATCAATGAAATTGATCTTCCGTAGTGAGCCTTGAGATTCTACAGCAGTGACCCTTGACCTGATCGAAGCTATAATTCTATTTGGTAGCGTATGTTTGGTTATTTCCATTTTGCTGATTATAATCAACAGTGAAAAATTTTGACTTCTTTTTGGTTTTGCTTTCTTTTAGGTTGTCTTGATACTTTGGCTGCTATGCAGGACTTAAAAATGGGTGTAGCAAATATGGAAGAAGAGACTCAAGCAGTAATGAAAGTTTACTCGAAAGAGGACTACAGTGTTGTTAACAGATTTGAAAGTATGTACTCAGTGTAATTTCGTAGCATAAGCCAGTCAGCTTGCAGAATGAAAGACTAAGATAGATTAACTGTATTTTTGCTCTTATTTTTTTTTTTCCCTGCAGGTCATGGAGGAGGCTGGGGTTATTCAGCCCACTCAGTAGAAGCTATCCGTTTCTGTGCTGATACAGATATTTTGTTAGGTGGTCTTGGTCTATTTGGAGGTAGGGGTGAATACACCGCTAAAATAAAGGTAAGCTTTTTAGTTTGATTTTAAACAATATTATGTGTCAAATCAAAACTTTAGAAATGCCAGCTAAAATCTGATTAATCTTATTTCTTGATGAATGAGTGGTTTGCTGTATATTAAAAGCACTTGTAATAGAGCTAGAACACATCTTTTCAGTGAGAAGTAATGAAACCTATGCAGGTAAGGTGGTTGAATTAGACATCTGAGAATCTTCTTGTCAAGAATTGGCCTAGTCTTCACTAAATTCTGTGCCATCTTACAGGTGTCTTGTGCAGTGGGCAGTGGGCTAAAAGGTTCTGTGATCTATTTATACAAAGCTCAGAGGTCCACCTGCAAAAAATTGGTGTTATGGGCTTCAAGTTAGAATTGCATCTGGTTCTAACTAGCATGAGGGACTGCTTCTCATAACCAGGAAAAGAGTGCTTAACTGTAATTTCTTAGCTGGGATTATTTAACTGAGAGTGAATGGCACCAAAGATACTTAACTCTGGTTTGTGCCAAATGTAAGAATGATTAGGGCTGGAGCATGTGTGCTGACTTAAAATAAATAAACCTGACTTTGTATGAAAAACCTCACATAAACACACAGTGTGATGACAGAACTCTGGTTTCCAATAAGTAACTTCTGTTCCAGCATTTAATAAGGATTTCAGAAACTCCGTGAAACATAATGTAAGGGAAGGATCCAATATCTGAGATTTATATGTGATTTATATATTCAGAATACTTTTTTGTTGCTACTTGACATTTAGTGGGTTGTTGAGTTATCTTTTTTCTGTTTTCAGATGACTAGGTATTCAGGTTTGTTTTAGGGAAATAGATGGCATATGCTTAGCAGTAGTGTTTGCATAAGTCAATAGGAGAGCCAAAATAAGTAGCTGTACTTTATTGTAGTTTAACACAGTGATTAAATATTGCAAATGAATAAGAAAATCCGAGAAACTTTACAAAAAAAAAAATAACCCATGACTAATATTTATATACTGAAGGTAATAAGCCTGTGAAATCACAGTAGTAATACTTTTTCAATTTGTTTCTGGTTGTTTAGGATTAGCTTATAGCCAAAATAAGAATTGCCAGTCATACTGCAGATAAGATGTGTGTTAAATAGGTTTTTGCAAGGGAAGTCATGCGTCATGATCCTTTTTCAAACTCCTCAAACTCTAAAAATTATTTTTGACGAAGAAACCCAAGTTCTTTTGCAAAAGGTATCATCTTTTGTCCTAGTCACCGTTTATGACACTGTTGACTAACTCTGCTAAACAGTCAAGCTCTCCTTTTCCAGAGAGGTTGAGTAGATCTTTAGTGCATTTCAGTCTGTGACAGAAGCCTGCCCCTTCTGCACATCTTTGCCTTTCTTGAATGCTCTGTTTGACCTGCCTGCAAGTGGAGTTTCTCCACTTAAGAATATATCTGGGCATAAGGTTGGGGGGGGAGGGGAGGAGGGGGGAAGTTAGTGTCAGTTGCTATTTTTTGACGGTTAATGATAGTAAAAAATCCTGATTTCCGGGTGGGAATTTGTGTGAGTCACAAGTCTGTTAGTGATAGTAACTGACAGTTACTTTTGGGGAGAAGGAATAGAAGTAGACAGTTTCCAGAATGCCAGACAGGAAAAAGTGGTATTGTAAGGTTTCTAACACCTAAGACATATTTTTACCTTTTCTTCTTACTCCACTAGTTGTTTGAATTGGGTCCAGATGGAGGAGACCATGAGACTGATGGAGATCTTCTTGCTGAAACAGATGTCTTAGCATATGATTGTGCTGCTAGGTAAGATGTTTTCCTTACCTGTGGCTACCTACTTCTTGATCTTTATTTTTACTCTATTTATGCACATTTTAAAATCACTTTAAATATCAGAGATGATCTGTATCATTAGGATTTTGTAGCAGGTGATGTAAAACTTGCACACGAAGTGTATTGGGTTAAGCAGTAAAACACCAAATACCTCACTAGACCACTATGACATTAAATTAAAAGCAGCCAAAATCATTTCTCACTTGTTCTTATATAAATCAAAGTCAAATCACGTATTCCTGTGATGAGAAGAGAAGACATTGCAGCAGATCTTTTGAATGCTTCTATCAAAAAAATGCCTTCAAGCATAAATGGGTTCATTAAACAGTTCATCATTAAACTTACTGCAGTATGAAATTATCATAACCAAAAGAAGAGTTATTGTGCTTCAGCTCGTTAGAATACAAGCAGTTATTGTTTGAAAGATTTTGTGCTTAAGGATGGGATTAGCCATGTTTAGCTGCTTTTTCATTCCCTGTTATGAAATAATTTAACATTCACATCATCCATGACTACTTCTTTTAGGTTTAATTCTTATGTACCAATACTCCTAAATGTATACTTTCTTAAATATTCATGTGTAATTCCTAAGAATTCACATATAAGCTGTTGTCATTTACAAAAACTTTATGGAATTGAATTAAAATAATATAGACAATATTTTATAATTAATATTTTATTTGCAGTATCATGTATTAAATGTAATTATGCTTGTGTATGTTAATTTAACTAAATCTTTCTTTACTCTGTTTGGTATTTGATATCTGATTGTTTCAAAATGCAAGGTCAAGCTACACTTAGGCATTTGTAGGTCCTTCTGATTTATCTTTTTAATTATTAAAGTTTTTTTCAATGAAATATTTTTACTTTCTAAATATTAATAGATAATTGACATTACTAACTAAATTCCATTAATTCTCAATTTATTTTTACAAGCAGGGTGGAATTCATTAAAAATTAATTTGAAAACTAATTCATGTATATCTTTTTCAAAATCTCTTTATCCCAGAGAGAAGTATGCAATGATGTTTGATGAACCAGTACTCCTACAAGCTGGCTGGTGGTATGTTGCCTGGGCAAGAGTGTCAGGACCCAGCAGTGACTGTGGATCTCATGGACAGGCCTCTATTACTACAGATGATGGGTATATTTTTTTAATTATTTTTTATTTTTTTAATACAAAAGGAGGTATCTAATATGACTGGACTAATAATTGGATTATTTCTCTTTCAGTGTTGTATTTCAGTTTAAAAGTTCCAAGAAATCAAATAATGGTACAGATGTTAATGCAGGGCAGATCCCACAGTTACTATACAGGTAACATTTGGATATCTATTTAGAACAATTTATTGGCATGTTTTTTAAATAGAAGCCTAGTTAAAGTAAGTGTATGTTTCATGAAATTATTACTGTATTAGGCTAAGGAAATCAGTATCTGAAAATTTTTGAGGAAAATTTAGTCTCTTTGAGAAATGTAATAAACCAATTATAACAACATTTTTTTCTTTGCAGTTTTTCTTGCAGCCATTTTTCATATATTGTGTTCTGAGACTTTCATTTAGTTCTGTAAAGCCTCATGGTTTCACCTAATATGCTTCATTTTTTTACTAGTTAGGAAGTATTCTATTTAGTAGGCCTTAGTTTAGGAGCAGTATACTGTCAAACAGATGAACTTAATGAACACCAGCCCTCAATCCTGCAAAAAAAGGATCCAAAGAAGCAAAGGAACATCTAATTGTCCTTTACAATAAGTTACCATAAACTTACTATTCTCATGTTAAACGTTATGTAGTTCTGTTTTCAAAAGCCAGAGCTCTTTTGCTGTATTGCTGGTATAGTTTTCAGACTTCCTCAGATATATACAAACCCTAATTTTATATTTTATGCATGTATATATATATATGTGTGTGTATATATATATGTGTATATACACACATATGTAGCCACCTGCTCCCACATTAATTCTGAAGCTTGGAATTTCTTCATAGCAGTTCTTTTGCTATGTCTTTTGTAAGCATGTCCTTTTCAGAGTCTCTTATCAGAGCAGCTTGCTTTGACTGATAAGCTTTGTGTCCATAGATCTCTATCTCTCCAGAGCAAAGCTTCATTTTGACTGATGCACTTAAATTCTTGGCATAACCTATTATCATTTGAGTGATTTCCATGGATAGATGGCAGTAGGTGCCTCTGAAGGAAGGATATGGCTGAAGAGCCATGAGTGGCACAAAAGGAGAACTGCTGTAGTAATAAGTGCTGTCTGTATTTTTTTATATCTCCATATATATTTTTACCTCCACAAAACTACTGTTCTTTAAGGAATAATGCTTCTAGTCTTAAAAATGTCATCTTATTACAAGTAAATACTTGTAATAATTTCATGTGTTATTAAATCTGAACTTTATTATTGGTTGTCATAATCCTGCCAATTGAACACAATTTTAGATATTTCATTACTGTTCTAGAACAATTAGGAACTGGAAGAAGTTATACTGAAATTGAATATTTTTTTGTTAATTACCTTTAAAATTTCTTTCACTTGTGTTCCACTTGAACAATACAAACAGTAAGAACTGTTAAAAGTAAAAAGTGCAGACTTCCAAGTCAGTTCTTTAAATTGTTCTTCCAGGTTGCCAACAAGTGATGGCAGTGCATCTAAAGGAAAACAGCAAACCAGTGAACCTGTGCATATTTTAAAGAGATCTTTTGCAAGAACTGTCTCAGTGGTGAGTATTATCAAAAATCTGTGTTCCCTGCAAGTTCATTCATACTTGGAAAACAGGAAGATGTAAATGTGGAAATAACGATATTTTTGTGTCTGCTTTATCAGGCAGAAGTTAGTTAAACTGAAATATATATGTATCTTATATCTCAATTTTATGTATTTATCTTATTTTAACTTTTCCTGAATATTTCAGATGTTAAGCTTCATATTGACGTGAGGGTAAGAGCCTAGAAATACATTTGTTTTACAAGGTTGAGCCTACTTAGATTTGGGGGTTCATACTTGCTGGTTGTAGTCAGTATGCAAGCCTTACTCCCTGGCAGTCAATTAATATTAGCATGTTTTTTTGAGTTTTGAGGGAGCTTTACTATATGCTGTCTTCCATGGCTTTTAAATTACTGTCACTGGTGAGATTTGTCTTCCTCTTGGATGCATTCCAGTGTATGCTGAGGATCAGATAGCATTCAATTTAACTTCCATATGCTGAGGAAAAGAGTATTATTAATAGGCCCAGTGAACTGCAACTATTAATAGAAGATAATCTGCAGTTCTTCACATACAAGGAGGTTAGTCAAATTGTGTGAAATACTGCATTAATTGAAATGCAGTATTAGTGTGCAGGACAAGGCAAATTCAATCATCGTGTTTTTTTAAAGTATGGTCCCTTCCTTATGTGTTACAAGCAATGATTTTTTTCCAGTTCTGTCCTGGTTTATATTTTATACTGTATTACAGTACTGTCAGTATTCTCCACAGATAGTTACATTGAATTTACTGCTTCCATATGGCCACACACAGTCCAGTTTTCTTAGCCCCCTTGCTTTCATTTATGTATTCTCCTTTTCTTCTGTATTTTCTAAGTATCAGAATTACCTTCTGTTCAGGTTTCTTTTACAAATATATTATCTACATCATTTTAGTAATGATTTTATTGGCATAATAATAGCTACTCTTAATATATGTTTGCTTAAAAAAATGCACTAAGCTATGAACTCTTACTACTTTTAATTCTTTGTATTGCATCCTTCATTAGTTTGGTGCTGTTATCCCTCATGATCTGACTTGGGATAAGAGGAGAGTTTTGGCTTTCTGAAACATTATTTTATAATTAATTTTTGAACAATTAACTTGACTGTTGCAGCTTGAAGGTATACCTGCAGCTTGAAAGCCTTCAATACCAAATACTTGTAGTTTGCCTTCTGAGGTACAACTTTATGAAACTATCAACCATACTTAATAATACTAGAAAACAATTTTTGGAAGAACAAAACTTTTTAAGTCCTTGAGTTTTTGTGGACTATCATGTGCTTCTGTTGAACTTTCAAGTACTGTAAATGTGATATAGTTCCCATCACCCTGCAAATGCTAACTGTTCAAAGACCAAGAGACGGGCCTGATAAGTCTTTGCTGTTATGACAAAAATATATTCTGTTAAAAGTGAGTATTACACTAGTCATATGTAGACGAAGCAAGTAAAATGTATTGAAGAATCTAGATCTTAAATAACTGGGAGACTTCCACACACAAATAACATACGTAACATATATGATATAAATTGCTTTTAGTATGCTATTACAGTGCAGTCTTCCCTTCATTCTCAGTGCTCTTTATTCTCAAGCAGATAGGATTTGTGTGTTGTACGGTAGATGTGTAGACATAAATATGTTTTCATAATAAACATGGCTATAAATGCTATTTGCTTCTCATCTTACACTGATGCTGAAAGTTCAGTTTTTGTTTTTAACACAAAATCTGTCTTTTCTATTTTTCATAACCTGAATAGGAATGCTTTGAATCTTTATTGAGCATTCTTCACTGGAGCTGGACAACACTGGTGCTGGGAGTTGAAGAACTTCGGGGACTTAAAGGATTCCAATACACTGCTACTCTTTTGGATTTAGAAAGGTTGCGTTTTGTGGGCACTTGCTGCCTGAGATTGCTGAGGGTCTACACCTGTGAAATATATCCAATATCAGGTATTCATTAAACCAGAACATCATCTTAATTTGCTTGTTTCATATTTATCAGCAAATAATCTACAGAAGGTTCAAAATGTGATCTAAGTATTCATGTACAGTATGCTATCAGATGAAATTGCCTGTACAGATGGTTTTATTGGAACGATTAAGAGGCTTGCTGTCAGAAATGGGACACTTGCAATAATCTGCATAATTAAGCATCCAACACCAGATGTTTACACTAACTTTTGTATGTTTAAAAGTTAATTTATTTTTTGGCTTGACAGTTGAGGTTTTTTTGGACTATTTGGGGCTTTGGGTTTTTTTAGTGGTTTTTTTGTTTGTTTGGTTTTGTACATAGTAGTTGCTTTGCTGGTGAGCACAATTTAAATTTGAGGACAGTATCTGTTTTTCATGCCTGTAGGTTAGCAGTGCTTATGTAAGACCAAGTGGGATGGGGCTTTGAGCAACCTGGCTTAGAGGAAGGTGTCCCTGCCTGTGGGACACCGGTCTGTGATTCTGAAAAACTGGAAGTTTCTGATATTCAGGTTTCTGTGATGTAGTTTAACACCCTTTTTTTCCTTCTGAAATTAGTTTCCCTGAATATAGCTTTATCAGCATTGCTAAATTCTGGTTGGTTTATCAGCATGTAAAATGTGCATTTTAGTATGAAAATTTTTTGTTTATTTTACATCTAATGCTCCTCTTCATCTAACCTTCTAGCTACAGCTAAGGCAGTGGTAGAAGAAACAAGCAAATTAGCAGATTGCATTGGAAAAACAAGGACCTTGCTGAGAAAAATTTTATCTGAAGGAGTTGATCATTGCATGGTGAAGCTGGACAATGATCCACAAGGATACCTCAGTCAGCCTCTCACTCTTTTAGAAGCTGTTCTTCAAGAATGTCATAACACATTCACAGCTTGTTTTCACTCATTTTACCCAACACCAGCTCTCCAGTGGGCATGTCTTTGTGACTTGTTGAATTGTTTGGACCAGGTACATTAAAATGGCATAAATAAATGCTACAGCTCAGCTTTCCCTTTAGCACAAAGAGAAGCCAAGCAGTATTTAAAGCCTTTTTGGGTGTTTAGTCTAGTTTGCAGTTCAAATTCTGTTGTGTACAAGTTCAATAGGAGCTTAGGAGCTTCTGTCTCCATTAGCAGTAAAATTCTCTCTGGGACACTGAAGAAAATTTGTGGTGCTGGTAACTGTTTGCACCTGCTTTTTCGGTGTTGAGACCATGCCTTGTATGTGATTACCCTTGCTGGATATTGCTTAGGAGCATACATGTGACGTTTTTTGTACGCATTACTAATAGTTGAATAATTTCTCATTATTAAATGTTAACAGTAGTGTTCTGATCCAGCAAGGTATATGAGAAGCTGGCAATATTATTCTACAATCAACAACTTTTTTTTTTTTAAGTGTCTTGCTTACTGTGAATGGACAATCGCCATTCAAACAGTGTAGTTGCTTGCTTGCATTGATTCAAGTGAGATGTAAACAATTTCCTTTTGAATTTGTATGGAAATTCATTTAGCATATAAAAATTCAATGAAGAATCAGTTCTTTAATATATTCTAATTAAAGCATTTAAAATACATGCTTTGTATACAAAGGGTGTCATAATTTCAGAAGTAATTTTTAATTGGTTGTTTATTTTAAAACATGTCAACCAACAAATTTTAATTACTCCAATTTGAAAGATCTCAGTGGAAGCTCATGAGAGAAGATAATGTAAAATTAACAGGAAAGCTATAAGTATATGAAATGCTTTCTCTAAATTGTTCTTGTGATAGAACGGGAAAGTTCATTTTCAAAAGTAGTTTCTTCATTTACTTGGAATGCAACGGTACCAGTCTGTTAATTTCTGTTTATATTTTTAGGACATCCAGGAAGCAAACTTCAAAACCTCCAATAGCCGGCTTCTTGCTGCAGTTATGTCTGCTCTCTGCCATACTTCAGTAAAACTGACCTCTATCTTTCCAATTGCTTATGATGGAGAAGCATTGCTGCGATCAATGGTTAAACAAGTCAGCACTGAGAATGACTCTGCTCTGGCCCATCGTTTTCCTCTTTTGGTTGCCCACATGGAAAAGCTTAGTCAGGTTAGGATATATTCTAAAAATTTAATGACTTGTTTTACTTTGCAACAAAACCCAGTTATGTAAGTTGAAGTTTTAGCTTTATAAGGATGTAGCTGAATTTGTCTGAGCTTTTTTTTTTTCCAAAAAAACCCTGTTTTAGAAACCTGTTATTTTGTCCAAATTTCATCTTTTGGAAGTATTCCAATTATTTCTTGTTTGAAGAATGTCTGAGCAATACTAAATTGGTAACAATACAGTTTGGAGTTGTTTTCCATTGCATAGTGTTTTCTGCAACAATTTTTAGCTCTTTTCATAATCACAAGAATTAACATATGGGTAGATTCAGTGTTTTTAGGAAGAGTCAACACAGCTTTGGTAATAGAGTCATGTCTCAAATTGGATTTTTTAAAGGAGTCAGCAAGCAGGTAGACAAAAGAAGACCAGTTCATATAGTTCTATCAAAGGTTGTTAAACCTTTGGGCTCCCAAGTGTCATAGTATTGCAGTTCTGTTATTTCAGAGTAGATTTACAGGAAAAAAAGGGTAAAGATGATAATCAAAGATATGGGACTACTAAATAGTATTCTTTACTTTGGAAGACAAGAGGGGTAAGATCTTACAAAATTACTAGTTATCTATGAAATGTAAATAAAGGATAATTGTTGAGTCTTCCAATGACAAAAGTTTGGAGCAACCAGAGACCTTAGCAAAAGGTAAGTTCAGAAGAATGCTGTTCTTCATAAAATACACAGTTATGCTGTGGAATGTATTCCAGTAGGCCATTATTATGCTAAAAGTTTTCACAGATTGAGAAAACACCTGTGCAAATTAATGAAGAGGAAAATCACCAAAATATTAAATGCAAAGACAGTATTTCCATCTTGGGTACCTGCTGCCTCTTAACTGCTAAAGATAGAAAGAGTTCTGTGCAGGCATCTCTGCAGGTTTGTTTGACCTGATTGTCTTTCCTATCTGTTTACTACTTGGATATTTTTGGGAGACAAAATGGTAAGAAAGACACAATCAGTAGAGGTGATTCCTTATTCGAAATATCAATAAGGTGATTCCTTATTGTGAATGACTATCAGTATGGGTAACTGTTTCAAAAAATAGTGGGTGTTATAGCTAGGTAGAAGATACAGTAGATGCCTAAGCTTAGATTTTTTTTCATAGTCTTCATTCAGTAAAGAACAGTTGTTTTTATAATCATCCCACCATAGGTTTTATTCTGCCTGTTTGCATGGAAGAGTCTCTTTGCTAACTTCAAAGCCAAAAGCTTCTGAGTTTATTTTTAGACATTAGGGAGGACACTGACATGAAGAATTCTATAGAATCATAGAAACATAAAATAGTGAGGGTTGGAAAGTACCTTAAGATCATCTAGTTCCAACCCCCCGCCATGGGCAGGGACAGCTCACACTAAACCATGTCACCCCAAGGCTGTGTCCATCTTGGCCTTGAACACCGCCAGGGATGGAGCATTCACAACTTCCCTGGGCAGCCCATTCCAGTGCCTCACCACCCTCACAGTAAAGAACTTCTTCCTTATATCCAATCTAAACCTGCCCTGTTTAAGTTTGAACCTGTTACCCCTTGTCCTGTCACTACAGTCGCTAATGAAGAGTCCCTCTCCAGCATCCTTATAGGCCCCCTTCAGATACTGGAAGGCTGCTGTGAGGTCTCTATGCAGCCTTCTCTGGGCTGAACAGCCTCAACTTTCTCAGCCTGTCTTCAACGTGAGGTGCTCCAGCCCCTCATCATCCTCATGGCCCTCCTCTGGACTTGTTCCAACAGTTCCATGTCCTTTTCATGTTGAGGACACCAGAACTGTACACAATACTTCAGGTGAGGTCTCACGAGAGCAAAGGTAGCTATTTATCTGTTGACAAAGGAATAGATTCTCTAATAGCTTTGAGAATTAATTTTTTTTTCTTACCCTCTAGACAGTTTCATATTTTTAAGAGATCACTGGTTTCTCAGTTATCTAATGCTTATAATATGTGAAAATCAGTGTTTTGTTTTGTTTAAAGAACATTGTAAGAATGATGTAATTTGTCATTTTTCTCTTCATAATGCAGAGTGAAGAAAATGTTTCAGGCATGACAAGCTTTCGGGAAGTGCTGGAAAAGATGTTGGTCATTGTTGTTCTACCAGTACGGAACAGCCTTAGAAGAGAAAATGAACTTTTCTCTTCACATCTGGTTTCTAATACCTGTGGGTTGCTTGCTAGTATTGTGAGTGAGCTCACAGCATCAGCATTAGGATCTGAGGTAAAGATTCTATGAAATCATGCCTAGAAGTCTTTCAGGACAAGTATATTATGAATGTGATACACACTGTGACAGAAATTTTATAGCTGCTAATTCATCCTATAAAATACATATTTAAATTCTTAAAAAAAAAAAATAGAAATCACATTCCTAACTATTTCTAGTTTAATTTCCAGTTGCCAGAGATTACATTTTCTTTTTAGTCAGTATTGAATAGAAGTCCTATTAGTGGCATCTTCTATGTTTTGTCAGTTGATTTTTAAAATTTGCCCAGTTGAAAATCTCATCATTTAGTTCACTTTATTAAAGTTACTTAATTTTTAGCATGTAATTTTTTTCTGGTGCTTGCTTTTAACATTGTACAGGTTGATGGGCTGAATTCTCTCCATTCTGTGAAATCCACTCCAAACCGATTCACTAAAACAAGTCAGGGAAGAAGCTGGAATACTGGAAATGGATCCCCTGATGCAATATGTTTCTCTGTCGATAAACCTGGTGTAGTTGTAGTAGGATTTTCTGTTTATGGTGGAGGAGGAATTCATGAATATGAGTTGGAAGTGTTAGTTGATGATGTAAGTACTGCATTTGCAAAATCAATTTGAACAGAAGTAACCTCGGAGTTTTTTGTAGTACGTTTCAGAAAGTAAGACTATATTATTACATTACTTTACAGTCTAGGCTACCTGTGAAACGGTACACTGGTAACAGGGGTTTTTGTTTGCCTGTGGTGGTGATTTTTGTGGTATTGCTAGCTACATACCATATCCAGATTATGATTATCCTAATTAGAGATTATCCTTCTTATGGTCTCAAAATCTTAATTTATGACAAATAATATTTGAAGTATAGTGGGTCTTTCACTTCCTGGAGCTAAATGTAAATTAGTATCAGCTGCAAAGAAAACTAAGAAATAAAGGGGACCACTTTAAAACAATTTAAACCAACAGTTGAAGAAAGGGGTTGTTACCAATATGGTCAGGCTGTAGCTACAGATGTTTTGTGTGTTGTTCTCTTAGAAGAAGCATAAAACTGTATTGTGTGTTCTTGTAATAAAGAAAAACCTCTGTTCTTTTATACCTCACCCGTTCAATTTAACTGATTGTTCTAACTTCTTCCAGAGGGCAAGCATAGGTTGCTATGGTAAATTAACTTCTTTGCTCAGTAATTTCCTTTTTAGCAGAAGGGCTTTACTCTTGATTCTGAACAGCTTTTTCAGCTTTGGTGTATTTGTAATGATGTATGTAACAATTTATGCAAGAAAACATGCACAATTGCATAAATGTGTCATGTATTTACATTATAAAAGTATTGTTTCTTTGAATCAGAGTGATCATACTGGAGATTCAACTCATTCACACAGATGGACATCTTTAGAGTTGGTTAAAGGAACTTACACCACAGATGATTCTCCCAGTGACATAGCTGAAATCAGACTTGACAAAGTTGTGCCACTGAAGGTAAATAAAAGAAGTGCAGATCTGTAGGTTTCATATGACTTCTCTAGATAACAAAAATCAGAATGTTCAATGTAAATTTGGGGGTTTGTGTATAAATTTGCTCTTGACATGTTTGCTTTATCAAGTCTCTGTTTCACTCTAACTGAAAAGTTCAAATTCTTTTAAATTTTAACAGCCAAAAGAAATTAAATCTCAATTTTAATAATAGCATAAGATAGATTGCAACTGTTTAGTAATTTCAGAATATTCTTGAATGTGCAACTTTTTTTGCATGCAATTTGATAGCTCATTTTCTTGGATACCTGGTCACTTTTCAAGTAATTAGGAGTAATATTTTACTTAAGTTATGGCCCATTGGTGGGGAACAAAGAACAGCTTTGACTTTTGTTAAAATGCTGGATCTTTCCCAGTTAAATTCATTCATAGTGTTTTGAAGGACTTTTCAGGCTCTTCACTATTAGTATAAAATAATAGCTTTCCCAATACCATGAAGTCTAACTTGTTGTATAATCAGTACTATTTTTGGCTCTCCTTTTGAAGGAAAATGTGAAATATGCGGTTCGCTTGAGGAATTATGGAAGCCGGACTGCCAACGGAGATGGAGGAATGACCACAGTTCAGTGTCCAGATGGTGTAACATTTACATTTAGTACATGTAGTCTGAGCAGTAATGGCACAAACCAAACACGAGGACAAATTCCACAGATTCTTTATTACAGGTTTGTGTGTTGTCATAATCCATTTCTAAGAAAAGTAAATAAAACCATTGTAGTGCAATTATACCACATATGTTTTTGAGAAGTAACAGAAAGAAATACATCTGGAGTGTGTTTGAGGAAAGAGTTTCTTTAACAGTAGTACTGTGTTCTTCCTGTGTAGTTTCAGACTTGACAATTTTTGCAACAGCAGTTTTACTGGTGCTTCTTCCGGTCTTGTTTTAGATTCTGGTTTTTTTTTGACTTGGCAAATAATTTGATGGTTGACCTCCATTACAAGGTCCGTTGTCTATGGCTTTAAAGCTGTAGTATAGGGAGCTGGTAAGATGCACCACTTCAGTCTTGTGTGTTTTTCTATAACCCATGAGATTTTTGCTGGAATGTTTATCTCTCTGATTTCATTTAGTTCCTTCCTCTGTTCCCAGAAAGGATTGCATTATATAATGAAGCAAGGTCTGTTTATGTAGGAACTGTCTTCTCGTACTGTAGAGTTCAAAGTTGTAGAAAGAGAAATTGCAACAGCCTGAAAAAGATAAACGGAAACATCTGACTGTCCTGCAGGGAAGCTTTAATTTAATCTTTCAGGGTAATAGTAAGAATTCACTTAAGGTAATGCTTTTGCAGAAAGCATTACTTTGATTTTTGATGTGTGTATGTACACTGATATGCATGAAGACATGGTTTTCAAAATACGTCAGCACCTGAATGTATGAATTACTACTATCTCTGCAGAAAAAAAAAGGTGTCACATCTTTTACTCAAATCTCAATTTTTTTCATAAAAGGCTAATCAACAGTAGGTCCAAGGAACAAAGGAGTAAGAAATAGTAATTCACTTTGCTATTTTATTATGTGTGAGATGTACATACATAAGATGAAAAGATGCTACAACAAGTGACATATTTTGGACTAAATCACAGTAACGTTGCTCTTAAAGTGTTAAAGAAGATAAAATATGAAGAAATAAAATTCCCAATAAAATGGTCGTAACGGGTCTATTTGAAGATAAAAGATAGTTCTTCACTTCTAAAACGTGAGATTGGCTGTACTCAAAGATCCAGCCTGTCCGTAATAACAGTAATTGATTATGAAAGAATGGAATTGCAGTGGTGTATATCATACTTCTGTTGATTTGGTCTCCTTGAACCTTGGCCACCTATGTTTAGGGAATTCCTCCAGCATTTTGAGTAATTTTATTATGAAGATTCATAATTATAAAGTATCATATTATGTAAGAAGGAAGAAAAAAGACAAGGAAAACATTTATTCACATTCCTAGAATATATATGCTTTTATATCAGCAAAAGTGGGAATAAAGGAGAAATAACAATTACTTTGATTTCAGAAAAGGACAGAAAACTTCAATAAATGGAAGCTTCAAGGCACTCTAACTTAAAAATAAGCTAACATATGGCAAAAAAACCACACTGAAGTGCTTTCTTCAGAACAGTCTCAGGTTTTTTTGTTTCAACTGTGATAAAATTCTGAGAAGCTTTTGAGGACCATAATAGCAGAACTAAGAGCCGTTACAGAATAAATTAAGTTCTGTTTGGAAAAATTGCATACTGCTGCCTGTAGTCAGAATGTCTTTTGAAATTTGCTTGGACAACAGAAACTTAAATGTTACCTGATGTGTGACTATAGTCATGGACTTTGTTTGAGGATTCCCAGATTGATATATAATGATTTGAGGTTTTGGTTTGTTCATAGGGAAGGAACAAATGTTCACTCAATTATTACAGAACAGAGCTTGTAAGAGTCACACTTGATTTTTTTATTTATTTTTTTTAAGGATGCTCAAATACAGATAGAATTGCTGCTTATGCAAATGCCACGGAAGGCCATATGAAAAGGAATGTGTTAACACACTTCTGATAAGGGCAGAAATGCTTTAGAAGGATTTGTTGGAAAAGTACGCAGTTGGAATTGCACCCACTGTCAGTCACTAATAAATTAAAATTAAAAAGGCTTGAGCAAAACTACAATTCTAGGACACGCTGACAAAAAAAAAAAGGCAAAAAGAAAAAATAAAAGCTTTTTTGTCAGAGTGGCTAATTTAAGTCAGAGAGAAAGACAGGTATCCTTTTTGTGTACAGAACTGCTCCAAGTAAAGTTCTTGAGCATTCTGGCATGCAAGTCCTGGAATCTTAATGTTCTGGAATCGTGTTGTGAAAGATCAGATTTTTTTTTTTGACAAACACAAGAAATCTACAAGAGAATGGGAAGTTTTGTTTTACATGTTGATTAAGAGGTTTTAGTTGTTGTCATGGTTTAAACCCAGGACAGTTGTCTATGTCAAGGCTTAATCACTGTCATATTGAAGGCTTGAACTAGTTTGCAATTATCATTTGACTGCTTTGAAAAAGTAATCAAACCAGATCTTCTGTATACCTTACTGAAATAATTTTATGGATAACGTTGTTTATGAGAACCTAATTTGACATAGAGTGGATTACAAAGAAAAAAACGTATTTGTTATGGGTAAGCCTACAGTTGTATTTCAAAATCAAAATTAATCTTTAGAATATGGAAGGAGAATCTTTTCCCCAGTTATGTTACTGCAGAAGTATCCTTTGAAATAGTTGTACTCGTTTCTGTGATGCATTTAGTAGTAGTCTGTTTTCATCAAGATGGGTGGTTGGGCTTGGAAGAGCACAGCAATTAATGTATTTCTGTGGTTTGAAAAGCATCTAGTCAAAAGAAACAGTTCAGAAAAATGCTTTTAATATTTTCTGCCAAATGAAAAGATTGCAGAGGGCTAAAACTGAGGCACTGCCCCCAAATATCCTCTGTGGTCTCTCTGTTTCCTTTACTGCTTCATCATAAATTGTTTTGCTTATTCTATGCCAAAAATCAGTCAGGCACAGGTTTTTTTAAATATGATTTTGTATTTTGTGAACTTACTTTAATCCACCATCCAGGAGTGAGTACGATGGAGATCTGCAATCACAGCTGTTGAACAAAGCTAATGAAGAAGATAAAAATTGTAGCAGGGCTCTTTCTGTCGTGAGTGCTGTTGTACGGGCAGCCAAGGACCTGTTGCACAGGGCTCTTGCTGTAGATGGTAAGGCTTTTGAAAATGATTTTCAGAATTTGCTTTTCAAAGCTTCTTTCTTTGATAGCAAGAGATAATAGTAGAATCAGTGTTTTGTATCAGTGATACAAAAATGGTGGTATCTCTCTTTGCTTTCCAAAGAATATTCTTCTAACCTTTCATTGCTGTAGGTATCAAACTGTAACTTTCTAATTTAGTTGCACTTGAGATATCATAGGCAGATACCTCCTATAATTTGCACATCTATTTAGCAAGTATCATATTAAAGCTGGTAAGATTCTTTATTTGCAAAAGATACACAGTATAAATTCTGTCCCTACCTGTGGCAGTGGTTTGGAACTAGATGTTCTTTAAAGTCCTTTCCAGTCCAGTTCCATTGTATGATATGCTGTGATGGGTAAGTTCCAGATTTTGTTGCATGTTTTGCACATTGGTGGTAATCAGGAAAACTGGTCAATGTAGTGCATACAAGCACTTAAACATCAATTTTTGAGAAATGTAGGTATTAGCCTTAAAACTGAATGTTTTTAAGCTACTGTCTTCAGCCATTTTAGTCAAAATGTCCGGAATATTCTCTAGTGGTATAGAAATTGATTTGGAGGGCTGGGAAGAGCTTGTTTTGCTAGATTTTGTACCATAGAAAGTATGAACACAGCTTCACAAAATGGTAAAGCATACAATAAAATTATACTCTTAAGAGGAGAAAATTTTTAAGCAGAAAACTGTACATAATGATGTTTCTCTCAGGTGAAATTTGCAGGTTTAGAATTTGACAGTGCCTAGGATGAAAATAATTTGAAGTAAAAGCCAGTGTAGAAACTTGAAGTATAACTTGCAAAAATCAAACTACCAAAATGTTTTTTGAGTCATGGTACATCTGTTAATAATACCTGTATTGTAATTATCTTTGTTTAGCTGAAGACATTCCAGAACTACTCAGCTCTTCCAGTCTGTTTTCAATGCTGCTTCCCCTCATAATAGCCTACATAGGACCAGTAGCAGCAGCTATTCCCAAGGTACGCTCCTCAAAAGAAATTACTGAAGAAATTTAAGAGTGTTACAAAGGTTTACTCTGAAAATCTGAGCATCTTGATTTCTTATGATTTTATGAAGTAGTGGTTTATATTTGACTATGTGACTCATGAATTTTCCAGAGTCAAGAATTTTAGCAACATAATCAAGTTTTAGAAGTTACTTTTTAAAAACTTAAATTGAAGGCATAATGAAATAAATAAGGAAGCAGAGGGAAAGATTATGAGCTTTAACAGTATAAAAAGACAAGAAGCTAGAAGGATCTGTATTTGTGACTCATTGATGGATATTGGTGGGATGAAATATACCTCATATTATGTATCTTTACAGTAAACATCCAAAGCCGTGGTAGCCGTTCCTTAAATTAAGATTATTTCTGTCAAATTTAGAGATGGGAAGGTGTCAGCTATAAATAAAAAATAACCTTACTTTTCAGTGGCATAGCATTCTTCCATGTGCCTAGTCTGGAGCACTCTTCAAATCTGTTACTAGATTTACAAATGTCATTAACTTAGGTAGTAGACACTGTTGCCTTTTACTGTTTTTTCATTTACTGCGTGCTCTTTTTTCACTTCTCTTTAAAGCGGGAGGAAAGAGGACTGGCTACATAAGATCTAGCAGATTCATTTAGTTAAAAATGGTTTCAACGTTAACTTGTTACTGTGATGAACTGTGTTTAGAACCAAGTGTTTTGCTTTAGAAGTGTTCTTTTCCTTTAAAATGTCATGAAGATTGCACGGAGTAATGCAATGCTTAACACTACCTGCATTAAAGTATGTTGAGTATTTGGAAAACACTATATTAATGTCATTATAAAACAAAATATAACTGGACTATGACTTCAGTATGGTATTTGCTTTCTGTCAGTTCATGCTTATTGTTTGTTAATGTTATCAGCTTTTTAGTAGAAGGTATCTTGCAGCTGTGTGCAGATTTGTGTTTCAGCTTTGGCAAGTCTCCAAGAGGAGTAATTGGGATTAATGTAGTGATGCTTTTTCTGTCAGGATTGTGTAGATGCAGAACTGGAAAATGACTGAATGAATTGTAGTAGTAGTGATATTCTGAGAATATCCAAAACAACCATTGTAGATAAATGTGTTTGTGAGCATTGTTTTTACCCAGTTGTAACTAATACTTTATATATGTGGTGTTTTGTTACAGGTTGCTGTTGAGGTCTTTGGCCTAGTACAGCAGTTGCTTCCTTCTGTGGCAGTTCTGAATCAGAAATATGCTCCTCCAGCTTTTAACCCAAATCAGTCCACAGACAGCACTACTGGAAACCAGCCAGAGCAAGGGCTTTCAGCTTGTACTACCTCCAATCATTATGCTGTTGTAGAAAGTGAGCATCCTTATAAACCTGCCTGTGTTACACACTATAAGGTGAGCACCATTTCCAAGTGTATATGCAGTTTCTTAAAAGATTTTGACATGTGGATTTTGTTTTGTCAATGTTTTCTCTCTGAAAAATTGTTGCAATGGATGATAATTCATATTGTCTACTGTCAGAGGCAGTTTTATATACAATTACTGTACTGCTTTCTGGAGAAAACTCTGTCCAGTAAGTATAATGGAAACTGGAGTGGAAACAAGTGTAGCGTTAACCCCCTAATGCAGGTATCTAGGACTAAAGTCTTAGATTTTGCTACTGTCATGTACAGTTTCTTTGCTCTAACTGTACAGGCTGTAGAAGTTGGAAGTCTTTATGTACACATTATGTAATCATATCTCAGACTTTCTTACCTAATGCTAAAACAACGCTTTGTAAAATAGTGTCAGTTCAAGTCAAATTAATTATGGTGTAGGGATCCCTATGCTGGCTGGTTTTGGTCTGCCAATTTAAGTTTTTCATCAATTACTTTGACTTGGACCGTGATCTGGCATTGCAGAAGTCTCTGAAGTCTTTAACTGTGTTAGGTCACTCTGAGTAGGATGTGTTCCACCTTACATCCATGACCATTGCAATAAAACTAGGTTTTCCTCAAGGTCAGTAGTGAAAGGGTGTTTTTTCTAGTTAAGGGGTGAGGCATAAATTACTTGCCTGAGAGATAAATCTCATGTTGCAGTTCTTGAAATAGTGAGTTCTGCAGTCACATTGATTCCGTGACTGTGAATCATGAGGCAGCAAACCTGGAATTAGAGAGCTGGATGAGTTCATTAATTACTAATCCACTTGGTTCTCCTGTAAGACAGCAAGACCTTCACTGGAGAAAATGTAGTTACCATATGATCTTCCTTGATGCACTGATTCTTATAGTTCTACAAGTTTATAGATCTCATCTGAAGCCTTAGGCTTAGTTGTTGCTGCCTTTGAATTTCTGTAGTTATATGCTGTCATAATGCAGGCCATGTTCACAAGTGCAGTTCAGCTGCTGTGTACTTTTCTAAGATTGCACAAATCAGATGCTGAATGTGTCTGGTGAAGTTTGCATTTAAAAACTTATTTGAGAATTAAATGTTTGTAATGGTCTGTGGCTGTTCTGTTTAATGGTCCTGTGCAGAGTTCTTAAAAACAACCACAAAATGGTATCATGAGCACAAATACTTAATCTGAACGTAAGTTAGAAGACATAATTATAATTCAGTAAGATGTAAAGCATTTCGGGTATATCTGAACATCAAAGAATAAATTAGGATAATGTTAATCTAAAGAATATCAAAACAAATGTACAGAATTGCATAATTGAATGACTTCTCTAGCCTAAAGAGTCAAAACCAAATGAAAGTAAAAAAGCATTTAATTAGACTATTGTTTTGTTCTAGGTGACTTTTCCTGAATGTGTCAGGTGGATAACAATAGAGTTTGACACTCAGTGTGGCACTGCTCAATCAGAGGATGTTCTTCGTTTACTAATTCCTGTTAGAATTGCGCAGAGTCTGGGATTTGGACCAAAGCATGCTTCTGTTCATGACAACCTTAATTCATGGGTAGAGCTGAAAAAATTCTCTGGATCTTCAGGATGGCCTACCATGGTATTAGTATTGCCAGGTAATAAATAGATACTGCAATATTTTCTACTAATGTGAATTATTAAAATAGTGAAAGGTTTGATTTTTCTGCAAAATTATCTTAGAAAGCAAAGTTGAAAAAGTGTCTTCATCCAAACTGGCAAGACACTGTGAGCCATTGTTGTACATCAGTTGATTGCATTTTTATATTAGATTTCTTGTTTGAAGTGTTAGTCTGCTAATTATTCATGGTTTTACTTTACATGTTATAAAGCCTAGGTTTCATATATGATCCTATGGAAGAAACATACAAAAAGAGGAAAAGTATCAAATGTTTATGTATTTATTTTATGTATCCTTTTCCTCCTTATAAGGAAATGAAGCTCTTTTTTCTCTGGAGACTGCATCAGACTATGTGAAAGATGAAAAGGCTTGTTTTTATGGTTTCAAATGTTATGCAATTGGATATGAATTTAGTCCAGGATCTGATGAGGTAAGTAAAAAGGGCAATGGCTGCAGTTGCTGCACCTATTAATTCTCTTCTGTAAGGCTAGGTTTTTTTGTTTGGTTTGGGGTTTGTTTTGGTTTGTTTTTTGTGTTTTTTTTTTAATATTTGTATTTCCACTTCTGACTAAATAACATTAGCAGAATGGTTCTAAATTAATTTTGTACAAGTTTTTAAGGATTTTTTGTTTTGTTTTGTTACAGACATTTGTTTGGAATTTTTTAATCTGAATATTATTGGAATGGCTTTTTGTTTGGTTTGGTTTTTTAATAACTGATGGTCTGCAAATAAATAGCATGTCAATGGGATGTGAAATTTCCTAGAATTCTGACCTTTTCTTCCATCAGAAATCCGAAGGATTGGGATTTTCAGATACACAGTGATTAGTATTTTGCTGTCACTGCCCATCGTGGGATGACAAACTTGCATTATTTTTCCATGTTCACTCGTACCAGAGCTCTCAGACTCCCTGGAGATGCTGGCCTCATTTAGGCTACTTGAGATTTTGTGCAGTGGTCACCTCATCTTGCCTTTAAGGACATGTGTCATTTCCACCACTGTTGCCTTGTTGCAAAGGGAAGATAAAATTTTTTCATAATCTTAGGCCAGTTAATCATTTTGGGTTATTTTAAGAGATTAATGATAAAAGGCTTTATAATAATGCTGGAAAAATAGCCCCTCCCTTACCTTAGGAGTCTTTGAGCCCATTGCAGACCTTGTGAAGTGCTTACACCACAGGCCTCACAGAAGATTTACCTCATCTTATTCCTGGATTCTTCTCAAGCTAAATCATGTCTTCAGGTTTTCAAAACATGAAATTCTGAAGAATTTCATAGTATTCAGATAGTAAAACATACTGCAAGATTATTAGCTGTGAAGGCCGAGGGGGAGTGAGCGAGCAGCTGCGTGGTTCTGAATAACAAGCTGGGCTTAAACCACAATAGTCTCCCTTGCTTGTACCAAATCAGATTAACAAATCCTATAAATAATCTAACTAGTCTGTGTTTGAGTAATAATAATTCTTGCTTAAGCAGGCAAAAAGGTTGCAGAATCATATACGTCATTAATTTTTTTAAGCCATTTACAAACTAAGCTGCTGGCGTGTTTTTCACAGTCAGTGCTAAAATATGCCAGCCAGTACGTTAATTAACTATACCAGCTAAAGAGAAGTTGTAATTGTTTTCAAGCATACCTTTTTATGGCCCAAAACCTCTTAATTTAAAAGTTTTATAAATAGAAAAGCTACCTTGCATCTCAACGCTAAAGCCTTAAGTTAAGTAACTGGGTACACAACACGAGTTTCTCATTCTTTTGGGAACTATGTGATGATAATTTTTGGAAGTGTTATCACTAGTAGAAAAAGAAAAGTATGTTCTGATGACCATTGCGTTTTCTCTAGATAAAAGGAATCAGTAAGACCTAATTCAAGGCAGTGGGATTATTTTTCCACATCTGTTTCTCTCTCTTTCCAAAGAACAAGCTTTTGGTACCATTACCAAGCTATAGTATATTGAACGACATTCGTTGTTAGGGAAGTCTCTTTAAAAAATGAAAGGTGTCACACTGTGAGCTAGTGCATCAAGGAATTGGGTGTAGTTGGGCTATTAAACTTCATTGAAACCTAGGATTTTTGCACAAATTTTAGATTTATGCTTTGAATGAAAAGGAAGGCTTTTTGCTGGTCATAATGTGTGTAAAATATATGTAAAATCTGCCTTCTTCATAAGGGGTGTTCATACAGCAGGGACCTCTGGTGGGATGATCCACATTTCACATCTTTTCAGCACCTGCTGTTTTAAGTCCTAAAGATGCAGTTTACCAAGGGTTTAGCTTAAAATGCGTTTTGGAGACTTTTCAGTGTGATTGGGATCTTGGAGTTTACAGGGCAAGTCTAGGGTTACTGATTTTGAAGGCTCTTTCCAAAAGAAGAGTATTTTTATCTACTATACATATTGCCAGTTTCTGTAAGTCTGCCTAGAAAATCTGTCGTAGAGAGGTTTCCTATATCCCCCACTGTTTTTGGTAGTGTTTTTTGGTTTTGGGTTTGTTTTTTGTTTTTCCTCCAGGAGAGGCATCTGTCAGAGGTGTGTGCTGATCCACCCACAGATTCCTTTAAAATTTCAAATTGGTGTTAGTGTCAGCACCTTTTTGTGAGCAAAGTTAAGGGGGTTGTGCCTGCATGTAGCTGGGACAAGTTGAAGGAAAAATATCAGGTACATTTCTTCATGGTGTAAAAACTAGCTAGAACCTCCCTTGCCATTTAGGTGCACCCCTTCCTTGCACCCAGCCTCCATCCCTCCAGGTATTTGACAATCATGTGCATGGTCTGATGGTATTCCTGATGGAGAGGCTCTCATGTGTTTTCAGTGACAATCTGGTGGGTGGGAGGGAGTCTTCTCATTCCCTACAACAGCAGCGTCAATAGAAAGAATTAACTTTTCAGTGCAAATAGAAGGGAGAAACCGTCAAGGGTATTACCAGGATATATAATGGAGAAAGAGAAATTATGGACTCTTTTTCCATCCTTGCCTCTCCAACTAGAGAGAGGGAAGAGGAAAGAGGAGAAAGGAAAAAAGGTTTTGAACAGTGCTACATTTAAACAAGATGGGAATGTGAGCCTGTGTGGTACAGCTTAGAAGAGGCATTGCTTTGCAATCTGAAAATGTATGAGTAGCACTTTTTTGTATTAGGAAGTTTCCTTTCTCTTTAATGTTAAAAAACTTTGGTACTCTGGCCCATGTCATAGCAAAATATGACAGTATATTGCTGAGAAAGTTCAAACTGGAACACATACTCTCTCTGTTAGGGTAAAGTAGTGTCAAGGAAATGTATTCATTGTCCTATTCTCTGTGACACTTTTTGTTTTCAAATTTGTTTCAATTTGAAGGGTATTATTCAGCTGGAGAAGGAATTGGCAAATTTAGGAGGATCGTGTGCAGCAGCTTTGATGAAGAAGGATCTAGCACTTCCTATTGGTAAGTACTCAAAGAACATACTTTGCTATTTCATCATTACTTTGGGTTTTCTGAATACCACCTCTAAGACTTAGTGTTGCTTTCAGTTAGAGATAATCATATGAAATTAATTCTTAAAACTGAATTAAGCAAACAAGATAGTAAAGTGGTGTTCCCTTCAAGTGTGTATGGGGAGGAGGGAAACTTAGTCATTTAAATCTGAACCAACTCCACCCATCCACAGGTAGTGTATCAGTGTACGAGCTATGTCTTACAGCTTTCTCGTGGCACTTCACAAATGTGCAGGTATCTTATTTGTATTTCTCTTTCACTGGTTTTTCTCCCTGCATTCCACACCTTTCTGAATGTAAAATACCTGCAGCATTGAATTGCAAGATTTAAAATTAGTAGTTTAAAAATTGAAAGTGACCATTGACCTTATAGCCCAAAATATTGCTGCTGTAGGGGTATTTTTTACAATTACAAAAAACCCCACACACTTCTACAGCAGATGCAGCAAATAAGCTTGCAGTAACCCAAATTCAATTTAAAATGTAAGAAAAAATATGACTTTATGAAAACTAATGGATATGAAGATGAATTAGAACACCTCCTACTGGTGCTGCCATATTCTGTGTAATAGCATTCCTCCTAATTAACATTAGTGTATAGGAAAAACACTTATAATATATAATAGGATCTTTTTGATCATTTTAATTTAGGAGCACAAACAAGAGCTCAAATATTTATGAGACTGAAGTGTGTATTAATGAGCTGGAAGGCATTGATCAGTGTCCACTTACAACCACAAAACCGAATTAGTGATTTATTTTTTTTACTTCGTATTTTGCTTGTGTATTTGAATATGCAAATTTCTTTATATCAGAAATAGGCACCTCAGTTGCACTGGTAGGTCTGTATTTCTCTCTCAAAAGTATAAGGCAATTCTATATTTTTAATAGTGCCCTCTTCTCTTATCCTCCAAACAGCCGCATTAACTCCCTAGTTTTGTTGACTGACCTAGCATCCATTTATACTTCTGTTACGAAAAATGAAAAAGGTTCTATCTTAATTTCCCAGGATTCCTAATAACATCACACTTCTCTCTAAAGCGTTTTGGTTTTTTTGTCCTAATTTTGAATGTAGGTGGTACATAGATTGGCTTTGTATGCTTTCAGATGGAAGGAATCTGAAATAAAATATGCAGTCAAGTTTCCTCAAGTCTCAGCCATCTATAAAAGTGCTTGTGTAAGATCTGCAGAAGAGGAAGCATAGGTGCATTGGCCTGCAAATAGTTTCTGGAGTACTGATGTAATTGATTCATCTGACCATTTACACCAACTCGAGGACTTCAGCCAAGTTCTCTTAGTGTCGCTGATAATATTACAGTGCCAATGACATACATACATATTGTTTCATCTATAAAATTAATCTACATGACCACTAGACCCTGTGAATAAATATAAGATTAATTCTAGGCAACAGTGGTAGCTGCTTTTTTACAACAGTTGTTGGTTTTTCAGAAAGTCACACTTCATCCTTGCCAGTTCTGTTGATTTTTTTAAATTTAGGATGCTGCTTTCCAAAAGAGATCTGATCTGTGTCAAAGATGGAACTTGAACAGCAATGTGGAAATATATTTAACATTATTACTGGCAAGTAATTACTAGCATTTCAAATTTGGTAGAAGTTACTTCTGAGAGCAGAGTTTTTATATATCTCTATTTCTTTGAATTTTTAAAGTGCCTTAGGACTTGATTATGCTCCTTTCTCTTTCTCTCTTCTGCCTATTAGAATTTCCTGATATGCTTTTGAGAGAGAGTAGAAATAGGGTAACCTTATCCGGTTTACTTTTTTGTTAAGAGACTGTGTTTGGCAATTCTGGTCACCCTGGAATCAGAATTTCAAGTTGCATCTGTGAGAACGAATTATTGTATAATAGAATGTATTTAATTTTTATGTTTTAAGGAGAAATCATAATTAGCAAAATTGTGCAGAGTTTTCAGGTTTTCAAATACTAGGGTAAGCTTGTCAAAGGGAGCAGTTGGTATTGCTTCCCAGAAACTATCTTGACCTACCAGAATCTTTTTCTGAAAGTTTCTAGTCATATCCAAAGATTTGCCATACATATTGTGTTGGAGATAAGTGCCAGTTTTTTGGTTTGTGTAACGTATATTGTTGTTCTGGGCAAACAACAATTGTTTATTTGCTTGTGCACTGAACTACACAGTACTGCATGTTTACTGTATTACTTGAAAATACTCATCTTTCAATTATAAACAATATTACACATCCTCACGCAAGTTTAAATTTTGCGATATAAAAGGTTTCACTAAACAGAGTTGAATTTAACATTATATAATATGTAAATAAGTGTCAGTGTTATTGTTATGAAAAATAGATACTTATATTTTTACAGCAGGTAATGAATTTGAAGATGATCTTGAGATACTTGAAGAGGCTGCCTTACAGGTATACTGCAGCTTTTTATCCATTGCAACATTCTTAAGCAAATCACTTTTAAGTTTTATATAACAGGAGGGAATCCACCTTTTTATAAAACAGTTTAAGAAAGTCTTACAGAAGTCTAGTATTTACATTCAATCTTTTTTTATAATAACTTCACTTAGAGAAAAATGTATCAATTATTACATAGAAAGTTATATTACCAAGTATATTTCAAAATGTGCCTGTTTGGCTGAAGTCGCACTATTCAGGAAATTTTAAATGTTCCCAAAATTAATCTTTTACATGTCTTGCAACTGGAGAAATAAAATCACTTCCTCAGTTGAGTGGTAACATAGTGTCGTGGTTTAAACCCAGGACACATAGCAAGTCGCCAGATTACATGATTTCAGTTCTGGTTTTGTTCGTATTTTATTTGTTGTAATGGGAGCCTATGCTAGTCAGTAACTCCCTGTCGGTAGTCCCTAGCTGATGATGAACAGTGAAAAGGAGTTTTCACATTCTCTCTCTTTCCATTATTATCTTCAGGGCAACTGTTTTGAAATTCAGTTGTCACAGTAGTTGTTGGAACACTGTTATCAGTGCTACTGCATAACACTGTTGCAGAGGCCTTAGATGACAGAATAGTAACCAGAAACTGTCTAGGAAGAATCAGATGTTCATTGGACAAGTATTTTTCAGCAGTCTGCTCTTAGACCCACCATTTTCTAATTCAAACTGTGAGCTAGGAGTGTGCATGGAAATAATGAATTTTCAGTTTTAGTCCTGTCTGTTCAGTATTTCCTGTATCTTCGCATCTTACTTCCCTTCTTGCAAAGAAAGCATTTATTTTACTTTGTCTTATTAAAAAAATTCTTTAAGAGATCTGCCTCTCTGTAAGTTGTATCTGTGGCCTTTTGTATTCCTTTGGAACATGCTCATTGGTCACATTTTCAGAATGTCTTTCTTCATTCTTCTGGTCACAGTTCAGTAGTTTAGGGTACTCTGAAGATGAAAATCCATATTACCTTTTTGTTTCCCCCAGAAATTCTCCCTTAACTCAAGATTGTTTAATCTCCTTTGACGTATATTACTGGTTTATAGACTGAGATGACTTTTATAACTTGCATTGGGGTAAAGTTTATCCACTCCTCTCCTCCTTGAATGGTTTTCAGTGCCCAGAGTGTCTGTAATTGTGTCATATTATGGGAAGGTGCCTACATGTAAGATACTGTTTTATGTCTCCATCGTGTCACTCCCACCTCAACCTCTGGCAAAAAACACAGGTGTGCAAATCTCACTCCGGCATTCTTGGGAAGGGCTTGGCACTGTCTCACTCCCCAACCATTTTGGAAGCTCTCGAAGGAAATCTTCCACTTCAGGTACAAAGCAATGAACAGTCATTTCTGGAGGATTTCATTGCTTGTGTACCAGGATCAAGTGGTGGACGACTTGCAAGGTAAAAGTTTGTGTGCTGCATGAATAAACCCATTGCTTCATTGTTGTACTGTTTAAGTTTTACAGCAAAGTAGAAAATGTTACGTTACCTGCTAAATTTTAAAACCTATGCACTGTTGCATGTCTGTAAAACCAGCTATAGAACTTTTAACAGTTATAGTAAATACTAGTTAAATAAAACTATTTGGCTGAATTGTTTCTATTAATATATTGGGTAAAAGTGTTTGTTTATGTATTCAGACCTTCTTCTCTTAGCTGGAAGTGAAATTTGCACAGAGTAAGAATTTACCTTTTGAGGGGCTATATGGGATTTTAATGTTAGGTGGTTTTCTTTGCTGTAGGTGGCTTCAGCCAGATTCATATGCTGATCCTCAGAAAACATCATTGATTTTGAATAAAGATGACATTCGATGTGGTTGGCCAACTGTTATTACTGTGCAAACAAAAGACCAGTATGGGGATGTTGTTCATGTTCCTAATATGAAGGTAATTACTGTAATCTTGACAACTATTATACTTCATTGTGCCATCTTTTAGTATTTGTTGAAGATACTTAAAGAATACTCTTGTATAGGGCAGAAAATGGCATTCATAAATTCAGTGTAGTTAGACTTTCTTACCTCTTAAGTTCACAACATTATTTTGCAAGTAGTCTGTTCTCCCTCAGCAAACTGTGTACAGCTGCTATGTTACTTGCACTAATGGAGGTCTGTGGTACCTCTGGGGAAAAAAAGTTAAAATAATGTTAAAGGGCACAGTATAAATGTACAGTGCTGATAAACTAGGGCGGCAGAGCTAGACAAGATCCAATCTCACCAGTGCTGACCCACATCTTGCAGGTCCTGATGATACACTCTGAAATCTGTGTACTTGTTTGGAAGGCTCTTGGAAGGATTTTCAGTTGTGGGAAAACTTAACTAAGCAAACAAGACTACATGCTGCTTCCCAGGGTATACTCTGGGGTTGGCAGAACTCACATTGCCTGTCCCTTTAATAGTCATGTGCCAAGTCAGTTGGGTGCTTCTCTCATGTATATTTACATTGTTCAGAGATGCTGTGCTTGGCTTTGCAAATTGTTTGGGTTTTGACACAGCTGAATTTATAGTGACTTCCCTGAGCACTTTATCACTGTACATTATTAGATATAAAAAACAATGTGTGTGTGTTTTCTCCCTGAATCACCTTCTGTATTCCATATCTTACTGCAGGTAGAAGTCAAAGCTATTCCTGTTTCTCAGAAAAAAACATCTTTGCAACAAGAGCAAGCTAAAAAGGTACAACGGATACCAGGGAGTCCTGCAACAGCTGCATCCCCTAGCAGTGATATGACCTTTGGAGGACTTCCTTCACCAAAGCTAGATTCTTCCTATGAGCCAATGATAGTAAAAGAAGCTCGATATATTGCTATTACAATGATGAAGGTAAATTACTGTCATTTCATCAATGTGACTATAAAATTCAGCATTCAAAGTGTGAAAAGGCATGCAAATGAGAGGGGGAAAAAGTATATTTGTTTTTGGTCACAATTTATAAATACATTAATTACAAATTACTTTGGTTATATTTAAGTTCAGCAGAAAACTAGGTGCATCAAAAGAGCCAATTACCTGAACTCTAAAGCCATTATAAACTGGATTAGCATTTAAAAAGAAAAATTGTCTTTGATTTTGAATTGTACTGATTAACAAACTAGTCTGAACCACTCAGGAGAAATGAAAACAGCTATTGAAAGTCATGATTTCTGTATCAATGAATGAAATTTTAAACAGCATCTGTTGAAATCAGCTGTTGCCAAATGGATCAGCTCTCTCTTCTTGTTGAAACATGGTTAACTTCTATATTTGACATGTTCCTGGGGAATCTTCCAGAGGTTCCTTTCAGGTTGGTCTTTTACATCCAAAACTTTATTTAATTCACAAGAGGGCTGATATTTTGCTGCTTAAATTAAGGGCTGTCTGAAATTTTGGGAAATGCAGATGTGTTACCTACTGTATTTGATTAGCTTATTAACAACTTTACTGATTCAAGAACGTGTAAACATTCTCTTCTACTTCCCTCCCTGCGTTACCGAGTACATTCATTTTAGCATAAAATGCAGATGTCTAACTTCTTCATACCAGCCTGCATGTTGTATCAGTACTTGATGTAAACATCCAAATATGATTATAGACTCTGTCTTCTCACTTCATGACAGTAAATTATGACACGTTGTATAGAGACCCAAAATGGCTAAGCTGCATCTATGTTCAAATGTTATTGAACATTTAAACACCTCTTCTTCCCCTGTTTTTAATTTTACACAGGAGTCATATAACCATTGCAGCCCAGAGAGATTCTTGCTGAGGGACTTTGTGCATTTCAAGGACTACTGCCATTAGTTACTTCTTGTGGGGCTTTTCTGTGGATTAATTCCACAGGAAACTGTGCAAGTGAACCAGGTCTTTTTTTTGTAGTGGGAATCCATGGAAATACCACCTCAGTATAGAATGAATATGTTCTTCACTTTCAGTAGAAAGAAAACTCCATTGATAAATCCACTGGCCTGGTTTGCAGTTTTTGACTTGCAACATATTTTGCTTTATCCTCACATGGTCTCCAGTTCTCTACCTGCATTCAAAGGCTTTTTATACAAGTGTGAGGTGAGAATAGATTCAAGGACTTCACTGTGAACAAAGGTTTAGTTAGCAATACTTTATTATCTAAATAATGGCTGTTTTAGAGAGAAAGTGAAGGTACCTTTTTCATATCTGTGTCCCTGCCCACGGCAGGGGGTTGGAACTAGATGATCTTAAGGTCTTTTCCAACCCTAACTATTCTATGATTATATTTGTCTATGTTTCTGTGCTTTGGAATTTGTTTCTGGTTCCCTGACCAATGCTTCTGGTGAGTCTAAAGTTAGATTACTGTGTTCTTTGAGACAGTACTCTGCTTTCTTTTATCTATGACTGTCCTATAACTGGTAACTGTTGATTTTGTTTGTTGAATTTAATCTGTTTATAGGCATATGAAAATTATTCTTTTGAAGAACTGCGCTTTGCTTCACCAACACCAAAGAGGTAAACACCAAAAAATCCCCTTTTTGATAGGGACTTAATTAAAATGCCCTGTTATTTCTGCTTACACCCAGATTCACAAGGCTTGATTGCCAGATAAACTTGTTTAAGGGCAGAAGCAGAAAAATTGCTTCTTTTCTCTTTCTTTTAAAATTGACGTATTTTTTCTTAAATTTAGGGATTTTGTTTAGAATTGTTAATTCTTAATTGTGCTAATGTTGATTCACTATTTGTGTTATCTTCTCTCTGAATGTATTCTTCCATCATTTGCTGTAAATAAATGTGGCATAGAGAGTTATAACTTCATAATAAATAATAAGGGCTTAGTACATTGGACAGATGGTTTCCAATAGGATAGTAATTGTTTAATCATTTCAGTTGTTCTGTTTATGTCTAGACCCAGTGAAAACATGTTGATCAGAGTCAATAATGATGGTACATACTGTGCAAATTGGACTCCTGGAGCTGTTGGTCTCTATACCATTCATGTTACTATAGATGGCATTGAAATAGGTATTTATTTTTCACTATGCTTAAGCATAAATTTATATTATATCCACTTTGTATACTGATAAATGTATGTCTTTGTGCTCACAAGGCTTTTTATTACAGTTCGTAGCAAAATTTAGCACCCAAGTAACAAAAAAACTCCAGAAGAACTGAAGGAAAGGGGAAATTGTTCCTGACCATGCAGGAGTAAATAATATCACTTTCACTGTGGAAAACTGAGAAAGTGTGGCCTTAACTGAGACTCTACCCTAGGTCTCAATTATTTGCACTAATTTTTAAATGCTTTGGGTTTCTTCCCTGCTGAAAGTCTTTCAGTTGTCTTGCTAGTCCTAGAGATTACGTTATGAGATACTATAGCATGCTGTGGAAAGATTTCCCCTCCAAAAAGGTCTACTGAGGCCATTAATTTGTAGTTTGGCTTTAACAGTGATTGCTGAGAGAATTTCTTTTAAGATTATTACTCGAGGTTATATCCATCTGGTTTTGGTTGGCGTTTTTTTGGTTTGTTGTTTTTTTTTTCAACTTAGTCTTTGTTTGCTTATAGATGCTGGACTAGAAGTGAAAGTAAAAGATCCTCCAAAAGGAATGATACCTCCAGGAACCCAACTTATTAAACCAAAAGCAGAGCCTCAGCCAAACAAGGTTTGGAGAACTGAAAAAAAAAAAAACAAACTCCACAATCAAACGCAAACAGAAACTTACATTGGGGTGGGATTTTATTGTTTACTACATACTTTCCATGTTATGGTTCTGCAGGACTTAAGGATATTTGAAACCATTTTAATGTACTAAATGGAATGAAATGCATATACTGGATACAGTGAAAGCTATTAATTCCATTTTCTTTCTGTCTGTCCATGAATAAAACCGTCAGAAGCTCAACAGAAACTTCCTTAATCTTGGATTGTCGCACAAATATTGTGCAACTATTATAAAAGCCTCAGGCTGCATGCACTATTATTAATTCTTTGATACTGTACTATGAAATTAGTTGTATAAAGGGCTTTACAAAGATTTTGTTTTTTGATAAGGATCTTCTTGAGTCAATATGAAATCCAAAATTAGCTTCTTTAGTAATATATACCTTTCTTAGAACATCATTATTTTATTTTTAATAGTTACTCTTTCTGTAGCTTTTGATTTCCCCATTTCACCTTGTCATTCCACCCTGGGGGACTAAAGTTGACATAAATAATGGAGGAAAGCCAAAAGGTGCTGTGGCAGTGCTATAAGGAAAATACCCAGATGCAGGGACCTCATCTTCTCACTGATCATCCTCATCATCCACTTCCTCTTAAACACAAAGGAAAGGATATTAAATGAGTCATTAAATTCTTTTTCAAATGAAGAAACCTGTATTAAAAGATGTGGAATTCTGAAATACCATAAGGTTATCATTCCCCATCTTGGTACAGCTGCAAAGGGGGCTAAGAAATACATGATTACAAAAATGATTGGGTGTTTGCCAACTTCTTACCTATACAGCACATTGTGATTTACATGAATAATCTAGTCAGCAGTTTTGTTGTACAGTTCCCCAGTCTGTACATGCATCCAGCATCTGCTTGTGCTACCCTGCACCTTCACCTCAAAATAAAAATACTTTTAGTTTCCACACAAATTTTTCTTATCCCTCATTACATTATTTCTCTTCCTTTTTTTTTTTTTTTCCCCCAAAAAAATATTTTTAGGTTTTTCTCCCTTCTGTTGGAAGAGAGACTTCTGGTTACTTTATTATCTTAATTAAAACTTCCAATTCCTACTGGGTGAGATTCATCTCACAGAACTTAATGATATCTATCCAAGCTGATCATCATATGTGTTGTTCACTGTTACCAAAGTGAGAGAGACATCTGGTCTAAGATGAGATAAATTGCTGGATGGAAGTGCTGTGTTCTTTTGAATTTTTGCAGTGGAAATTGACATGACTGGTTCATGCAATAGCAGCTACGTTTTGTCAATAGTCTTTGTGACAGTTAAAAATTCTTGATAAAAGTTAGGCCTCTGGTATTCTGAGGCATTACTTAGTGTTTAAAAATCTCCCTGTTTTCTTCTGCTCGCATGTTTTGTTTCTTGTTCCAAGCGCTAGTCTCTTTGAAAAAGGAGCCATCTTTCTGTGCTTTATGTAGTGTCTGTAGAGCCTGCTGCAAAAATACATTGGACCTTTCATGGTAAATCACATAATCACGTAACAAACCAGGTTAGAATAATTCTTTGTGTATGAACAGTAGCATTGGAAATAATCTAGAAAGGTAATTATTGCACTATGCTACGTGTATATGGAGCCAACAGTACAGATTAGACATGTATTAGTCAGAGGAAGTCCAATATACCAAATCACATTTTGCTGAGAGAAAGGACATTGTTAGAAGCTTCTTCCTCTTCATTGTCAGCCTGAAATTTAATATAACCAAAGGACGCTAACACTGTCTTCTCAGCGATGATCTGTTCTTGACTAGAAATGCCAAAATATTTTCATTAAGGAAGTGGAACATTCCAATTTTGTCGTCAAACCTTACTTGAATTGCAAGATGAAAATGGAATAGTGTATAGTAATACATGGTGTATTACAATTTTTTTAAGACTTTTGCTGTCCATTCAAGTTGCTAAAGGAGATTATCATAGTGATCTCTATTCAGCCTGGAGTATATGATCCATAGGAACTGCTTCCTCTTCATTGGCTGTGAAACTTAGATTAACTAACATGCAGAAAATTTCATTCCACATTCTACTGAGGGAAACGTTACCTTTCAAGCTATGTAATGTAATTCAGAGTAGCTGGAACCAGGAGGAAGAAAGCAGTTCTGATTTAGCTGTATTGCAAGTGGCAAAACTGGCACCACAGCAACAAATCTCTTGAAAACTGCCGTGCACTGGAGTACCTTAATTGCTGAGCCTTTCTACATTAGTCACTCCTTTAGTCAGAATCCATTTTGTTATGAACTGGTTATGAGGTTTACAGGGCAGAGTTACTGAACCATAGAGAAATATTCCAGGCAAAGAGGTGCTATACCAGGAAGAAGACTCAGACAGTTAAGTTTTTCATGATGTTCAGAAATGGAATATAATTTCATCTCTTTTTTTTGTTGTTGTTGTATTATCTGTTAGTGGATCTAATCACTAAACTGTTTGTAGTTACAGCTTGAAGTTTTCTATTAACTAGTTAGCTGCTGCAAAGGGGAAAAATGCTCTTTCCTGGCCTGTGCATATCCACATCTTGAGTGCCAGTACTTCTTCCTCTAAATTCAAGGTTTTAATTAAAGTTTTAGCTTCTTATCGTATGATTTTCTGAAGTAACATTTTTTTACCGCAGGGACCCTAATTTGCAAGGCTCTGTTTATGGGCCTTTTTGTGTTGAGAATGCTGTCAGCAATGATTCAGCCTTACATTTTTACAAGGACCTTCTAAGTCCTGTTTTTGCCTGTTGAAAAATCTAGCTCTTTGGAGTAACAGGGTTGTTTGTAAACAAAACCTTGCACATTCTGGAGTAAGTTACATTTGAAATCCTTCACATTTCTTTTTTTTTTTTTAAATTAGCTTTAAAATAAATGCCATTTCTTAAAATAAATAGTTTATTTGGGGGGAGGTAGGAAATCAGGCACTTAGCTGTTACCTTTCATTACATTTTCCTGAGTGTATTCTTTCTATAGCATTCTGTGCTGTATGTTAAGTTAGGGTTTATACTACAGTTTATACTTTTTTCACTTTTGCCTGTGGAGTTTGAAAATAACCTTACAAGAAAAAAGCTTTACACTGCATGGATAGAATATATGCACTTCTTAAAACCAAAGACCAAAAGCATGGCTTACATTTGTCCTCTGTAGGATAGGTGCCTGATGAAGTGTTTGAATGGTGAAAAAAATGATAGTGAATAACAACTAGGAGATTTTTGGGGGGTGTGGTGAATCAAACTAGTTGTAAGGAGCATCTGATCTAACCTTCCTGTGAAAAAGGGAGAAACTATTGAAAGAGCTATTTGAAAAATAAAGAAAGAGAGAGATGTGTTATTTCTCTATTTTTAAATGGCTGTTTAAACTCTATAGCTAAAGAAAATATCCACATTCTGGCCAAAAAGCTGACTAAAGAGGATATTGTCACAGCAGAAATGAGAAGTGGTAATCGCAGGTTGATCAGTTACTGGAAATACTAAATTTGAAAAGGCAAAATCCTTGAAACTTGGAAGAATTAGTAAGATGAATGGAGGGCAGCAGTTAAAGGAATCAGAAGCTTGTAGTGAATATTGTGTGGTATAATGCAGATCTTTCTAAGGCTGAGTCAGTGCACTTTCAGGGCTTTTCTTAACTGTATGATTTTATTGGTTATGGTAAAAAAGTGAAGTTACACACAGCAGCCATGGGAAACTAGCAACAAACTGTAACTCTTATCACTGGCATTTCAGAATCTATTAAACCTACTTCTTTTACTCTTTGAGAGCTCTGTTCCAATTTTTTCTTCCTTACTGTCTTCCTTTGCTTCTCTTAGGTTCGCAAATTTGTGGCCAAGGACAGTGCAGGGCTTCGTATCCGTAGCCACCCTTCCCTTCAGAGTGAGCAAATAGGCATAGTGAAAGTCAATGGATCCATCACTTTCATTGACGAGGTAATTAAGGGATTTCTGTTGAAAATTGGGCTAAGATGTGAAGTTAATTCATGCAGATAATGTTTTTTCATGTTTAGATGTTGACATACAGAAATTGAGAACATAACAGTATAAATCACAAAAATCTAAATATTTACTAATTTAGTTTTTCAAGCTGTCATTTCCTTTTACTTACTTGAAAACCTGTGTAACAAACTTTCGAGACTAATAAGAGGAAATAAAATTCCTAGAGTTCGTCTTATAATGATATCTCTAAGAATTAAGGTGTTTCATACCTTACTATTTCAACCCTACATAAAAATTTAGATGTAGGTGTTATTTTCACTACATCTTTCGCTTACACTTCTGAAAGATCACTAGTGTGTTAGACTACTGTGCATATATGATTTTTACAATATAACTTCATATAAGGAATATTTTTGCAATTTACTAAGTTATAAAAACAGTGGAAAACTGGCAAGTGGGGAACTTAAAAAAGCTTTATGAAGACTTGACTTTCCTCTTCTCTCAAAGCAACTCTTATTACTGCATAATCTGATTTAAATTTATCTTTGCATCTTGCCTTCTAAAAAGATATGCCTCCCATTGCTTTGAAATTCTGGTTTTGTTGATGCTTCTCTTTACGTCTTTCTTAATTCTATCAGCATAGTGGTGATCATTGCTTCCTTGCTGCTGTTTGTCTGAAGTCTGTTAATCCTTACTGGCTTTGAAACAGTTACAGAAGGGCATGGCTCGTTTTTGTTGCTTGTTTCCCATAGATCCACAATGATGATGGTGTTTGGCTGAGGCTGAATGATGAGACAATAAAGAAGTATGTTCCTAACATGAATGGTTACACTGAAGCCTGGTGTCTGTCTTTTAACCAACATCTTGGCAAGAGCCTTCTGGTACCTATTGACGTAAGTAAAAGGTGCCTTTGAAAAATATCCAAAAGGTACACTCTATCCTCATTACAAGACTTTCTTTAATTAAGGCTGCAAATGAGTCCTGAGGTAAACAATACTTTAGTTACCAAATACTACCTTATATGTGTTTGCATTTTTGAGGGCTGTTGTGTAATGAGGGTGGAGTGTAGAAGGGTGCGAGGCTTTTATGTTGAAATCTCTTGTCCTAGAAGAGAAACAAAAATGCAAGGACTGCTATAACAGCATACAAAAATATAATCATACTAGTTTGTTATCTGCACCAGATGTTTCTGATGCAAGATTTCATTGTCCATGAGGCTTTCCACTGATGCCATCATTTCAGAAGAGTATTGCAGCCAGCAGTGAATTGATGTAACTGAGGCTTTCTTAAAAAACTGGAAAAGTTCTTTAGGCTTTGGTGCTTTTTGTGTATATTTTTGATGAGTTTCACACCTGACTCCTTGAGTTATCAATTTATTAACTAATCAAAGAGTCCCAGAGCATCAAGACTTGTTGAAGTTGAACTTGCAAGAGGAGGCACAATGTAACTGAGTAATTTTAATGGTGATCACCATCACAACAATTCAAAGATTACTTCTTTTCTGGAAACAAGATATAGTTTAAAAAAAGTACAATAGCCAAACCATTGTTTCTCAGAAAAATTGTTAAAAGTGCAGGCCTTTCTGGCTCATCCAGTTTTGTGCATTCCCTAAAATGGGCAGTACCTTGCTTTCTTCAGGGTAGAATGGGAGAAACTGAACTAACTGCAAATACTGCTGTTTAGATCTGATTTGTCATCTTACATGAGTGAGCTGCTGCTGCTGTTCCAGTGAAACAGGGCTGTTTGCTAGTAGCCAACTGTGAAAGTTCATAAATCCCTTGTGGCTGCAGCCTGTGTTCTGACACTGTTGCTCCCTGCCCATGTCAGAGTGGTTGGAACTAGATAATCTTTAAGGTCCCTTGCAACCAAAACTACTCTATAAATCTATGATGTGACTAGCTTATCTTCTTATTGACTGTTTTGTCTATAAACTATTCATTATTTTGGGAATTACTTTAATACTGCATTTGGGAAGCAAAGTATTTCTGTAGTCAGCCATCAGACACTCAACACTCACAGTGCGCATACTTACCTAATTTGTTGTAGAATATATGAAAACATGGACAAAAATTCAGCTTTGCTTAACATGTTTTGCCTTAGAAATTGATGCACATGAGAATTGCTGTATTATACTTCCACAAAACAATATTTGTATGCAGCAGTTGCATTTTACCTGTTCACTGTGATAAAAGTTGCATTTTACCTGTTTACTGTGATAAAAGTAAAATCACCTTGACTAAGTAGTCAACTTCAGTAAATATTGTAAGTCTGGATGGGTATTACATTTTATAGATTTTATTTTTTTGTTTTGTTTTTTAGTTTAACTATTTCTAATTCTTTTTTACTTGCTGAAGGGAATAGTTTTGAGCTTAGCAGTCATGTGTGTGGTTAGCAAGCAGTTTCTGCTAACCACATACATGACTTTCAGATAGCTCTAGTACACTCTTACTTCTAGAGAAGAACATACCCTGTGCTCCCTGAGAAAAGCCTGAAAGGAAATGGCTGTCATAAATAACATGCAATCTTGATAATATAATCTTGAGAATTAAAATTTTATTCGAATAAGTAAGGTATAATCAAATGTGAAAAACAGCATTTAATTATCATACATTTCATTCTCCTGTAAACTTCAAATAAAATCCTTTTTTTCTTATTTCTTTTTTTCTTAAGTGGTGTTGTAAGTTAGTTTTGATACCATTTAGACTATTAAGAGCAGGTATATATGCCTAATTTTCTTTTAAGTAGCCAGTTGCATTACATCTTAAATGACCCAAGGTGAAACAACGCATGCTTGCTTAGTTTCTGATAAGCAGTAGCCAGCACAATAGAATTCTTACAGAAGCAACTATTGTAACAGTGTAGCTGTATATAATGAGATGTGTTTTGAACTAGTTTTAGATGGAAGGTTTATTTGCATCTCTCATAATACTTTCAGATTTTTGAAAGGACTTGGCACTTCCTGGAACTATTGGATTTCATTATGACCATATATAAGCATTAAGATTTGTCATTTGATTCATAATAATAAGAGAGAAAAGGAAAAACTGTTCTCTAATATTTTCTTTCTTAAAGGCCACAGAACAAAAGTCAAGGTTCAGTGGCTTTACTTCTGAGTGCCTTAGTCTTTACTGCATGCTTTTCCAGCATTATGCACCACACAACTTTATGAAATTCAAGAAACTCTTTTGTAAGCTTCTGATTTTTGTAGCTCAGCTTAAAACTTTTTTTTCTGCTAAATCTTGATCATCCCTTAAGTAAATAAAATCTCATTACATTTTCTAAAATATGTAAAAAAAGTATATTTTTAAAAGCAAGCTGTAATGCTTCGTCACTGCATTAATGGAACAGTGAACATAAAACGCCAGCATTTTGCAGCAGTGTTAATTTTGGCCTCTAGTCCTCTTGAGACATATGTTGTATCTACATTTTATTTATTGACATTAACTAGATATTTGAATATGGTAGATCTCCTAAATATTTAGTTTCTTCTGTATATTTTGACCAAAGCTGTTATATTTAAAGGCAAATGATCTTACGATAGTGGAGATCCATTGTAGTTACTGTTTATCTGAGCTGTGGTCATTTACCTGCTTAGAAAATCTGCATAGTTAAATCTGTTCCTCTTGTTGCTCTTGTGCTTTCATGAGAAACTGCTATACAGCCATTGATCTGAAATTGCGTTTCTAATCCATTTTAGGCAATGTGATTATGAGACTATGAATTTAATAGACTCTGACTTTGAATAAACTGCTTCCATCCCTAGTAGTCACGTTCCTTTTTGTCTTGTGATATTCAGTTAACTTTTTGAGAAAGTACTTGTGAAGTTCCTTAAACATTTATGTTCTTATGCTTACACACAGTACTTAGTAGAAAGGTACATACATCATAAACTGGTACACACTAGGAGGCAATAAATTCAATCTTGATTAAACTCTGGAACGTGACTTCTAATAAATCATATTCTAAATATGGCTTTGTTACTTAATTTTAAATATAAAACTTTACTATAAGGCATATTGCACCCTGCTGGCCAGTTACATCATTACATTACTCAACCACCCGCCAGGCAAGCAGGATTAAGAAACTGCATTTTTTAAAAGAAAACATTATTTCAGTAGAGGAAAGAACCAGAATTAGTATATAGACTGCAGTGTTTGGTCACATAACCTCAGAAAGCTGAATGTGCTGTGGAAACGTTGAAGGACATTTACAAGAGATTTCTACCATCTTTTAGGCATGGTGGAAGGCAGTTGGAAAGTAAGATAATATTGAATAAAATGTCGAGATGTTTTTTTCAAAGCTAAGGCTTATCTTAATAATATTGAGATTTTGAATACTTCTCAATGATGTGCTACTTTTTGCTGGCAAATTTAAGTAACTTTTTTTTTTCCCTGAAACTTTATTGAAAATATGAATTCCTGAATTATTTTTTTTCTTTTTCAAAGGGAAATGTTGAAAAGAAAAAGAAGGACCTAAATCTGCAGATGGTAGCATAAGGATTAAATATTGAGCTTGTATTTAGTACTTTCTTCAGAATGAAAACTAAAATACATGCGTGATCTGTTCAGCTAAACTAACATACGGTGTGGTAACAGCCAGGAAGCTCTAAAGCTCCCGGAGAAAAGGAGAGCTTCTAGTTTGAACTTCTTAGTGTTGTGAAGCCAGCATGGTCCCATTTCACTACTGTTGGTTTCCTTTGTGTTTTACGTGTACAGCTTTACAACATACAAAAATAGATCTTTAAAGTGATGCTTAAATATTTTATGTACAGGTAGTCCATATTTCTCTGTAGAAGTCTATGGCAAAATACGAGACATGCTGCAAAAATAAGTCAGTTAATCTATGTTGGATGCTTATGAAATCCACTCTCATTAGGCAAGCATGGGCTTCTTATAGTTTTTGTAGGTTTATTTCAAATTGATAAGCCTTTACCCTGCCAATCTTACTATCTAAGACCCTCCCCACCTTCCCCGGTGCCCCAAACATATCTTACTAGGGCATTGGTACCTCTTTCTGTTTTAAGTAGAGGTACTGTAAATTCAGAAGAAATGCTGGTGTTTTGACAGTTTCTGTGTTTGTCAAAAACACAAATCATTTGTGTTACTGCAACTTATTGTAAGCAGATGTTTGGCAAACAGAACATGACTGAATGATTTACTTCTATCATGAGACAGACGCATGGATTTACTTACTTTTAACACGTGAATGTCTTTCATGGAATACAGGGAAGGCATGCCAAGAGTGTTTTGTACTTGTTTCAGCTTAAAGGGGTTCATTGCCTTTTCTTTAATTACTGTTAAATTTTAATGTGACTGCTGTCCAGTGATTTCACTTGGTTTCCCTAGCAGAATGGGGAAAGGAAATGAGACTTCATTTCCTGTTTGTGGAGATAAAAAGCTTTATGTGCCAAAGGGATTCTGTCATAAATACCTATTATTAGTACTACTTTATCCATACTATTAATCCTTTTATTTGACAGGAAAAGTGAAAAATTATTTGAAATTAGTAGAAACCAGTTTATGGAGAAAAAAATGGTTTCTTTTTCGTGTTTTCCAGTGGTTAATAAATGCTGTCCTAGCTGTTCTGTGGGAGAAAAAATGCACAGAACAGCAGTACTCATTTCTAGAGTTTTTGTTAATGAAGTCTCTCTAGTTTATGATAGTTCATAACGAACTAGTAAATTCATTTTATATTTTATGAAATTGATGAAATCTTAGTATTCTCCTTACAGCACTGAATTTTTTGGCTCTGGTGAGGAGTGCAATATTGATGTACAAACTGGTGAAATGATTCTGTGCAAGTGAATTGCTTTCAGCAAGAGAGAGCTTAGCCCTTCTACATTTATTCAGTTCTGACTTGGTGACTAAAAGTCCATGTGCATTTGTCTTACAATAGTTGAAATTACCTTTCAGAACAGCAGACCATCTTTCTATGCAAAACCGGGGTTTGTGGTGAGACCAACTCCTGTTTCATTGTAACAGAAGCAAGGGATTTTTCTCTGCACGAAGTCTCCAGCTTTATAAGGAATGTCTGGCTCTTAATTTCAGTAAATGGCATGACACACTACATCCATTTTGAGCTTTTGACATGCTGAACTGGTTTTGTTTAATGGATGATTTGCCATGGTGAGCAATGACTGGGGTGACTTGATCAGGAAAGCAAAACTTTTCTCCTTTTCCAAAATATTCTACCAGTAAATTTACATGTGGAGAAAGTTTGCATTATAGTACCTCAAACTTCTTCCTCCAGTGTTTCTCTGTTCCCATTTCTTTGTTGATATATGTCTTTTTTTCCAAACTTTGTTGCTCAGAATGTCTTTAATGCTAGCCAAGGAGTAAGGGATTTGGACTTTTTTACATGGACTTCCAAAGCTTTACCCCTTAAGGTAAGTTAAATGACAGGAACAGTTGCTCTGTATCTTGTGTTTTCAGGTTGTACCTTATGACTCAGTTTCATACTAAATATTGCTTTGAATTATTTTTACAGGAAATGGCAGATTTGCATATGGTGCTATATCTGTGTCTCTTCCTTTAGGATGAGAAGAAATACCAGGGCAGATTATTGAATTTTCCTTAACTCATAAGTAGCATTTTCCTTTTTTAACAAACCGGATTAGAAATTCAGTGATGGCCTAGTAACATAATGAAGGCTTTCATTCTCATTGATGCACCATGTCCTAGTAATTTCTTTTTTTGTCATTGGAGTGTTCACATTAAGTTGCAGCATTTAATAAGATGATATTCCTATGAGGAAAGCCACAAATATTTAATAAATACTTAACTTATTCTTAGTCCTTTTATTTTAAAATTATAAAATGATACGAACAAATTAAGTTATGTACAGTTAAGCAGTTAAAATCATCTGCAGAAGTGCTTCTCTAAATCACTTTGTAGCTCTGTAGCAATTTAGAATCAAGGGTTTTTTTCAGACGACATTGTAATGAAGATGACACGCAGTATTTGTTTAGAGATTTAAAAACTTGTTTTTCCACTGAATCTTTTTCCCCAAAATAGCAAACTGCTTTATTATTATGTCAAAAACTAGACAATATTTAAGCTGTCTTTAAAACATACAGATTGATGTGTTTTTTTTCGTTGAACCAGTTTACCTCAGCTTTCATTAACTTGCTTTGAGAGTTAGGTACTTACAGATCAGATTCATTGTTTGTATAAAGGCTTCTTGTAAAGACTGCAGTATTAGTCTGGACGTAGTGCACAGACCAAAAAGCTGAAAGTATGATAATTAAAGAGATTAAGAAAATACTTACGTTATTTTCTTTTTAATTAATAGAGAAGTTTGGTTTAAAGTAGGTGATAGTATTCTAAAAAGCAGGAAGTGAACTCGTGGAAGGTGTTACAGACTGTGGATGCAAAAATTGTCAGCACATTCAGAAGAAATTATAGAAATCAAATTCATAAATAAATATTAAGGAAAATAGCAAATAGCCTCCAACATCCATAATAAAAAGATATTAAATGTAGTTGGTGTATAAAGGACAGACCACTATTAAGGACTTGTATGCTAATTCTAAAGAGCATCTCCTATTGCCACTGCTAAGCACAATAAATTGGACTAGGTAATCCACCAGCTTCATCCTGTAGGGCATTTCTTAGTTCTTAACTTTCACTTATTCCTTTAAAAGCAGCTAATACTTGCATTATAAGCATAATAGAGCTCACTCCTGCTTCTTAGTTGCTTTCTTCTGAAAAAAAAAATGTTCATTACTTTACTCCTGTACCTTGTATTTTTCTGTACAAGAGCCTTTTTCTTCAGGCTATGGCTGGCTGAAAAATTTATGCTAATATTTCTCTCAGTAACTACCAGTTTTTCGCAGTAGGAAACTCAAAAATTTTCTCATTTCAGATTTCAGTATAGATTTTCTCTGTAATTAGTACCAGGTGAAATAAATTTGCAGACCATTTTTATTCTCATAGTGAAAATAATAAATATGCACTAATATTGACGTGCATTTAAGAATCTGTGGTGTTGCTGTTCTTTGTCTTTACTCTAAATTAACAATGTATTCTAAATGTTAAATAAAAAAAAGCATATCATTTGGAAAGAGATAATATTCAAATTCCCTTTACACAGCCCCAAACTTTTTGTCAAAATTTCAGAAATATAACAGGAAGAAAGCGGATATAGTGATAAATGTCAGTATGAAATGAGGTTTAGTGAAAGGGGTTAGAATAAATAATTTGTCTATAGTGGTAGATATGAGATACTACTTTTATATAAATGGTTAAGTTTATACCATCTTTTTTTCAGAAGTAATATGGTGACTTTCCAGTTAATATCCAATTTGCTAGTAGTTAGTTGTTCATCGTTGCACATTAAAATTAGCAATATAACTAGTACCTCTTTTAGCTTTGAAATTTAGCTATTGTAGTCTTAAAATAAGTATTTATTATCTAAAGAGTTCAAAGGTATTATTAATAGGTTTTACTCTGTTTTTGTTTTGCCTTTTTTTTTTTTTTTTAAATTTCTCAGGAATCTAGGTGTAATACTGATGATTTTTTCAAAGACCTAAATTCACACTGCCCACAGGAAGCAGTGATGCAAGGACAAGATATGCCATTCCTTCGAGGTGGACCTGGACTGTACAAGGTAGTGAAGACTGGCCCATCAGGTCACAACATCAGAAGCTGCCCTAACCTTAGAGGTATCCCAATTGGAATGTTAGTTCTGGGAAACAAAGTCAAGGCAGTGGGCGAGGTATGGATCCTTGTAGCTTCAGTTCATGTCTTCATAGATACCAGTATATAACAGTAGTAAACACAACAAAAGAATCTGCCCCTGTACAGGTTTGCTTTTCTAACCCTCACGATAAATACTAACCTATGAACTTGGTTTATATTATAAGTACTAATGCAATTATGTCTTTTGCCTTTTAGCTATGTGTTTTGATTGGAATAATGTTAAAATTGTATTGCAGTTGCATATGCTTGCTTATGTATTTCTGTTACGGTTACTGTTACGTTACAGTATTCCTTACAAAACTACATTTCATGTTCAACTCCTTGTCGTATTCTTTGATAGAAATTTGTTTATTGAAAAGATGTTTTTTCTAGGATCTAACCAGTTAACACATTCTGTTTCTCTGTATAGATTGTATTCATTTGTTCAGTTGCTGAACTATTGTTACTATTCCCAGCTGTGGTATTTTATGGTTAAGAAGGGCTTAAGGATGAAGTGTGTCATGCTATTTCCTAAATATAATGTCAGGGAAAAAATTAGTGCTTGTACAAACTTTGTATAAAGAACTTGGTATTACAATTCTACTGTTGCAGCCACCAATAAAAAGGCATGTTTTGGTGAATATCTCATTCAAGTTTTTATATGGCTTTTTTTGGGTGTTCTGAAGTTGTGGTGTTGGTGTTTTGCTTCTTTTGAACATAAACAGGTCTAAGATTTTTGGAAATAACTCCTAACTGTAATATGCCATAAGTAGATTTGGTACTTCAGTCTGCCTCAGCCTGTGGCCTTAATTTAAGAAACTTTTTTTTTTTCATTTCCTTTGTAATATAAAGATTGGAATGAGTGTGTTTTTCATGTACTATAAGAAGTTGCTGAATAATGCTATTATCTGAAAAGTCAATAAATTGCACTTCTTTTATGTGTGTGCATCAGGTGACTAATTCAGAAGGTACATGGGTGCAAATGGATAAGAACAGCATGGTAGAGTTCTGTGAAAGTGATGAAGGCGAGGCATGGTCGTTAGCTAGAGACAGAGGTGGAAACCAGTATCTCCGACATGAAGATGGCAAGTTGTTGTTTTGTTTTTTTATTTAACTTATTAAAAATTAAGCAATCTAAATGCGACAAAGAAGTAAAGACAGAACTGAGTTTTAAACAGGTATAACATTAATTTACACTTTTTCATTTGAGTCACTTTACACAGTTGGACTTCAAAGTTGTTTAGGTATATACTTCAAATACTTCTTAAAAGAATAGTTAAAATATTTCTCCATGTTTTCTTCTGTACCAGCTACCAATCATAATTTTAACCGTCCTTCTTTCAACGAAGAAGGGGAATAACCAGGAGCTTTTAATGTGTAAATTATGGACAGGGGAATAGCGTTTTCTTAATACTTAGCGCAGTGTCTTTTTTGTAGTCATAGATTCTCCATTTTTTGTTATGTCTAATAATGTCAAGCTCTGAGGAGTTCAAAGAGCACAAGTAGGTTCTAGAAATTATTTGTGAATTAGAACAATACCTTGCTGTTGAAAGCATATTTATTCAAAACTTAAAATTTCCTGTTCTAATATGAGGCTGTTTGCTTTTCCAGTAGAAAATTATTTCTCTGAAGTTAATAAATTAAGCAGTGTGCAGAAATTTCCACTCAAGAGTACTTAGAGTAAATATAACCTAATTTAAATAACTTCACAGTATTTTGTGTATTTTTAGTCTTTTCTAATTTTAGTAATTTTAGATGTCCTTTCATCTTTTCTGAAATTCCTCGGTGCTTTATGAAAGAATTCCCAAGTTTGGAAGAATTTAAATAAGACCCTTTCTTGAAGGTCTGTCTTCAGATTCTTGATACTTCTCTACCGTTACCAAAAGATGTCTTCAAGTACATAATTGGTTTCACAGAAAAACAGAAATGCAAGCTCCAGACTTTGAGGTCAAAACCCTGCAGTAGGGCTTTTACAATCCAGTGCATAGGGATACCATTTTAGAATCTTTCCTAAGCCTGTTAAAGAAAATTTGTCCTAAACCTCGACATGTCTGGTATTACTCCTTTCTAGATGAATCTATGTTTTTATAAGTAGGGTGAAGATAGATGTCTCTTGTGCACAGTTTCAGTAGTTATTAGTGCAATTACTAATGTTTCAACCTATTTTATGTTCCTAGTCTATTTTTGTACCAGGTGAAACTAATGTGCTTAAGCGACATCTGAAAATTATTCTAATTAATTGCTTTTATTTACTGTGAAATTAATTAGAACTACTCTTTGTCATCTGTTTCAATGCTTTTGCTAGAGGAAATTAATTAGTATTTGGAGGAGCTCCAACTGCATTTGCAGCTATCTCTGTTTTTATCCAGAAATAATACCATCTTTAAAATTACTTTTGTATTTTCCTTATTTAATAAAATGATAATGAATTCTCTAAAAGAAGTAGGATTTCTGTCAGAGACAAAGCAAAAGTCTTATTGAAGCCACAAGTCTTTAGGCAGGTATCCAGATACTTCAGCTGAAACACAGCAAGATCTGCATTTGCCTCCAACTGAGAAAATTCCAGCTGTTTTCTTGGAGCTGATAATTAATTTTTTTTTTTTTCTTTTAATTTGGCTGTGTGTATCTTGTGAATGTTTGTACTCTGAAATGCAGTTTTGGCCTGAAATGTAGTTTTCTAGCAAATTTAACAATTGCATTCTAAAGCATAAACATTGAATGGTGTGATGTCACTGAAAAACAAAGTGTCCAGCCTGTTCCAGAGTGGCATATGACAGCAAAATTGGCAGCAACTCGGTCAAACGTAAAAGCAGTCTGCATGGTATTAAGTCTTCATCTTTATGTTTTTAGAGCATGAGCTCCTAAGACAGGTGTGCTTTTGTTTTTGAAGAGAACTGAGCGTAAGTGGAAGAGTGCTATCTGGGGAAAAAAATATCACTCCTTTGCTTTGTGACTCATCATTCCAATGTAAACCAGTTACAAAGAAGGTCTAATTCTGAAGTGGTATGTTGGTTTTTTTTCACAGAACAAGTTCTTCTAGATCAAAATGTTCAGACTCCTCCCCCAAGCCCTTTTTCAATACAAGCTTTCAGTAAGGGGACAAGCTGTAGTAATGGACAAGGGTTTGATTATGGCCTTGGAAATAATAAAGGTATGTTTATATGCTCATATTTTAAAAAATCATGGTTTTCTTAACTTTGCGTATATTTTTATTACTCATTTCCTACTCTTTTAGGGCCTATGAGATGATCTCCAAAAGACATAAGCAGTAGTTCAGCACATAGTTAGTGCTATAACTGCCTTTTTTCTGCTTTAATATCAGTCTAAATACTCTGTATCAAAAGGGTCATCAAAGATCTGTAGCTTACAGTTGAGGCTTTCTGTAACGGCAGATACAAAACTATAACGCAGAAATCAGAAATACATACTTGTAAAACAAGATAATGAAAATCGTTTGATTTAGAAGGCTGTGCTTTACATTGGTGAGAAACATCTGTAAACACTTCTCACCTGTCCTGACATTTTTAAGAGCTTCTAATGGGATGGCAAGATAAAAAGATACCATCTGAGATTTAAGTTGTAAAACTGAAGTTACCTTTCAGTCTCAGTAAACTGAAACTGCATACTATTTATTCATTGATTAGATTTAGAAGATTTAATAATACAGAAGGGACTTTCGTTGAGGCAGATGTCCCTGAGAAATATTACTGAAACATGGAGCTTTGTCATTCTGCTCTTACATTGCCGTAGTCTGTCCATGCCACTACAAACATGGGCCTAAAGTGTGCTATGTGTTTCTAACACCAGCATATCTTTCTAGTGGTATTCTAGATAAAATAACTTGATTTAAGACTTGTTTTAAAAAATATGAAGGGGAGAAGATTATTCTATGTTCTAGTCTGATGTTTCCATAGCAGCAAAGTTTTATATCATTTCAGTGTTTTACTGCATAAAGAAGCAGTTCATACTTGTCCATGCATTCCTATAGGAACCCACTTTTTATTTATTTTTTTAAACAAAAGCTGGAAAAGTTGAAGTGTTTTCGATTTATAGGGTTTTTTTTATAGAACTACTTTTCCCACTTCAGCCATATTCTTTTCAAAGTGATGGTTCAATCACAGAAGTAGAAGTGTTTAAGATATTCAGTGTGTGAGGCAGTATTACAGGTTGTCTCTCAGCATCAATTGTTCTTTTTCTGCAGAAGCATATTATGAAAATATTTTATTTTCTGTTGTCCAAAGATAAAATCTTGGAGATCAATTTGCTGTATTAACAGGTATCTTATTTTTTGAAGACCTCATGATTCTTTTTAATAGAACCTATCTTAAAGAGTTCCTAAGGTGTTTCTTTGGGATATTAGTTACAGAAAGTTTGGAAGCTACTCCTGGTATTGAAATCCATGCCATTTTATTCACAATATTCTCTTGACATGCCCTCAGGCTGTGCTATTTAGTGTGAGTGAGCAATTTGGGTAGATGATTGACTTCATTTCGTGTACTGTCATTCTTCTAAATTGCCCAAGAGTGGAGAGTTGGTGGCAACTAGATTGGAAGAATACATTATTTTCCCCAAAATAGAAGCCTTCATCTGTATCATTACTTTGCATACAGTCATTTGCCTTCTCAGGTCTAAGAAGCTTTGAGTTTTGTGGAAAACAAAAAAACTGAAGGCACAAGCACAGTTTCTTAGGAGAATTTCTGCATGAAGCAGTTCCTTTTTTAGGTGCTTGTTTGTTATGAGAACTTCTGTTGAGATGCACTAGTTTCAATGAAAATTCTGTCACCATCCATAAGCATTTCAAACTGCTGGTCAAATGTGAAGATCCCCATGTAGTATGACTGTGTTTACAGTATTACCTGTAAGGTAGAAGACATAATTTCCAGAATCATTCTGTTTGATTTAGCTGTGTCTTCTCTATTCCAGCCTTCTACATTTTGCAGACAAGCCTTTAGTATTCCTCATAAATAGCCCTACTCACCTTCGTATTCAATTTTTGAGGTCAAATGACTTTCAACCTCTTCTCAGATGTGCTTCCCTTTAAAATAATTACTCATTTTAGGAAATAGGCCTGATGTATTTAATGCTGTAGTGGTTTTTCAAACTTGTCACTTATTATCTGGATTGTTAAGGTAGGAATGATCCCTGCTAAAGTACTGATTCCAGTATGTTTGGAGGTGTACTACCTCCAAAACAGTTATTGATATGTTTAGATGATTATTTAGAAAGGCATTCCAGCTATTTTCTGGGTTTTTTTGTTCCCTCAATTTTGAAATCAAAATATCAAGAAAATTAAATTTTGGACTTCTCAGGTAACGCAGGGTTCCATACACCCTCTGGTCTTTCTCTTAATTCTATGAAAAGACAATTGATAATCACCTTAAAATGCTGTAAATTCAGTGAGTTGTAAATTCTGTATTAGCATCTAATTTTTTACTAGGATTTCTAGAATGCTGCCAAAGTTATATGAATTTGCAGAATAAAGTGATGCTGTTAGGATTTTCTTGGTCTTGGTTCAAATCTGAAATGCTCTCAAACTCTTGCAAAATGCTCATATTTCTAAGTATACTTCAAGTTATGACATGGATGATAAACTGCCTTCTTACTATAGGCTTCATGTATTTCTAATGCTTACATAGAGTTTGTTGAGAATTGGCATTCATAAGTTAAAAACTAACATGCTAGTTTTTTGAAGGCCTTCTTGTGCCTCACAACAAATATATGTAGCTCTTCAAAAAACCACTTCCAGTTTGTAAGTGGCACTTAGATTTTTCTTAAATTATCTTCAGTCTGATCTTGAAAAACAGCATGATGGGATACTTTTCAAGATATTTGCAAAATGAGCAAATACTTAACCAAATCCTTGGCACAGAAATACACTTGCCAAAGCCTAATTACATGTTACCTTTCCCTTCTCATCAGTTTTTCTAATCTTTTTCTGCATGTTCAGTTGCATGTGTGTATTATTGTAAATGCTAGGGTTTTCTGTTTGGTTTGGTTTTTTTTCCTTTGGCTGCTCTTCATTTTTTAGTAAGGTGAATATAAATCTCTATTTTAAATAATTGAAATAAAATACATGTGATCCTTAAGAACCCTGCTTGTAATTTACAGTAATTTTATTGTCATGTGTCAGTTCTTTCGATTCTCCTCCCCATCTGTCTGGGAGTGGGGGGAGAAAGAAGGGGAGGGAGTGAGCGAGTGGCTGCATGGTTCTGAGTTACTGGCTGGGCTTAAACCACAACACCATGCATGGGGTGAGGTTTTTAAGTTTAGCCATAACCAGAGTTTTATGTGGCTAAATGAGATTTGTAATCTTTCTCTATTATCATCATTTAAACTTTAATGAGCACCATTTTACTCTGCCTTTCTGGAGAATGATAGGTAACAGGTTGTAGTTTTGACTGTTTTGCCCACTACAGGTGACCAACTGAGTGCCATACTGAATTCCATTCAGTCACGGCCAAATCTCCCAGCTCCTTCCATCTTTGATCAAGCTGCAAAACCTCCCTCTTCCCTAGTCCACAGTCCATTTGTGTTCGGACAGCCCCTTTCCTTCCAGCAGCCTCAGCCACAGCTTCAGAGTAAGTTTGTCAGTCTTACCTGCCTCATCAGTCCATTTCTGCAGCTTTGACATTGCTGTTCTCAGTTGCTTACCAGTTACTAATCATCCCTCAGTGCACCTTTTTAGTTTTATTTTGTTAAGTTTTTCTTGATTCAAAAGCATGCGATGTGTAATGCTCCTAAAGAAGTATACTTGTTCAACTTAAATTTCTATATTGATAGTATTTTGCTTTTGTATGTGTTCTGGAGCGTGGATAAGTCATGAGAGTGTTTTCAGTATTGTATGCAACTCTGGGTTTACCCTTAAGGTAAATATTTTATATGGTACAAAGCATTGATAATTCTTTTAACATCAGGAATGGACTGCAGTAAATTCATAGGTATTACATTTCCTCACCTTCTGAATTCTTGTTTTTGTCATCACTCCTTTGGGGATATAGCTGGACAGCTGGAACAACGCAGCACTAAATACTCATAAGTAGTCTTCTGTCTTGTAGTCTGTGAGTTTAGTGCTCATGGGATTGGCATGGACATGAAAGTTTTCACCTTGAGGTGAATAGTAGTTAACCTATTACTGATGAGAGGACAGAAACCTGTTTAGTTTTTAATTAGTGAGAAATAAAAGCTCAGCATTCATGGTGGATATCACGTATTGCAGTAAATTTTTCCTTATACACAGAACAGGTATAGCATGGGTCACAGGAATACTAGTCTTCTTCTGTCTCCCATAAACTGTCCTTCAGAAATGCCTCAGCTTTTTTCTGTGACACCCTGTTAGTTCAGTCTCCATGTCTCTGCAGTCCTGGATCTAGCCAGCTCATCTTATTGAAGTGACAGTGACATGCTTCAGATAATAACTGGATTAAAATATCTAATTCACATTTATAAAGACAATTCCTGAAAGCAGGATATTCTAAAACCTACTCGAATAAAGCAGCTGTTTGCCAGTGGCATTAGCTCACCATCACTGAGAGCTTGTGAATTGTATATTCTTTCCCATCACTTTTAGTTTTCTTCTCTTATTCAGAGTAATGAAGTCAGAGCTTATTCAGCTCTGCATCAAAAATAATCCTAAATGTCGTCTTTCAAATTTCAGATTATTTGCTCATTAGCATTTAGACCTATACTGTATGAAGAGGAAAGCTGTCAAAGTTTTTTTTCATTGGCTGCCCAACAAGATCTTGCGCAATGGATTTGTCTCTCCAACAGATGTAGATAAACTGTATTCAGTAAGCTTACATCCATGGTTTGTGTTTTAGTAAGGATCCTTTATTCAAAAGGGGATGTTTTTTGTTAAATAGGGAAAGCACTGGTAGTCTAGAATATAAAATAATAATGAAACTGGAAAAATTTTTCAAGTTTGTGTCTGATTTGGCATCTTAGCTTAGTATAAGATCTCAGTCAGTACAGTTCTTTGCCCTTTTAGCAGGTCAAAAATCATCAACCAGAATGGATATACTGTTGTACTAACTGTGACTTGATACAAGGTCTTTCTTCCAGTTTATTATCTAATTTAAGATTGATGCAGATAATGTAAATTATGCATAAAGGAGAGAAATAGTAAAAGTTTTGGTTTTGCTATGAAAATTTAAGAATAATATGAGGAAAAATTTCCAGTTTGAACTTCCTTTAGTCTTTTGCAAATTTATTACTCCTCCATCCAAATTCAGAATATTGTTAGGGAGTCCTAAGACTAAATTCATACAGTTTTTCATTTAACAGTCAAGGAAATTATGAGGGATATAGGACTCTAGATTAAGTGTTTTAAGCAGTTGTTTTACTATGACTGTATAACTATGTATGACTATATCTGTGACTTCACATATTAGAAAGTAATGGATTGATTTGCAATATAAGGTTAATTAGAATAGCAGGGCATATATGCAGTAAAAATATCGAGACAGAAAAGTTCTATTTAGGTCAAATTCTGCTGTGTGGGTTTTAATCCATGTTCAGTGCTGATGCAGTTATAATAGAACTGTAATGGAAACTGTCCATAACTGTTCAATTTTCATTCATTATTTCCAAAGTACTTTTCAGTCTCCTGTTAGCAAACATGTAATTAAAATTTAAATCCATTAAACGATGCATCCCAAGGCTCCATATCAAATCACTTGGATTGTGCCCTAGATATGCTTGCTTTTAGTTTCAAATTATGTGCTCCATCCTTAAGTGCTTCTTGCTGTAAAGTTAGATCTAAAAACTAAAATGAACATTTGTAGTTGATAACTGCTATTTTAAAGCACCTAATGGCAGTCTTAATGGTTTTAAAAGAAGTTGTGCCAGCCTAGATTTTTATGGCTGTAGAAGTTTTATACTAAATTCCAGTCTTGATTGAAAATCTGCCTAAATAGTCTACCACTTAGATTTTTCTGTTCTTCCTCAGGTATCTGTCCTCCTAGGGAGAAATTTTATTCGGAAGCATGATTCTGAGGAAAATCAGGATCATCTTGAATGTCCTCTAGGATTATTTCCTTAAGTTAGATTTTTGCAATCGGAAGAAAAACATTGGTATGATTATAAAATATGGTCTGTGTCACTGAGAGATCGTACTTTTCCTCTAAAAGTTTCATGTCATTTACTAGAACTCTGTGAGGGGCTGATTGTTCTGTACTATTTAATTCCTTTGCTAATTTTCGCACATAGTCACACAAGGGGAAAAAGCTGGGAGGTTGTTTTCTTTTTCACAGGGACAGACAAAATTAAGATGCTCTTGCCATGTAGTTTAGTTCCTTGTCAGTCTTTTATACAGCTAGAAGTCAAAAAAAGCTACAAAAGATGGCATAACCTGCATGAGTTCAAGAACAGCTGTGTTGACTTGGAAACTTAGGAAGGACTTCTTTTTCAGAAAGAGCAAAGGTTTATTGGATTATTTCAACAAAGTTGGATGGGATGGTAGAAAGAGCACAAACTTGATTATTTCAACAAAGCAGCCTGTAATTACTGCACCCTCTGAATTCTTTCTTCTGAGAAGTTTTTAGGATTATCAGTGACAGATTTCTCAGGACTGCAGCCTCACAGAGCTGCAAGATTATTAATGGTTGCTTGATTACTTTGTCTCTGAACTTTGTGAAGAATACAGAAGACTCAAATTTCTGCTCGAATTCTGAGTATAACTGAAGTGTGGAAACTTAAAGGGTCAATAAAGATCTGTTTCTCAGCCTTCAGCAGTGTGTGCTGTGTCATAAAAGTCCTTAGACGTGACAAGTCAAGGAAACAGGATCTTGCCATGCTGTCCAGGATCAGTTACCAGATTTTCACTGTTGGCTGTTGAACTCTGAACTTGGGAAGTGTGAGACCTTGAATTCACCAGTTTTTGACTTGGATGTGAGGAAACGTGGCATAAGAGTTCCTATTGCAAATGAAGAATAGATTTTTAGGCTGAAGAGGTTTTGGACCCCCCATGTTAGCCTTATCTCGCACAGCCTGTGCTTCCTGACTCATCTCAGCCCAGGCAGAAGCTGAACTGCTGTTCAGTATGTTCATAGTGAGTGTCCTGTCAGGCTGGTTCCTCACCAAGCCATGCTGGAGAGCTGCAATCAAGCATATAGCCCCACTATACATGATCATCCCTTACCATTCATGTTAGGATTTCCTATGCATCCCTGCAGTACTGTGACCATTTGCTTTTTGGTTTTGTTCCTTTCTTCTCTAGGTGCTAGTTAGCATTTAGGAACCACTGGCATTGCCTGTAGCGTTTCTGTCTGCATTTCTTAAGTTGGAGAGGGGAGGGCAAAAGACCAGCACACATATGGAGCCTAGAACCCTTCTCAGTAGTGTTTCAGTAAAATGAAGGGAGAGAATATTCTCAGCCAGGCACACTGATCTCTTCCATATCATGCTGAAATGACCCAACTGTCATGCAGAACAGCCAGAGTATTGGTTTAACTTTTTTTTCAGATGCTGTGTATTGCTGACGCATCATTCCTGAAAATTTGAGCTAAGTTAATGTTTCATACCTTGGGCTTTACAGACTTGATTAGCAAAGATATGTGTGAAGTGTACATTGTCCAAGTCAATCCGAAACCATCCCTGGGAGACTGGGATGGTAAGAAGAGCACAAACTGTGTCATGCTTTAGAAGCATATAAATATGGCTTATCACATCTTCAAAAATTGTAGTTACCGTTTATAAAATCATAGAATCTTTTTTATCTACCTTTCTAGCACAGGAATACTTAATTTGGTCAATAACCTTAAGTGGCTCAAGTGTTCATGCTCCAAGCCCTGCCTTTGGGTAAAGTTGCTAATATTTTTCTAATGATACTGTGTCTCAGCTTTTGCTCTCACTCACAGGCTCATACCCCTACTGCAACAGTATTTAATACTTTTCTCCCCTTTTCTTCCTTCTCCATCTGTCCCTATGGTATCTGGCATTTCAGGGCGTGAAAAAGATAACATTGATTGCAGTGCTTGAGGAAATTCAGCTAAAGGCCTTACTGTAGCTTCCATGTCAGTAAGAGTGAGTAAAAGAGGAATGTGTTCTTACGAAGTGGTATCCATTGCTTAGGCGAAAGGGAAGAGAAGGCCAATGCTTTCCTTCATCATCATGCAGAAAAGCAGTGGCATTTTGAAAGAAACTTTTAACTTCGCTCTCCAGAGACATTTTACCAGTTTGTTTAAAAAAGGCTAACGTGGACCAGCTGGTGGTATGTCATGCTCCTGAACTGGTTTACCAGCATTTCCTCAGAGGAAGTAAGCATAGTTGTTACAAGACTGTATCCTGCCATAGGAATTGAACTCTTACGTCTCTACATTGCATGGTTTGTAAAGCTGGAGCTGTTTCCATATTGAAGGAAAGCATGTGACTAAAGGTACACTGTCACATTCAAATGTGATGTGAGACAGACCTTGCCTACCTTGTATGTCTAGTTTTTGTAGTCTTTGAGGGTGTTTCAAAAAGAAGGCATGCTGACCAAAAAGCTGGTCCCTGTTGCTCACTATTTGTCATGGATAGATGCAGATCATTCACCAAAGCAGCACAGAAGTTATGTGGGAAACTCATTCTCTTTGAGCCAGTCCCCTTGAAATGATTGAGTAGTAGTACATTGTTCAGTATAAAACTAGATTCCAGCAATACAAGTATTCTCAGACATAGAATGAAAGAATAAAGTGTAAATGTGGATTCATGAAGATGGATTTAGTATGGATTTTCATTTAATTATTCATAGACTAGAATGCTAGTGTATCAGTTTGACATTTTAGGTTTGCTTTTGATGCTACTTTGTGGTGTTAATGTGTTTTTTCTGTATTTTAACCTTTAAAAATTGGTGGAGTGACATCCTGTTACTCAGAAGCTGTGTAATTAGTACTGGATCTCTCCAAATCATTTCTAGGCATCAAAGTAGGCAATACTGTTCTTAAATCTATGTTAATCCTGGATTAAGAAAATAGAGAGTATTTTGTTGTTTTAAAGACTGAAATTCTTACTTCAAATGTGTGAACATCTTGTTGAAGAGTCTATAGAATATAGCTCATTGCATGAGATAGGGGGTTTAATATGTTTATATGTACAAGTTATTGAATGTACTACCAGACAAAAAGCTGTCTTAAGCAGTGCAGGAATTGCAATAACTTATTTTCAATACACTTGTCTTATTCCAGTTGTACAAAGGGGTCTCTCTAAAAAAGTGTCTTCTAACATACAAAACTCTTTAAAATTATTAACGCAGTGAGAATTTGACTTATTTTTTTTCTAAATGAAGGAACAGGAATTGGAATTACAACTAAAAATTACATTATAGGAATGCAAAATGATAGATTTGAAACTTAAAAGTTCCTGCTGTTATCTCACTCCAAGTTTCATTTGGAGCTGTACCTCTAACAGATTTAATGTCAGTAGCCTCTCTACTGAAATTATCTTGGATTGCATCAGATTTAGCTTTAGCTTAAGGCAACATTATTTTTAAGGGTTGGTACAGACTTGGGTTTATGTCTATACTGTTTGATAGAGAAACTCGTCTGCTAGTTATGCCTCTTGATAATACTGAGAATCCACAGTTCACATTATGTACGTGAACTTTTCCAGAACATTACGTTATTGAGGTGCATTCAGACTTGAAAACAGGTAGTTTTGATGGGTTTAATACATTTTTCTTCATTCTTTCCAGTGAAACTTTCCAACACAAACACCTAGATTGTCTCTAATTTTCTCAAAACCAGAACTCTCATTGAATAATCTTCACATATTTTTAGACCCTAGAAGCTAATGCTGAAATCACAGATTATCTTTTATTATTTTAAAATTTAGTTCAGGGAAAATATTTTGAAGTAACTGTTTCTCAGTTAACACTAATGCAGGAGTTTAAACAATGAAATCCAAATACTTAACAAAGAAGATGCATATCATTTGAAGTGCTTGTTTTGCCTTTACTGCTTTTTCCATTGAATCTGTGCTGCTTCTGTGCAACTGTTTTCCACTGTAGAAACTCCATCCTGCTGCCTTGCTTCTCGTGAGCGTATTTACAAAACTAGTGATGTAGCTGGGCCTGCCTCTGCTATTTCATCTCTCTCTCACAAACTGAAGGGTGGGTATGCATGTCAACATAGCAAGGTTATTCAGATTTTTACATTCAAAATGTTTTTTTTTTGGTTAGTGGTTTTGGTTTGGTTTTGTTTGTTGGTTTGTTTTTTTTTTCCTCCTTCCATTCATTTTCATTTCATTCACTTAATAAAATAATGTTTTGAAAGTAAATGTTCAGCTTTGGCCTTTGTTGGGAGCTTGTTTGGTATAACCATTCAGTGTTGCCTTTCTGAGTTGCCTCAACTTCATGATAGGTGATCTGGCTAATTCTTTCTGCTTTGCAAACAGAAAGATGAGTGTTAATCTGATCTAATAAGGCCTGTTTTCAAACAACAGGCAAATGAAATATAGAAGAAGAAAGGGGAAAAAAATACAGGGTGTTTTTGTTTGCTTGCAGTTAAAGCAGTTTGCTACATGGTTATGCAGCTTTTCATTTGGGGTTTTTTGGTGTGTTTTTTTTTTTTCTGATAGTGTAGAATTAAGATTATTTATCTGTATATGTACAAATCCAAACCTTTGCTTTTTAAGTTTGTTGTTTTTTTTTTTCTTGCTGGAAGCTGCTGTTAAGCTATGTCTTTCATAAGCAGTTTCATTCCAGAACATTGTCCTACTTGATATTCACTAGTCATGCATATATTTTGAATTTGATACATTGCTGAATGGCTTGCAATGTTTTATGCCCTTGTTGACTTTTCACTATACTTTCCTTTAAAAGGAATTCTGTAAAAAGTTTCTATCTAGAGAATTTTCTCATCTGGCAGATGACCAGACCTTAAATTAATCTTTTTATTTGTTTGTGGGAAAAGTGTGTTTAAAGTAATTACTGTTTACATTTCTGAATTTGTGTATCACAAAGTAGACATCTCGAAATAGCTTGTCAGTAGAACTGGTGAATAAGTGAGCTGGCATGAGCAAAATGCTTGGAAAGAAACCTTTTAGTTTTGGGTTTGTTTGTTGGGTTTTTTTTTAGCATGAACAATCATTTCATAAATCATGATGTACCATGCTATGTTTTCCATTCCTCTTCCCCCTCCTTCCGATGAAAAAAATAATTACAGAACTCATAAGAAAAAAGAATAAAGATGGATTAGGCTCTCAAAATTTATTCATGTTTGTGATGTTCTCATTCTGCTGTTTATATTTGGCATATTGTTTCTGAATCGTAGACAAAATATTTCTTCTCTGCCTGGAGAAGTATTAACTCCTACCATGTCCTATCTCCTGGGAAGCCAGGAGAGTACCCTAGCCTTCAGGCTTGTCAAATATTCCAGTATAGGTATCCTTCACTTTTTCCTGTTACTATTTGTTTTATTATAAGCTACTTAAATACAGAGGTAGAAAAATAACTATTGTTTTGTAACTTCAGGAAACATCTGGGTTGCTAGGCTTTGCTCCAAAAAATACGTTTGTTTTTGTATTATGAGAGGTAACAGTAGGAGAAACTGCTCCTGTATATTTTCTAGCATACATATAAGGCTTCATGAGTGAGAACTGGAAGAAGATGAGTCAGATCCCATAAATCAAAAGGAAATAAACACAGATTTCCCACCTTTAACTAGTGAAAACCCATCCAGATCAGAAGGACTTAACTGTACCTTCAAGACTTTGCAGTGTAAAGTCTCACTTTGTGGAGAAACAGCTGTATTTAATTCACAACTGCTGCATTGCTCACCAGTAATTTCAACATTGCTTGTCTTAATTTTCAAAATACAATTCTCCGAGACTGTCTTCACAGAATTATTAGGAGCAGATTGCTTTAATGAGCTGCTACTTTGCATATACTTGGGTTTTATGTATTTATATTAGCTACCCATAGTTTTTATAGTTCTGTGGATTAATATATGTACAAAATCAATGTGCACAGAAACAATAAATTAATGCATCAAAGTAAGAGGACATCATAGACCATAGTTGATAGTTTAGTGGTTGGAAAAGGTGGATTAGTTTGTTGGGTGGTTTTTTAGTAGGTTGTGTTCTGGTAGCACAACATTGATAGTTTGTGGCCTTTAAAAGGTGTATACCTCAGATTATCAATGTGAATCATTTTAGGTATGTCTGTAAACCTCTTAACTTGATTTGCCTTATAGCTGTATTTACTTTCTACGTTTCCTGACTTTTGAGCATCAAAGAAAATAAGTCTGCTAATACATTTGGTCTTTCTGCAAGTCTCTTGTTGCAGTCAGGCTGTAACGCACAGAGATAATAAATAATCCCTGTTTTCTGTTGCAACTCTGGTAAACTTGGATAACTCCTGACATTTGCCTAAGGATTGTGCTTCCTTTACGAGTGTTTTTGGGTACAGAGAACTGTGCCTTTTGATACTTTCATAGTAGTGTTTCTCTGTAAATATTTCCTAAAACTTGTTTGCATGTATCTTTGGGACAAGAAATGTGTTGAAAACATTCTAGAGGAAAAGAAGGTCCCTCTCTATTTCCTTTCATTTTGCTGTGAACAGAAGCATGTGTTTGATTTTTATCTTGTGTTCAGATCTTTTTAATCCTTTTGTATTACTGTTTTCTATTATTAAAGGTATAACTGTCAAAGTATAATAATTATAAAATATACTAAACAGGTGACCGAATGAATTTCACAGGAGCTGCTAGACCAATTTCTCCATCAGGAAAATCAGACATGTCATCAAAGCATAGAGCTGACAGCAGGTCACCCAAGCTTGATGTGCGAATAAATAGAGCTGCTGCTGACCAGAAGAAACCTAGAAACACAGATGGCTTATCTGCCAGTGAGTCTCTTATGCTGAAATCAGATACTGCAAAATTGCGATCAGACTCTCACAGCAGGTCTTTGTCTCCAAATCATAACACTTTGCAAACACTAAAAACTGATGGTAGAACAACTACTGGTCTGAGAGCTGAATCTCCAGGGCCAGGAACCCGGTCATCTTCTCCAAAGACAAAGACACTTACAGCTGTTAGATCTGGTGCTAGTTCTCCACGATCCTCATCACCACATGACAAAACTCTACCTCAGAAAGCTCCTTCTCCTGTAAAAACAAAGCTTGATCCTCCTCGAGAACGCTCCAAATCAGATTCTTACACGTTAGATCCAGATACCCTTCGCAAAAAGAAAGTACCGCTAACAGAACCCTTGAGGGGCAGGTCCACTTCACCCAAACCAAAAATTACTGCAAAAGATGGAAAACCTGTTACAGAAACTGAAAATAGAGCTCCTTCCCCTCATGTTGTACAAGAAAATCTTCACAGTGAGGTAGTTGAAGTATGTACTTCAAGTACTTTAAAGACTAACAGTATTATAGATAGTACCTGTGAAGACAACACAGAATTCAGAAGTCTGGACGATGGTTCTAATAAAGTTCATTTCAGCATAGGAAAAGCACCACTGAAAGATGAGCAAGACATGAGAGCATCTCCAAAAGTGAGCCGTAAATGTGCTGGTAGACACACAAGACCCAAAAAGGAAAAATCCAGCTTTCTTTTCAAAGGAGATGGCTCCAAGCCTGTAGAGCCTGCCAAGCAAGCAATGTCACCTTCTGTTGCAGAATGTGCTAGAGCTGTATTTGCTGCATTTCTCTGGCATGAAGGTATTGTTCATGATGCTATGGCTTGTTCATCTTTTTTGAAGTTTAATCCAGAGCTCTCCAAAGAGCATGCACCGATTCGAAGCAGTCTTACTCAACAACCTGCAGAGGAAAAAGAAACAAAGTTGAAAAACAGACATTCATTGGAAATATCATCTGCTCTTAACATGTTCAACATCTCACCTCATGGACCAGATATATCTAAAATGGGTAGCATCAATAAAAACAAAGTTCTCTCAATGTTAAAAGAACCACCTCTACATGAAAAGTGTGAAGATGGAAAACCTGAAACTACCTCCTTTGAAACATCGAGCCACCACACAATAAAATCCAAGTCTCCTCTTCCATTAACATTGCAGCACTTGGTAGCTTTCTGGGAAGATATTTCTTTAGCAACTATTAAAGCAGCTTCCCAAAACATGATTTTTCCAAGTCCTGGTTCTTGTGCAGTGTTAAAGAAGAAGGAAAGTGACAAAGATAACAAGAAAACTAAAAAAGAGAAAAAGAAAAAAGAAAAGGTTGAGACTAGGCCAAGAGGAAATCTTTTTGGCGAGATGGCCCAGCTTGCAGTGGGAGGACCTGAAAAAGATACCATCTGTGAGTTGTGTGGAGAATCCCATCCATATCCAGTGACTTACCACATGAGACAAGCTCATCCAGGTAAGAGTGCATATTTTTTAATTCCCAAGTCCATCTGTAAAATATATTGCACATGCACATTTTGGTATTAGTTACTGTTATGAAAATGTGTCAGGCTGTCTTGTTTAACATTATAACACATTTTTACTATATAAACTAAAGTAAAACTTAAATGTAGAAATTACATGTTTGTATGTTATCCTTTAAGTAGTTATGGATCTAAGCTTTCAAAGATGCTCAAGCAAGTTGTTTGAAACAAGGCCAAAATAACAAGCTAACTTTACAGTAGATCTTCAGAGCAGAAACATGCCATTTATTAAACTTTAGGACTTGAAGTTGTGCTGAGAAAATTGGAAATAAAAAATATGAGATTGATTAATTAGAGTTTCTACACTGCCAAATGTTTTCTATTACTGTTCTACTGTAAATAGTAGAAAACTTCTTTATCTGCTGTGTCAGCACTGGGTATCAGTAACTTCATTTTGGGGGTTTAAAATGTATCTTAAAAAAATCCCGTCCATGCCTCTAGAAAATTTGTAAAACACAACCTCAGTCTCACATTTTGTCTCTGGATTTGGGTCCCTGATTTTTTTTTTAGGACTTTGTTTTTAGGAAAATGGAGTAAATCAGTGCTAGGTAGGCATTATCTTAGCCAGTCAAATGAGTTCAAAAGTTACGTAAGTTGTGTTTTCTTTAGAAAAGAGATTGCTAATAGAAGGAATTAGCTACAGTGTAGCTCTTAATAAATAACCTCGTTAAAGACAAAATTGTTTCTGTGTTTTCTAGTTTGTAAACATAACATTAATTATGTTAATAGGCTGAAGATGTATGAGCTTGTTTTAGCACTGTATGAAAAGTAAAACAAGATTAAGGAGCCTTATTATTCAGAGTTATGAATGCCGTGAACCTCTCTGAGAAACGGTAATCTCAAAGAAATGCACTTAATTCTCTTTTAAGCTTTGTTAGGCAGGGGGTAGGTTTTCTGTGCTAAATTATATATTATCTTGACTAATATACTGATCTTACGATCCCTTAGCTGTCTGAATAGGGAGCTGTTGGTACTTTGGATAAGTTCATAATAAAAACTTAAAAAACTAAAATGTATTTGGATTCTTTGGGTACTGGTGGGACACATGGACGTGCAGGTTTGGTTTTTTTTAATCAGTTCAGACGTACAGAAAAAGAGAAAGGCCAGGAAAAGACAAAGCATTTTCCTTCCCCTTCTCCATCCTTCTTTGACAGTAATAGATAACATAATAATAAACCTTCTTTTGAAATAACTCTTTTCCCATCTTTTTCTCAATATAGGTTGTGGCCGTTACGCAGGTGGCCAAGGTTATAATAGCATTGGGCACTTTTGTGGAGGATGGGCTGGTAATTGCGGTGATGGTGGTATTGGAGGAAGCACTTGGTATTTGGTTTGTGATCGATGCAGAGAAAAATATCTCCGTGAAAAGCAAGCCGCAGCAAGAGAGAAGGTATTTTAATCTGGTTTTCATATGCTTAGCACTCGTATCTGCTTAATAGTACTGTGTTCACAACTTGAAAATAAGGCAGGACCAGTTTAAAAAATTTGTAATGTCAGAAGATTTTGGAATATCCACTTGTGTCATTTATAGGTTTAAAATACTAAGAAACTTTGCTTGTTACTTCTGACTGGATTTCTTCCCTTCAGACAGTAGTGTTTTCAAATTTGTAAAGTAATTTTATTTTCTTATCCCAGTACAACTGCAGTATAGAATGCAGTACCTGATTTTTTTAAAGCATGTGCCAGCTCATTTAACCTTTGTTTTATTTGTTTATTGCAATATGAGTACTGTTTTAACTTTATATGCTTATAGTTTCTTTAATGAACTTAATCCTCAATATGATTGGATATAAGATGCCAAACACTGGGCAAAATAGAGCAGTTTTTAATGGGAATAGTACAAAAGATGTTTTGCTTGTATTCATCTTCCATGACCAATTTCAAATTCATGCTTAAAGCATATAAACAAGTTGATGTTTTAAGATAAGCAGAAGAATGCTAATTTAACTTCATTTTTGAAACTAGATTTTTTGAAACTTTTTGCACACAAAATTCATCCTGAGGCAAACATGAAAACTTCCATCTGTTTATTAAAAGTTTACAAAGTTAATGAAAATAGTGGAAGTGCCATTTTGTAATATAAAATATTTTATAACAGGAGGAATCAAGCAACTTTAGTATATGTGACACTGTCAGCTTCCTTGTGATGAAGTATAGTTTAAATATACATTTTTCTATTTTCTCTAGATTAAACAGTCTAGGAGAAAACCAATGCAAGTTAAAACTCCTCGTGCCTTGCCAACTATGGAAGCTCATCAAGTGATTAAAGCCAATGCACTGTATTTACTGTCACTGAGTAGCGCTGCTGAGCCCAGTATCCTCTGCTATCACCCTGCAAAGGCATTCCAGTCTCAACTTCCCAGTGTCAAAGAGGGAATTTCTGAAGACTTTCCCATTAAAATGCCATGTCTCTATCTACAGACTTTAGCAAGGTAATTAAAGGACATTTATGAATAGATTTTAATACTTAACTGTTTATAGTGTTGGATAAAAATACGTGTATAAACTAAATTAATGCGTACATAGAAAAACAGGTATTTTCCTAATTCTTAATTATCTTTATTCTTTTTTTTCCCTTTCCATGATCTTGTTCAATTTCTTACACATATTTGCTTCAATGATCAAATATACCCGGAGTACCTTTTGGATGCTAAATGTTTTTTTAACAACAGTTTAGTTTCTGCTCAAAGAATTTAGAATTTCCTGAAGAGTTTAACTTAGTGTGTTAGTACCAGACATATGTGCTGCTTTTCATTCTTCACAAAATAGTAAGAAGGAAACCAGAAGACTTGTTCTTACTTGGTATTTCTAAGTAGATTTCACTGTAGTGGCTCATGTTTTTGATGGATAGACATTTGTGCATACAATACATAATGGAAATGCCTAATACTAAATTATAGCAAAGGGTGATTCCTTCTCCCTGTTGGTTGAGAATGTTACTGTGTTTTCCACTGGCACTTTAAGTCACAATCAGTTTAAATGCATTAGGTGATGAGTTAAGGAGTGACGTTGGCTGGCAAAATGTATTGACAAAGGCCTTGCGCGTGTGTGTGTTTCAGGAATCTGTAATCCTTAATCCTAATTTAAAAATCTAATTTGATGTAGGCATCATCATGAAAACTTTGTTGGGTACCAGGATGACAACCTCTTCCAGGACGAGATGAGGTACCTGCGCTCAACTTCAGTACCTGCACCGTACATCTCAGTTACTCCTGATGCAAGCCCTAATGTCTTTGAAGAGCCAGAAAGTAATATGAAATCTATGCCCCCAAGGTACTTCCTTGTAACTCTAGGTACTACATACAAATGCTAAAGCATTACCATAACACCAATTTTAAAAAGAGCAGCCCAGATCCATGTCTGAAATCGCTTCTCTGTAGTAAAGTCTTGTGTTTGCAACCTAAATATCAAAAAAGTTTGTTTAGAAATTGGTACAGTCTCTTAGCATACCTCAGGGAAATTTATCAATCGATCCATTCCAGGCCTGATTATTTCCCCGTAGACACAAATACAATTTTTCCAGAATCTTCAGAACTACAGAACTGAAGAACTGATCTAAAGAGCAATGGTCCAAGGATCATAGCTGTTGCAGTGTTTTTCCCCCTGTACTTCTATAACATAACTGGCTGGAGTGCAGATTAATGGCTTTTTTGAAAGGAAGTGGCAGTTATCTTTCTTTCAGGATCTCATTCTGAAGGGAAGTTTGAAGACGAGGAAATTTCATCACCTTATGTTTTCCAAAGTAAATGTTGCTGATTCTTTCTGTAAAAAGTTAAAATAACACTGAAGAAATTATAATTTTGTGTTATCTGGGACCAGGAGTGCTAGATGGTTTCTGTCAGGTTAAGACAGTTTCTTACCTCATTAAATTTACTCTGATCTAATTAAAGCAATTATAGGGGGACAAAAAAAATAAGGCTCTTACTGTTTCTTAATAATAGCCCGAAATCAACTTAGATGCTCTGTGTTTTCAGGTGTCAGACAGCGATTCCTCATAATGAGGATGTAATGAAGAGAAAATTTGCTTTTAATCTGTTTTTATTTCAATCTGTTACATTTTATACTGATTGCAAGAACAGTTTATTGGAATACTACAATCTACAATGTAGTCTTTTCAGAAATAGAACTTTTCTGACAAAACTCCTTAAGAGTGCATCATATTGGTATATTCCTTTATTAAAACTGGGGACACTATGGTCTCCTGAGGCTTATAGGGACAGCAGAAGCTGGGAGTTCTTTTGCAGACTGTAAGAAGTCCACTGAAGGTAAGGAGTAAAACATGTCAGAGGCGTAGCCATAGCAATTGAATATTGTCTTTAAGGCTAATAATGTTGCTTCACATAAAGTCCTAAATTTCAGTTGGCTCGCATATTAAAAATTCACCCCATAGATATTTTCATGTGCATTCTCAGGGCAAATTTGGTCATGTTGGTTTAGTCATGATCTGAATGTTTATGTTCTCTCTAAAAAATACCTAAATTCTTGGAACTTACCATGTACATTATTACATTTGCTTATAAAGCACTTTGCATGCGTTTTCACAGTGTGTAATTCTAATACTTATTCCTTCTTTTCCAGCATTTAAACAGTTATTAGGTGCATAAGAAAAAGTTTCATGAAGTAGTAACATTGCCATTATGAAATGCATGTGTCTTTATTTTAATAGTTATGTCAAATTCAGGTATACCCTATATATTCATTAATGGATCTGTAACTTCACTGATTTCTTTGTAGTTTGGAAACCAGTCCAATAACAGACACAGATCTTGCGAAGCGTACAGTCTTTCAAAGATCATATTCAGTCGTTGCATCAGAATATGACAAACAGCACTCAATTTTGCCAGCACGTGTAAAGGCAATCCCTAGGAGACGAGTCAACAGTGGAGATGCAGGTAAGAACACAGACATCAGAAGCAGGAGAAAAAGTATTCAAGGGTATGGCACTGGGTTTGCAGTTCTTCTTGGAAACTGTAGACAAATAGAGGTTTTTGTAACTACATGTAATGACTTTTATTTTTATTTATTAATAAACTTATCTGTTTGTTAATCCACACAGAATTAGCCTAAAAACAGTTGAGAAATTACTGTGGTTCTGAAATTTGTGGTGCATCATTTGTGCTTGATGTAAAAAGTTAAAGTGGTATTTTCTTTCTCAGTTGAAACACTGTTTTACCACATTGTTTTTTTTTAACGCGTTTTCCTCATGGAAAAAATTAATTCAAATATCAATCCTAAGATTGCTCTGTTGCTTTTTATTTTTACTGTAGCTATACAATTAAAATGCGCAAAGAATCTAATGTATGCATGTTTTTATGCTTTTGAATAGAAGTGGGGTCCTCTCTCCTGAGACATCCATCTCCTGAACTTTCTCGGTTAATCTCCGCCCACAGCTCTCTTTCCAAAGGAGAGAGAAATTTCCAGTGGCCAGTATTGGCATTTGTAATCCAGCATCATGATCTGGAAGGACTTGAAGTAGCAATGAAACAAGCCTTACGGAAATCTGCTTGCCGAGTCTTTGCCATGGAGGTATCAACATACTAATGGATCTTGTGTGATTAAAATAAGACATTTTTTAAACTTTTTCTCAGGTTTCTTTTAAAAATTAACTTTTGATGTGCAGTAACCCTATTCTGAAAGTTCGCTTACTAATATTAGTCACTCTTAAGTGTTGTTAATAGGGAAGTATGGCCTGTAAACCTTCAGTTGTTTATCTGTCATGTAGAAAATGTCTGATGAAAATATTATTAATCAGTTACAGAAATACTGTTTTCTCCTCACTTGCTGAACATCTTCCTGGTTCTACTTACCTTTTTAAGGTCTTTCCTTTTTCAAATATTGGACTGAGTATTCTTTCTTTAGAATTGTTTTGATGTTGGTAATATCTAGATACTTCATAACTTCCTTCTGATAAGGGTGAATGCTACCCGTGTTACTTAATAGTGAATGAGCAGCCAAAAAAATCATTAAAGATTAACTAAAGATTAATTGCTTCAATAAAAGCTGAGGCCATCTTTTTTTTTAATTTCAGCTAAGCTTTAGTAGCATTTCTTCTGAACCTGTATACAGGATGGGTATTTTTCAGGCATTTGTAACATGTGAAAATATAGGTGGATTTTCTCAGATAAAGTACCACACCTCTATTGTTAAACACCACCCATCAAATTTCCAAACATCAATGTGCAGCAATATTGCAGCTTTTAGAAGAACATATGAATGTTACAATTAAAAAAAAAAACTTTTCCCCCATTATGTTAATTTTTTTGTGTCTGATTATTTTTTTTTTATTAATTTTGTCAATGGCAGAGACCAGACAATGAAACCAAATCTCAGCCTAGAGAGTTCTAAATTAAAAAGGATATTTACTTTGTTAGCCAATTTGGTTAGGGAGGAGTGCTTATTTCATCCTGTAATTGTGCCTAAAAATACATAAGAACTTTGCCTTTTTTATCCTTAGAGCTTTTGACAAAGAACTTATTTTTGTGTATGGTGTTTCTCCATTACTTTGCTATGTCCCCTGTAATATAGCTGTCATTTTAATAAACTGTTTCAGCCTCTCACTTGAAGACTTTACTTGAGTGTCCAAAAGCAGCAGTGCACCTCCTTACTTACATAAATAGTTTAAGAAATGGTTTTACTCCAGGTTTCCTTAACCGATTGATAACTCTTTGTGTGTATTTTATTTTAGGCTTTCAACTGGCTTCTTTGTAATGTCATTCAGACAACTTCTCTTCATGATATTTTGTGGCATTTTGTGGCTTCCCTGACTCCTGCACCTGTAGAGCCTGAAGAAGAGGAAGATGAAGAAAATAAATCAAATAAGGAAAATGCAGAACAAGTGAGCCTTCATTTCGAAAATACAATGTCTCTGTTGATTTTGTGGTTTATTTATTATGTGTTGAAAAAAACCCAAACAACAACAACAAAACTAATCCTCTCTTTGTGAAGCAGAACCTTAATTATGTAATAAAAATTCTTAGTCTCAAATTGTAGTTGAAGTCTTTTGATAGTTACAGATAAATAATTTTTTCTTTTACATTGCCAGATTAGGGAAAAAAAAACAACAAAACAACAAAACAAAAGGCGAAAACATAAGCAATTGCTGATCCAGAAACAAAACAAATTACTGTTGGCTTTTTATTCTTGCTTTGTCCCTCCCCTCTCCTCCCCCCCCCAAAAAAAAGACCAGATGAAAATGTTTTGAGAGAAGCTTTGTTCTTTGGTCTGTTGTGTCTTACAGTGCTTTAATTATATATACACTACAGACAGAAAAATCTACAGTTAATGTTGCATGTAAAAAGGTATGGCCTACCATGTCGTTCTTCCAAAAAGTATCTTCAATCTCTTCTAGATTTAGCTCTGATTGAAAACATAATCATGTCCACAGTTAATAGCTGAAGAAATCATGCTTGTGTTGTCAGTAAGTCAGGGTAATTTTTATCTTCAAATCTAATTCATCTTTGAAATGAGAAGTTCTGAAATGAGTCTTTTCAGCATTGCAGCCCTGGTACACTTCTGTAGTCATTTACAGAACAACTGTATTCTTGTCTTGATTTTTTTCTGGCATATCAGCTTTCCAATGTTACTGTTTCAACATGCAGAATTATAATTCAACTTATTACCAAGTGTGCCAAATTCTTTTATGTATACATTAAAGCTGATTTGCAGTAGCTCTGTGTATTATATTCTGAAGATTGTTCTTATGCTTGGCTCCAACAGTTTTCTGCCTGTAATAATTTCAGCTGCTACATCAAAAGCACAGCTAGAGTGAGGGAGATGTGTTGTGACCGGTCCTTATCGTGGTCAGCCTCCAGAATAAGAGTCTTTACTGTATAAAAGAAATATTGTCTTAGCTGTAGTTTGGATAATTACTGACTGAAAGATAAAGGATACTGGAAGGGAGTGTTAAGTCACTTCTGCTCTGGTGAGAATGCTGCTTCTCTGTTGATGTAATGAAGGGGAGAATTAAAAAAGTCCCCTGGGTTTTGTGGTTCAAGCAGGATCAGATTTTCTTTTAATAGAGTAGCAGGGGAAAGAGTTTCTATCCTTCATAGATAAGTCTGTCCTTGCCTTTTGAAATAGGATATCATGATCAGAACCTCCTTCTCCTTTCTCTGGTAATCTTCCTCATAACACATCTTGTTGGACCTTATACTCCTTAGTCCTCTGCCTTTGTACTTGCTGCTCAGTGGAACTTGTCCCACTGCACAACCATTCTGATACTGACACACCTTAATTAAGAATCATAATTGCCACAGCTCTGAAGAAATAAGGCATCTGATAACCTTAGCTTCATTACCAAGTTTGTTATGGCTGGGATTTGCTGCTCAAAAAAGTTGTTATGAACAGCTGGAATAAGTTACTATTTTTCTAGTTTGTTTATTTTCAAGTTTTTGCAACACAATTTTTCACATCTTTAATTCATGACAAATATATGGCAGTATGCAGAATACTTCCCAAATTCCTTGTTAGGTGTTCATATATGAAATGTTATTGTAAAAATTCTCTGACAGGAGCTGCTTTGAAATTTACATTCGTTATAGGATTGTTGCAGTTACTCTTCAACCAAATACCATAAATATTTTTATTTCTACTTATTTAACCTATTTTCTCTAAAGTCTCTTGACATACAAATTGCTTTGCATCTTAGGAAAAAGACACAAGAGTATGTGAACATCCTCTGTCAGATATAGTGATTGCTGGCGAAGCAGCCCACCCATTACCCCACACATTTCATCGCCTGCTCCAGACAATCTCTGATCTTATGATGTCTCTTCCCAGTGGTAGTGCATTGCAGCAAATGGCCTTAAGGTAAGCACAAATGAAGAAAAATCTTAAAAGACTGGAAACACTGTAACATTATATATGAAAAGATTTTGTAATGTAGATAGGAAGTTTGAGGCAACTGTGTGCATGTGTAAAAAGGAGCATGTCTTTACTTACATGTAGGAAAGATATATGATCTCTGTATGTGTTTATACATATGAATAATTGTATAAAAAGTTGTGTAAAGAAAAACATATTTGCTCTTACATTCTTTATTATATCCACTATAAAAAGAAAAAAACATCATAACCAATGACCAACTGTTAAAATTTAGAAGTTTATTGCTGTCTTCCTCAAAATGATGCGTGGAACCACTTAAGGTACTGCAAATATTTGAAGTTAAAGGTTTATAGAAGATACTTTGAGAAACAAAAATGTAATTGTTCCACTGGTGGGTTGTGTCTTTTAAACAATATGTAAAATTTCAGATTGCACTTAATATGTTTTCAGGTGCTGGAGTCTCAAATTCAAACAGTCGGATCACCAGTTCCTGCACCAGAGCAATGTTTTTCATCATATCAACAATATTTTGTCTAAATCTGATGATGGAGATAGTGAAGAAAGTTTCAGTATCAGTGTTCAGTCTGGTTTTGAAGTCATGAATCAGGCAAGTATTACAGCACTCAGAAGCGGAGATCAGTTGTGAACAGCCTGTACTACTTATGATAATTCTGTTTAAATTAAACTTTTTTTTTTTTTTTTTTTGCACTGTAGTATTTCCTTGAATGTGTCTTAGTTTGGAATCTTGTTGCTGATATTCAGGTTCTCATGCTTGGCTTCAGAGTTTCAAATATTGACCCTTAGCATGTATGTCACTCAAACCTAAACTCTGGAGTAATGCTCGTAAGAGTTTGTTTGCAAGTAAAGTAATTGGGGATCTCTTATAGTTCATTTAGGTAATTCATTTGGGTTCTTTGAGTTTAATTCATCTTTTAAATGCTGTGTACTTCTAGTTTGTACTTGCTTAGATTTTTTTTTTTTTCTTCTGTTATTCTGAGGAGCACAAATTAATACTCCTGATGAATATCTTTAAAATGTTTTCTTCTTCCTATATTTATATTAATAAATGTATTTATTAATACATTTAGGCATTTCTTAATATATTCAGCTGTTAGGTATTAATACTTCCTTTGTTTAAAGGGCTGAATAATTTGAACCAATAAATGACAAATTTATTCTATGAATCAAAGGGTGTGTTCCTCAGAACAGAAGTGTCTATATAGTTTTAAGAATTGTAAATAATGCCTATATTTGGGCTTACTTTCAGATATTGTAGCAATTTCCATTTGTTTTCACAGGAACTCTGTATAGTGGTTTGTCTAAAAGACCTAACCAGCATTGTTGACATTAAAACATCAAGCCGACCTGCCATGATTGGTAGTTTAACAGATGGATCTACAGAAACGTTCTGGGAGTCAGGAGATGAAGATAAAAACAAAACTAAAAACATCACAATTAACTGTGTAAAAGGAATTAATGCACGTTATGTGTGTGTTCATGTAGACAATTCCAGAGATCTTGGGGTAAGAGGAGAATGAAATGAAATGTCTCTTAATTGAAGGTGCATAGTCAAAGCTGTATGCATTTATCAATCAAGAACCACCATTTTCTTTGTCCAGTTCAGTTTGTAATTCTAATTTAGAACCTCGCAGTTCAAAATAAACTTTGTAATTCCTGTGGTTTTGAAAGCAGTACCTGGTAGAATCAGACCAATCCAACTGAATTTGCAGTTTGCATGAACCCATGACTGGGAAACTTAGTTCTCAGTGGCATGTTCAATTTCAAATGTGTTCTCAAGCATTTAATATTTTCGTAAGTTACTTTTCCTGCTCACAATTTCTATAGAAACATTCAAATAAGGAGTTTTCATCAAATCCAAAGTATTTTCTAGACTTACTTCATGTTTACATGTTTATTGATCTGTGCAGTGATGTTACAAGTCTGTCTTTATTTCAGCTACAGCTTTTAATAAGGGAGCAGATTACACTCTTTATTTTTTTTGAGAGAGAGCTGTGCTTTGGAATTCTTTGTCTTGGTTTTGATCATTTTTAATCATTTTTCATTAACAAAACAGCTTGTCTCTTCTATGAATGTACTCTCAATACAGAAGAAATAGTCAGAATGGTCCAGGTGAAGTGTTTTGTTCTTATTTTGCTTGTCTGTTGCAGAACAAAGTGACTTCAATGACCTTCCTAACTGGCAAGGCGGTAGAAGATCTGTGCAGAATAAAGCAGGTAAACATTTTAATAGTTGACACTGAAAAATTGCTGTTATTTTTTTGGCTGTATGTTGCAGAGAAAATTCTAAGTAAATTGCTTCCATTCTTTACAGTAGATAAATTACATTACAGGTTATCAGGCATTGTAATATTCTTGGAAAATACGGTAGTATTAATGATGGAATTCAATCATATATACTGAATATTGTCATAGAATCATAGAAAGGTTTGCGTTGGAAGGGACCTTAAAGATCATCTAGTTCCAGTCCCCCCCTGCCATGGGCAGGGACACCTACTAAGTGTTGATCAAGCTTTTACTCTTTTACTGAAACAGAACAGGGTGATATAAAATCTTCCTTAGATTTTTTTTTTTTTTTTTTAATTACTATAGCTGGAAGAAAAAGCATCAAAGAAAGGAGAAGGGATCACCTAGAAAGTTAAAAAAAAAAGACTGTTTAGGTTGTGTTTTATAAGGATCAACAAGCTGTTTGATTTCTTTTAGGGTACTTCTATTTGAATATACCTAAAATACTTGCACTAAGTAGTGCTACTCATTATTCAATATTCTGATGCCCGGCTTAGTGTTAAACTGCCTTTGCCTTTTATCTGCTTCATGGAATCATTTTTCATTAGAGAAATGCAGTTTAAAAGTTAGCAGAATGCCATCAGAAAAGAGAAATCATTTATCCTCAGCACAAGTTTTTCTAGTTACATGATCTAATACATATTTATAGCACACATCCGGCCATTTTAATTCTTCAGGTAACTGAAGACTTCTGTATTGAAACTCAAGTTCAGAATGGTATTCAATCTTTGTACTTCTGTTGCTCAGCCATGTGAGAGTTGCATAGTTTTTACACATAGAACAATGTATTTTGAACAGCGTGTTTTGACACTGATGTGACCCATCAGATACCTAAGGTTTCAAGCAAGCAAGCGCTCAAAACTTTATTATTTGGATTATTGACAGTCAGTGATAAAATTCTTCAGGAATACACATTTTCTTATTGCAGAGAGACAGTTTGCTTTTCTCTGCCTCGTAGCCTCAGAAAGCATTTAAGGCAGAGATACAGCTCCAAAAGATGTTACCAATCTGAACAAACAAAACTTCGGTATAGTGGGCTCATATTAAACAGTGAAGTGTGAGTGTGCATATAAGCAAACAGATCTAAAGTTTGTGTGTGTGTGTGTGTGTGTGTGTTTCTTATGAGTGTATAAATGTAGATGAAAAATATTGATGGACACATACACACCCCCAAAAAATATTATTTATTATTTATTTATTAATATTTTTTTATTTTATTGTGAGGATACTGACATGGTATGCCTGGCCATCCAGCTAAATAAAAGAAGGCCATGGCAGAACTCAAGTGCTGGACTCCAGATCATTTGTACAGCTTGTTTGTTATCTTTCTCCCTGGTCTTACTTCTGTCTGCTCAAACCCAGTGCCCAGGCATTTTTTCCAGGGATGGTTCACTCCCAGAAGACAGGTGGGACTTGATTAAGCTTTGCTTCTCTTTGCTGGACAGTCTCCTATCACTTCTCCAACGGTTTTTTTATCTTCAAACACACCTACATACTGTACCCCCTAACTCATGCATATTTCTGTCTCATGGTATTTAAAAAAAATAGTCAGTCTTTTCTGCTGCAGCGCATTTCTGTGCAGACACTGAGCATTAGCACAGAAGTGGGAAAGAACAGATGTTACCTTCATTATCATTGAGCCTATGGATGTGAGGGAGGGCTCAGAGCAACCCAAGGGAGACTTAGGCCAACTTGGGTTGCTCTGAGCAAAGATGTGAGGCAGTGCGGTTTTTTGCTATGAGTAATGACATCACAGTTTAAATCATATAACAGTATTTTTAAAAGCATATTTATTTTAAAATAATCTGAATTTGATACAGTCCATTTGTCCTTTTTTCAGTTATTAAGTCTTGTATCTCTTGATAAGGGTATCAGACACTGACTTCCACAGAGTTACAATTTCTGTGGCAGGGTTTTATGTGAACAGGAATAAAATAACTACTGATAAGTGTGTGTTATATTTTCATCTAAATTATGGCAGTTTTGGGGTTTTTTGTTCTTCTAATTAAAAGTAGTGAGCAAATATTTCAAAGTGTTTTTGAATACATGAAGTGTTGCTTAGAGGGTAAAAGGTGTAGATAGGCCAGTATTTCTAATAGGCTTTACAAACAAAAAATAAATGGCTGTATGTCATTGGTTTATAAGTTTATTTTTAATTTGAATTCATGAGGTTGAATGTTTTTATAATTACACATGATAGTCTTACTGCACAGGATGAAAATTTCATTTCAGAAACTGTATTGGTTCCATTGATATATGAAGGGTTTGTTTCAGAGGTAAATGACTGACTTCGTTTGATGTAATGTCAGTTCCCATCTTTCCCATATTCCTGTTTAATAGGTAGACTTGGATTCAAGACATATTGGCTGGGTAACAAGTGAACTTCCTGGGGGTGATAATCACATCATCAAAATTGAATTGAAGGGTCCAGAGAACACACTAAGAGTTCGACAAGTGAAAATTCTCGGATGGAAAGATGGTGAAAGCATTAAAATAGCAGGCCAGATTTCTGCAAGTGTCGCTCAACAAAGAAACTGTGAATCTGAGACACTGCGGGTATTCCGACTTATTACATCCCAGGTGGGATTTTAATGATGTGAAATCATTAAATAATCACTTAATTATGTGAAATAATAATCATTTAATGATGTGAAATCATTAAATACTATGACAGTGTAAATTGTAGTACTTTATATTGTAATGCAAAATGTCAAACTTGCACAAGTTTATCTTTCAGGTTAGCTAATTGTCACAGTCTTTCTTCTAGGTATTCGGAAAACTCATCTCCGGAGATGCTGAGCCAACCCCAGAACAAGAGGAAAAAGCATTGTTGTCTTCCCCAGAAGGAGAAGAAAAAGTACACAATGTATTTATTTGTATTCTATCAATAATACTTTGCTGAAAAAATCAGGATGATTTTCAGTATTTGTCCTATGTCTTATGCTAAATAATTTTCAGATCAGAACAGAAATAAAATGACACAATTGCTTATTTTTTAAAATTAATCATTGATACTGGCTTTTATTAGTAAATTATAATTAGGGCATCTCTTTTAATGGAAACATCAATTATGCCTACAATTACAGAAATACTTGACACCTGCAGCGATGGTCAGCCTGAAAGTCCTTCTTGCCTATTATCTTGTGCCTCAGGAGGGGCTCTGTTGGTGTTTCTAGTATTAAGAAACCACACTAGTATCCTTTTACCCCATAGTCTTCCGTCTTCCAGCAAGAATAGTTTCATAATTGCTCCTGAAGAAGTCCCTGTATACGGACTGTTGCATTTAACAGCCAAAACTGGCCTGTCCCCAGTGGAAGGAATTCTGGCTTTCAGATGATAGATGGTTTTGCTCTAGCCAGAGCCTTGTGACAATAACTTCCATAACTGAATTATTAATTTCTAACAGTGTATTTTTCTCACACATGCTGTGTGGTAACTTAGTTATGTGTTCCCCGTTTCTCTTATTGTGAAATGTATGAACTGAAAAGTATATTCTATGCACTGCTTTACAGAAGTAATCAGTGATTGTATTAAGCTACGTGAAGAGGCTGAATCTTGGATAATTATACTTGACTTTTTTTGCTTATCAATTATTTTATATTTATGTTCTGTTGCATTTTAGTTCATGATCAAATTTCCTCAAAGAAAGTAAATACATCTAAGAGGTATTTGTTACCCATAGTTAAATTGATTGTGCTTAGATACCTTATTTCTCTGTAACAGAAAGCTACCAACTTTTACAACAGCTTGTTGAATATTCCATGCTAATTGCTACAGTAATTAGGAAATGTTCTTGAAACCTTTGATCTAATATTAAATACACTTTTTATAAAGGCAACATCAGATGCAGACCTCAAGGAGCACATGGTAGGGATCATATTCAGCCGGAGCAAACTGACAAATTTGCAGAAGCAGGTTTGTTCATTCTGAAATGCTTTGTAGTTTAAATATTTGTGTGTTGTAATAAATGAACTCATTTTCAATGAATATAGAACCTTTTATTTGACACTCTGTTCTTCTGTTGTTCTTTATAATCAAATTTTTATTTACATTTTAAATAGCATGTGTGTGTATTTTATATGAAAAACCTGCTGAAACTGACACTGAAAAAAATCCATTTTAATAGGATTAAAAAAAACCTATGCTATTATACTCAATTTATAAACTTTATAATTGAGTTATAAATGGTACTCATTCATGTTTGCTGGTAATAATAGCATTATAGTAAGCCATCTCAGATTTCTAGGAGAGGTTCAGTGACAGTTTAGATTCTTAAGTGTGCACATTTTCAGCCCATTTCTGGAATGAAAAAGTATTTAGGTTTGATAAAATTTAATCATAAAAAAAGTAATCAATGTATATATCATTATTATTTCCTGCAACCAGTGAAAGATTGGCTTTGTGGTCTTCTTACTTATCTTTGTTTTTCTTGAAAAAGTGGTTTTGTTGTTTTTTTTTTGAATACTTTTTAATACACGAACTAAAGCATCTCTGATATTGTCTTCATTAAACCTATCATGAGACAGACATTGCTGTAAAGATTTTCACAGTAATACAAGAGGTTTTGGATTAATTTTGAAGTTTTTTAGACTAGTAAGTCTAATCTACCTCTTTTGTCACCTATCCTAGAAAGCTTTCAAATATCTTCAATATGCTTTTTAACATGCTATTGGTAAAATGAAAACACAGTTTCTAAGATTTATTTTTTAAGCTTCCTGAGGAGTAAACTAAAGAAGAGCCTAAGTATTTTAGTAAGTCCTTTTCTTTCGTGAGTGTTGAGTAAATGTATTTCTTTGATAGTTTTTTGGGGGAGGAAGGAGGAAGTAGTGTTAACTTGAATTATATGCAAAAAGCAAATTAAAAGGTAGAAACTACAATAAAAAAATACTTATTTCAGTGAAATTTTTCAGAATGAAGATAAGCAAATTCAGTATTAATTCTAAATATTAATTCTGAAGAATTTTAATCTTTACTCTGAATTTAAATCTAAACTTTATTCTTCATTTGAATTTATGTTGAAAAGTAATTTAAGTACAGACCAGATTTCACAGGCTTCCCATTTTAGTTATAGTTGTGAAGTTACATAAAATGCAATCTTTTTCGCTTTGTAAAGAGTTACTACTATATATTTGGCTTCTGTTTGGATAGGTGTGTGCTCATATAGTCCAGGCCATACGAATGGAAGCAACCCGTGTGCGTGAAGAATGGGAGCACGCCATCTCCAGCAAAGAGAACGCCAACTCGCAGCCTAACGATGAAGATGCCTCTTCTGATGCTTATTGCTTTGAGCTGCTGTCAATGGTTCTGGCACTGAGTGGTTCCAACGTAGGCCGGCAGTATCTGGCTCAGCAGCTGACTCTGCTCCAGGATCTCTTCTCATTGCTACACACTGCTTCTCCCAGGGTGCAGAGACAGGTGAGTGCTAACTGTTCCTTGTCTTGGTATTCCTAGAAAAAAAAGTCTCGAAAATCCTGTAATTGTGTTCATGATAGTATAATATGTATTTGAACTTCTTTTTTCGTGTGTGTTTTCTTTTAAAAAATGTTTTCCCAATCATATTCAGATCATCTCTGTATTCCACATACAGAATAATTGTAAAAGCCACCCTTTTGCTATTGCAGTCATGAGGAGAGGGCAAAACTGGTGAGCCTTTAACAACAAATTACAAAATCTTTTTTGTTGTTTTTTTTTTCCCAGTTTTTGAATGGGGTTAAGATGATAAAGTTTTACGTGTTTGATATATAAATACATATAAAGTCCAGCATCACCAAAATTTGACAGTATAGAACTATTCGTAGGAAGCACAGTGTTGAAGACAATGAAGGCTACAGTTATGAAATTGAAGCAAATTCACTGTTGAGTAAGTTTGTAATGCATTGTCTCCAAGAGCTAGAACTCAGGTGTAGGAAACCAGAGCTGCTTAGTTAATGCTTATATCATTATGAACCTCAGTCAGCAAACTATTCTGAAATGCCTTTGAGTAATATCACTCTTCCCCTTTTGTGTCTCTGTTCTGAAGGATTTGGAATAGGGCAGGATAAATTGCTTTCTCAAACCATACAATAAAGGGACATAGGGTTTGCTTGGCAGGGGCTGTTACTGAAATAAAGTAGGATGCACAAAAGCAGTTAATCATTTTGTGTGTCCTAATGGGGATCTTTCACAAGGAAATGGCCTTCATTTTGGAGTGATGCTGCAAAGGATTCTTCAGTGAATCTAAACTTCACAGTATTCAGTGAATCTTACTTCACAGTATCCCAGTTGTTCACATTTCAATTCATCCGTGTACTGTTACGTATGTTCAGTTTGTCAGGTATTTCCTTTCTGTCACAATGACTAAAAAGTCTCTTTTTTAATATGAAAGGTCAAAATCTGAAGTTGGCACTGCCTTGTGATGGCAGTACTTAAATTTAGACCAGTGTTATGTATTACATTTCAAAATTTAAGTTCATGCATTGCATTTGTCTGCCTTATTTCTAAATTATTACATGTAATTGCAAGAACCAGAGGTGCTCCTTTTAAATATAAGAGCTGTTAATTTTCCATATCTCAAATATATGAAGTTTAAAAGCTGTTTTGTTTATTTATTGCAAATAAGAATTTTGTATAAAAAGCAGTTAAGTTTTCAGGTGTGGAAGGAAACTACTGAGGTGACTGCTTATTTTTTAGTAAAATCTCGTGCCCACTGCACTGTGGGGAAAGGGTCTGAGAGTGAGTTGTACAAATACTTCTATCACTGTTGTCCTAAGTCTAGTACCAAGCATATTTTTGTTATTATATGAAGACCAAGTATTATTTGAGTGAGACTGGTTCTAGACTCTTCGGCATTGTCTCGTTGGGTATATTAATAAGCACTTCAAAGCAAGATAGAAACCTTACAGAATTTCTTACGCGTGTGATTTAAGTACAGAAAGTCGATTAAGTCCTTCTTACTGAAATAACTTGTGGAGAAAGACCTTATTTGATTTTGTTTGAAAACTCCAGCTGTCTCAGTAAGAGTTGTGGTGGTCTGATTTTATTCTCCAGGTAACATCATTACTAAGACGTGTTTTGCCCGAAGTAACCCCTAGTCGCCTGGCCAGCATTACAGGAGTGAAGTCTCTTCCGCCAGCAGATATAAGTGATATCATTCACTCAACAGAAAAAGGAGACTGGAACAAACTAGGTATCTTAGACATGTTTTTGGGATGCATTGCCAAAGCTCTCACTGTACAGCTAAAAGCCAAAGGAACTACAATAACAGGGACAACTGGCACTACTGCAGGCAAAGGAGTTACTACAGTCACACTTCCCATGATCTTCAATTCCAGGTTTGTTTAAAAATATGTATATGTTCTCAAGCTAAAAACACAAAATAATGACATTCTTTGAAGTCAGTTATGTTGTCTTTGTTTTATAAATGGGAAAAAAAATTGTAACTGAGTATGAATTTCTCTGTGCTGGATTTTTACAGGTAGTAACTAATTACTTGAATTTATTTCATGTTCTTTGCAGCTATATTCGGCGAGGTGAAAGCCACTGGTGGATGAAGGGTTCAACACCTACACAAATTTCAGAGATCATTATTAAACTCATTAAAGACATGGCAGCAGTAAGTTTCTATCCTTTAAATGTGTGGAGGATATTCACATATTTCTGGTAATGAAGAGTAGACTTTTTAATTACTTTCTATTACACTTAGTACTGGGTTGAGCTGTTTAAACGTGAGTCAGTCTGAAAAAGAAAAGGGTATAGTCTTCTAGGTAGAGTCTAGGCCTAGAAGCAGTAGGAACTGAGTTCTGATTCTGCTAAAGAGAAATCTAGTTTTGAAATAAGCTTTTAAAGAAGTCACTTGTACCAGAAACTTAAGAAGTAAATGGTAATTGTGTGTCATTTTCTACATTATTAACTTAGAAGCCTGATTTTTTTAATCTTGAGCACTCAGAACTCCACTTGGAACCAGAAAGTGTCTGTGGAGTAAGATAATAGTGTTGTTTTCATGTCACTGTATGTAGATTTTATATGTGGAGTTTCTGGTAAAGACTGTATGTTAAGATTGCTGCATTTCAGTCTTACTGAAATCTACATTTATAGTTGTTTATTACTTTAACCATCCGGGTTGAATTCTTCCATAGTTATTTCTGATACAGGCAATATTTTTTGGCAGAAGAATGCAATAGAAAGTGATGCACCTATTTCCAAAGTCAAAAAAACAAAACACAACAGGTTTTGTATATATTATGGGGAAAAGAGTTTAGATGGGAGGTTGGTTTTGTTTTCCTTAATTCTGTACCTATTTCAGTGAGATGCTCTAAATGACCCAGATTTTCCCCTGTGATTAACCTTTGAAAGCTTTTTCGGTATGTTCAGCTTTGGAGTCCTGTTTTCTAAGCCATTCATTGTGTTTAGATTAAACAGATCCCTTCTCAAAGTTGCTGAAGCTGGATGGGAATTCTGTGCAATTGCTACTGTTGATTCTGACCAAGATTTCAGAATCTCACAATTCTTCTTTCGTTAAGAGTTAAAGTGTGTCTCATCCCTTAGCAGTGCTGGTCCTTGCATAAAATGATCACTTTGTCTTTGCTTCCAATGGTCCAGTGACTAGAGAGAAAAGGTCTGTTGTAGGTGCCACTGTGATTCTGCATGATGGATTTCTATTTCTTCTTACTTTATGAACATTTTAGGAAATTGCATATAAAAATTAGGACCCCCAAAAATAGCAGTTGTAAAGGCAATTAAGTACTCAGAAGATAGTAAATGCCAGGATTAAGATGGTGAGCACCTGTATGTATACGCCCATATGTTTTTCTCAGGCACCCTGCTTCTTCTGGTGTGTAAGATGCAACATATATTGGGAATTAATTGGGGGGGGGGCAGGGGTAACTTGTTCAAGACTTTTTTTAAGGGCTGTCAGTATCATCTGTAGCCATTGTTGGTGGGCATGCTTTGGATAAGTAGGAAAACATCAGGCAAATGCTGGATTCTCTTCTGCTGTATTTTTATATAGTTTCAGGCAAGTCTTTTAAAGGAAACTCTGTGGTCCTTGTTTTATGGGATTTTGGTTCACATGATGATGGGAGAGCCTGTCCCTTAATCAAGAGCTGATTAAAACTAAGCTGAGCAGAAGCTTCTGCCAGGTATCAAAGAATGAGATTAGTAGAAATAGATAATGGCTGGCTGACTAGAATCAGATGCTTGTATTGGTTGTGTAAGCAGCTCCTCCAGCCAAGACCTTCACCAATGAAACTTGTGTATCTGCTAATACCTGGTTCTCCAAAACCAGTGTAGAATTAGTAGGAAAGTTCTTAAACTCTGATGTTAGATATGGCAACTTGTATGCTTATCCAGGGTATGCTAGGCTCCATCTCCCACATACCTGATAGCTTTCCAATAGTGCTGGCTGTTGGGTCTTGAATTCTCTTGTTTAAGAGAATGTAAATATTTATTATAAAAAGAGAGGGATCAAGTCACTTAGGTAAAGTGTAGTCCTCTCAGGTGTGGATATAAATCCCTTTCAGTAGATTCTGAATTGCTTAAAGAGTAACAGCTCCTAAAGGAATGGCTGGGACTGAGTTTACTCTGAATTATTCAGTAGCAAAACAATAAGGTTCTTCCTCTCCTCTTCTTTACAGAAGAGATCTGAACTTTATTCCCTTTCATTCTAGATGAGGGAGACCTGACTAAGGCTATTTAAAGGTGGGAGTAATAATGTTTTTTGATTATGTTTTGTCAGGGACCTCTGTGGTTTAGGGATACTCAAAACTTGTTCTGGGGTTCAGCCCTGTTACCCAAAAGAGAGTGGGGGAATAGAGGGGTTCTAGTTTAAAAACCTTTCTCTGAAGCTTTTTAGAACTGTATCTACATCCGAGTTAGTCACTGTAGCTTCCTTTTTAGAGTCCAGTGAGTCTTAGTTATTTTTGTCACTTTTAGCATGAGGTTTAGAAATTTAGAGATCACATTTAGGATTCAGCAATCTCTGAATTCAGGACCTTTGGGGTATGAAGCAGTGCCATAGGTTCAAGGCTGGTTAAGAAAGTATGCTATAGTTCTGATGTTTTCTGTGTACTCCTCTTTATTTCTTTCAAATATTGAAACTGTGGAGAGTGTTCAGGAACACCAAACTGGACAAGTGAAGCTGTTTCTCTAGGGATCTATTGTAACCTGTGTGTTGTTCAGTCACTTATTTGTGCTCCAGCTCTGTATCTTTCTCTTGGTGGGGGGCTTTAGGAATATGCCTTTTCATTCTTCAAATCATATGCCCTCTACCTACACCAAGTTGGTTATTACAGTAGCTGCTCAGAGACTACCTTAGTCAGTCACCTCGGTATTTGAGGGCTGGTACTTGAGATGTCTGATTTAAAAACACATGAATTGTCAAAGTCGTCCCTGACTTCCTCTTCTTTTATCTTGCGATGCTAACCTGATGTTGCTTGTAGCAGCTCTAATTACAGTTTTAGTTGTTCTTAATCAAAGCTGTAATAAACTGAGTTTCCTCTTTAACAGGGCCATCTGTCAGAAGCTTGGTCCCGTGTGACAAAGAATGCTATTGCTGAAACCATCATAGCCCTGACCAAAATGGAAGAAGAATACAGATCACCAGTGAGGTGCATTGCAACAACCAGGGTAAGAATTTTACTGCACTTAACATTAGTTCACTCTAAATGTGCAGTAGGAGCCTATCCAGGAGCCTTCCTATATTTTAGAAAAACCTTCTTTATACAGGATTTTTCAAGAAACAATACATAAAGTATATGGTTTATAGTCTCCAAATCTAGCTGTGTGCATTATGGAGAGGTAGTGTTTGTCCTGATAAGTCTTGCTTTCTCTGTGTCACACCAGATGCAGTTTTGAGTTGTGATTAAATATGCATCTTGGGTACCTCCCAGCCAATGAAGTGTTATGCTTATACATTTGGGGTTTTATCCTTGAGGTGTAATTCTCCTTTAAGTTTGTGATATTTGTGATAAATTTTACTCAATTTATGAGCCCATTTGTGTAGAAAATTTCATAATATGTGTCAGCTGTCTTGTTCCAACACAGTTATTTTAAGTGGTTTGACTTCTAGGTCATCAGCCACATCTCAAGGCTGTTACAAAAACACTCAGTATCAAACATTCTCTAGGACAATTAAGCTAAACTTTACCTCTGTCTAGTCTCAAAATGACAAAACATTTGCTGAGCCCATTATTATTTACATAGGGTGGGGGTTTTTTTCTTTCCCTTTACTTCTTCCATGAATCTCTTATAGAAGTTGGGACTAATTTAACATTATTAGGTTGCTTGAAACACCATGAAAAGCATACTTGTAAATTATTGCATGGCTTCTCAAGCATAATAACAACATAAAAGAAGAGGTTCACAATGGTTACAAGCATTTGACACTCATGTTATTTTTCATCTTAAAAGGCTGTGCCACTTACCCTTTTCATCCCATTATTCGTATATTCTCTGCTTGTTGGAAGACACAATCTCGGAGTACCACCAGCTCCTGCTGTAACTGTGTTAGTTCAAGCAGGTCGTAGAGGAGCCCTAAACACCAGCCTAGCTCTCCTTGTCAGTGAACTTAGTTCTGTCATGGAGGTGTTGTTTTGGGGGTTGGGAGTCCAACAGACTTTTTTCAACAAAACCTATTTTGTTCAAATCAAACCTTTGAGCAAAACCATTGCAAGATGCACCTGACAAGTGTATTCCAGTTTGGATTGCAGGCCTGCCAATAAATTACCCTCATGTAGCTCGTCTCTCTAAAATTTCACTGTAGTCATTGGAGAGGAAAAGAGGAAAGCTTCCTTTGAAGAAGTTAGCTCAGAACCCTCTTCTAGGTAATCTCAAAACACCCCATGCAGCAAGGGTAGAACATAGGGAAACCAAATAGTCTCATTGAGCTGAAGTTCTGTTGTTGTTGACATACCTGAAAGAAACAAGGTAGTTCCCAGAAAGTGAGTGAATTTTATTGTGTGCTTGACTTCTTGTGGAAAGTAGAAAACTTGCATTGTTTCAGCTTATGATGACACTGTTTACAGGTAACAGTGACATTCTTATTTGCCAAAGTTTGTATCTTTAGTGTTTGGAGTGGGGTTTTTGTTTGTTTGGGGTTTGGGTGGGGTTTTTTGCTTGGAGTTTTGTTTGGATTTTTTTCTATATATATATTTCTAAAACATTTAATTCTACCTTTCCTTTCAATAGCTATGGCTGGCATTAGCATCCCTCTGTGTACTTGATCAGGATCATGTTGATAGACTATCCTCTGGAAGATGGATGGGAAAGGATGGACAACAGAAACAGATGGTGAGACTGAATCATACCTTTTTGTGTTTATTTTGATTTATTCAGTAGTCAGAGAACTCAGAATGATAGGGAAAGCTAGACTTGGCCTAACCTTATTGCTCCCTATTGTTCCCAGTGGAGATGTACATATACGTTTGAAGTATTTGTTCTAAACAAGCACTGCTCAGAAAAACAAATTTCCACCTTAAAACAGGTGGCAATTCTGTTGGTATTCAGGATGGAGCAGGGCCTTCCTGACACCTGTAGGATGGATTTTTGACAGCAGATGTGACATGCTCTGTCAAAGCTTTTTTCTCTCTGGATCTCTGTCACATAATGCAGTCAGTTCTTTCTTTGTGCAGTAACTTCTCTGTAACTTAACTTCCTCTTCCCCATCTTGGAGAGTGATTACCCCAAAGAGAAAGAAACTGTCTAACTGGATTTAGTAAAGCTACCATTTACCCAGAGAATTTATAACTTTAATATGGAATATGATGGATTGAATTTCTGTCTATATTTTTCCAGTATCACAAAAAGCTTACGATTTTTTTTTAATACCCATCTGGAAAGAGCAAAATAATGAAGCTGATCTCATTACAACTTGGTTAGGTGCATCCCTGTGGGAGGCAAGGGGAGATTGTGACTTTCCACTAGCAGCTGAGGATGCTTAGAGCAACGAAGCTTCCAAAGCAGTTTAGTATAGTTAGAATGAGAGTACAGGAGACACAGAGCTGCAGCAGCAGCAAGGACTAAAACCCTGCTGAGGTGATTTAAGAAAGTCAAGGGACTTCTGCAGAGCTTTGGAAATGTCAGAGGAGTGATCCAAGACATCATCAAGCAGGGATGCTGAACCCAGTCTGAAATTCCCCACTCCTATATTGTACCAGGATATTCAGATGCTGAGGTGAACTGTGTGTCCCCCTACCATGACTGTTGTTGAAAGGATTCTGTTCTAAGTTGCTTGAGCAGTATCATGGAAATCAGTGTTTGGGGAGTACAATGGAAGCTTGTTCTCAGACGTATGTATGTGCATAATCAAATCAGTCATTGAACTCGTCATTTATACAGATATTTTGAACTGCAAAACAGAACTGTGTTAAATTTCTATATATGTATCAGTGGAGCAGCCCAATTTTATGATGGATTTTAAAGTTTATTGCTACAGCTCTATTATCTCTGAGTTATAGGTGGCCTACAGTTTTGATTAATGTTTGAACAGAGTAAACATGCCATATCAAAGTAATGAAGGGTAAATATCCTACCTGTTGACTGACCCAAGTACTCATAGCTGAACTTTTCTGTTAACATGCCCATAACCCGTTATTGTTACCACATAAATGTTTTCTCAGACTAGTTGAAAAGTGTCTCAACTATACTACTGAAAGCCACATTTTTTCTACATCATGCAAAATAAGAGATGAAGAATATCAGAAGAACTGATGTAGTAAATTGGCGGGGGGGTTGTGTCCTGGAGTAGTTATTTAGATCCTAATGATTCTAAAGATACAATTAATAGTCTAAACAAGCTCTTTACTCCCTTTATTGATTGGGGGGGGGGGGATGAATGGGGAGAGAATAAAAACAGATGCAGAAAGGAAATGAGCGATTTAATAGAATTATTTCTTCTTTTTTTCCTCCAGCCAATGTGTGATAACCATGATGATGGTGAAACTGCCGCAATCATTCTATGTAATGTCTGTGGGAACTTGTGTACAGATTGTGACCGATTCCTTCATCTCCATCGGCGAACAAAAACTCATCAGAGACAGGTAGAGTACACATGACATCGTGTTGTGTGCACTGCATGCATTGTGTACATTTCCCCTATTAATATATAACCAACAGGCAGTAGCAAGTATCAAATCTGAAAATGGCATTTTCCCTCACTTTGGAAATGGGATAATTTTCCATTTAATTCTTTTTAGGTTTTGTTTTTTTTTTTTAGTTAAATTCCCTTGTCCTTTATCTTCTGAAGATTAGAAAATCTGTATCAGTCCCTAATTCTGACACTTACGCTACGTAAGCTTTTTTCTCTCTTGTTCTGACATTGTTTAGGAACATTTTTAGGAGAATCTAGGAACTTCTTAAGTAAACTTTGGTTCTTCATTTCTGTTAAATTGTCATCTCCTTTACTACTTCTGTCATATGAGTCAGTACTTGTCAACCCCCAGTTTTCAATGTAGATACCTTTTTAAATATCCGGGAAGACCACTTGACAGCAGATATTCCTACTTGTTCCTTTATGTCAGTCTTCTCTTATTTTTCAATATTCCTCCAGCTCTCACTGTCTTTCACAGCTAAGTATGTTGTCATATCCATAACCTTGAAATTCTCCTGAATTCTTTTGGTCTTGTTTTTGGAATTGAAACATCTCACCTGTTTGATTTAGATGAGTTTTTATAAATTGCTGTGTACTCTGCTAATTAGTTTTATTTTGTGTTATTCTTTTATCCTCTTCATCTCTAAACTTAAAACCACATTCTCCTTTGAATCTTTCTTTTTCTAATTGAAATTAATGTTGAAGATTCTATTACTTGTGAAACTACTGAACATTTCCCCTTTTTTGACTTTTGTGGTCCTTTATTTTCCCTTTACTCTGATTATTTACATATGTACAAAAGCTAAATATAAAATTACATGTTAATAACGTTAATTTAATAGAAATCATTCCTCTTCTCCCTCTCCTAGAGTACATCTACATCAGCTTTTTAGTTAGGATCAGGAATGGGCTTTTCAAACATACATTTATCTCTCTTTAACATGCATCGATTTGTGTTATAGAGCAGCTTCGGAGTGCATGAACTGGATTCCATTCTGGTAGGACTAAAACCAACAAAACAAGATAGATGAAGGGACACACTGCTAATGGTCATCAGTGCAGGGGATCAGCTAGTCTAGAGCACGTGTGATGTAAACATCAGGTCATGGGCACTGAGTTTGACTCTGCAGATCTCCTTGGTGCCTCAGCATTGGCAGTGTAGACTCAGCCTGGAAGTTGCATGGGGATCTGTTACTTTCTATTTCTTTGCCAGAATCTTTGCAATCCCCTTTGAAATCTTCCTGTTTTGTTATCCCAAGAAGATGATTTTTTTATGTCTACTCTTCCTTCATGCACAGCACAGTCTAGTCTCATTTATTTCTCTGATTTCTCCTATATAGCCTGTTCAGATTACAGTTGATAAAAAGTAAGTTCTTATCTCACAGAAGTCCTCACATCTCTCCTTTAATCTGTCCAAAATAGCGACTTATCAGATTTTTCCTATTTACTTCTAAAAGCATGTTTAAACGTCTACTCTTTATTCACCACCTTTTTACCTTTACATCTCTCATGTTAAGCACCTAATTTAAACTTTAAACTGTCATGTTCCCTGTCTCCTGTTTTCTGTTAGCTTTGTTCTTTGTCCATCTTCTGTCATACATTCCTCTCTTTAATGTATTTTCTTTCCCTTCAAGAAAGGACAGCCTCTAAGTTACTATGATCGGCTTATGTGAATACTCTGTGAAGTAATTAGGGGTTAATTTCATGAGTCTAATAGGAAGTAATACGAAGTTTAAATTGAGTGTATACATCCCCATACCCAGGAAAATTCTAACTTTTATTGCATTGCAGGTGAAATGAATGAGAACAGAACTGCCTTCAAAACCTAGGAAGGGAGAAAAACAAGAAACTGGTTGAAGTCCACTAAGGATTTCATTTTGCAAAAATTTTATATTTTCCTCATTGTAGCCAAAAGCATCCACTGTTTATATAAAAGTCAAAAATATTAATATTACACACTTAAGTAATTGTTACTGCATAGTAACTATTATTATAATCGTAATTATCAATGTTGCTTTGATCAGCTACTAGTATGGTGAAGATATGTGAAGATATTTCTAGTGTTACCTTGTGCCTTTAATATACCGTGGCCTACTAGATGAGTTGGATAGTAGTTACGAAGTCATAGGTCCATATTTTTAAAGTGGAAAAAATGTTGTGCAGCATTAATCTTACATATTTTTATTTCTAAAAACACCTTTATCCATTCTGCAATATATACAAATGATAGAATGCCTAAAGAAAAGCACCTTCAGTAGACAAACTCCAGAGAATCTGTAGAACATCTGATGAAAACACAAAAAAGCAGTGACAAAGATAACATATAGAGATGCTATTTATTACCTGTTTGGTTAACCTGACAGGTATTCAAAGAAGAAGAAGAAGCTATCAAAGTTGATCTCCACGAGGGTTGTGGCAGGACCAAACTTTTCTGGCTGATGGCACTAGCAGATTCTAAAACTATGAAGGCTATGGTGGAGTTTAGAGAACAGACAGGTAAAACACAACTGTTATTGCTCTTTATCCTGATGATTTTTATCTTTTAAATGAGCATTTGAAAAGGGGTTGGGAATCAATCAGTTGGGGTTTTTACCTGGTTTAGGGCAATGCTTTTAACCGTTTGTTAATAAAAATAAAATATTCAACTGAAAAAGAATGCTGTTTTTCTGGTGGCTTTCTGCAATTGTTGTTTAAATGTCTGTAGTTAGAATATCAGTCTCTTCTGTTTCATTACAACAGTTTCTGGTTTTGTTTACTCTTGTGGACTTAGGCAAGCCAACCACCAGCAGTTCTGAAGCGTGTCGTTTCTGTGGATGTAGGAGTGGAACAGAGTTATCAGCAGTGGGAAGCGTTTGTTCTGATACAGACTGCCAGGTGTGTATGAACAAGTATCAAACATTATTAATTACATAAATAGAAAAGACTGTACGATCAAATTGATTTCTTCTTTTGAGTACACCTTGTTCATCCCTGTGGTCCATTTTAAATCAGAGTTTTCATATGAAAAGGTTTTAATACTGAATATTATAATTTAAAATACTTCTGAGTTTGTAAATGTTTAATTACACACTACAAACACCAGTAGTCGACCAAAATATTGGGTAGTTTCAATACTGTCTTCAAAAGTATCTTAAGTTTTCACAATAGCATTTGACTTCTAAAGTAAAATGCACACTGTCAATGTAAAGTCTAGTGTACTAGAACTCTTGATAAAAGTAGTTTGTGGTAACAATCTATTTATTATGTGAGCATAGAACATTTCGGGCTTGGCCAGATTTGTCAAATGTATCCTAATACACACACTGTACAAAAGGTGCAGTTTTTCTCAAGTACCTGCTGTAGCTGTAAAACAGTGTGAATCATGATTCTTTCCTCTTCATTTACTGCATAAACCAGTAATGCTTCAAAAAGCAACACTATATCAGACCCTCCTGTGGTCTGGTATTTTCCAGAGGGGAAAAAAGGGATTAATCATTTACTTTCATTTACTTTTAATAGGAGTATGCTAAAATTGCCTGCAGCAAGACACACCCCTGTGGTCATCCATGTGGAGGCGTCAAGAATGAAGAGCACTGTTTGCCATGCTTGCATGGCTGTGATAAGAATGCTACAACTCTTAAACAAGATGCTGATGACATGTGCATGATCTGCTTTACCGAAGCACTTTCAGCAGCACCAGCTATCCAGGTTTATCTTTTTTGTCCCCATTTAGAGATTAATATTATGGTTGAAATGTCAATTGTGGAAGAAGTTAAAATATGAAGTCCTTTAAATCATACTCTTAAGAAATTCAAGACAGACACTGTAACAGTACATAAATTACTTAAAAAGCTTTCTTTTTGTCTGGCATTACTGCTGTTTCAAGACAGCAGATCGTATCAATTTAGATTGCTGTGTCTGCTTCATTAAAATATATGCTAATTTATAAATAAGTAAAACAACTGAGGTAATTAATGGATATAATTCATATATTTCATATGTTCACTGGTAGTTTTGGAGTGGAAAGGTTATAATTTAAATGACCATTTTATATTCTTTCTCTCTGTTAAGAAAATAAGGGTCTTCTAGGATTCTATTCTGTAATTGATATATGTTGACACTTGATCTTCTACTTCAGTGGTTAACTGAACTGTTCACTCACATGTATTCTTTTCTAAAGCTGGACTGCAGCCACGTTTTCCATTTGCAATGCTGTCAACGAGTACTAGAAAACAGATGGCTTGGGCCAAGGATTACTTTTGGGTTTATGTCCTGTCCAATTTGCAAGGTAAATGAGCTATGTGCTTACTGCCTAGGTCAAACAAGCTACCTAATACTGTCTTGTCTCTATTTTTTATTAATAATATATTGCTTGTCACAATATAAATTACTTATACGTCACTTGTTTCCTTAATTTTTCATGTCACTAAAGAAATGGTATCCTCGATGTATCTTCTTAACCTTTCTATACTGTTTCTTGAGGTAAAGGTCCTCTTATAAAGAAAGCATAATGGAGACATTATATTAATGCTGACTTATTCTTAGCACCATCAGTTTGTAAATTCCCAATATTTGGGGACAGTGGGGAGGGGAGGAAGTAAACTTAATGCACATTATTGTCTGAAGCAGAAAACTTGGCTTCTCTATTTTACTAAACCCTTTTAAAGCTGCTTTGCTTTTCAGTATGAGGATGGAGCTAAAGAATACGTGTACTTGGTTCAGCTTAAATCACTAAAACTTCCTCTTGTGCTCTACAAAATTGTAGTTGCTGTAAGCAAAAGCATATGATAGCTGCAGGGAAGGGAGAGCACCTTAACACCCTAGGAATGTGAAATTTGTGAATGACCAGCCATTCTGCATGTTCTGTTTCTTCCTTCATGCTGTGTTTTGATAATTTGCGGCAATAGCTTGTGATCATTAAATGATAAATAGCTTGCAGTATTAGTCATTAGTCCTAATTGCTGAGCAGTAAGTCAAAAAGGACCCAAATTAGAGAAGACATACAATCAGAATATTCCTGTGCTGTGGTGCACATTTCATGTACCCTTTACCATCCCTCTGTGGTTGTTACAGCCTGTTGTAAGGGCCAATGATTTCATGTAGCAAAAGACCATATAAATAGCATTCCTGGTTATTATTTTTGCAGGAAAAAAAAGGCATTTTGCAGCAAATAAAGCATACAAATGAAATGTCCATTACCTGAGCTCTTAGGTTTTATGACATTCATAATGCTTTTGTGTTTGACCATAATACAGATTATCACAGCTGTTGTAATAAAGATACAAGATATTTTAATCAGCTGTTTTTTTTTTATTTCAGAACAAAATCAATCATACAGTATTAAAGGATTTGCTTGATCCAATCAAAGAACTCTATGAAGATGTAAGGAGAAAAGCACTAATGAGACTGGAGTATGAAGGGTTGCACAAGAGCGAGGCCATCACAACACCAGGTGTTAGATTTTATAATGATCCAGCTGGCTACGCTATGAACAGATATGCTTATTATGTTTGCTACAAGTGCAAAAAGGTATGAGGATTAGTACTTTCTCAAATTAAATGTTATAGTTTCAAAACTGATGTCTTAGGGAACATATATTTAATGTATTGTGTGTCGAGGAGGGAAGCAGGAAAAGAGATCATTGTTAAATCATTATAAAAACAAAGTGTTGGGCAAATTAAATGTACATAATGTCTTACCTTGTAAAGCTCAAAGGTATATACAGAGCAGGTCAGAAACCAAAAGCATATTGAGGCAGTAGCCTTCTTAGAACAATGTGCAGATGATGCTGTGTTAGAATACCAACTGTCCCTTTCTCCCACTTCCAACTTACACTTTACATGATTATTAAAATAGTCTAAATACAGGTTTCATTCTAACTCTGACATGGAAAGTTCCTAACCTAAGATACCACTGAAATACTACTTTTACCAAGTTGGAGTTCACTGCAACTGCAGTAAACTGACTTGGGGGGGGGGGGAGAAGTGGTAGAAGAATCAAAGAGGAGGAGGAAATGTGTGGTCTAGCCTGATGGACTCTGGGTGATATATGTACAGTTTTAATTTCCTGACATACGTTCCATAGGACTCTCCCTTTTTCGTCTGCAGAGTTTGGGGGAAGCTGGACTTCCTCCTTTCTCATAGTTGCCTTGAGACCATTTTCCCTGTCCTTTTACAATCACTGCAAAAAGGCGAGAATTGCTGAGAGCAAGAACTTTCTGTGTTGTCTTATTAATAAAATGATAACAGAGGAAGGAAGTTAGTTACTTATTGCCTCATCTCGCCACTCAGTGTGAAAATACTTTAGTAGATGAGGAAATTCATCGTTGGTACATTTTTGTGCCCAGTGTGTCCTGGTAGAATATGATGAGAAAGTAGAAAGAATCTGTAGAAAACAACAAAATCTTGTGATAAAGGATCCTACATATGCATAAAACCTGATACTCCTTTCAGCTGGTAAAAAGCCCTGGTAGAATACTTATCTGCTGCTTTCAGCCTCAGTCCTCTCTTTCTTACATACAGTTGATAGAGCATCCAAACGGTTTCAAAAGCCTTATACTCACTTGCATAGGTCAGAGTATCTTGCACAATTTGTTGTCTTGTTTATCCTGAGATCGAGAGATACTGTCTTAGTGCCTTAAAAACGTGTCTGGAATCATAGTCAAGAGATACTAAAATAGCGAAGACAACTGTAATGGCTATTACTCATCATTTCCCTCTTACAAATACTAGTTGTCTCTGGTTTAATCTGCAATCATTTTTGTATAAAATTAAGGCATATTTTGGTGGCGAAGCTCGTTGTGATGCTGAGGCTGGACAAGGAGATGACTATGATCCGAGAGAGCTTATTTGTGGTGCGTGCTCTGATGTTTCGAGGGCTCAGGTAAGTAAAGAACTCTGATGCCTGTTTTTGTTTCATTCCAAAGTTCCAAGCACCTGAGCTGTACAGCAATTCACAGTCATTTGTAATTACATGTATTGTATAATATTAACCACAGCATGTCGAAGTGTGTAGTTGCATTGTTGCAGCATGGGTACTTCAGTTATTGGTGTTTGTTTTCTTTTGTTTAGATGTGTCCCAAACATGGTACGGATTTCTTAGAGTACAAATGCCGCTATTGCTGTTCGGTTGCTGTTTTCTTCTGTTTTGGGACAACACATTTTTGCAATGCTTGCCATGATGATTTCCAAAGAATGACAAGCATCCCTAAAGAAGAACTCCCACACTGTCCTGCAGGTAGTATTTTTACAAAGCAAACTTACCACACTGAATTCTGAGATAAGTTCTAATCGATACCCTTCATACTGATAATTCTTAGGAAAACCACGGAGTTAGGCATATAAATTTTAAGTTCAGTACCTTGAATGATACTAGAATTTGTTCTATGCATACTTTTGTTTTCTTTCATTTTTCTGGCAATAAAACAGGCAATGTCATCACACTGATCATTTAAACATTAGATATTTTGATACAGAAAGACATTTCAAATTCCTTATTCGCAATTGCAATTCAGACTCCTGATTATAGAATCATAGACTGATTTGGGTTGGAAGGGACCTTAAAGCTCATCTGTTTCCAACCCCACTGCCATGGGCAGGGACACCTTCCACTAGACCAAGTTGCTCAAGCCCCATCCAACCTGGTATGACAATGCATTAAATTCATATTGAAAAAGTTAAAATGTTATTAAATGCTGTATCTGTAGCTAGGTACCTGCCGTGTGCAAACTTGCCCCAAGGCCTTAGTTTCTAACTTCATGTACCACTGAATTGATCTTAATTAATCATATCATTTACCTTGCTGTTGGGAAAAAAAAAGAGATCAATCTTTTAAAGGTATTTACATGAAAGAAGTAAACAAAAAAATATAGTTCTTGGTATAACCTTATTAAGTATTGTTTTCTGCAGTGTTACTCCCTGTTCATATTTACTGGTTTTGCTTTTAGATTGTGGAACTTCTCCCACAGTATTAATGAGATCAAGCTTATTTTGGTGATTCTCCCTATAAGCTGTTTTTACATTGAACTTGATTTATTTTAAATTCCGTGGCACTTGGATCATTTGGGGTTTTTTTTCTTCAAATACCAATTCAACATTTGACATAAGTGTTTTAAGGAGCTAACAGTTTTCGATCATGTTTTGTCAGATCTAATTGATATTGTTTCTCATGGCTTATTAAGCCTTTAGACTTTTGATTTTGACTGTGTGAAGGCACCTTTCTACCTGCTGCTTCTTAAGCCTTCATTTTTGATGCCTTATAAATTTGTATTATGGAAGTATTACATTCACTTAGCATGGTGTTTTTTGAGGAAACGTATACATATATATATATATATATACACGTTTGTTTCCATTGTCTGCAAGCATTAATCTTTTCTGTTTTTTTTTTTTTCCTCTATTTTCCCCCCCCTCACCCTTAAATTCACTGTAGGTCCCAAAGGTAAACAACTTGAAGGAACAGAATGTCCACTTCATGTTGTCCATCCACCCACTGGTGAAGAATTTGCTCTGGGTTGTGGGGTTTGCAGAAATGCTCACACTTTTTAGACTAGCATTTTTTTTTTACCAGAGCAAAGCAGGTGCCCTCATCCCTCAAGTGTCCTGAAAATAAAGTCCAGCTGGGATGAGGACGGGACCATTTCATAACCCAGGTAAAAGGAACAATTTACAGTGCAAGAAGGATGCCAAATACCATGTACATAATTCTTGCTGTGAGATATTGACATTTTTTGAACCGAGACATCAAAACTTGTGAGGTGTTTGCATGTGGCCATTACAGTCATCGCCTAGGAAACATTGGACATTTACAAATAAATAATTACTATTAAAGGATTTGTGTGTCTGTGGACTATGAATGATGCTGGCTTTCAGGAGAAAGAAAAAAATATTGATTATTGTATACTGACTTTTTGTAATCTTGTACAATTGTAACGCATCACAAGTGGGGATGGGAAAGAGGAATATTCTGGTTTATTTCCTAGACTGTTATAAAAAACAATTGTGTTAGGAAGACATAAATGTAACAAGTATCATGCTGTATATAAAGGTATCAATGTTTGTCCTGTATAAGAATTATTAAATTACAACAGCAGTTTCATTTAAACTTCTGGGTTATGTTTGAGCCTGAAATTTTAATGAAGTGCAATACTGAGTGTGCCTCATATCTTGCAGCTGTAAACATAATGGAATGTACATGTCAATAAAGCCACTGTACATTTTTATACAGTGAAAGTCTAATGAATGTGTAAGCTTCTGTGTTCAGACGTGTGGGGTTTTTTTAAATGGGAGGAGAGGACAGGAGGTGTCATAATTACTTTCGTAGGCTCTCTTAAAAAGTAGTAGAGTTTGTTGGGTAAACTGGTGGTTATGGAAGTACTTAAGACATAAAAAGTGCTGCTCAAATCTGTAACAAAAAAGCTGGATAAATGTACTAGCGTTCATGTGAAGTATTGCCATTTCAATTTCCAATATTTTAAAACACAAGAGGAGACTCCATTTTAAATTACTAACAGTCAGTTATATTTTACTTTTAGGACAAGTAGCCTTTTGCCATGAATCCCAAAATGTTAATTTGATAAAAGTCCCCAAACACCTGCTGCTGTATAGTGAAAGCAAAATATAACTTCAGCTAAAGGGTTTTTTTCCTGTAAGACTTTTCTCTTGAGATTTTCTCTGCTGGGTATGTTCAACTCCTTTTCTACTATTTCTTCTTCACATAGATGAAATGTGCATTACCAGTAGACATGAGCAGCTGCTTTTACATTTAAGATGGCATCCATGTCAAGCGACCTTCATCAGACTTGGACCCATGTAATCCATCTCGTCTAACTTCAGTCTGACTGCATTCTGCATTTTAGAATAGCTGGGGGAAAACACCTCTGAAGCACAATTTATCTTAGAGTAGCACAGTAGCTCTGCGGAGGGATCTGGACAGGCTGGATTGATGGGCCGTGTCCAGTGGTATGAGGTTCAACAAGGCAAACTGCTGAGTCCTGCATTTTATCCACAACAACCCCATGCAGTGCTACAGGCTTGGGGAAGAGTGGCTGGAAGGCTGCTCAGCAGAAAAGGACCTGATTGACAGCCACTGAAAATGATCCAGCTTGTGTCCAGGCAGCCAAGAAGGCCAACAGCATTTGGCCTGTATCAGAGATAGCATAGCCAGCAGGACCAGGGTAGTGATCATTCCCTTGCACTCGGCACTGGTGAGGCTGAAAAGGAGAGGAGAAAACAAGATAAAGAAACTGCATTCAGTAAATTGACAGAAGTCTTGTGTAAGATCCTGTGGGAATCAAGTGTAATGAAAAAAAAATGATTTATGGGAGCCGACATTTTCTTTAGAACAACCAACTAAGATCACAGCCAGCAGCCATCCTACTGCAAACAAGGGATGTAACTTGTACTAAGCAGTCAGCTTGGCCAAGTCAGGAATTACATATTAAAAAAAAAAGGGAAGGGGAAACCCACAGATAACTACAGATGACCAGTAGGCAGAGGAAGGTACAAGATAAAACTCAATTTGCAATGGACATAAAGAGTAACAAGTAGGTGAGACAAGGATTCATCCCATACCACAACAACTTCAAATCATGTTAAACCCTCTATTTGCATGTCAGGAGGAAGCCAATGTGGGGGGGGGGTTATTCAGCATCTTCAAGAGTCAAGATTCCTCCTATGTTGTACATCACTTACAGAAACAAGGAGTGTGACTCACACAGCCAAACGATGTCCATACTGTAGATGTTTACCTCAGACACAGTCATCTCCAGTGGGGAGGGACAAGCCCTTCCAGGATGTGGTTCATTCCATCTCATCCTAATATAAAACACAAGCCACCTGAATAGCCTGGCTGTAGATGACTACAAAGTGCATTTCCAAATGTAAGTCACCACAGCCTACTCTGCAGTCTGGAGCAGAAGCAATGTTTTGGAGCCAGGACATCACAAGGCAGCACCAAGGCAGGTTATTTTAAGTGCTCATAATGCAGGTGCAACCAGTATATAGAAGGTATGGCTGCACTTACACCAGGGATTTCAGCACTTCCATGTTCCTAGGTCATGGATTAGAATAGAAATTGAATTCAGAGGGTATATGGTTAGAAAAGTCATCTAATTGTAAGCTGACCTGATGAGGAATCAGTGGAAGACAAAACAAGAAAGCTCTTGCCCAAAAAGGATATTGAAGAAACACAAACTACAGTGGAAAATGAAATAATGCATGTAATTTGTACTGGGTTATATCTTTATGCATGAGTTCTTAACAGGTATTTGTGGGTCTTAAATTCTAGAAAACTGAGTTACAGAGAGCAGAAAAATGAGGTCTCTGACCCACTATCCTTTTCAGAACATTTCTGAGTGTAGCACCATAGTTAACTAAATCAAATTAAATTCTGTTTTTTAATTTTCTAGCCTTCTCTTTCATTTTAGATCAATATGAGTACTAATTTAGGAAACTGAGATTACAGTGGGGAAAGGACATGATACTGCTCCATTCAGTTTATTAAGTGGGCTGAGCCAGGGGTAGACAATGTCAGGGACATCTTTCACACACAACTGACCATCCCCAATTACTCCCCCAGTGAGACAGCACAGCTGAGCAGGAGCATCAGGCTCTTGGGTAGAGCTCAGCTGTAATAGTGTCAGACATTCACATCACCACATCTCCCCCTCCACCAGTCTCTACTGCTGATCATAGCCAGATGCCAGCGCAGGCCACTGATGAGATCAGTCCCCTGTCAGATTGTTGTGTGCCTTTTCAGCACCTCACGTGCTTTACAGTCAGCTGTTGAGCCACAGCCCACACAACAGAAATACTCAGTTCTTGCCTGCACCATCCTGTTTGCCACCACACTCAGCTAACTCCTACCAAACTCAGCTCCTGGCCAAGGCGAGTCCACAGTACTCCCACGCAGATCATACATCATTAGTGCACAAATAGCTTAAACTTTCACGGGCGTATCCAAACACAATATGAACAGTAAAAGTTAATAAGGTATGGACAAATAACCAGTCACCAACCTTATGAAACAGTTTTCATTCATCTCATTGTACTTAGTTTGTTGTTTCACCTAAACAGAGGTTAGCTCAGGAGCTTCAGGACCATACAGTCATTTGCCATACAACTCAAACTTTGTGGGTTTTTTGCCACAGCCCCTCCTTAACCCACGCTAGACACTGCAGGTGACTGAGAGTGCAGCAGCTGTAGCATAGATGCCCCATGCCCCTAAGCCCAAGGCATGCTGGAAGAGCTGCACTGTCACTGCTGGGGTCTAGCAGTGATGACTTGCACTACTAAGCATTCCAGGTGGCAGGCTCTTCACTAGGTACACCTACATGGATGCCATTGAGTACAGAACAATAAACTGGTAACAATATAGCACAGCAGTTGAGTGCAACAGGGCATCACAAGTCATTAATAATCCCCTAAAGATATTCCCCACCAGCTAGTCAGTCTCCTCAGGTAACAGCCACCTCCGCAGTCTGCTGGGATTGAGGAGGCATCTGAGATATATAGCGCTCTGTGCTCCTGCCACCAGATTTTGTGCAGCCTGTCTGCTGCTACTCAAAATTGAGCCCCTTTGGACATGAGTGTCTTCCCATGTTGTACCTAATAGGGTATTTGGCCACCGAAACCTTGAACAGTACTTGAGGCACTGCTTTGGGTCAGCTGCTCAGCAGTACACACAGTGCTGTTTGCTGTCACTGTCATGGCATTGTTTCTACACTCCCACTCTTTTCTGCAGCCCACTAGGATAACCATTTGCACCATCCTTCCTGGATACAGGTATAAAAGCTGACACACACAAAGCACCATCTCCATTGGTCACTAGCACTTTTTCTTCTACCCTAGAGCACATCACCTGTCTGTAAGTCAAACTGGATGATAAACTAGGCTCTATAAGGTAGACAATATCAGAATGACAAATGTAGCATCGACGGGTCAGTTGTTACTTGCAGCTCCCATATGTTCTGACATCAGTCACCAATGCAGGGCTGTGCCTGTGGACCTTCTCAGTTACCTGTGGCAGAAGAGCAAGCCAGCCTGCAGGAGCCCCATCTGGCAGGGACGGCAATGATGCAGGTAGCCCCTGAACCCCTCCCTCTACTTGTGGCCCATTACTGCTCCACCTGAGGCCCAGAAAAGCATGCTGCACCACTGAGGATCAACTAGGGCTGTGCCCTTTAGCCAAACAGCTCCCTTTTTGCATGAATGCCCCATGCAGCTACCTGCTTGTAACTCAGCTTCTACTGCTGTAGCTCTGGGCATGATCGAGTACCACGCCTTGGCACAGGAGAAGCTCCTTGTCTGAGCATGGACCAGGCGATTTCAACACCCTCAGCCCACGGCAGCTCTCAGCCAGTTACTCCCAACTCCCCTCTGTTCATTAATATTCCTCTCCTGAGACAGCATGATGTGGCTTTGTGTACATCCTCCCCTGCACAGCTTATCCTTTCTGCTGACTCAGCTGCCCTGGAAAGGGTTCCCACACCCAACCACATTCCTATGTCTCTCCTAGGAGTGTCATCCACTCCATCTAAGCAGCCATGTGACGGCATTAAACACACTGGCACATGAAGGGAATGCATAACCCACTGTGGCCACATGCACAGCATTGTCACATTACTTAATGCTGTACCACCTCCAAACACTTGGAGATTCAGGTGATTTCGCATGATGGGAAGGGTATGGTTCACTAGCAGTAATTCACCATTCTAATGCCTATTCCTAATGAGACTTAGAAATTTGACCCAGGAACATGAACTTAAAAGCATTTGTCTGGAGGCAGGTTCTATCAGTGGACTCTGTCAAGGAGCAGTAACACCAACAGGATGATCCCAACTACAAGGTGCATGCTACTTAGTCCCTGTAGGTTTTGCTCTAATAGACATAACACACTTTAAATGATACACTGCATCTGCATCCAACTCTGTGCCTGTTTTCCCCAGTACAAACAGGATTTGAGCAACACATCCTAGTTCAAGACACTGTTACTCCTAAGACTATCATCTCTACCTCTATTTCTTTGCGATTTTCCATATGCCTGGTGTGGTGTTTTATGACCTGGGCCCATAAATCTTCATTTCCCCCCCCATTTGAGGCTAGGCACAACTACATACTCCCCCACCAGTCAAATCCAACATTCTGGCAAGCCCCAAGTACCTTACTGCTGACTGAAGTGGACATATCACATGAATATGTGCCTACTGGCAGGATATTGCGTCTCTTCTTCCAGCACACTCCTACATTGAAGGAATTGGTGAATAACATCTGTGTTTTTCCTCCAGTTCTGGGACACAAGAGTTAAAAACATCCATATTTAAAAACCAGCATTAGGGTGTCTGGCAGGAGTCATCTCACATGCCACATAAGGTACCCTCCTTCTTCAGTGCCTTGATACCAAGGCCAATCCTACTACAATGCCAGCCCCCTCTTAGCATTAAGTCTGTTTGGGATCTTTTTCCACTGCTAGGTTGCTAATCCTGTTAACTCCTCACCCACTGGCAGAGACAGCTGAACCAATCTGCAGGGAGAGCCACAGAACAGGGAAAACCCCTGAAGACCAAGAGGCTCCTCTACCAGGTTGCTGTCAGGTCAACCTATTGGTAGGATGGCACTACCCCTCTCCAGCAGTATTGTTCTCCTCTCAGGTGGTGGTCCATGGTCCACACCAGAAAATGTGCAGTTCTTGTCTGTGCTGCCAGCTGCGCCGCTCAGCACGTTCAGCCCATTTGTGCAGAACTCCTATTGAAAGCCAGGCCATGACACTCCTGTATCAGAGAGGCTCCAGCAAATGGCAGTTTTTACAGTTACCTTACAAAACACAGCAGAATGATATGTAATAGCTTTCACCAACGAAGCAACCATCTGAGCCACTCATCTGGCAAGAACCACTACAGACTCTAGAGACAGAAATCATTTCAGACAGTGAGTTTTGAGGAACCTTTTAAAGCAATTATCTCCATTACTGAAGCATAAGCAACACCACCTAGCAATTAGCCTGTTGCAGGCAACATTCTACCCTGCTGTCACTCATCCTTGGTTTTATCTTTTATTTTTCTGTGGCCATGAGGCCTTAAATTGAGGTCATCTGGTTTAAGGACCATTTTACTTGTGGCTTCGTTTTGAAAAACTGGTGAGTTTCAGCTCTTGTTCTGTAGTCTTTTGTTTATGACAGATAATTTATGCTTATTTCATCAGTCCCTAATACCGTATTGCAACATGATAAAAACTTCCCCCTAGAAAATCTTCCTGTATAGACATATTAAGAAAATAAAAAAGGGAAGTTTCCCTAATGATATCTATAGCTGGAAAACAATAACTTCATTTGGCATTATTAACGAACAAGTTGTTTTCCTTTGTTTTCCTTTTTCAGCAGAGCCTGCTAAATAATAAGACTGTCACAGGCAGCCTAGAACAGGTCCTGCAGCCACTGACTCATCATACTAACCTCCCCATATTCTTCACAGCTTGTATGTTCCTTCAGTTGGAATGGGCTGCTCGTGCCCTGCAAGACTCATGTTTTTTCATCATAGCTGGATCTGTTCCATTTTATTGTTACTCAACTCTCTTCTGCCTGCTTCTATTATTTCCCCTATGCATTTTCTTTCCTAGCCAGATGCAAGCCAGGCTTATCAGGGTGGAGGACAGCTGCTTCATGACTGCTTCAGACCTACCTGAATAGAGCCCAAAAATCGGCACAGATGAGACTGTCAGCGCTAAAAGCTGTAACATTTACAGCCAAGACCTCCCATTTGCAATGCTGCCGCAGGCTTCGTCAGACAGGTAGTCTATCAGATGAGATAGGAAGAAGTGTACCTGTACTACATCAGCCTGATGTGATGAGATGTCCCATTTGCTAGGCTGTTACCAGCTACCATTCTCTTGGCTTCAAATCTCTGCCGTGACCCTCCAACCAGAAAAAATAAAACTTCAGAATGCTTCTCCTTCTCTTTTTGACAAATAAAACATTACGAGGCTGTTTCCTCAGTAGTCTTGTTTCTGTGTACCAGGGCTCTGTACAGGCCACTGGACACTGGACTTCTGGTACTATTAAAAGTGTACACAAATAATTTCACCTTTGTAATTTAAAATATTCCCCTCTGAAACTCATTTGCTGTTAGATAAGTGATTGGTAAGGCAGAGAAACCACCTAATAAAGACAGATTTTCAAGTTACTAACTAAAGCTTTGAGATGCCCTGCCACAGCTGGCGACAACACAGCTCTTTCACAGACCAGCCCAGACTGCTCAATGTTGTCTCTGGACCTTTGCTACTTGGACTTTTCTTCACCTGTTGTCATTTCACTCAGTGCCAACTACCTCAGAGCCCAAGAGCTCTACAAACAGCATGGTTTGCCTATTGGCTAAGCCAAAGACAGCCATGGGGGCTCCCCAGGTGCAAGGAGAGGGTGCCCACACCACCAGCTGCCCACAGGTTTTCTGATTCAGTTCTGGTGAATCCCTCAGTTCTCATGCTTTGCCAACACATGCCAAGGACACTGTTGGCAGTGCTCTCTGTACCATGTCCAGGGCCTGATTTGGCTCCAAGCGCAGAGCTGCAGCTGCCTTTCTTGCTGATTTTGAACACTATGTTCACAAATAATGCAATGCAGAGAGCTCCTTCTGCACTTGTTCTCTTCTCTTAGTGTGCCTAAAACATACACAAGCAATCACAACAAAGCAAGTAAGTGCACAGGCATTCAAGCAGATCTTCTTTACTCCAAATATCAGGCAGCAGAATAGAACTGCAAGGCACTGTTAAGAAGTCTCCCCCGGAAACTCCATACATCTAAACCCAAATAATGCAGTAGCGGTTTTAAAATAAGGCTACCTCAAAATAATGAAATCGCAGCTGTTGCATCTCCCAAGACTGCCACAAACACCCAGAAAATACGTTTTTTTTTATTTTTTTTTGCTACAAGATGTTCCACTCTTTTAATGCAGATGCCAGAATTTGATCACAGCACTGGTCTTGGTGAAAAGGTATTTCTACTGACTTCACTTGACATGGACCAGTTACAGCACATCATCAACATAATGCTGCCTGAAAACAGTGGGGGAGGCATTCATGTACAAATACGAGATCCTTCTCCCCACATACCAGGCCCAGGTCTGAGTCAATCCTTTGCAGTTAGTCTACCTTCATCTCCAGCACCTCGCAAGTTATACACATGAAAATATGACTTTTCATTACTAGAAACTGTAATTCTGGGCTGTTATCTTCCCACCTTTAGAGAACCAGCTATGAACCAGAACATGGGACTGAACGGAGAATTCCTAAACAGTGAGAATGGAAGACATCAAACATTTCCAGGTGGAGACAGCAAAACACTTATTACAGTTTTCTTGACAGTACGTGCTTCAGCCTCAAACACATATTATTTAACAAGGTCCGTGTAGCTGTTCCATGTAACAAATTACACAGTCACATATTTGCTATTACAAGCATATCCAAGATGCTCACTGATCTGCTCAAGGTGAGGTGATAACCCACCTCTTGTTGCCCGACTTTTGTTGCATTTCCTAAAAAGCTGAAGGCTGGACATACATAGATTTATAAACACACACAGACCCGCAACAGCTGAGCTGTACTAAATGTCTCCAGACATTCTGAACTGGAGAAGAACAGATTATTCTCCCATCGAAATTCAAATTTAAAATGAACATGTCTCACTGAAAAACATTCTATTTAAGTCATATTTCCCCACTAATAGCCTCGAAGACCTAGACTTAAAACAGAAGGAGGGGGAAAAAGTTTCTTTTTCAATAGACTTTAAGTATGCAAGAAAACGCTCAAGTTTTTTTATATAGTGTTCTCAAAAACGTCAGGCATGGTAACATTTGAGAGATCACTGAAGTACCAGCACCCTGTTTCAAAGTCATTTCCAGACTGGGGAGAGCACTGGATCGCATCTGCCTGTTTCTAAGAAACTTAATGGGGATCACTGTGATCAGAATCCACTACCCTGAAACTGAAAAATCAAGCAGTAATTTATTATATCTTGTAGTAAATAAACAGTTAAGTTTGGGGGATCTCAACGTTAGAAAGTTCAGTCACACAGAGGACTGAAAACCAAGCTATACGCCATGCACCACATATGCAGAGGCACTTGCAACACACAGAAACTGTCACTCATTGCTTTGTCCCCTTTGCCTGGAGCAACCCAAGCACTCCAATCCCAAAGCCTCCTGGACGCAGGGAGAACTGCTTGTGTTCCCCATTCCATCTATTCCTCTCTTATTCCACTTCCCTGATGAAGACAGGCTAAGAGAGTTGGGCTTGTTCAGCCTGGAGAGAAGGTTCCAGGGAGACCTTACTGCAGCCTTTTAGTCCCTAAAGAGGGCCTGCAAGAAATCTGGAGAGAGACTTTTTACAAAGGCCTGTAGTGACAGGATGAGGGGGAATGCCTCTAAACTGAAAAAGGGCAGATTTAGACTAGACATGAAGTTCTTTACTGTAAGGATGTTGAGACACTGGAACAGGTTGCCCAAAGAAGCTGTGGCTGCCCCCTCCCTGGCAGTGTCCAAGGCCAGGCTGGATGGGGCTTTCTGAGCAACCTGGTTGAGTGGAAGGATACAAGATAGGCAGTTGGAACTAGGTGATTTTGAAGGTCCCTTCCAACCCATACCATTCTATGATTCTAAGGGTAACCTAACATGGAGCTTCCAAATTGCTGCGATCATTGGCTCTATCAGCAACGAGACTCCTCTATCAGTACTACCCCCACTACACTTCTCTAGGCTTCATTTCCCCCATTCCCGGCCGCTCAGCACCAGACCGAAACCCCTCCCTGCAGCTCGGGCCTTGCCGCTCCGCAGTGCAGCAGCCAGGCAGAGGGCACCGAGCTGGGAACTGAAGCTGCTCTGGAGGCGGGAACAGACCACGATCGCTGACCCCTAACGCTTCCGGGCCTCACTACCGCAGCGGGCAGCAGCCCCCCGCCGCCCCGAGCGCACCGCCTCCCGCCTGCGAAGGGAAGGGCGCGCTCCGCCTCACAGCCCGCTCGCCGCCATTTTGGCCGGTTTGCGTCGCTTCCGCTGCTGGGAAGTAAACAGAGAGAGAGGGAGGGAGAGAGGGAAGGAAGGAAGGAAACAACGACGTGGGTGGGACGGGACGACGCGGGACAGACAGGGGAGCGGAGGAGGTGTTGTGGGTAGGCTTCGGTGGAGGGAGCTGATGTGGTCGGAGCTGAGGCGCCAGCGCGGCCCGAGTCCCGGTTAATGCGAAGCGCAGCAGGGAGCCGTCAGGTGAAGGGGCTGGAAGGGCGGCGCAGGATTTCGTCTGTACCCTGGCTGCGGTGCCGGGGGGGTGGGGGGGGCTGTCCGAGGGAGGGCCCTGCCTGGGAGCGGAGTCCCTGCGGGCTGGGGCTCGGCCGGAAGTAGCTGACCCTGAGGTGAAGCTTCTCCGAGAGTAGCGGGGCTTAAAGCCTATCCCTTCATATTTATAGGGTGTCGCTGTCTCGCAGCCGTCTAATGATAACAGTAACAGACTGTTTCGGCGGAGCTGGTGGTTCGTGGCGGGTAGGGGTCTTTAAGTACGTTCTCCCCATTAACGCGGTCCTTTTATTTCTGGAACAGCCTTCAGGTGTAAAGCAACACCACGATCTCAGGCTTGTTTGTGGGAAAGCGTTAGCAGCAGGATGGAAACAACCGTGCACAGTTGCTTGGGTTTTGCTTTGTGGTTTTAGGGTGTTTGTGGTTTTGGCCTTTGGGTTTTGTTGTTTGGTTTTTAGTTTGTTTTTTTTTTTTTTCTGTTTGATTATTTGGGGGGTTGTTTTTTGGGGGTTTTGTTTGGGCTTGTTGGTTTTTTTTTGTTTGTTTTTGGAACTGTCTCGTCTGCACCTCAGCAATAAAAACCATGTTAAGCATGTGCTTTGCTCCTCCTCTTTGCTGACTGAACTATGTGATTATGGTTGAACATGACTGTATTGCAAACAAGATAGAGTGGGTTGCACCCAGGTGCGGAGTTCAGAACAGTGAGTTCTGAAACCAGTCGTTACAGTAGGTTGAGAAATGTACTTGGAATGTCTTAAAGAGTCACGCATCCTGATTTCACTCGTCTTTCTGTCCTGGCAGAGTTGGCTATTCCTGTTTTTTGGCTTTCCTTTCCTGAGATTTTAAAGCAAAGTTGATTATAGCAGCGACGTGGAAAAACTGATCACTGATAAGTGTCTCCTGCATGTACCTGAGAGAGTTAAAAGCAGGATTGATGGTTCAGGCATTGTAGGAAGTGATAAGCAATCATTGTTTGGAAAATTTATTGTGCCTATACAGTAATGTGTCAGCATCACTGTCTTTCTTGCTGAAAACTTACTTCTGTTGGCCTTGGATTTAAAATAGTTATGTGTTTAGACTATCATATACATAAAATGAACTGAACTGCCTGATTGCATCTGCCTCTTCCTATATTAAATTTGCAGAAAGGTTTATTCTTTTAATTGGTCTTTTTTTTTTTTTTTTAATAATTTTTATAAGACTGGAAACTTGTAGGCAAATCTGCATTCTTTCAATTTTGCATTTGTTTCATTGTTAGGCATATTAAAAAGTTGAAACCAGTTATGTTTTTAAAAAGCTATTCTAATACTTTAATTTCTGAAACAAGATGACAAAAATTAGATGAACAAGTTAATAAGAAATTAACTTGGGATAGTACCCCACAACTTCCAGTGTGGGTTTTGATCTGCAACCATCATAAATTAACTACTTTAGAACTTACACAAGTTAGCTCAGAGGTGCAGCTTGTAAGTTGGCTGTGGGTGACCTGGGCCACTTCTGTCAGCCATCTCTCAGAAGTTAATTTTCCAGCTGAAAAATTAATACAGATTCACAGTTTTGTCAGTGGCAGCTCACTCCTAGTCTTTTCAGAAGAAAATGAAGGTGTCAGATCTAGTCCTCTTGTCTTTGAAAAGATCATTTATAGTAAGCATGCTGCATATGTGGATTGGCTCTACTGTACATGCACAATAACACCTAGAATGTGGTAAGGGAGAAAATACAGAACTTGTCCCCCTGAAGCAGTGATAAAAGCAGCCTATCTAACTAAAAAATCTATGCACATGTATTACCTTATTAGCAAAAGATGAGGCAGGATCTTGCTAGAGGAAGACTTGGAGAGCCAAGTCTCCGTTACCTTTAGTTTTTGACAGATTGACAAGAGATGGCTTTGGAAAGACTTAAAGACATCCCAAATTTGGCAAGTGAATAGCTTGCACATGGCAATTGCTCGTTATAACCTAGTTGTTAGGAATATCTGTTTAGCCTAATGTTTAAAGGAATATTACATTTCAGACTAGTTTATTACAAATAATATTCTGGGACTGTACTTAGTAGTTGTCTCAAAGACAAACGTGGCAGGTTTGCTCATCTAATTTGCTCATCTAATTCTTGATTAGGTTTAAGTTTATTTTGCAGATGGTTCTAGTCACTATTCACTTTTCTTGCTTTTGTTCTGTACTAGTGAAGTTAGTGGCTCAGCAGCAGAACTCTCTGCCAGGTGGAAAGCTTGTTTCAGCACAGGAGTCGTGTTTTGCATCGTCTCATAGTCATGAGCTGTGAATTACAGTAAATGTAGGTATTTTTCGCAGTAGTGTTTTCATCTTGTGCTTGCCCCCAAGTGCCACTGGGATTAGAAAATTAAATTGAAGAAAATCAAGATACAAATTCTGTTTATCAGTCTTTCGTGACAGTTGTTCAAGTTTCTTTACATCCTTTTATGAATAGCTTCAGATCTTAAGTGACAGTTTGCTTTTGTCATGTGAGTAGGTAAGGTTAAAGTGCTTTAAAGATAGGTAAGGAGATGCTGGCTTTGAAAAAATAACCTATGATGCGCTGGATGATAAACAGTATAATTTTCCACTTTTATTACACTTTGTTTTTAAAAAGGCTTCTGAACTTCCGTTTAGTTGCAGTACATAGCAAGGAAAATTAAGTGTCCATGTCACCCATGGACTGGGATGTGATAATCTTATATGTGTAATTGTATTTGAATGTTAAACCAGAATGATGTCAGTGTGTATGAAGTAAGTTTGTATGAAGTCAGTGTGTATGAACTAAGTTTGTCTTACAGAAATCATGGGGGCTTGGGAGGTGTTTATGCGTGTGAAGCCCACCCCTCCTCTGGATTCTCTCAGCTTTTTAGAAACTAGAATTGAGTGTGTTCTAGTTCAGTGTGAGTCTCATTCATCACCCTTTAGGATATGGTATGCATTGCATTGAGCTTTTAAAAAAAACCAGTTGGCTGCTAAATTCAATTGTAAGCTGGCATGTATAAAAGAATACACTTTGATCAAAATTCAGTGCTAGATTTATTCCAGATTTATGTAGTGGTGGGGTTTTTTTCCCCTCTTTAATAATGTAGCTTAAGGTAGAACTTGTGTGAAACCACTATGGATCTTCTTGAGAATGAGATAACCTTTTGCCTCAGACTTGTTGAATTTAGTATGATTTTGATGAAAGTTTTCGAACTCTTTTGTAATTTTTTTTTTTTTTCTTTTTGTGGGTTAAAGCTTCCACAGTTACTGGAAATCTTTTATAATCCCTCTTCACTAGTTAGTTGGAAAACCAGAAGGACACCAGTGTTCTCAATGAAATATGTTTTTAAGGGTACTGATTTAAAATAGGTGCATTCAAAGTAACCTTTTTAAAAAGAAATAAATAAAGGTTCTTTCTGGGAATAAAATGAACTTGACAGATACAGTTTCTGCAAGATGCAGTGCCTGCAAACATGCATCCACTTGTTATTTACTTTCTTGCCTGACATTTCCCTTCCTTGTTATTTTTGGATTACCACTTCAGAATCATAGTTACTTGTGGATTGGTTTGAGGAATTTTTGTTTCTTTTTCTCTTCTCCATGTAAGGGAGGAAAAACCTTGCAAAAGGGTGTCTACGGAAAACATACCTTCTCACCTCATCGCTTTTTTATTGATACTGTTGCATTTACAAAATGTATAGTTTTTTTTTTATTATTACTGTTTTTTGTAGAATGAAACGAGGAAGGAAAACTACTGAGGCCAACAGCAGTTCATCTGAAGAGACAACTGAGAAAGAATCCAAGAGACACAAGGTCACAGATGAGAAAACCGTAATCGTGCAGAGTCCAGACTGGGCAAACCTGCTTCAAGACATTATCCTACAGGTGTTTCAGTACTTGCCCCTTCTGGATCGTGCTCATGCATCACAGGTCTGCCGAAGCTGGAACCAAGTGTTTCATATGCCTGATCTCTGGAGGTGTTTCGAGTTTGAACTGAATCAACCAGCTACATCTTACTTGAGGGCTACACATCCTGAACTAATCAAGCAAATAATAAAGAGGCATTCCAATCACCTGCAGTATGTAAGCTTCAAGGTAGTGTATTTTATAGGCTTTTAAACAATTTTTATGAAAATAAAAGCATTTGTTAAACTTGATTCCCCCCCCCCCCCTTCTATTTAGAGTGCTTTTAAGAAACATCTCAAATACTTTGAGACAGTACTGATGGTTCATCTATAATAAATATCAAAGCATGAGACGTATGGTTTGTCCCAGTAATTGAAAAACTGATGATAAAGTGTAATTGACAACTGCGATCAGAACATTTTAACACATTGAAAATTAAAGAACATCACTAAATGTTAAGAAAGGCTTATGGTGTTATTTTTGTGGTTAGGATTGTCAGTTATTTAGAAAGAAAAATGACAGCTCTCAGTGTGGTAGCCTTGTTTTCAGGCCTACTGCAGAAATGGATTCTCTAAATGGGCATATGGACATGGAGGTTACCTCCCAGTTAATTTGTTTTATTTGGATATATTTTTAGGACTAAATTTTGGAATAACAGTTCTCAGCATAACTTTTCATTGCTTTAATTCAGTTACGTGGGGATTTTCTTGTTTGGTGCTTGTTTTTTTTTGTTTTTTCTTGTAACGCCTCTAGCTGTTTAAAATTCTGCATCAATGAGTGGGAAGCAATACTTCAGTTCTGATACTACTGTACAGGTGTATACCTGCCTCAGAATTAAGTTTCATCGGGATGCATAAATTGAATGTTTTCCCATCTTGCATTCTGTAGGGAGCTGAATCTATTCATCGTTAGAAAAAATCTAATGCACGGAGAGTGACTTCAGTACTACTAATAAGCAACTATTGGTTTTACTACTGAATTGAGTGTGGTTATCTGTGTATGGCATCTACTTAGCACAGCTGCATTTCAGTTAACATGGGATTTGCACAGGATGATGCTTGGTCTTTGCAGTCATGGAATTAATTTCAGCAGATGAAAACCTTTAACATTGGCTTACATGTCACTGTTCTGGAAGGGTGCTGTGCAAGAGTCATGGCTGTGTATGCATGAGCTAAGTGACAAATTTACAAAAGAAGTTACTTCTGCAGCCAAGTGGACATACTAGATCTGTCAGAGATCTGGCAGTTTTAATGTAGGAATCACGAGCGTGTTGGTAGCTCGGGCTACAAACCTCTGCCTGATGATATATTGCAATATTGCAAGATTGAATATCTTGAAATAACTGTAAAGCTGATCCCTCACCGTGATGTTTTACCAAAGTGTATAGGAGAGTGGCAAATTTACAGCAAATTATCTTGGATTTTTGGTATGTGCTTTTCGGGGCAAAAAGAATGGCACTGATGGATTCTCAGTGAGGTGGTTTGTGGGCTTTTTTGACATCACGATTCAGAAGGTAAAGTGGAAAAAAACCCATTAAAGTGTATCTGCTCTACTTTGCTTTTTGTAAAAAGGGTGTGTTTGATACAGTGTTTTCTGAATAATAAATCTTTCTGTTTTAAGGTGGACAGTAGCAAAGAATCTGCAGAAGCAGCTTGTGATATTTTGTCACAGCTTGTGAATTGCTCTCTGAAAACGCTTGGCTTAATTTCAACTGCGCGGCCAAGCTTCATGGATTTACCAAAGGTATTTTGATATGTATATTTTTTCTATAGTGCAGTATTTCAGTGTTTCATGCAGTATTCCTACAACTTTATGAAAAGCTTTATTGTAAGAATATGAATCTTTGGTTAAGGAAAGCTTTATTACTGAGCTCTATAAAGGAAGGAACTGAGGTGTTGTACTAAGATGGATAGTTACGTTTCCTTCGTTCTCTGCATCATGTGAGAACTTGGTTCTGACCTTGTTTTCCTAAGTCCTTTTGTCTATTGACCTCAATGTAACACTGAGCAACATGATGCAAGTCAGGAGGGTAGACGATTTGCATCTGTATAATTGTACTGTGGAACTGTGGGGATATTTAGGAGACTATTTCAGTCAAACAAGTGGTAGAGTTTTATACATGTAGGCTTACTGTAGGGATTATATTTTCAATGAGCTCTGTTCAGAAAGCAATATGATCGTGATTTTCAGTACTTCATGTCACACAATGTCAGATTCTTAGGCAAAGTGCACTGTATTTCTGAAATTTTCTGTCAGATTTTTACCTTGAATGTTTACCAAAAATTAGATTTTGTTAAAATGCATCTGCTGTAGATGACAACAAATCTCTTATATGTGTTTCTAAACAAGAATTCCTGCTAGTGAGGTAGAAGGGTGCTGTTGCTGAGGAGCAGGAGAGTGGTTGGGGTAAACTGGACTGCTTGTTCTATGGCAGTGATATCTTGGATGTCTTACAGCCTCAGTTCTTGAGTCCAGTCTCGCCTATATATGAAGGGCCAAACAGAGCTAGACTATTAGCTGGATCTCAGTGACGTCATTGCTAATGACGGCAACAAGGATAAGGAAGAACTAGGGACAGCCTCAGGAAAGGAAGTAGGTTATAGGGCTTAAGCAAGGTTAGTTACAGAAGGATTATCAATTACTATCCTTGGCAGCGATCACAGCCACATCATGTAGTTCTCTTGAACATGTATTTTTAATCCTTAATTTTCAAAGGGGATTTCCAGATCTTTAACTCTTTTCTGTATGCTTTTTTCCCTTTTTTTGATCTGCTTTGAGAAGTGACTGTAAGAAAACCTGAACATGGTGAAAACAATCCATAGTGTGTTGTAAATACTTTGTCCTTTCAGCTCTTGATTCTTGTTTTATTTCTTAATCTGAATGCTGGTTTAGCTGTTTTACTTAGTTTTCACTGGAGGGATATGTTATGATCCTGTTCAGCTTGTCAGTACAGTTGGGAGTGGTCCCTAAAGCCAAAATGCCTAATACTTCTGACTTGAACTTTCTGTTTCCATTTGCATTGGCTGATTTTGACAGTTTATGTGAAAATATTAATTCCTGCTCTGAGTGTGTGTGAGTTTTACCAAAACCACATACCTATCACGTAAGAATGGGCTAATACTGTTGCCAGGCCTTCTTTCACATAACTCTATTCAGGATTCTATAAGTGCATGTGGCTCAGAGTGAAACTGTATTGAAGTCAAAGTAGCAGGTAATTTTGTGGGATACTTAATGTAGTGCATGGAGGAAGTACTTTTTTTAAGTCTTCTATTCAGTAAATCCTGTAAGAAATCATGAAGATAAGCCTATTATTCACTTCCTTCATACCCTCAATGATTTCTGTAAGCACTGCTGCAGCTGCTCCATAGTCTGTTTATCAAGTTCAGGTGCTCTGGGCTCTGCCTTTACTGGTACGTTTCAGTGGTTACATAGAAATGCTGAGGACCAACCTGGAACTCCATTACCTGTGCTACTTGGAATCATTGAATAGTTAATTGATCTCCTGCTCCTTGGCTCTGTTTAGACTGCACCACTCTGCTTTCCAAGACAAATCCATTCAGACCCTAAATTCTCTGCGTGGATGTTAGGCAGGCAGTAGTAGTATTTGACTTTGGACATACCTTAACAGTATAGAGCTGCCAATTTTGACTGTGTTTGCATGTCACTGGTGCAGCTTAATTTGCCACATGGAAATTTGTATTCGAAGATGTTTCTTTGAGAGTGTGACATGCAAATAACCCTCAAAATTAGGGCTTGTAGGCTTTCTCTTTGCTTGTGGTCTTCCTAGAGTTAGGTTTGTGTAGTGGATTGTCCTGGGCCAGGTTCTTGATTGATGTCTAATGTTAGACATTCTGATTTGCCAAATACATAGACTGATAGCAAAAAGTTACTGTATTTTCTCTACTCAAAAAATGTAAATTTTAATATTAATTTTTAATTATGCAATATCAAGGGAATGCTTTTCCAGCAAATGTTGTCAATAAGTAAAATAAAACTAGGACTGCTGTGCACAGTGTAGAACCATTGAGATGTTTATTTCAAGTACTAGTGTTTCATTTACACTCTTTTTTTTCCAGTCTCACTTTATTTCTGCACTGACAGTGGTGTTCGTAAACTCCAAATCCCTCTCTTCACTTAAGATTGATGATACACCAGTAGATGATCCATCTCTCAAAGTACTAGTGGCTAACAACAGCGACACACTGAAACTACTGAAAATGAGCAGTTGTCCTCATGTTTCTCCAGCTGGTAAGCTACTGTGACTTGTTTCTTTTGTTTGGTTTGGTTTTAAACATGAAATGCATTCATTAAATTCTGTTTGAAACTGATAAAGCCCTGAAAAAATAGTGGTGGGGTGAGAGCAAGGATGAATGTGGTATCTACAGAAAATGTCACTGAATAAAATAGTAATTCAGCTGGTTGTCAATCCATCCATCCTACCGCTTGCAGAGTGACTACTGAACTAATAATAAAACAGTGCATGTCTGTTCTGGACAAATAACTAACCTCCTGTGGAACTTAAAGGCATATATATTGACTTGATAGTGCACTGCTTCTTCAGTGACTATTTAAGTATTGCAGTGTAATTAAACTTTTTGGAACATAAGTTCCTTTTCTGCAGTTTTTGTATGGGTTGAGTATGGGTTTTGAGTGCTGCGATGTTTTGGATTATGAAGATGCTGGTTTAGTCATTCTGAAAGAAAGCAGTTTAATCTTTTACTGGAGTGTAAGTGCAAACAGTATCGACAACAGGGAGATGAGACTGAGATGTGCAGAACTTCTGTCATTATCAGATGTACTTCATTAGCACTCTAAGCGTGTTTGTGGCAAGAATGAAGCCAGTTTGTATCGGAATGAAATAGCTGAGGATTGTCAGAGTTCACAGAATTAACATTTGTGGAAAACGTGTGCAATACACCACAAATCTAAGATTGATTCACAGCTCATTAACTTGACAGTTCAGATTTTTCACTGAGAAATGGAAGAGGAATTGTAAATGAGATGCTGGCAACTTAATTCAGTTCCTCATTTGAGGATAAGTAGAAACTGCTGTAGTCACCATAGCTTTCTTCATGCAAGTATATTGCAACTATAAATATTAGGTATATGTAAAATTCACCTCCTAATATGTGGGAAAATGATACTGTAGCAGAGGGCATGTTACTATAGTGATAACAAAGAAAACACAAACACATACCTTTTGCAGGCAACGGTCTCGGACAAAACCTTGTATTTGGTTTTGTATACAGAATTTCTGAAAATGCAGGTTTGTTTTCTGGAAGGTTTGTCCAACAAGGTGTTCACCAGCATGTTAACTGGAATGTTATTTCCTTCAAAGCTTTGTAATCGTAGGTTGTTTAAATTAGCTTGAGTGACTGCTTTTTCTGACTTAAAATTTTGTTTAAGAATCCTTGTGCTTGAGAAGTACAGGAGCTATAACGTGTTTGTCCAGGGGAAGAGGCTCCAGCAGTAATTTGTAACTAGGCAGAGTAAGTCAGTTCCTTGGACTTGGACTCCTCTTGAAGGAAAATTAGAAACTTTGAGCACTGAGACCTACCTGGATTTTTTTCTATTGGGAATATTATAATTTGCAGACTCTGGAAAAATATGAATTGAACCGAAAGGGCCATGAGATATGCAAAACTAATTACTTACAGATGCACTTCAGATGGTATAACATGCCTTCAGATTGCAGATCAGGGTGAGATGGAATATGTTCATTACTGGTTTAGTTCTCAATAAATTTCTTCCTGAAGGACAGAGAAGAGTAATGCAAGGTAGTGCAAGGGGGAGACTCCAGTACTACAGGGATAAAGGAGAAAGATTGATACCAAACTGTGAATTGCTTCCAAAGGATGCTCTGAATAGTCCCTGGATAGTTACTGTACAAAGAGGCATATTTGGGTTTGAGCTGGAGAAACAAAGGCAGTGATGTACTTCTAATCTTTGTGAGCATATTTGAAGTTTCTGCTCTTTGCTGTTTCCTCTCTGAAGTTTAACTTGCATTAGAACTGCAACAGTAACTTGTCAAAACAATAATGGTAATTTTTAAATCCACATTGATATGCTGTTTTTTATTTCCAGAAATACTAGCTGTTGAAACAGCGTGAACTGAAAGCCTTTCTGCTCTGCTTTGGGGGCAGGGAGTTGCTTCTTTTCGGGTGGGGGAGTAGGGGAGAAGAGTGGCTGTTGGGTGCGTCTGCATTAGCAGTTCAGTAGAGGGATTTCTTTGATGCAGATCGGTGCTATATGGTATCAAGACTGATTTACCTCTCAGTGACACATAGGTTTAGGCAGTGCTGATTGAGGGATGTTGTGAACAGCATGGGCTCCAGGCAGGCCCTCCAGTAACTGTCTACACTATGAATGGTCAGTTCTATGTGACTTCATTGGCTATGTAACTTCATTGACAGAATGCGATGTGGATATCTCAGTCCTTGACCCATCAAAAATCACAGCAAGTTGACCCCCATTCTTCCCTTTTGTGCGTTGCACTAGTGAGTGATGTGACAGTGTATGTGGATCTTGAAACTCTGCTGAAAAATATTTCATGTGCCAACAGCCCTAGGTATTACGAAGCAGCATGCTTGAGTCAACTGATGGGGAGTGGTCAGAATAGCCTTTCCAGGAGTACTGCTGTAAGAATAACCTCATTACTATTTCAGGCCAAGACATTATCTCTGGAATGTGCAGGAGGTACACACAAGTTTGTAGTTATGCTTAGTTTTCATTTTGTACTCCAATCTTGAAAAAAAAAATATATATAAAAAAAATCCGTATTTTCTCTTCATCTTGGATCCCATCCTTTCCTTCCTGAATGAACTGATGAGTACTGTTACATCTAGAAATTGTTTTTATAGGAAATAGTTGCTGTCAGAGTTGGGTTAAAATTCTGTTTACCTAAATTCTGCTTTTTTTTTTGCCCCCCTTTTTTTTTCAGTTTATCTAACTTTTTTTGCAGTTGATAGTATTTGATATAGTTAAAAGAGCTTCTGATGCATGTATTCTTGCAGATCCTCAGGTGGAAAATACAGACTTCTTTGGAGTACACAGTTATGCAATATTTTTACAGTAATTTATTTCATAAAGTGTTTTTAGACTCAGTGTAGGCTTCTGTTTTGAATTTAATAACTAGATCTTAAAATAACTGCTGTCTTTCTGTATTTCTTCTCATTGCTTCAAAGCTGTAGTGTATTGAGCTCAAGCTTTTCAGCTCCGTATTAAACGTGATGTTCCCATCTCTCCTATTAATGGAAAGACCATATCCCAGTTTTCACACAATTTTCTGGGTCACATGGAATACAGAGGACTGCATGCTTTTTTAGTACTTTTGGGTTTATTTTAGTACTGTTACCAGCATGGTACCATTGCTTATGTCTGCAAATAGGATGAGTGGGAAGCCTAAAGGCTGAACTGAATTCTTTTTGTTAATGTCTTTGCTATGAGCAGCAGGTTATATTGATTGATGAAAGGGAGAGTCTAGAAATTACTGTTCTATGAATTACTGCTTCTAATTTTTAGTGTTTTGCCTCTTCTATTTTCTTCTTGCTGTTGCTTTTCCAAATTTAAGTATTAGTGCTTTGCTAGAAAGAACAAATACTGACAGCAGCAACTCCCACATTTAATTAAATATCCAGCATGCATTTTCCATTTGCTTCACTCAGGTGACAGATCTCATTCATGGTGGCTTTGTAAGCCAGAGGGGCACAGCAGTTCCTCCAGAGCAGGCTAAGGAAATACTTCTGTATAAGCCTCTTTTACAAAAATGAAGTTGAGTATATGCAGCCTTACCAAAGGGCAGAACAGTCAGAGTATGATAGTTCTTGAGTTTGTCACATGAGAATCCGCTCCCACAGGTCTTAAGGTCCTTTCCAACTCAGACCATTCTGTGATTGTGTTCTCTTTTCCCAGGTATCCTTTGCGTAGCTGACCAGTGTCATGGCTTACGTGAGCTGGCACTGAACTACCACCTGCTGAGCGATGAGCTTCTGCTTGCTTTGTCTTCAGAAAAACATGTCAGGTTGGAACACTTGCGCATCGATGTTGTCAGTGAGAACCCCGGACAGACTCAGTTCCACACAATTCAGAAGAGCAGCTGGGACGCTTTCATCAAGCATTCTCCTAAAGTAAATTTAGTCATGTACTTTTTTTTGTACGAAGAAGAGTTTGACCCATTCTTTCGTTACGAAATACCTGTCACTCACCTTTATTTTGGAAGATCAGTAAGCAAAGATGTACTTGGCCGCGTTGGGATGACGTGTCCTCGGTTGGTTGAACTGGTTGTGTGCGCCAACGGATTACGGCCACTGGATGAGGAGTTGATCCGTATTGCAGAACATTGCAAGTATCTATCAGCTGTTGGCCTCGGAGAATGTGAAGTCTCTTGCAGTGCCTTTGTTGAGTTTGTGAAGATGTGTGGTGGTCGTCTCTCACAGCTTTCTATTATGGAGGAAGTTTTGATTCCTGATCAGAAATACAGCTTAGAGCAGATTCATTGGGAAGTTTCAAAGCATCTTGGTAGAGTCTGGTTCCCAGACATGATGCCTACATGGTAAAGTCCTTAAAAGACTTCAGGGCAGATGGAATAGTACCTTAAGCCCAAGCTTACCATATTGCAATTTATTGTATAAGCATATTTAATAATACAGCTTTTACTGTAAATTACTTAATGATTTGATTAGAAAATTAATCTTTCATTCAGAATTATTTATGAGATCCACATTCAAAAATAGAAATCATGGATAGCTCCAAACCCGATTTTTATCCAAATGAAAATCCTTTTTCTGTTCTGAATTTGTTCTTTGTCAGTGACCTCAAACTTTTATGGAAATAAAAAATGTATTTTAAAATATGGAAATGTACCTACAAAATGTCAATTTCAATAGGCTGTTCTTTCCTTTAGATATTGTTATTGAACAGGATCAGATGTGATCTTAAAAGCAAAACAAAGCCACACATAAACTGCATGCTTCTGGTGCAGGCTGCAGACACCAGTTCTAAGCCCAGGCACCTAGCTCGCAAGACCTAGATAAATAGATAAGTACACCTAGATAAATACACCTAGAGGCGTATTTAGTAGGCTGTGAAATAATACATTCTTTTATATCAAAGTCATAAAAGGCAGGAGCAATACACAATAACATAGTTTAGACTACTAAAATACTGTTACCTTATTCAATGGATTGTTAAGTAAGTCCATCTAAAATGGAGTGCAGTAGTAGTGTGAGCTACCAGAAGTGGTGTGGTTTTTCTTACCCTCTACGCATTTTAATGTAGTCTGCTTATGGGGCCTCAGATCTATGTCTAAACCTGTTTTAAGGTATTTATGTCTAGCTCAGGAAGCGAAAGCATTCTGGGGAAAAATGTAGATACATTGTATTTAACCCACATTAGAGTTAATGAGCTTTTCTTGCCCATTAACCAGTTTTGCAGCTAGGGTCAGATGGAATAAGGTGTAGTTTATGAAGTGAACCCTGAAGTGTTAAATGTGATGACGTGGATGTGAAGAGCATGAGATGTGAAGGCTAAAATTTAAGTGGTGACCAGGAATCTTCTAACAAAACCTTAGACCTTTTGGCTGCTTTCAATTTGAGAAAAATGACATTGTAACAGTTGCTTAAGCTGTATAAACTAATTGTATACTGTAAATCTGTTTCAGAAACGTTTATGTATAAAGTGAATGTTTGATAGATGATCATTTTGTATACTTTGAATTCAGCTAGCTCGATCACTTCGTATGTAAAAAACCTAACAGCAGTAAACTTGCATTGAGTAGAGCAATAGGCAAAACCTTGTTTTGAATATTTGGTTCATCAGTTTTATTAAAGAAGGTTTTTAGTCTGTAAGTGCTGTAGGCAGTGTATTGCCTGTGATCTGGATGTGGCTTGTGACTTCATTTCTTACCACCGCCAGTTACGTTATTTGCTCTCCTCCGTTATTGATGGGTAACACTGACGTCTTCACGTGGCTGCTGAACGTGTTTGGAAGCCGTCAGCAAGGAGGAGCTGCTCCAGCCATGGGCCAGGCTCAGCTGAGCAGGCAGCCTCTTCCCATATGCGCAGTACAGCTATTCCTGAAAATGAGTAAATTTTCTTCATTTCTGACTTGGGAAGGTTTATCCAAATGTACAGTTCAAGTGTAATACACTCATGAGCGTATTTAAGTTCATAACTGTTTTGAGCAAGCACAGCTCAGCAGACTGGACATCTTTATAGGGGAGTTGTGTGTTTCTTTAGAGATTTGATTTAAGAATCACATTTTCTGAAATATGCATTTTTTTGTATTAGAATTTGTTAAATCAATGTAATAGTATAATTTGCTTTTATTTGTATAAAAGGTGTCAATATATTTAGTCCATAACAGTAAAAAAAGATCAGTGTTTTTTATACTCTGACTCCTGGATTTGCCTGCCTGATATGGTGGACTACCCCTAGGAATTACTAAATCACTAAATGTGCATGTGAAGTAATCTCGCCCATAATGAAGGCAGAACATCTCTGAACCTTGATGGCCAGTGCCCCGATGTCAGCAAAGCAAACCTACTGCTTACTACTGTGGTCGTGGGAATAATTAGAGGCAATGCACAACCTCCATGCCAGTGTTCCCTCACTTTGAAATTCATGTCTTTGAAATCCAACATTCTGCTTCCCACAGAGAAACCTCTGTTGAATCTCTTCTTTCCACTGAAGGTCAGCAGTTTTTTATTACAGCATTCTTAGCTCAAATAATGCAGCTATGAAACAAACTTCCCAGGCCAAGTCTATGTAGTGGCTTCAGGAAAAGCTACAGTGCTCCCTTTTAGCCAGTCATCTTGCACAATTCTTACTTTGCCAATTCTTATGTTGGAACAAATTAATAATAATAAAAAAATAAGTAAAAATCCATGACGTAGTAACCAGAGTACCACAGACTGTCATGATGTTCACTAGGAACATGAACATAGGTGTCTTACAGCTGTATAAAATAATTTTCCCTGGGTTCACTTTTATTTCTTCTTGTTTCCAGAAGACAATCCAGCATTGGCTTGGTTGTCTGGTTCTGTGTAGGAGCTGTTAACATGTGCAGTCACAAATCTCACCTCTGACATAAGTGCTACATCATTTGAGGTTTTTGATACACGATCACTGCAGCTGGGGTAATCCTGACCAGTCACGCTCCATGCGATAATGAAAGTGAAAAGGTGAGTAATGTAAGAGCAGCTGTTTACATTAACTTTGTCGTTTCCTGTAATTTCCTGTAGTTTACCTAAAGCTACAAACTTGAGAATTTAAGTGGGTGGTTAGGATTTTATTTTTTTTAGTCAGAAACTTTCACTAAAATTCACGTAAACTGATGTATCTACGCAGGTATACACCAGCTATGTATATCCCAGTCATTGGTAAAATTTTGCAGTGGGCCAAATTAACTTCCTGTGAATTTAAGGCAGGTTTCAACAAGGTCTCTTCAGATTTGAAACAAGACTGACTCTAAACCTAGAATTTGTCATGTTACTTCAGAGATTTGTCTTCACCTCTGGCTGGTCTAGTAGGTTGCACCCACAAGTGTGGATGCTGCTGCTGTATGTTCAACTGGAACATTGTTTTATGAGGAAATCAGTGAAGTCTTAAAGGGACTCCAGTGTCTGTAGCTCAGACTACAAACTGTAAGTTAATTCTCCTAAAATACAGGTGCTGTAGAAACAAGTTCCTTGGAGGTGTGATCGAAGTTTAATAGCATCAAAACTAGGACGGTGAGACCACAATTAGCCTCAGATGTTCTGTATTTTCATCTTGTTCATCTGTTCGTACTTTTTATAAGGTTTTTCTGCGGGATCACATCCAGTGCTGGCTGTTGTTCACGTGCTTTGAAATGGAGACTGCTGTATGCTTTTGACTGCTTTCCACCCAGGCTTTTGTAAGTTGGCATTTCCTGGCAACATGCTGAGCAACTAGAACAGCTTTAGACCTCTCACAGGAAAGTACCTGCTCCTTCTGGTCTTGCAACATGACAGAAAATGCATAGTTTCCCTTTTTAGGAAGCTCTTGCATGAAGATCAGCTGTCATGGTTTGTTACATGAATAAGGAGACTTGTTATACCTGGTACCTCCTCTGCTGTACAGTCTTACATGGTTATAAGATAAAGAACTGTGATGTGCAACCAGGCAACTTGGATCTCAAAGCCTGATCTAAACACTAGTAAGGCAAGAACTTTGGTGGATATAGCATCAGAGCCCTTTTGCTGCCTTATCCCCAAGGAGCAAGATCTAAGTGTCACCCCTGAACCCTCCCCCAAACAAAGGCTTGAGTATTTAAGGTGCGGGATAAGGAGGAAAAGGGTCAATTTCCTAATCCTGTATGCTGAAATCTCTTGACAGTAACAGAATATCTAGGCTGAAGGTCCTGCAGACCTACCTGATGGCCAGTGTCTTTCTTCCCTTCGAGGCTCAGGCACCCAAAAGCTGTCCTCTGCACTCTACAACAGCCTTGATGCAGCAGAAGAGAGACAGGCTTTAGAACAGTCCCTTCCCCATGGCCTGTAGCATCAAGCCCTTCAAGGGATTTTGACTCTCAGAGGTGGTATGAACCCTCAAAGTTTCAGGAGGTGATGATGCTTTGCTCTAACTGTTCATAGCCATTTTGATAGTATTATGCTAGATGGCATAGTATCAGTTGAAAAATTCCTCCCAGGAGTCCCTCAGCTGGTTAAAGCAAGAGCTGGTTGCAGAGTAAAGTCTTTCAGGGTGAGGCAGAAGATGAAGTCTCACGTATGTGAAACTGATGAGCAGCCTTCCCCTGTAGCACAGAGGTGCTTACCTCATTCATCTCCCACTGTCATGCTCATCCCATTACAGGATAATGCAATTCAACTAATTAATTTTACTGACTTTTTAACACAAGGTTAATTTTCTGCCATTCTTATGAACTGAATCAAATCACTGTATACTCCCCTCTTTGCCTGCACCAGGTTCTTAACTTGGCCCAAGCCAGCTGAAACTGCAGAGCTGGGTTCCTGTGTCACTGCTTAGCCATGATGTGGCAATAACCTCTGCAGCAGCACTAATCATTCTGCAGCTAGTTAGAAAAATAAAGTGACCAGTGTACATTTGGAGACGATTACGCTGCTGATGTGTTTAGGGTACAGGCACCTTGCTGGTCTCCAGAAAACCGGTGTTCCCTTTGCTTTGGTCAATCGAGTTTAAAGGAAACCCACTGCCAAGCTGCTCCACCGTGATCACCTGGAACAGGACTCAGGGACACTGCAGCTGGCACAGCACCATCACTGCACACAGCACTGAGCACTAAGCACACAGCACTCCCTTCCCACAGGCAAATCCATCACCAGCATGGATTTCTAACTGACTTTGACACCCCACAAACTGCCACTGCTTCTTTCACAGTAAGGATTCGGTGCTTTTTGAAGACATTTAAAAGTAATATAAACACGATTTCTATGAAACTGACCTAATTGAAGCCTCCAGCAGATTTCAAGACAGGAGACTTGTAGAATGCTGCAGTTATGCATCAATGCCGACATCAGAACAGGCTGTTTGCCTTCTATTTGTGCCAGAAAACACACACGAATCTTGGGAAGAGCCATATATATTATGTTTACAGTGCAAGTAAAGGAAACAAAGTGGGAAAAAGATACCACCCATGCCATCTTCTAGTAGATTCTGCCCCTTCACACCCTGACAAAAACCTATGTCACAAATCAGAGAACAGTTCATAGGTCCCAGTTGGACAAACCAAAGAAATATGGAAATGTCAATGTAAGGCACATGTTGAGGGGACTGGGCACATCCAGGCACTCAGGTTTGTCAGCTCCAACACATGGATTAGCTGAGCTGGTCAGACCAGAAAGTCCTTGTAATGCTCACGTCCACCCCTGGTGGTGGCCACATGGCCACCTATGTGGAGACTAAAGCAGGCAGGCTGCCTCCCATGCACCCTTTGGCACTGCAGTCTAGCCAAGAGCAGCCACGCTGGCCCATCGTTAGATAACACGTCACACAGAAGCCAGCCATGTCAGAGACACTGAAGCTATACAGGTAACAAGTAAAAAAAAAAGGCAGAGTCTTTCATGTGGTCTAGCAAAGCTTTCCCAACACAACTTTTACAGCTGGCAGTGAAACACTTGAGCTCCATCATGGCAGCCCTCCCACGTCCTTAAGATTATTCTGTCATAAGGGCAAGTTTGGTTCTTCTGTAAGCCACTACACATCAAAGGATGTTTTGCTTCCAGTAGGTAAAGGGACCTCTTCATAAATTATTTTGAGATAAGGGAACTTCATAGGTAAAAACCAGTATTCCAAGTTGTAGAAGAAGTAAAACTGATGATTCAAGATGACATGATCAATAATTTTTAGAAGATCCACAAAAAACTCCCTGACTGTTTGATGAGGTTTAAATGGGTAGTAGAAGTCCCTTATAGCTGCTGCCAATGTCTTGTTTCCTACCGGTCCAAAAATAGATGTTTCATTTCCCAGATAAACAGGCTCACCACTAAATAAAATTATGCTTGTATAGTTTGTTTGTATCTTCTTAAAGACAGCTCCTAAGTCAGCCAGCTTCTGGTATGTTCTCAGTATGAATTTAGAGCATTCGTAAGAGTCAAACCACACTACTGACCGTTTGTCAGGACTTGACTGAACTGTCCAGGTCTCATAGTAAATGCCAGTCTCATTGTCGTGTCTTACCCATTTTGCCATTTCATTAAACATGGCTCCTGCAAGAGATGAAAACAGGTATTACAGAGACAACGTAACAAATACATGACTCAAAATATTTTCCATCTATTTCAAGGTTCGCCTTTCCTTCCCTGAAGAAGTTTATGTGCAACATTACCTGACCATACAAGGACACATTACCTGACCATACAAGGCGTAAGTTGGAGGGAGAAGCAATATATGTAAATATAGCTTTTTCAGCTGGGTAAATTATTTAAACTGTAATTCCTTTTTCTGCCCTATTTCCTGCTACTATGCCAAAACATCCAAACATCAGGGAACCATGACAGTTCTGATTTTGTTTTATCCATGCAGACAAGCAGTACAGGTGGCAAAACCTACCAGAGATGCTAACAAAGTGCTCACCGGCACAACAGGTGCTTCTGCACTTCCTGAAGTTTTACCTAAATTCAGCAATTCATAGAATGGTTTGGGTTGGAAAGGATCTTAATGAGCCTCAGGGCAGAAGTTTCATGTCTCCACACAAGAAACTCCAGACTGGGATACCTGCTGTTTTAGCAGCTCCTCAGACAGCAAACTGAACTAAAAGCCAAATGATGAGTGGGGTGTGAAGACCAGTAAACTTAAAGCCCTTGAGGATTATTTTTTAATTCAGAATACATGTTTGGAGTACTCTGATGATGGTGTTTTCACAACTGGAATGAGGAAAACATCTCTAACTCAACTCATCTCTCTGGCAGCTTGCTATGGGTGATGCACCAGCCTCTGCTCCAAAATACAGCTGATGCACAGGGCTAATTTGCCTTCTATTTTTCCTGCAGTCCTAGCACTGCACCTCATCTGAGTCCTTCCCACCCTCTCCTTCCTCAGCCACAGCACAGTACAACCATCCATGACTCAGATCTGTCACCTCTTATTCACAGCATGACCAAATTTTGCAGATTCTTCTTGCACAACACATCAGAAGACACAGTCAAACAGCTTGCTATACACGGACTTGAAGATCCCCTTCAGCTTCTCGAATTCCTACCAGATTACCTTCCAAGTGTGTATTCTTTAAGGCATGTTATTGAGAAGGATTTGTCTCTGCTAACACGACTGAGATGAACTTCATATGGAGTTCTGGCCTTAACCTCTTAAATTAAACAAAAATTATTACAGGTTAATGCGTATCTCCATGATAATCTCTTGGAAGATGCCTAAGCAATCAAAAATCTGATTTTGGCTATTCCTGACCTATTTTACAGAAGAAACATACCCCTAAGTAACATTAACACAGCCAGCAGGCATTAAAGGAAAATGAGATTGCTTTACTATGGTCTGCTGACAAAAAGCAGTGTAGGATCTCACACAGGCAAAGAGGACCAGCTGTTTCATACGTTAAAGCCCTCTCCCACAAGATGGGATGCTTTTTGCCTGCTCTTTGAAGAAAGCAAGTTCAGCTCATGGTCACAGAATCATAGAATGGTTTGGGTTGGAAGGGACCTTAAGATCATCTAGTTCCAAACTCCTGTCATGGGCAAGGATACCTTCCACTAGACCAGGCTGCTCAAAGCCCCATCCAACCTGGCCTTGAACACTGCCAGGGATGGGGCAGCCAGAACTTGTCTGGGCAACCTCTTCCAGCGTCTCATCTGAACTTGCACCCGTTCATCTTCTTCCACAGTAACTTTCAGCACTGGATAAATTACCTAGAGACCAAGTCCAGTAAAGCTGCTGAAGGTGGATGCGAGCAAACATAAAGCAGCACATCACTCTATCTGTAACTTTCCACTGTGCCCTGTACACAGCTAACTTTGCAGGGTAAGTCATTTTATCACAAAATTTGCAATTCTCCAAGTCCTCAGTGGGCTTTGTTTGTAAGTCATTCACTGTATTACTACAGTAGTCAGTCAGATTTATATAAAGGACCTTTTTATTTTAGGATTTCAGTGTTCAATATACACAAGGAAGCTATTATGGTGATCATCCACTTATTTAGAGGTGTAATTCCTGGTTTTGTTCTACACCATATGACAGAGACCTATTACTGAGGACATTTGCACAGTTTTTATAACACATAATGGAGGAGACAGAAATAAGGGATTAGTATTCTTTGTATTTCTGAGACAATTTCTAAATATGCCTTATTTGTTTGCCCAGTAATTTACACATTTCCACCAGTTTTTCTATCTCAGCAGTCATCTGTCACTTCACAATAGAAGATTTTGTTTTGGTGAAATCATGTGAACAAGTCCATAATGGTTCTGTACAAGCTGTTTTCCATTTTTACACTCAAGAGACTCAATGTTTTTGTACAGCAACAACAAATGACTCTCATTTAACAACTCTTCAGGGTATTTTGTTCAAAAACCAGCAGCCTCAGACCACTTTTTGTATAGAGTGCAGAGACAGTATTTCAGTGCAAAATTAGCACGGGTGACTAACATTGTAAATAACCTACAAACATAAAAGATACTGCTTTACATGAAGACAAGGCTGACTCTATATTTTATATTAGCACTACCCAAAGCATCTGAAACCTACCTGATATTGTGGTCACAAGAACTAAAGTTCCATTTTCCTTCCAGTGTGCATCATCTATTCCTTCATAAAAGCAGGCAGCGCCCTGGTTACACCAAAACGGTGCATCCATGCCAGGCCGGAGATGTGGAAACGTGCAGTTCCCAAGTTGGAAGAGTTCGTACCACTCCATTGTGTAGTTTTTGCCTGTTAGAGAGCTCTTGAAACCCACAGCATCATGCATAATTTTCTGAAAAAGAAAAAAACCCACTAAAGTCCCAGAACTTAACATAAAAACTACTTCAGCTTGAGCTGTACAGAAAATAAGACACCTGGAAGCTGCTGTGTAATAGGGCAAGAAGACAGAAAGAGGGTCCTATAACACCTTGGATTATTCAGCACAGGTGCACAACATACTGGACTGTATCACACACATACTTTTATCATAGAACCATACTGTCTCAGCGGTTGTCTATCCATCCATTACGAATTCTGCCTCCAGATACTCTGTGGGAGCTCATCTTCAAAACTCAAATTCACTTTTGAATCAACATCACAAGGGGTATCAAAGAAATAAAGACCAGAACAGAGTTGCCAAAACCAGATCTTAGTAATTAAAGCCACAAGAGGAATGAGATAAGTATTTCTTTTAAAAGCTGTAAATAAATCAATCGAACCTTAGTTTAGCAACTCTGATATTTGAAGCTATTTCAATTTTTGACTCTGTGTGCTTGGTTCTGATGTTGCTCCTTCATGTTCACTAGTATTTATTCACTAGGGATTGTGCTTTGAAGCTTAATTATGCTACTGATAAAACTATCACTGAAGCTGAGATTCTTTAATTAAAGTATTCATTCATGGAGTCACGCAAATATGAAAGTCTGTGATCAGTCTTAAGTAAAGTCTAATGATCAGTCTTAAGTAAAGTCTAATGATCAGTCTTAAATACTGATCATAACATTCAAGAAAGAACCATGAAAGCAACCAACTCCCCACAATCCACCATTCAGACCAGATGGCTGTCCACTCCTGACAGGTATTCATGTCCATGCAAACACGTAAGTTTTTAACAACAGAAAAGTTAATACACTAAGAAAGTGTATTAATATCAGGTAATACTGCTGCTCTCTTTAGCACTCACAAGGTCTCAGCTCATGGCTCTGTTTCAGGTTTCAGCATCACAGTTTGAGGACAAAACACCTTCAACTCCAGTAGGTGAAGGTTATGGGACAGAACTGGCAACAGACGGTTTGGAATCACAGAATCATAGAATCGTTAGGGTTGGAAAGGACCTTAAGATCATCTAGTTCCAACCCCCCTGCCATAGACAGGGACACCTTACGCTAAATCATATCACCCAAGGCCTCATCCAACCTGGTCTTGAACACTGCCAGGGAGGGAGCATTCACAACCTCCCTGGGCAACCCATTCCAGTGCCTCACCACCCTAACAGGAAAGAATTTCCTCCTTATATCCAATCTAAACTTCCCCTGTTTCAGTTTTAACTCATTACCCCTTGTCCTATCACTACAGTCCCTAATGAAGAGTCCCTCCCCAGCATCCCTATAGGCCCCCTTCAGATACTGGAAGGCTGCTATGAGGTCTCCCCTCAGCCTTCTCTTCTCCAGGCTGAACAGCCCCAACTTCCTCAACCTGTCTTCATACAGGAGGTGCTCCAGTCCCCTGATCATCCTCGTGGCCCTCCTCTGGACTTGTTCCAACAGTTCCATGTCCTTTTTATGTTGAGGACACCAGAACTGCACACAATACTCCAGGTGAGGTCTCACAAGAGCAGAGAGGCAGGATCACCTCCTTCGACCTGCTGGTCACGCTCCTTTTGATGCGGCCCAGGATACGGTTGGCTTTCTGGGCTGCAAGCGCACACTGCTGGCTCATGTTCATTTTCTCATCAACCAACACCCCCAAGTCCTTCTCCACAGGGCTGCTCTGAATCTCTTCTTTGCCCAACCTGTAGCTGTGCTTGGGATTGCTCCAACCCAGGTGTAGGACCTTGCACTTAGCATGGTTAAACATGAACACAGATAAGACAGGTGCAAACCAGGGGGATCAGATGGTATTCACCCAAGAGGTGTAAAGGAACTAAAGTAAGAGTGTTGAACTAACTGTGCAGTCTGTAACCTAGTGTTTCAACTTAGACAGTGGCAAGCAAGCAGAGCAGCACTGGCACTGCAAAACGGGATTATTGTACTGAACCAATAGCAAGGCTAAAGCAGGGTATCTGAAAGGTCCAAAACCTCTGCAGAGGGAAGATGTGCTTCTTAGGTCTGCTTTGAAGGAGGCAACAAGTTTTTGGATACAGGTAAATGCTTGATTTAAGTTCACCTGAATTGCCAGAAGAAGTCAAAGAAGATTCAAGGTCAGGCTGGACAGGGCTCATCTCACCGAAGATGAGCAACCTCATCTAATTGAGGATGTCCCTGCTCATGGCAGGGGGCTCAGACTAGATGACCTTTAAAGGTCCCTTCCAAGCCATTCTGTGATTCCTTAATGCACTTCATCTGATATAAGGGGATAAATAAATGTATTTTCTTCATGCAGCTCTGGTGCAGAAAAAAGAACAAATGTAACGGTGTGAGTAAACAAAACACTGCCAAAGGTTCATGGGGGAACACATTCAAACCCACCAACAGCGCTGGTCATGCTCTTTTCTTTAGCTGAGCTAAACTCTGTAACTTCTGTTTAAAACTTATAGCTCTTTGGGTATCTTTCCTATAGATAGCTGAACTTGAGTGCTCCAATACTCTTCCATGCAAACACATCCCAATGTTACAGCTCCCCTTCTTGACAACTTCTGTTGAACTCAGCTTAATTTGCCACTACAACTTTGTTAAACAGAAACATCACCTTACCAAATGTCCTAGTAGGTCCCCATATTTAAATTCCCATACTGGAGCCTGTAATCGATACACTTCAATGACATCCTCTTCTTTCATAACTGGAATGGCAGAGCCAGTGGGACAGAAGGTGTAACGAGCTTGGCAGTAAGGATCGGTTTTTGGACGGTAGTCAAAGCGCCTGTGTTGAGAAAGAGAAGCACAGAGAACGATAAGCACAGCTTCCTGGCTGGAGTAACTGCCTTGTGGCTTCCTAAGGGCCTGAGTGGGACAGTCCAAGTGTCCAGCCACCCCAAAGATGGGTTCTGTGATACAGACACTGCAACACCTGGAGCTACACAAGTTGGTCAGATGCTGAGGTGCGCATCTGCAGAAACAGGACTTCAGACTCGTAAATGCCAGCCATGTTGTATACAGTACTGACCACAATACAAATGGAAATACAACTCTTCTGCAACTGACAAAAGACTGTTTATAAGAAATATTCAGTGAAGAACCCTGAATGCAAGGAGCACATATGGCCAGTTGTGAATTACAGCAAGCATTGAATTCTTTTAACTTCTTTTATATAACCTGGACAAGAACAAGTTTGGTAAGCACAGTTATTTATTAACTAACACTACTGGAAATGGATATCTATTGAACATGTAACTATTTCTGTGTACTTAACGTCCCAAGTTCAAACAGGTTAATGAAAATGTTCATGTTATGGCTCAAATGGAAGAAATTAACTGATTATATGACTTGGACATTATAATGTTAATGACTGATTTTGGTAGTGGACTTGGCAGTCCTGGGGTAATGGCTGGATATGGTGATCTTGAAGGTCTTTTCCAACCTGGCTGATTCTGCGACGGAGCTGAAACGATGCAGATTACAAAGGGTGACTTATACCCGCAAAATCAAAGACACACAGATGCTGGGGAGAGAGCAGTTGAGATCTGCCTCTTAACAGTCGGTCTACACAGGGATTGACCAGTTTGCTCTGGGAAACTATCACACAGTAAGAGCTCCCCCCATGGAGCTATTTTTCCTCTAGAATATTGCCAATATCAGAACAATAACAAAAAATAATCTATTCCTCAATGCTAATTTAGATAATGAGGTCTAAGAACCTCCCAAGGATCACTGTTTCCATCCACCATTCCTATTAAGCCTCAAAAACCAAAGACCGAATCTGGTTACTTGTCACTTTATATAAAACCAGCAAAACACTTTTCCAACAAGTCTTCCCTTCCCCAGTTTCCCTCAGATTCACTCCTTGTATTTCAGTTAAAACACAGGTTCCTATATTCCTGTTACCAAGACAGACTGGCAAACACAGCTTTGCACAGGGCACAGCCTGAGAACTGAACACAGTCACCCAGAGCTATTGAATGACACAAATAGCCCAGCCATGAGATGACTCAAGGACATGGGACTTCCTGAGCCATAGTAAGGCCAGGAGCCCTGCTGAGACATGACTGACTGTCAGTGCCGACTTCCCCAAGCTTGCTGGGTACTTCAGTATGTTAGCTTTATTTTGTCCAGGGAAAAAGGGAAGGGAAAGGAAGCTGAAAAAAGAACACACAGTTACAAAGCAAAGACTTATGCCAGCCACACATTTAAATCCTGTTTCTAAATTGCACACCTTGTGTTTTCAACTTCCCCTCCCACTGCACCTTGCATGTGACAAGGAGGTAACAAGCATGTTAAGAAGCACTAAAATACCACATTTCTGAGTTTCTCACACTGACAGGCTTGCACTCCAGTTCAACCACCCCAAGACCCAGTCTTGCAACTACTGAACTTGCTGGAAAATCTGAACAACTCGTGACTACAAGATCAGCTCCTTCAGGCATCACCTGATACAAACATAACTGCTCGTAATTACACAACAGGCTTTCAAAACTTCAGGTGTGTATTAGATAGCAGCTAAACATTGGGAACACCTCCCTTTACAAACAGCAAACCCACAAAAAATACACACACAAGCATAGCTCTTCTCTGAAGAGCTCATTTCCTCGGCATAACTCAAACTGCAGCTACTTGCTCCAGTAAAATGCAGTAACACGAACTCTTCTGCTTTCCCCAGCACCACCACATCTTCCTCTGGAGCTAAAAAAGCCCTGCAGCAGAAATAGGGTGTTTATACGATTTCATTTAATATGAGCGGAACTATGAAGGAAAGTTAAATTTAAAAAAAATACAATAAATCATAGCCTGACTTCCTCATTGTAACTCTTCGCTAGAATGGGATTTAAAGGATCATCTTTAAAGCAAGGGCAGTCATTCCCACTGCTGACAGAGCTCACAGGGATGGGACACCCACTCCCTTGCGAGCTAAATACACCCAGTATTGCATATATATGACAAATACCCCCGCGATTAGAAAGGGGAAACTATTCATGGCCATTTCAGTACAAAAATTAAATAAGCAAAGAAAACCAGCAGAAAGCTGACGGGTCGCGAAGGAAGCGGCGGCGGGGGGGCGGATAGGTGCGGGCAGCCGCGGAGCCGTGCCTCTTACAGCTCTGGCCGCTGGGCCCCGTCCGTGTACTCACTCACCTGTAAGGCACCGGCCACCGCCGCTCCGGGGAGCGGGACCCCGCCGAGAAACACAGACCCCAAACCGCCGCCGCCAGCAGCAGCAGACGCAGCAGCAGCAGCCGGTAGCGTCGAGCGGCGCCCATGGCGACGCGCCCTTCGGGGTCTGCGGGCCCGGGTCCTGCGGCCCGGCGGGGGAGGCGGCGGGGCTGAGACGGCCGGGCGGAAGGGAAGGAGTGAGGCCGCCCCCGAGCCCGCCCACAGTCCCCGGGGAGGCGGTGGTGGCCCGGGAGTCCGCGGGCCGGAGGGCGTGAAGCAGGAAGGGCGAGTTCGCGCTGTACGTGGGGTCCCGACCAACCGCAGGGAGTTTTTAACCTCTTTCCGAAGGAAACCTGCCGTGTGGTGAATCGGCCTTTAAAAACGTCACTTGATGAGCCACGATTTCGGTCTTCTGGAGACAGTTATGCATTCTTTTATCCGAAGCACTTGTTAGCAGCTCGGGGTGTTGTTTCACGCTTTGGGGCCACTTTAAAACACACATGAAACTCCCATTCTTACAAGCGGAATGCCCCGAGAGGGATGACCTGGATCTGGACCCAGGACGATGAGTTGAGGCCTCACCAAGTGGCAGAAGGTCGTTTGCTGTGACAAACAGAGGTGTCCTGAGCCTCTTCTGGCTGCCCAGAAGTCTCGTCTGAAGCTTTTCAGGGCTTCAAGCTAAGTTTATACATCAGTCACCCACTCTAGAACACTTAACTCAGGTTGTAACAGCTTACATTATGGGCATTAGATAGAGGTTTATTCTCTCATTTTTACAACATAGCAAGAACTATATCAGAGGAACTCTGGCTAAGGGAAACGGCAACTACAGCTTTGCAAGCTGCATCCCTGCAGCAAAGAGATCTTTCCAGCTCTGTAAAGTTCAAAACCGGCTATGCTAGCATCAGAGCTCAGGAGGATGTTTGGTAGTTAGCATCCACGGTGAAAGAGCTGGTGTATGCTGTTCACTGGATAAATAATAACTGTGCTGTGAACTTCTGTCTACCAGGAGGCAGAGAAATATACCATTTCATTCCTTGCATATAAGCCCCTAAAGAACAATCAGTTCTCTAGTCAGCATTATGCTAGCCTATCTCCAAACAAAACTGGAGGTGGAAAACCCTGCATCCTACATAAATATGCATGATAGGCTGCTGAATACCAGTCTCTGTAATGCTGGAGGTACTAGAGGTGTTCAAAAAACCTTAAGATGGCACAGCTATTGAAATCTTTCATTTCAGCCACTTTTCTCTCTCTCAGTTCGTTGCTGCCTGATTCTATACTGCTTATGTTTAAAATCCATGTCATTCAGCACTATACATTAATTTAATGCATGTATACATGATCTATATTGTCTAGACTGTGCTTTTGCCAAGAAAGATTGGACCAGATGATCCTTGAGGTCCCTTCCAACCTGGTACTCAATGATTCCATGATTCTACCATAATTCTATGGGATTCTGGTACCTATATTTCAGTGTTTCATTTTAATCTCATGCATGTTATTTGTCTCTGCTTTAAAGTAAAGCTCTGGTTTTGTTCTTTATAAAATAAAGTGTGCTATTACTCATGTTTTTTCTATCTTCAGTGTAGTACAAGATGCCAGCTTTTTCATGTGTTTGAAAAGGTTATGTGTTTGTGTGGAATACAGCTGTCATTCCTTTTTTTACAGATTATGATGCGTAACCTTGGAAGTACTTTATGAAATAAGGGAAGGATAATTTATCCTTTCCACAAAGCCAGGATGGAGGGAAGTGAAATGACATAATAAAGGTGCCATAATCACTCATTAGCCAAACTAGAAATACAGTATGAACTGGTTCTTAGCCCTGGCTCAGCATGGGTTTGCAGTCTGGAATATTAAAGTCTCTATTCAGGCACTGCTGTGGTTGCTGAAAGTGTTGGGTCAAGTGGCTAAGATGGCCAAGCTATTGATGTTTTTCATTTCAGTAGCATTTCTGTATCTCACTTCATTGCACCCCTTAGGTTGTATGAGAAGAAAAAAATGGTGTACTTTGCAGCAAAAGTTTCCTAAGTTACATTATGAAACATATTTTAACATAGAAAATAAACTAATAAATATACTTGAGCTAAAAAGCTACTGTTAGCTATTTCTGAATCAGCAGCTATCTATTAGCCAGACACGTCAAAGTGTCCTTTATAAACCCACAGAACTGATCTGCATCTTTGCCCATTGGCAGGCTTAGAGGAAAGATTGAGACTGGCTATAAAGATTATACTGGAACAGATTGCTCAAAGAAGTTTTGGATGCCACATCTCTGGCAGTGTTCATGGTCAGGTTGGTTGGGGCTTTGAGCAATCTGGTGTAGTGGGAGGTGTCCCTGTCAATGGGAAGGGGATTGGAACTAGATGAGCTTTAAGGTCTATTCCAACCCAAGCCATTCTATGATTCTGTGAAAAATCAGCTTCTGGAGTTGACAAGATTCCTATATTTTTCTCATTTCCTGGAGTATTTTCTTTTGTTTAGTGAAAACCAAACATTTTCCTGATACAATGAAGAAGACTCTTCAGTATGATTTCCAATTATGGAAGTACCTTCTCCATCTCTACTCTTGAGAGCAACAGGATGGAAGGAACAGAGAGAAAGGGGAAAACAAACCCCTGCTGCAGCCAAAGGTTGTGGGTTTGAATAGCTAGTTTGGTTTTGAACATCTACCGGAGTCACCACACTGTAAAAAAAAAAACAAGACTGAAGCAAACACTATCCAGCAGACAGCAGTCTGCCCTCAAGCAGGGACCTTCACTATCTCAGCACTTTGCTGTTCAAGCATCTCTATGCATCATCCTGCACAGACTTCCAACATCTCAATACATAGCTGAATGCATTTTGCTAGGGACTTTGCTTTCTTTCATATGCCATTTCCAGTGTAAGCCCTGTTGTTTCCCCTGCAGAACCTCCATACTACAAATTTGTGAAGCTGGGAGCAGATCAAAGAACGTAGGTTCATTTTCTAAAGAAAATCTGGTTTTCCTGGCAAAATGGAGCCACTCCCTAGAACACAGTCTGAGGTTAGGATAGACAAAAGGTGCCTGATGTGTGAGGGTACCACTGATCCTCAACAGCATCAGAACCCAGAAGCCTTCTGATTAAACTCCACTTACTCTTGCTTTCAAAGCTGTATATTCATTACATCATTACAGTCCTGTGTGTAAACCAAAAAAACACATTGGTGAGCCTTTGTGAGGTCCTGCTGGAAGCAACCCAACTTCCAGAAGAGCTGCAGCAATACAGGTAAGTAACAGCACCACACAGCACCAGCTCAGTGCTACTGCTCCGCTACGGTAAGCAGGCCAGAAAGTGAGACCGAAAATACGTCTGAGCCTGTTTAATTTAAAACAAAAGGCACATCTTTATTTCACATCACTCCCCAGGTTTCCCCTCCCTCACCTACATGCAGGCAGAAGAGGAAGCACGTACCGCACAGCTGCCTGCAGGGGGTTACATGCGGCGTGCCAGACCTCCGGGGCACGCCGAGCACCCGTCGGTGCCGCCTGTAAGACGTAGGCCAACCGGAGCCCAGCGGCGCAGGCGCAGCAGCAGGACGTGGAAAAGGGAGGGTGCTGCGAGGCCCGGGTTCAGCAGCTTGGACAGGCTCTGCGCGGCGCTCGGCCGCTATGGGCAAGCGGGTAGCTCTGGTTCTCGCCGGCTGTGGCGTCTTCGATGGCAGCGAAATTCACGAGGCCTCGGCGGCACTGGTGCATCTCAGCCGCGGCGGCGCAGAGGTAGGGGGCGGCGGGTGCCGCTCCCCGGCACCCCGCGGGGTTGTGTGGAGCTGGGCCTGGCAGGCTCTCTGGGGCGGGGTACGGCTCCGCCGTCTCTTTGTGTCCCTCAGCAGACGAGGGACCCCCGCCTTGGCCGCCCACCCTCTGGCCTGTGCCGGGGAGCGAGCCATGCCATCCCGTGGCTCCTGGTGTGTGTGGGATCGAGCCTCCCCTGCTTCACGGTTTTGTTTTCCCCGCCACAGCACACGACAATGCCTTTTCAACCATAATCTCTCTTACTGTCTTGCCCTCTCCCTTTTCTTTAGTGAGCCCCTCCCCGAAGCCGTAAATGTCCCCTTGACAGGAGCAGCGGCGCCAGGCAGGCCCCGGTTGTGACGGGTGGCAGGAGGCCTTGCCCTGCTCCTTTGTCTGTAGGGTCCTGGAGATTGGGTCCAGTTAAAATTCTTCATCTGTTTTCTGATTGTTTTTGCAGAGATCGGGGGCTCACCTTTGCTTGCATTCACCTGCATGCCTTCTGTTACCTGTTTCTGGGCTTTTTCAGTAACTGGGCTAGTTCAGTAACAGTTACTCTTTCAAGCAATCGGAGGAGCGTGGGCCAAGATCATAGAATCATAGAATGGTTTGTGTTGGAAGGGACCTTAAACATCTCGTCGTTCCAGTCCCCCTGCCACGGGCAGGGATACCTTCCACTAAACCAGGCTGCTCAAAGTGATGTGGTGGTGTGTTGTGGTCCTGTCTGTGGCTTCAGACAGTGGAAGGTGGTCACTTTCTGTCTGCTTATAGCTGCATTCAGGTGTTTGATGGTAACAACAGCACCCTCATATTTAGCACAAAATTATCCTCTCTAAAATTAACTGGAGTCTGCAAAGCAAGACTTCTGTTTTGAAAAGCAGATATGTGAAAATAGGCCCTGCAGTATACCTCTCACAAAGCTTTGCACTTCCATGCAGCTTTCCCCTCTTGTGCCTAACCAAAATATGTTCTTCCATGTTTTGTTTTCCCTTCCTGCTACCAGTGTTTTGAGAAAGCAGCTAACTCTTAATGTCTGCACTAGGAATGCTTGTGAAGTTTGCATCCTTATATTTTAAACTTTTTCTGTAAAACTTTTAGCAGTATGATCCCCTAGCTGTTAAGAGCAGCCTTTCTTCAGACTCAGCTGTGTTCCCGGTCAGCCTGCTGGTATAAATTGTGTTTTGTTTGTCCTTGGGATTATCTGCAGAAGGAAAGCAGGCTGTGGCAAAATCAGTAAGCTTAATGTTGGTGTCAGAATGCAGTCCTGTCAAAAAGCTGCAGGAATAAGATGGGGAAGATGAACAGGTTTACCTGTCCTAATATGCCACCTATCGCTTTAGTTATTTAATGCCGTAGATCCATCTTGTGGAATCCACTTCTCTTGTTTATTTTGATCAATATGTAGGAGGTCTGTTTACATTCACAAAATTGCTTTATCTCTCTATTTTAGGTGAAGATATTTGCCCCAAATATTGAGCAAAGGGATGTAGTCAATCACCTAAAAGGAAGTCCAACAGAAGAGAAGAGAAATGTGTTAGTAGAAAGTGCCAGGTTGGCAAGAGGAAACATTCAAGATTTGGCTGAACTGAAAGCTAGTGAATTTGATGCAGTCATTTTCCCTGGTAGGTGCTTTTAAAAGAAAGTTATTTGTGATTTTTCAGTTGCAAATTGAAATTCCTCAGTTACTTTTCTATTTTTAGATCCATTCAGAGAATAAATTGTTGATTTGAGAGGTATGGAGGGGGGGTGTTATTTTTTTTTTTTTAAACTTATTTTCTTTCAAGGATGAGAAAATGTTTCAGCAAGCTTTTACGGGCTGATTAAGTCATATCAGTTTTTTATTCTTTTATAGTTAAGTAATTTAAAATGCCAGACTGTTCTTTTGGTGTTAAGTTATACATCACACTATTCCTTCTTTCTAAAGATAGTGAAAACTTGAATACCTACTTGTGGATAAAAACAAAAGTAGGGCCAGAACTTGACAGCACATGGCAATGCCTTGATTTTAGGACCTCTGAAATTGTTGGCAAAATAGCAGGTTTCCAAATAGATTATGTTTCCTGTCAGATGTGAGTACATTTTGTTTTAATTATGTATCTGATCTGCTGCTGATCAAGTTACACTAAACATATTTATGGATAATTTCTTATTTATAGACCACAGAATTGCCTTTCAGACGGAGTTAATTGTAATCATTTTAGAAATGCAGAAACCAAAGTGTCACGAGGAAATTACGATTTGCTGAAGATCACTTTCGAGAATATTCACAGTACTGTTAAATACTGCTTTCATGATTGTGCCTGAGCTTTAATTTTGGAGTTGTGACACTGTCTTCTGTTGTAAAGCCAGCAGAGGGAGCGTGTCTATAAGGCAAGGGAAACATACTTCCAGCGCCAAAGTGTACGGGTGACACCATTGCTGATGAGGGAGTAGAGGCTAGCAAGTATTTTCCACTTTAATTCCATGCTGTTATAACCCAGGCTCAAAAGGGTTGCTGTAATAACTGTCACAGGGAAATAAACTCTATGAGAAGTTTGAAAATTAAAATCTTACTTTAGAGATTCCTGATAGCACTTGAAAGTGAGCAAAGGGTGAAAAAAAAAATATTAAAAATGCAAAGCTACTTGGTGTTGTCTGTTGAAATACTTGTGGAAATTTTTTTGTTTACTGTAGAAAAGCTGATGTTGTGTGCATCCTGTAAGGACTCAAATATAGTGGATGGTTACTCTTATTAATAACCTTCTCTGATTATTCTGATCTGGCAAGTGAAGATGCTGTAAAATACAATCTGCTTGTACAATTAAATGAAGATTAAATGCAAGTTTATTGTTATAGATATGTAGTTATTATTGTTATAACTAATTTCTAGAAAGACAAATCCTGCATTATTTTTAATAGGAAATTATCATTCACAAGTGGTGTGTCTCAGAATATCATATGTTGTAATTTCCTTTTTATGTAATATTCATTTGGTTTTATTGTGTTAACCCATTCTTTTAAGTCCAAAAATAATACTAGAGGAGTAAAAAAGCTTAAGTATTCAGCTAAAACTTGAGAGTGAATTACTGTTGAGCATCAAATCACTGTTTGCATTATTCTTGTGACTTACATTTTTCTACTTCTGACTGTCATTGGTCTTTTTTCTGATCCCTCTCTTGCTTATTGAGGGATGTATATCAGATGGTGCAGCTTTTCCAGTGACTAGCATTTAAGGTGAGCCTTCCTGTTTGTTTGCTGCTCAAGGTTAAGCTTTCTGGCCTATGTAACATATGTGATATAAAAAAGCACAGTTAAACTTTTAACATTGTAAACCCGTCATGTTTCAGGTGCTAAAAGCTTTCAGTGTAGTAACTTAGCAGTCATGCCAAGATTATGTTGTAAAAAAAAAAAAAACAAACAACTTCTGTCTATTCTGTCATTGAATTGAATGACTTTTAGTGTTATCATATATTTGAGCTTTTTGTTTGTTTTCCTTTTTTTTTTTTTTTTTTTTTTAGGTGGCTTTGGTGTAGCAAAGAACCTGTGCTCCTGGGCTGTAGATGGCAAGAACTGTACTGTCAATGAGCACGTGAACTCCACACTCCAGGCTTTCCACAGTGCTAAAAAGCCCATTGGTTTGTGCTGCATATCACCGGTTCTGGCAGCTAAAGTCTTTCCTGGTTGTGAGGTTACAGTTGGCCAAGATAAAGATGTAGATGGAAGGTAAGAAGGAAATGGATAATTTACATGGGAATTCAGATTAGGAAATGGCCAGTCTTCTGAGGTCTCTAGTGCCAGTAAGCCCTGGGTAACTTCTGAGTGACATTTTTTACTTACTTATAATTTTCACTTGCCTAATAGTTCTTGTATAATGAGCAGAGCTCTCAGGGGAGACAGACTGAATCTGTGAGGTCAGGTGACTTGTGCATTGGAACGATTTATCCCTAAATTCAGAAATACATTGGTCTGTGATATCACAGAATCATTTAGGTTGGAAAAGGCCTTTAAGGTCATTGAGTCCAACCATTAACTCAGACCTGGGAAGTCCACCACTAAACCATGTCCCTAAGCACCACATCTACATGTCTTTTACATACCTCCAGTGTTCTGATACCAACATCCACAGGCACACTACGATTAGTAGTTTGGCGACTCTAGGTAGCCTTATCTCTTGCGTAAGCTGTCACTCTGTGAGCCACTGAAGGTAGTTTAAGTTCCTGCACTGGCTTTATTATGCAGTGTGGGCACTAATGAGTCAGTGGATGTAGCATCTGTCAGTCCTAAAAGTGACAGAACAAAGCAACTTTTATGGAATCATAGCTGTGCGAACATGCAGATGACCAAGGATATCAAGTAATTTTTTTCTGCATTATATTCATGGTAACTGAGCGATGGATTTTTAGCTCATACTGAGGGAGGTACAGAATGTGCTTACCCAATGCCTTTGAAGGCCATGATTCATATTGCAAATGTGGGAATGAAGAACAGGCATGTGGCCAGCTGGCATTCAGAAACTTGGTACCCTGTGGTAATTGGAGCGGCTGTTTAAATTGCGTCTGTGGGCTTTTGTCTGTTCAGGGATTTTTAGTTTTTCAGTCAGTAGTGGTTTGGGGCCAGTTTAGGGGAAGTAGTTGAGAACAGGACCTGGCAGAAGTATGTGCTGCTTCAGGAACTGTCAACTCCAATAAAACTTCTGAATGGAATTTCATCTCAGCAGTGATACCGAGGGTTTGTCTCTGCTCCTTCATTATTCTTAGGGAAAAAAAAAGAAAACAAAATTATGCAGAATCCCAGCAAAAGACTTTACATGAAGGTGTTGGAAAAGGTCTAAAGTGTCTGCAAGTTGAGCTGGCATCTCTCAAACTTTTGAGGATCAGTTATGATCACTTGTTATCATCTTGTAAACTACTGAAAGATTGTTAAAACCAGAATTACGCCTTCTGCCAATCTGTGGCTCTGCATTTTTTACCTTGTTTTCAAAGCTATCAGATAATCTGTTTTGCCATAGGGGCTGGAAGGACCTGGCAGTAGCAGTCTGATTCCCTTGTCATCATCAAGAGTCACTTTAATATTATTGTAGTTCTCTCATTCAAGTTATGTTGGTGGAACTTTATGCCTGTGTTTTCTCTTTAAGTTAATGACAGCCTTTTTATTTACAGATTTCCTGATGCTGAAACAGCATCTGCTATAGTTGAGCTTGGATGTAAGCACATTTGCAAAAATGTAAATGAATCCCATGTGGACAAAGCCAATAAAATAGTTACTACCTGTGCCTTCATGTGCAAGGCTCCTCTGCATGAAATCTTTGATGGAATTGGAACAATGGTACAAGAAGTCCTGAAACTTGCATGACTGGAATCATACAGACTTCTACAGGGAAATCAGTGTAACTGAGAATAAGCATTTAGCTTCCTTTGAACGTAGTAATAAAATAATGCAACTACTAAACTTCACAGTTCTTGGGGTTTTGTTTTGTTTAGTTTTAAAATCTGTACATCACAGGGTTATTGCTAATTTTATCCTATTTATTTCTTTTTTAAAATAGAAAATGTGTTGAAGGTTGTGTATGTGGGTGTCAGCATTTTTTTTTTTCTCATGAATCAATGTATTCAGTCATGATGAGACAGTACTTCTCGGAGAGGGACTTTTTGTAAGGACATTTAGTGACAGGACAAGAGGGAAATGGCTTTAAACTGAAAGAGAGTAGATTTAGATTAGATACTGCGAAGTTCTTCACTGTGAGAGTGGTGAGACACTGGAAGAGGTTGCCCAGAGAAGTTGTGGCTGCTCCATCCTTTTCAGTGTTCAAGGCCAGGTTGGACGGGGCTTTGAGCAACCTGGTCTAGGGGGAGGTGTCCCTGCCTGTGGCAGGGGGTTTGGAACTAGGTGATCTTAAGGTCCTTTCCAACCCAAACCATCCTGTGATTCTGTGATAATGTGGGACCCCTCTGTGCCCAGCGGTGTGATTATCAGTAATTCGTATTTGGTGTTACCCAGCTATAATTACTGTTGAAATAGCTCTAAATGAGTCTCCGTGCCTTCAGTGTAGGTGAGTAATTAAATTCTAATAGGAAGGAAAAAAGCATGCAAGTCTTTACGCACGTATAATTTTAGCATGGACTTAACTTTAGAAACCAAGAGTCAGAGGTACACATTAAGTACAAATTAATACATTGTTTGAGAAAAACACGCAAGTTTTGCTCTAATATATGAAATTACTTGAGGTTCAGTTGGTAAAATGAAATAGCTTTATATTATGATTTTTTTTATACATAGTTTATTGCCCTAAGGAAGGTACACTTCACATATGCTAGAACACGTGCTTTGATCTCACAAATGTGAACAAAGGTGGCCAGCCTCTCTAATAAGCACAATATGGCACGGTGTTGTACTCCTGAAGGAACTAGAAATTCCCAGAATTTGTTTAAGGTAAGCTGAGAGTCACTGTAGACACTTAATTGTCTCAGCATAAGAAGTGGTATGATGCTTGCAGATCTCTTTCACTACTCACAGCAAATGTACTGCAGTCCATGCTTTGCAGTGCCTGAAGCAATCTAAACATGTCATCATCACTAGTGCTAATCATGATCAAGGGCCTGGAGTGGGAATACAGCAGGAACAAACCTGTACCACAGAGCAGCCAAAAGATGGGACTAGGAAATAATGCCTTTGTGATGGGGAGCATTGAGTTGTGCCTCTTGCTCAGCAGCTGGCATGGTCAGGGAGGGCACTAACCTTTACCTGTGATTCCTGACATGTTGCAGAGCATTGAGTGCTACTACTTTCTATGTGTGCTGTGTTTATTCTAGCACAAACATCAAAGTTCAGATGTAACTGGTGGCTTTTTCAAGGAGGATTTAGAGCGAAATCTACAGAAATAAATATATAAAGGCTTTTATTCTCTGTCCTTCTCAGGGATGTTTCTCATGGACACAGCATTTCTATACTCCAGAATTTCTTTTATGGATTTACTTAGCAGAAGCAGAATATACAGACACTTTTGGCAGCAGAGCTGGCATGTTTTTGTGTCATGCACAAGCAGTGCTCTGCCTCTAGAGGTATAAAGATAATGGAAGTGCCACTGATCATGCCAGCAGAGGATCTTCTATTCAGCCAGAGCTGTGTACATAATCACTAAATTACTTACTTAGTCAAAACCCATGGTATTTGACTAAGTGTGGCTCTTGGGTTACAGGAGTCCTGTTCAAAAGTGCTTGAGTCACTAAATAAGAGTTTGTCCTGAGTTTTGTGTTTGCCTTGTGAACAGTCTTGCTGTTGGCTCAAGCAGCTAAAGGAAGCGCAGCTTCTCCAGAAGAGCTCTAGCTGACTGTCCTGATAAAAATGTACTTAACACAGAACAGTCCTCTACTTTTTCCAGATTGTACACGGTCTCTATGATGCCTTCTGTGGCTTCTGCAGGCAGGATGCTGGAGACATTGGATTGAAATTTTTTCTCCAAGTCCTCCTTTTTCAGGGGTTTCCTCCAGTGCCCATAGAACGTGTCACAGCGGTCGCTGATCATGTTGCCATCCTGAAGCATGACGCTCACTTCGCAGTAAAGACTCTCAAAGCTAGGTGTGTTATCAGGAGGGTGCTCCAGTTGTGTTTTGCAGAGGAGCTCCCTCAAGGCCGGACGGTGAATGTTCTCACTGGTGAAGGACTGGACCGACATGCTGCCGTCCAGCAAAGCAGAGCACGCAACAAACTGGAAGGAGTGTCGAGCTTCGTGCTCTGAGGTAGGGCTGGCTCTGTTCACGTATTTGACGTCTGGGACTCTGAGAATGACTTTCTCAATTTTATGAAGGGGGAGCAAGTTGCTGCTCTCCACAAGCTTCCTCCTAACAGAAGATGCTGCATCAGCCACCCAGTGTGTTCCAAGGTGAGCAGGAAAGCGTTTAATGGCGACATCTTGCTGGTCCAACAGCCACGGATAGGACTGCAAGGTTGGCAGAGTCTGTGGGTTGTAATCTGTATAAAAGGCACCTATTCCGGACTCCATATCCAAGATCTGCTTGTTTCCTTGAAGGCCCTGTGATGCTAAGCAAGCTGCTTCCAGTCCATGCTTGGCAGCATTGCCAACATGGAGGGGCTTCGTTTGGGTTGCTGCATTAGCCAGTGGGGCACCTGCATAGGAGGCAGCGATAGCCAAGGTGTTTTTACATTGCAGTTGATCAAGAGCTAGCAGTTTAGCACAAGCTGCTGCACTCCCCATTGTACCAACCACAGTAGGTGGGTGAAACCTGAGAAAACAAAAATATCTTCATTACCATATTTCAAAAAGTCATCTGAACTCACTATATACAAAAGCTCCAATTTCCTAGCACTGCTGTGGAAGACAGATTGAGCCATAAAGAAACATACACTCAAAAGTCATGTGTGGCTCTAGTGGAAAAAGTTGTTGGTTTTCCCCAGGAATAAGTTAAACTGGAATAGTACTACTTCCAATAGGTCTTCCCCAGAAAGCAATTGAAATTTTAGAACTGCTCATAATTTGAGGCACACCAAGCAGAATAATGGCAAAAGCATCACAGTTTATAGTCTTCTCTATATTGGGGGAGGCAAGTTTTGTCATTCTGAAGTAGTTTTGTAAAACTGATAGAAGAAACACACAAAAAGCAAGAAGACATCTAGTCCGTCCCATGTTTCAAGGCTTTCCCCTAAGCACACCCCATCTTCCTGGGCTCTGCTCTGGGCCCAGCTCCAGTGGCTCCCCTCTGCTGAGAGCAAGGCACTGTTTGCAGTAGAGGCGTGATCGTATGTATTCATGAGAGCTTGAAATCTCTGCTGTTAATCATTGCCTTTTTGCTGCTGTTTTTAATAGATAGGGAGATCATTACCTCCTTCTTGTAAACTGCTCAATGCTCTCATAAAGACAGCTATTAGCTAAGCCATAAGGAGTTATGTAAGTGTATTTATGTTTAAGATGAACCTTTCTTAACTTTCCAGACAAGCAACATAGAAAATATGAATGGCTATGCCATCTGTATTTTAACTGGCATTTAATTAAGTGTATTAACACTGAGAAAACAAACCCATTCCACTCAACTTTCTACTTGAAGCATTTCTTTGTACCTTTTGGGGATATTCCTGGCTTCACTGGAAAAGCGCAGCAGCCGGCCTTGCACTTCGATTCCCACATTGAAAGCTAAGAGCAGATCAAGACCTGAGATTTTTTTCTTCTGAGGAAAGGCCTCTGAGAGTGCAATCACAGCAGGAAGCACAGCCCCAGATGGGTGCGTGGCAGGATGCCATGTGTCGTCAAAATCCATTGAGTGCACCTAATGGAAAGAAAAGCCTCGACGTGTCATCAGAAATAAACTCTGAGTTGGCAAGACTGGCTCAGTCAAATGAAACTACTGAAATCAGTATAAAAAAGGGCTGAAGAACTAAATTTTCCTTAGAAAACAAATCTTCAGAAGTCCTTCTTTCAAAGACCTTTACTCCCAACATGGCTCCATGAGAAGTGGCAATGCAATACAAATCTTGCCTCAAAGGAGTGGAATTCTAATTCAAGTTGTAGCAGTCTAAAACCAATATGACAACGATTCATCTTTCCTACAATAGGGTTTTGCTGCTTTAATTAGACTGGTATAATTAAAGCAGCATAAAGCAGCAGTTCTAGGTTCATCATATGAATGGTGAATTTTCACTTCCCCCAAAACAGTATATAAACATGTTGAAACTACTTCCCTAGCGCTGCAACTGATGCTGCCATTAGGGCTCACACCATTAAAGCCGTAGCAGTCCAGTCCATACTGCTAACTCTTAAGTTATACCATCGGAACAGCTTCTTCAGTGCAACCCTCTGCAGGCAACAGGTACAAGCCTGCAAATGTACAAGAGGCTTTAGCCTGAATTCTCAGCACATTGACCTATCACATGAAGAACCAGACTCCCTGGGGTTGCTAGGACTTGGAGAATGTTGGTCTTAAAAATGCGATAAGCCGTTTAGTCCTTGAGAGTGTCCAGAGAGGTGCCTCCTCTCTCCCATGCCCACAGCCCAGCTGCTTGGGAAGACTGGGTATTCCCAGCATGGTAGGAGACTACTGCCAGCAGTGCAGTCAGTGTTTGCAATGTACTGCTTGATGGACCCCCACACCTCCCCCCAAGATTTTGAGAATCCCCAAGGACTTGAGAACATCAGGGGCAGCACTTCTAATAACAGTATCTCAGAAGCTGAACTTTCATGCCTGTTCACCCATGTCTTACTTCAGAGCAACTGGGAAGGTGGTCAGTCTCACCAGCACTCAGGTCTTGCCCCATAATACAGGGAACATGCACTTCTGAGGACCGTGTTTCTGAACAGGCATAAGAAAACATAGTTTCTACCTTGAAAAACTTGGATGCCAGCTGGAAAGATGCCCTGTAGTGCTGGAAAAGTTGTGCCCAATAGCCAGTAAGCTGTGTTCTTGGCATCTTCAATAAGCACTCAGAATTAACCCGTGACTGAGATGTAAACTGAAATGATCATACACATGTTAAAAGCCACATTTGAATGTCAAATGGGCTGCTAGTTGCTGGGAGGCTCCAGATCTCTTTTCCAAGGTAATTTTTTCTACATTGGAAATGAGGTGTCAAACTGGACCTCTGATCTTGTTGTTGCAGTAATTCAGATAGGTTTAATATTACCATTTCCTTTGTTGGTCACCTTCCCTAGTTTTGCATAATTGCCAATTTTGTCTACCCCACCTCTTGTGCATATTTCAGTTTCAAATGGTTTCAACCTTAATCTGAGTTTAGACAAATGTATGGGGAAACTGTTACTGCTTTAATGACAATGTATGTGTCCAAAACGTATGGTTGGCTTTTGCAAACTGCATAACCAAAGATTAAATTGCCTTGTGATATTTTATGTGTGTATGTATATGTGCATTTGTCTGTATTTGTGTTTTTCTGCAACTGTACTTTGCCAGCTGGCATGAAATTTGGATCCCAGTGAAATCAGCCAGAGCTAGGAGTATCTCTTTATAATGCAGCTCTAGCAAGGTTGTAACAAGCTCTGGAGTTCTGACCTTTGAAAACACCCTTGAGGCCCACATTAAAGGTAAGGGATGCTATTGAGCTGGGTCAGATATGTATTATACCGTGATCTCAGTTTCATAGGGAGAAAGTTGAAGCGCATTAGGAGAACGGTGTAGGAAAGTTTTGTAGCAGGCTTCAGGCAGAAGAATAAAGTAAACCAAGATTTTAGGAGCTTTCTGTTCTCTCTAGATCAAGAATGGCATCAATTACTGTGATTTAAGAGCAAACAAAAGAGCATCCCTTACAGCCACTCCATTCACAAAAGCTGCATACAGAGGAGGCAGTCGGAAATCCAAGTGGCCCCAGATGGTACTGGATATATCTGAGCTGTAGATCTGAAAGAAATTGTCATAAATTAATTCAAAATCCTGAACCCAAGGATAAATGTGTGCCGTATCTCTGACGTAACCCAGATCAGGCTGTACTCTCTTGGGACCCAGTTGTTCCCTTTCATGAGAAAAATATTGCTTTTTAGAAAGTATGAAAAGAAACTCACTTTCCTGTTGGTTTATGTCCCTTACCACCTGAACAGACCTCAGGTGCCAGACCAACACCATGCACCCGGCCATTTAATACCTTCACACAACCTCTGGCCATTGGTATCCCTTCCCACAGCCCATCTGCAGTTGTCTCAATACTGTCATCATCTTGTTGAGGGAGATCTCCAGCTAAAGGTTCTGGTTTTCTACTTTTCAGAAGACCCTGAATAAATGTTATACAGGCTCCTGGAGCAAGTAGCCCCAAGCTCCTTTCCTTTTGCTCTGCAGATCTTTGTAGCCAATAAAAAGATTTTACAGAATTAAATAGAACAAAACCCCCCTGGTTTGGGAAGGGGCAAGCTCTTTGCAAATGGACTCACAGAACTCTGGAGCACGAGTCCAGCTGGGCAAGTCTGATCAATAAAACAGCAGGTGAAACTCCTCCTCATGTGCTCCTCTGTTGGGAAGGCTTCTCCTCAGGGTCAAGTACTGCTCAAGTTTAGGGAAAGCAGGACTGGAGAAACATAACCAGTGTACTCCAGGCAATAATTATATTTTGGGAAGTAAGCCACTTATAGCTCTCCATCCCATTAACAGTCTCTTGTTTTTGAAAGTTGATGATAAGGGATATTTACTTTGCTGATGTTTCTGAGAAAATCTCACAGGCGAAATAGCAACAATTCTTAATTATCTGTGCTTGCAGGGGGTTATCTTAACATGCATTCTGTTACAGAGGCTTTTGCCTATCCAGAGTTAAATAACTCAAGCAATGAAGTTTCCCTGTGTGAAGTGGGAAGAACCCTGTGTCTCTCTTTCCGTCCCCCAGAGAATTTCACCATGAGGAAATTTCCCCTTATAGCCCAAATTTTCCCTTACTATCCTTAAAGCTGAACTTTAGGGCACGCTATGAATGCCAGGCATCTTACCTTGCTGTATTGTGTCACTTTGTGGCAGACCTCAGTGTTGGTACCCAGAAGCCCCACTCCAAGAGTATCGAGAATCATTCGCTTGCTTCTCTGAATGACTTGGTCTGTCAAGTGGTTTGCATTCAAACCATGAATAACATTGGCAAAATTTCCTGTAATTGTCTGGGAGAGGGGGAAAAAAATAAAAAAGGTATTTCTGTTAATGTAAAGAAAACACATTTTTTTTTTCTTCCTTTTCTTTCCTCTTTCTTTCAGTTTCAGACTACTACTTAGCATACCAGCCATTTCTATTGCCCTGCCCATTCTTACATGAATTGCATCAGCAAAACTAAGGTTTGAATTCTTCCTCTTTTTATTCCCAGAAATGCCACAGTGTTATTTATATTTTATTTATACTTTCATCAGTGTCTGTCTCTCTTCTGTATTTCTGCTGCTTCCTCCTTGAGTCCTTGAGGGTAAGTACTGCAGGTGATGTAACTTTGCAAGATATCTTCATCTCCACCTCTATACACATACGAACATATATAAAACAAATAGAAGCAAAACCCACCTCGCTTTCTATAGCACCTTGCTATTGCAATCAGTGGGAAAGCAGCATTTCAATCCCGTGCAGCCACTGCCACACAAGGAGGAAATATTTAATCTCCCTGAGTAGCAGAATTACTTTCCCAAATCTTGCTGAGCTTGCAGCTCAGTAGGACTGGCATCTCTACCTTGCACCTGCTGCTCCTAGCTCCCAGCTCTCACTGAATTCATACTCAGCTGGGGTCCCAGCTTTTCTCCAAGACAAGATCTCACCTCTTTGAAAGCAGTGGCTCTTTGTTCCTGCTGATCTGGGAATTATATTTCTTTTTTTTTTTTTTTTTTCCTTTGCTTTCCTATTGAACCTATTATGTAAGTTCAGCCTGCTTCTTGGCTGGAGCTGTTAGTTGCCATTAATACATCTATTAGAAATCTAGAACTTCCCTTTTCTGACCATTAGAAACATCCCCATATAGAGGTATATATTATTTACAACCAGTATACACACACACACTTGCTTTTTTTTCATATTGGTATTACTGAATATAGCTGTTGTCCCTTTTGGAAACTGTCTCCTTCCATTCATCCTAACCTTTCTTCTACTCCCCTGCACATATCCACACAAGGTGGTATTTCCTCTTAGCCTGCATTTTGCTAAAGTAAACCAAACAGTGCTGCTTTCTCCTTTATAATGTAGACTCACCCCTAACTATGCTAGTAGCTTTTCAATGCGTTGTTCACATTTGATTTCTATTCTATAGCAATGGTGACCAGAATTGTACCCATTATTACAGACAAGTTCTCACTCAGCTTTGTACTAAAACATTAAGACTATCTTGAGGAACAGAAGTCATTTAAAGGAGGTGAACCACATACCCCAGTGGTTACCTAAACATAGAGAGTGAGGATACAAAAGCTAGAACAGAAAAGTGCATCTTACAGTGCAAAGAAACAAGACAGTACCTTTGCCCACATCACGGAGGGATGGTGCAAGGTTCCAGAGAGATGCAGCAAATAAGCGGTAGCCAGTGAGCAGGGGAAATAATTCTCTCACTATTTATACGGGTAAGTCTGGGGTGGGGAAAGAAATATTGGGCCTTTTTTCTTGCTCATCATGTCCTGCCCATTTCCTCCTCTGCCTGGAAATGTTCCTTTTTCTTCTTTCTTTCAACTTTCCTCTAACTGTAGCATAAACTGCTGGGACATGTGCTATGGGACTTTACCAGTCACGTTCACATGTTGTGTAAACTGATACATGTGATGTTTTATTACCAGATAGAAACCAGTATATTGAGTGTCTTACATTTGTTAGTATGGACAGAAGAGGTCATCAGGTGTGTCAGGTTAATCTTGGGCAACCACAGTAGTCCACGGATAACTCTACTGGTTGAGTGAGCAATCAGCCCAGTACTAGACTATAGGATGGCAGAAGCTGTTTTAACTTAAACAATCTGTTGTTTTGTTTTTTTCTTCCTTCATTATATGTCTCTTCTATAATATGTAGAATTCAGACAAGGGAAATGTATGGCATAAGAACTTCAGAACATAAGCTATATTAAGGCCGCTCTTGGGGGTTGGACTAGATGACCTTTCAAGGTCTCTTCCAACCCAAACTATTCTATGAATCTATTATTCTGTGGTTCTTGGTATTTAACAGTGTTTTAACAGCACGAATCACTATGTGAGACCATAATTTCTACTAGCAGGTTTTCTGCATCTCAGTCAAGGATGCTTTCTCTCAAGAAGGAGGCAATTCTCCCACCATCGGTTTAGGCATCTGGGGGAATCCCAGACTGCTACGAGATAGTGAGGCGGAAATCCCTGCCCATCCCATCAGGAAGGGAGCAGACCCCAGAGGAGCAGGCGTAGAGGCCACTGAGTAATTCTGAAGTGAAAAAGTAATGTATGTCAGAAGTTTGGCACCTCCTGGATTAGGAAACAAAGCATCAAGTCTTCTCAGGATTGCAGTCTTGCACTTCCATGCTAAAGCACTGCCTAAAACTTACTGTAGGAACCTCAGCCCTTTACCCAGCCTAGCCTCAAATAATTTTGTAAAGCTGTATCTAATCCCTGAGTGCTTCCAGGTAGAGACTGGCATAGGTCTGTAGATGAAGTCAAACATTGATTTGAGTAACTTTTATTAATACTAACAGGTCCTGTTTTAGGCTGCATCCTCTTCCCTCTCCTGTTCCTGGACACATAGTCCTCTTCATCCTCCTTATGCCAGTGCTGAAGCTGAGCAGACCCTTTTCTGAGCTGGTCCAGCCTGTCTCCAGAGCCAGCTCAGGGATTCTCAACAGCCAGGCAAAACTGAGTTTCTTGCCTCAGAAATGCAAAATGAAATCTAGGAGCACATGTGGAGGGAAACAGAAGTAGGGCTAGCAGTATTCCAGGAAATTCTGGGAGGGCATGTGCAGGTAAAAAGAGGTGAGAGGGCATTAGCTGGTTTTGAGCAAGCTCTAACCCAGACATTTGCCTATTTTGCCTGTGCCTCGAGCCAGCTCTGCTTATGGATGTCATCTTCAGGTGCCTGACTTGATGCTGAAAATTGCACTGGGTAAGCTTAAGAGTGCCTTAAATGATAGAAGCAGTGATGTGACTTTTTTCAGATTTAGCCAAAGAGGCTGAGGCCCAGGAGGCCCAAACCCCAGCCCTACAAACACATACACACTTTTGTATGGGCTAATCTGCATTATGTGTAAGCTCCATTTAAAAATCTTATCCTTTCTCTTCAGCATGAGCAGCTGTTCAGCATGGCATGGCTAAACCTCTTCCCACACACATTTCTTTTTGAGTATACCACATTTTTTATGCATATTTCTTCACTCATGTATGCATAACCTGCATCTACGTACAATATCCAAGCAGCATTTACTAGTTCCTGGGTGAGATGTGCATTTTGGCCAAATCCTGAGCCCATGGGGAGACAGAACCAGAGTGTTCATCAATGTGTCTTCCTTGCCCCCTCATTTCCATGCTAAGGAAAACCTCACAGGTGGCCTGGATGTGCTGAAGGATTACCTTTGGTGCTGATAAAATCCAGCCCAGCTAACAGGATTACTCACATAGACAAGTTTGGCAATGGCTAGAAAGGCTAGTAGAAGTTAATGCTACTAGTCTGAAAAACGGAAACATCTTCTTAACTTTCATTTTTGTTTTTCCCTCCAGAAAATGGAAGAAAATATGTAAATCACAGAACCACGGAATCACAGAGTGGCTGAGGGTGGAAAAGATCATCTGGTCCAAACTGCGTACTTTAGCAGAGCTACGCAGAGCAGGTTGTCCAGCACCGTGTCCAGTTGGGTTTTGGATATCTCCAAAGATGGAGACTCCACAGCCTCTCTGGGAAACTTGTGACAGTGTTTGACTACCAAAAAATTGCATATTCATACCCTAAAGTCAGTCCCCTTTCAGTCATTTGCTTCCTTTACCTTTGGGGTATCTGTTACAGTCTCATTCTGTTTCTGATTTCTTCCTCAAGTGAAACTGAAGTGAAAGTTTTAATATCTCCTTGATCCCTCTGTGCTTCTGTATGGCACAAAGGAGACACAACCGCCCCACAGGAGAATTTCCCCACATAAGAAGCAATGTGGGACCCTTTTTATTTCCCCTGACAACTCCAATGGACGGAACAGTGAATACATCTGAATGCCTAAAAAGCATGAGAAAACTATGCAGTAATGCAATTCCTGATTAATTTATTATTTTAATGACTGCTCTAATACAGCTGGCATTATACTGGAAAGCCCACAATCAGAACTGAGAAAAAATGGCCCATAAATCATTTTATTTCTAGAAGGCACAGTGTAGTGTCAGCCTGTAGGACTGTGTCCTCAGCCTTCATTATTCCTCAAAACAAGGTCCATACAACAGCTTACAGTTTACAATGCCTTACATCCCCCCAAACACTTTGAAACACTGTTAGTGGAAGTAATAAGTGCATAGCTGCCTTTAATCCCATGTTAAGACTCCAAGTGAATTCAGATTGGATCCAGAACTTGTGCCTTGCAGTGTGATGCGTGGTCACATGCTGCTAGCTGATCTCAGATACATGACCACTTCCTTACATAACCTTGATTGCAGGATGGATTGTCCCATGTATTGCAATAGGAGGATCAGTACTATTTAAGGACTGGACAGAGATATGAGAAAGTGACTTCTTTAAACAAAAAATGAAGTGAAGCTGTAAATGCAAATAATTAAGTTACCTGGGAGACCAGTTTCCAAAATGTGGTCTGAAGACCTCAGAGTCAGATGGACACTGTAGACTTAGGAGTGAAAGGAAAGCAATATGATTATCACTGTAGGGGGAAGAGGCATCTATACAAAGTCCTGTACATCCACAGGAGAATTCGTAGGGGTCGAAACAGAAGAAGGTTGAAAAGCAGTGACCGAGAGTTTGGAACAGTCTGTCCACCCTGACAAAGGGAATCTGCTGCTTTCCTCTTCTTTGACACTCTATGCATGGTTCAGCAATTTGGGCAGACAATTTGTTAACTAGTGAGCATGATGGAAAGACAAAATGCATTCATCCAAATGCCATTTGCAACATCGTGCACAGCTACAGTAATGAGCTCTGTTGATTACAGAACAAGGCTTTAGAAAACCAGTGCCCCACAGAGTCTATTTTCTCATGCTGACATCACATTTTTAAGCTGTTTTTTCTTTCTTTTGCCTCCCGTTATTTCAGGCTAAACTCTGCCCACACCTGCAAGCTGTATGGTTGCAACTGAAAGCAGATTTGGCCGTAGCCTTGTGCTTCTTTTGTTCTAAAGAAATATAAAAAATGATGACAAAAATGCAGAGTCCAAGCTTCCTTTTCTTTAAGCCAGCCTTTAAGATGTGACTTTGTTCATGGGCTATGCTAAGATGAGAAAATGGGAGGCAGGTGCCAATGTGCTCTGTTTGCAGAACCTTTCGAATTGCTTAGGGTCTGAAAGCACCTTACAAGTGCAGGACCTGCTCCTCTGCCCTCTGCTGGGATATTTTAAGTTCAATAAAGAGCTAAGAATCTTAGCAAATGGCCTGGAATAGGTGGTTTAATGTGAATGCTGCTAACAGCCATACAGCCATAAACTTTGGGATCCCACAGTTCTTCACCACTATCATTACAGTCTTCTGTGCCTCTTTTTTCCACAAGCCTACCATCTCACGTTCAACAGCAGCTACTGAGCCAGCCAGCCATAATACACAGCATATGTAATAGGCAATGATTGCACCATAAAATGTATAATTCTGGAAATTTCTGGCCTACAGTAGTTGCCCAGTTTCCTTACTTCCACAGCTAGTGACAACAGCAGTACAGTCTCTGAGAAGTTACAACACTCTTGTTTCCTTTTCTCAAACTTGCCTTGGAAGTGCCAGGCCCTATTCTGGTAAAAGCTGCTACAAGTCAGCACATGAGGTCTACATTACACAGTCCTTACAACCTTCATAAATTAGCTGTGCTATTCCTAAGGCAAGTCCTTGCGGTTCATTTAAACTTGCAATGCAGATGTTGATTTGCTTAAACGAGCTGTAAGAGGTACCAGACATAGCTGGGATAATCATGTAGGATCTTGGTGAAGGCAGATCAATCATTTCAGTATAGACATATTGTGAACAGGCCTCAAGCAACTGCAGTAGAGGCAAAAGCATGTTTGAAGCGAGAGTGTGTTGCAGGATGATTAGGCAAGTCCCTTTGATATAATTGATGGAGTAATGTGAAGGGGCATGAACTATAACAGCGCGAGAAGACACCACATTTCTATGAAATTCCGATTGGCACAGTGCAAATGTTAGGTCTCACCCACACCATAGCCTTTACCTGTGATACTAGTGCCAGTGTTCAGATACTGACAGTGCAAGGGGCTACACCGTACTTACCTGCCCCAGGTTCACAGCTCAGGAGGAGGAGGTGTAGCGGAAGGTGACACAGCCAGGCCCAGACCCCTGTGAACCACTCTGCACCCTGGAGTACCACCTCTTCTCCCTGGGATGCCTCACAGGCAAGTTCCCAAAGCTTTTCTTTATCCTGCTGTAGCTTCCTACCCTATTTGCTAAAGAAATAAGGTTACCTAGCAGGTGGCTGTAGGATTTCTGTATGGCATGACCTCCACTCTGAATATAGCAGCAAGTGTAGGAGATCACGTAGGTTTTCTGTATGTGCATAGACTTTGCTGTAACTTCCCCTTGCTGATGGTTTTGGCAGCTTGGGGCACACATTGCTCTCTTAATCAAAAAGCAGTCATGATGTCTGTACTCGGCCAAAAATGCGTCCAGATGTCATTATAGGACTTGTGCCATTTGGGGAGACATTAAAACTTAACTAACATAAATTCAGAGTTTGATTAGTGGAAACCACATTACTGTGAGCACATATGAAGGATGTGGCAATTTTAATTAGATTAATAGCAAATCTCTGTGGTGCAAATGTGGCATTAGTCACTGTGCTGGGCTGCTGCATCGTACATGCAAAGGTACCCAGCAAAGAGACCCTCCTGATCATTTCAGAGTGAGCCCAAATGTTGGGCTGTATCAGGTCCCAGCAAGCCTACAATGGTGGTCCAGTGGGCAGATATGGTATCGAGTCCTAGTATACAACAAGCTTCAACACTAACTGAGGGATAAAAGAGCCTCTCTGCATCTAAACTATTACTCAGGGATTTTGAACCACTAGGAAATTATCCCACATGCCATTACAAACTTTTGTATGCAGTGGTAGGGCTAAAATAACACCTAAAGCATATACAGCAAACCCAGAATGAAAAATAAAACATTCTCCTTCAAGCAGAAACAGGTTTTGGGAGAAAAATTAATCTAATTTTGTGGGAGTTCATCCTGTCAGCAGATGCAGAAGCACTTGAGACAGGTACTGGGAGATGCTATGCGAGCTGGCGGAATTGTTTCTCCAGCTTTCACCACAGATGCTCTCTCTCTTCCTCCCAGCTTAGTTCCTCCTAAACATAAAGGCCCTGGAAAGATTCAGACAGCCAGCCATGTTGGAAAAGCCACAGAGTACTTGTTGCTAATGGATTGCTAACTCTGCAAGCCTGGGCCATGGGTTGATTCCCTTCCACCCCCCTCTCTTAATACATGGACTGCAACACCTGCTCAAAAAATATGCTCTCACTGGGGTCCCCGAGGTACCTTGGACATCCCATGAGCTACACGAATGTCAGTGCCCTTTAAAATCTCCTTTGGGGAACTCCAGCAACTGGAGAAAGATTCCTTTTCCTCATCTGTGGTTGTACGTAGATACATCATGTATTTTCCACCACAATATATTTCAGAAGTGAGAGGAAATATTACAAAATGGCCTAAAATTATACTTTAAATGTGGCAGCCTCTGATTTATGGTGCAATTATAAAACATGCCATGGTAGTTATTAGTTGTGAGATTGAGTATTACACGTCTCAGACTGTAAAACATACCGGAGAATTTCTAGCTGTGATTGTGTATTCACCTCTAAAGAGAAAATGGGCGTAATTACACTGACATTTATGAAAGGGAGAAATAAAAGCAAAACCATAAGAGAAGTTAAATTTGAAGATGAGAGCAGTGAATATATAGAACATTTACATTGTTACAATTTTCTAATTGAACATTTAAGCAGAAGCTAATTATTTGATTTAAATTGGCCCTTTTTTACATAAGTAGCGTTTGAAGAATTTTGGCTTTTAGAATTTATAATGACACTATTTTTTTCCCTAACATTACTCATCTTCAGCATAGTAGATTGAGACAGATGCAGGAAGCATTAAAAATCAAGGAAAATACTTTCACAAAATGAAAGGAGTGATTCAGTAAGATTTGATCATCCATGCTGACTTTTCAGCATCAGCAGGGTTTAAAACTATTCACCTAAAAATGATACCTACTGTCAGAGGTAGTGGACAGTATTTTATTTACCTTTTTGCTCTGCAGCCATAGTTGGAAGATGTCCCTCCTTATGTGGCCTTGGATGTTGCAGGAGCAACAGAGTTAGCTGTAAGGAAAATAATACATTGAGTCATGGCATTTTTGATTTATAAAGTTTCTTCAGGTCATAGTCAGAGAGAATATATGACATTAGTGCTACCACCAACTCACACAGTTTATCCTACTGACTTTGGTTACTGTTCTGCGTGGCGCAATGCCAGCACTATGGTTTTAATAAAATAAGCAAATAAACTAATCTGAGTCCTCCTTTCTACAATTAGAGGATTTCTCCATTTTTGTGATCTCGCTATTTCCATTCTTTATCAAATTGGGCAGTTTTGAAGTCTACGTTGAAGTTCATGTTTTCTTTTTGGATTTTTTATTTCCTATATTTGGTATAGTATTTTATTAAACTTGGGGTTGGGGAGGGTTGCAAATGAACGAATACTGAAATATGGCGCACCCTAAAATGCCAGCGCAATTGCAGCGGGGCACAAAGCATGCTATTCAACCAGAGATACACAATGCAATGCTGTTTCACTGCATAAGAAAAGCAGGCAGCTTCTGAGGGTATCAACTTTAAGGAGGCAGCTTGCTGCCTGTGCTGCTTACAAATGAAAAAATAAAGCTGTCTGTTCCTCAGCTTGACCTACCCGTTGCTGCTTTGTGCTTCTGCATTCCTCTGCAGCCACTGCAGCCAAAGGAAGGGCTCCTAAGGAGGAACAGGATGACTGATGCTGAGAAGTTGTTTTTCCTCACAGCTTCCTGCTGTCTTGCCCCACTACCCTTGGCAGCCAGACTCTCCTCCACCTTCCAAGCACAACCCAGCCTTGCACTGCCCCTTTTCCTCCTATGCTAATAAGACCCAGATGTATTTTCCAACACTCTTCTACTCCATGTGAACTTGGGAAAACTATCCAGTCAAAATCAATTGCATCAAATCCTATGTCTCCAGCAGCAGCAGGCTGAGACAAGAGAGGCCCCTCTGCTTAACCAACCTCCATGAAATAAAGGGCAAAACTGCTCCAAAATGTCAGTGTTTTAGAGGGAGCAGGGCAATGTGTACAGAGCTGTTGGATGGAGGAGTAACCAGTCAGCCCAGAGAGCCTCTGCAGATCAGTACCAAGTTTGGCACTACAGTAAGGTCCCCACCCTCTGCCATAGTCTACAAGTGGTTTGTGACCATTCAGTTGGTGCTGGGCCTTGGCAGGCACTAACACAGACTGCTCTGCACAGCTTTCTGAGCCAGGGTTATATGGCTTTTTGTCTGCCCTCATTTTCCTTGCTGGCAGCACTTGGCTTGCCTCTTCCTGGTCCCCTGGACAATATAGCACAACTCAAAATAGCCTTGGGGCTGTGTCCAGCTGTTTGGCACAACTGGAGCAGGAGATGCCCAGCAATAATGGCAGCAGCTCCTTCCCTCTGTTTTCTTGGCCATGCACACAAGGACCTAGGGCAGATGAGCTTTGTGCTATCTGTCCTCTGCTCCTGACTTGGTTTTGTCAGTGCTCTCATTTCTAGTCAGAAATGCTGCCTGCCTCTCCCAGACGCAGTAAGAAGGTTGCCTGTGAGTTGACTTTGTGCCAGTGACTTCTTGACTCAGGGGTTTCATGCAACATGGGAGTTGACCATGTTGATGACTGCTTTTGAGCTGTGGCTGAGAAAGAAACCCCAAAGCAAACAAAAATCCCAAGCACATAATTCCTTCCTAGGATTAGATTGCTTCCCCATATAGTCTGTATCCACAGTCTTTTCCTGTAAGTGTCGACATCTTTCCTAGCTAGTAGCTGTTAAGGCAGATGCTCCAAAGTTTGCAATCACGCATCCAAACTTGGCTTTCATTCCTGTGTAATAGAAGGACATGCGCTGTGAAGCCCTCCTCGACTCTATAGGTCAGCAAAGGGAAACGTTAAAGAGACAGAGAGGAAGAAAGGTTTTGTGGTCAAACTTCTGCATACTCTCCATGTGGCCATAAAAATGGTGGGGAAAGCAATGGCTAAGAGAGGGAGGAAAGTATCTGTTCATATCTGTTGTATGAAATGCGGTATCATTTAACATGATGCTGCTTCCAGACAGAGTCAGAGCTATAATGAGCTTGCTCACTGAATCCAAGTGAAAAATACCGATAGATCTCTGGCCACCCTCAGCATGCTGTGCTATTTATTGCCTGGTATTATATCCCTTCTTTATGTGGAGGGATTGTCCATCCTTTATTCCTTCATTTTTTCCACTCCTATTCTCATAGGTCAGCTGAGATCATTCCCCACCTGAAACCAGTGCAGGGTGACACGCTCCCATAACTTTATCAGAAAAAGTCCACTCCAGTTTATGTCCTAGATGTGGATGCCACACTGATGCTGAAAAAATGGTGATCTTCAGTCAGACTGGCTGATAACAGGACAGTGACAAATGCTGGAATAAGATCATGATGGGACCAGCAGTGAGTGCTGGAGGTGGCACTTGGAAAGTGGTGAGCCCTCTTTTCAGTCTTGTCCCATAATTCATCAGCCTGAACAATCTCCATTAGGGTGGGTGCTTCTGACAGAGGACCTGGAGCTTTGGGAACATTCAAGAAAAAATGTGCAAGGTTGGGGGAGGAAGCTGAATTGGAGGATCTGCTTCTGGGATGTGAAAAAAGTATGGCCAGTCCCTGAGAAATCCCTGTAAGGATATGGAAAGATGAGCTTCAAAAGCTCAAGAGGGTGGGCAGCATATAAAGGTGAGTGTCATTACAGTATAAGGAAGCCTGTAATGGAGAGACCTGGCTTGAAGGTTGTTCATTATCCATATCATCTCTGAGCCTGAAGGGCAGTAACCAAAGCCTGCCCATAGGCTTCTGCTAATTCCATACTCTGAGAGCCATGAGAGCCTTCACAAGAAGGACAGGAAAGACCAGCAATTCTTACCTTCAGATCATGCATTTCTGAATGTTTCTGAACAAGCTGGCTCATGTCAGTCATGATCTGGTTACAAAGGATAATGTAACTCACAGGTTACCACAGTCTGTGGTGGGATATGAGTTCAGCTGCACAGTCAGTGATGTAATCATTATTAGTGCATCCTTCTCTACAGCGTGGGTTTCATCCACAGCAGACACCTCAGCACAGACTCCAAGCTCACTATTGTTAATGAGTGATGGGATTTAAAAGACCTTTATATTCGGGACCTTTATTACTTAAACTTTGCTGTTTCTGTATCCTCAGGCTTCACATTCTCCACATTTTTATGGTGAAACTATAATAGTAAAAACTTAAACTCTTAATTGGGTACATGACTGTGGGTGGTGATGGCTTTAAAAGCAAAAACCAAATACTTCAAGACTCTAGATCATGTGTTGAGAGAACTATATGAATATGAATCAGGAGTGAATCCATACTGGGAAATATAAATTATTTATACGTATCTAAAAGACAGAATACAGGAAATCTTAACATCTCATTCATACACATTGCCACAAAACTATATTTGCATGAAGCCATTAACCCCAAAAGAGTTCAGATCACATGAAAGACTCACTGAGAATGTCACGTGCCTACTCTCAATGTAGGTCAGTGCATACGCATGGCAAAACTGAAGGAAACTAAAGGGAAATTATCTTCACCAAGAGAAACTCTTGCCTGGATGATGCTCTAAGTTAAAATTAAACCTGATTCTACGATTCTATGAGTAGAGATTGGAATGACTTTCCTTAAACTGCAAAAGCACGGCATGGGGTGACATGCTTGTGTTTATCACCCATCTTGTGAGCACAATTACTAAGCATATAGGCAAAGTCACAGTAATGGCACACACAAATTAAGCATGGAAAAATGGGCAGAAGAGAGATGAGCAGCAACGTCTCTTCTTAACCCTCCTGACGGCTTGTTCACTCATAACTGAATTGCACATTGTAAACATTCATCGGATACAGAAATATGTTAAAGGCACTAAGTATGAAAAAAATACAGAAAAATGGAGAGGATTCAGAGCATAAAAACAATAATACGCCTGCAAAAGAGGTGCAAGGAGTTTGCCTAGCCTAGAAAAGAGAAATTGTGTTGTTTCACATCACAGATAAGCCAGTTTGACCACTGGCACTTCTTTGATGCCCTTCATAGGGCTTGAACTAAGTCAGCAGAAAATGAATTTCTTAAAAGAACTGAAAGCTTCTCCACTTTGTCCTCTGAACTGGTTCATCACAATCACACAAGGGCTGGCTGAACAGGGAAAAGAATTTAGGTGTTTAATTCTGGCAACAGCTAACCTTCAGACTGGCTTAGTTTTAATATGAAAGTGCACCATATACGGGCACACAACACAGAAATACAATCTGTATTTTAGGAAGAAAAGGATGTTGAGCAGCTTTGCTCTATCTGCTGAGAAAGAAGACAAAAAGAAATCTGCTAAGTATTTATCAAAGATTCTTGGTTTATGTGAAAAAAAACCCAAACCGAATCACGCCTTTAAAACAGGAATGGTACCGGGTACTGAAACATTAAAACACCATAAATAAGAATATTGTGGAATGCCTTCACTGGAATCATTACCAGTGTATTATGTGGATGTCTGCTGGGACTGTCCAAAGTTTCTTGCTGCCTTGGTACAGAGGTGAACTGGAGGATTCCATCCCTCCCTTTTTCTGACTTCACGATTTACTGAGTTCACCAGAATTCAGGCTAATTCTGCCTGAATTAGCTCTAACTGAATTCAGTACTACTTAGAAAAACGGCTTTAACAAGAGCAGCGTCAGATTCTAATACTGTTACTTGACTAATATTTTGTTGAAGACCAGAGAAGCATCTATGAACACACTGTTTATGGCTGCATTATCAGACACACTGCTCATGACCTGCTTTATATTCTGGAAAACTTCCTAGATTGGCACAGCTGGTTTCTAAACACAGCATGAAAATAATCCTGTGAGAATAAGTCATATTTCAGAGGTGATTCCCAGGCTTATGGCTCATTCCACAAATGGGAACGCAACACTGGCAGTTGCTCAAGCATGATGGAAAACCAGTTGCAGACACTGGAAATCAGGTCACCAACTGGGAAATGGGTACACTAAGATACACAATTTCATTAACA